GAGTACCTAAACTAATAACTACTAGGCTACTAGTTCGGGTGCTCTAATAGAATTCATAGAGATAAACTAATTTATATACGGTGCCTACACTTAGGTAACTTAAGGAAAATTAGAATATAGAAACCGATAGTTATAAGCTAAGCGAGCGTATATATAATATTATTAAGTTAAGAATTAAATTACTAGAAACTAGCTAACGGGTATCTAAATAGTCTAAAAAGGACTAAAATAGATAAAAGCTAGGTAAATAGAGCCGGCGCGTACTACCTATAGTAGATCTAGAATATATAGAGCTAGGTATAGAGCTAAACCTATAGAGCTAGAACTATAGAGCTACTCCTCTATCTTATTATCCGTTCTAACCTCTAGTATAGTTCTCTCTAACTATATAATATAGTAGTAGAGAATAATAACCTTAGTCTCTAGAGTAATAATCTAATCCGTTAGAGCCTAGAGGGAAGAGCCTTAAGCGCTAGAGCGTAGCGACTAGGTCTAAAGTTAGCTAATACGATCTAGAATAATCTAGAAGGGAATATATACCCTCTTATAAGGCGACTTAGAGGGAGAAATAGTAGACCTCTTATAAGATCCGTTAGTAGCGCGAGACGGATAGGGGGGGATAGAGCGAATCCTCTCTACGGCCTCTATAGCTAGAATAGACTCTCTAGAATAGACTATCTAGGCGCTAGGGATCTCGCGGTAGCTAGAAAAATTAATAGGTATTAAAAATAATTAACGTGCTTATAACTTATACTTTAATAACCTCTAGAAAGAGCTTATAGCGCTCCCTAAACTCCCTCTATATAGTAGGTAGGCGGCTATAAGGACCTCTAAGGGTCTCACGGACGTGAAGGTCGTTATATATATCTTATATATATATAGGAATCTAAGAATATATTAGCGCGGACTACTTTAGATTATACTAGATTAAGATAGCCTATTATACTTACCTATAGATAAGTCTTACTAGTTATAGTATAGCGGTAGTAGCGGGTAGATAGAGTAAAGATAGGGCGTATAGGCCCGTCGTAGTTAGTAGAGTAGTAGCTAATACTAGAGTTAGAGTAAAAGAGATATTTAGAGCCGGCTATATAGCCCTTAATATACTTATAGTATATTAAACCGTAGTTCGCCGTTTTTCTATAGCGTAAACTATAACCACGTTTAGTATCCTTAGTAACCTAGGCCTTATTATTAGTAGGCTAGGGTTTAGAGTAAATATTAAGGTCCTAAAAGGACCTAGAGTAACTAAATTAGTCTATATTAGACCGGAAGGAAGAGTAGTAAGGCGGCGGTATAGGTAAGCGTAAGGGCTCGCGATTATTATCTATAATAAGATCTTCTTTATCCTCTAGAGAAGGTAGAGTAGATAGTATATGCTTTAGAGCGAGAGGAGAACCTATAACCACTTTATCCATAAGTTTAGTACTAGGATTATCTAGATTAGAGCGACTAGTAGCTATATTAGTAGTAGAGGTAGTAGTAGTAGTAGCCCTAGCTACTCTCTTCTCTAACTTAGAGCACGCCTTTATACTACCGTAATAGATAGGCTTCTTAGCCGGCGTGGCCGGGGAGAAGGCAATACCTTTAGAGCGAGTCTTACGAGAGGAGAAGGTAGGCTTAGAGATAGAACTAGTATTAGATATCTATATATATATATTAGCTAGAGATCTAAGGAAGGAATATTTATCTACCCTTAACGGTAATTAACGAAGCTAAATTAGTAACTATAATAACGCGAATAGGTTATATAGGACTAGTTCTAATAAGAATAGACTACTATAGACCCTTCTAAACCTAAACTAGGGAAGATAGTATATAAATTAACGACTTACCTTAAGAGCGAGATAGATATACTAGAGAATAAAATTAAAGGCGAGCGAAGCTAAATATATACTTAACTAAAGTAGTAATTATATATTCTAGATAGTAGCTACGAAGTAAGGGATAAGCGCGTATATAAACTAGTAAAAGTAAACTAGAATCTCGAGTTTATCTATATTAAGGATGGTTATAACATTATAGAAACTTAGTTACGGATATATAGATATATAATAGATTATAGAGACTTAGAATTATATATACTTAAGTACTTTAGGGCGAAGTATAAAAAGAAGAAGGATATTATTAGGACGGGAACTATAATAGATCTATATAGACTATTCTAATCTATATAGCCACGTAGTGGCTAGAGCTAGGTTAAGTTAGCTAAGTTAAGCGAGGTTACTATATAAGTAGACCGTATAAACCGATTCCTACTTATTAGGAATTAACCTTATATAAGAGTAAGATTACTCTATAAATACATTTCTATGTCTCTCTATAAACTATTAGACTACTATCCTACGTCTTTACTCTTTATAGATATATATAAACTACTAAGGTTAGTACTATAAGATTATATTATCTAATAGAATACTCTACTATAAGGTAGATAAGACTATCTTTATAAGGAGGCGGGCTCTACGCACTAACTAACTACACCAAAAGAACCGAATCTTGAAGCTACTACTTCAAGGGTAGAGTACACTACTTATATACGACTACTATACACATGTATAATCAACTAGTAGGCCACGTGCTCCTCACGTGCCTAACAATCTTAGAGCCATAGGCTAATAATATTATTAATAGTATTTAAGGCGTAACTAAGGATAAGCCGTTAATAGACTTATTCTATAAGATTATTACTCGACCGTGCCTAAGGAAGTCTCGAACTAGTAGTAGAACTAGTACCTTATTAACTACCGTTAACGGAAGTACTACTTCTATACTTAAGCGCCTCAAAATAAAGAGATTATAATATAAGAAGGCTAAGTTAGATTATAAGGAGCGGAATACGAGGCTTTAAGATAAGTAGATAAGATAGATAATAATTAAGCGTAAGGAGGCGGCGGTAAGATATTATTAAGATAATAAAGATAAGCTCGCGTATACTTAACTACTTTATTAGATAGAATTATAGCGTTATAGGTTTAATCCTATAATACCTATATAGATATCTATATTTCCTTAACCTTAATCTTAACCTTACTCTCTATCTACTTATAGTTCGAATTATTTATTAACTCGTAAGACTTATTATAAAACACCCCCTTAGACACGAGTTATAGAAACCTTTAGTAGTCTAGTATAACTAGGGCGTTACTAGACGGATATAGTACTATTAGCTCTTAAATAGTATAAGGAGATAGAGACTTATAATAAGACGAGGGCTAGAATACACGAATTAAGACTATATATAGATAATAACTACTATACTTACCGCTATATTAAGGAGATAACTCGGCCTAGAACTACTTATTATAAAGCCGCGAAGATAGTAGGTATTCTACTTAGTATTCTACTAGACGTACGTCTATACCTTCGTAAGTATAAGGAGTAACTTAAGGTAAGTAAGACAGCGTCCTCGCTCTAGGCGTTTACTATAACTAGTATAACTAGTATTTAGATAGGAATGGTATAGTATTTCTTAGAGTATATTTAGGAGTATATATTTATATATTAAGGCTATATACTTAACGAATAGTACCTAAAACGGATATATATATAGACTATTACTAGCTAGCTAAGTAACTTACTTATTAGTAAGTTAGTAATAAGTAAGTTACTTAACGAGTTCGTAAAAAAGTCTCCTAATCTCCTTAACTTTAGTAATCTCTCTACCATCTCTACCTTATCTAAACCTCTCTAAATTAGTAACTACCTTCTACTAGAGCGTCTCATTAATATAGTATCTATCTATAGTATATTTAAAGAAGCATAGAGCCTACTAATTAGTATAGCTATATATAAATACGATATAGAGGAAGTTCTTAAAAGTTTAAGATTACTAACGTATCTAGATATACCACCTATAAATCTATGCCTTTATTACCGCCTATATAAGCTTAATAGAATTAAAGTTAGGTAAGTACGGTAGTATATACTATATAATATAGCTAGCGCTAAGTATAAGTAGCTTAATCTATTAGTTTGTATAAAGTGCGAGATTATCTATAATAATTATTATTATACGCCCGGGGTATTTTACCTTAAGGGTAGGTAATAGATATACTTATAGCTAGGTATAGAACTTATCCATCGAGAAATAACCTTCCTTTATCTAATAGTAGATAAAACCATTAGCCGTAATAGCTCTATATACGCTATACGTAGGTCCTTAATTAAGAGTACTAATCTTAGTTAGAGTCTATTCTTTTAGTACTCTAGCTCGACGCCTCTATCTAATTTTCTTATTAAAAATAACCTTATCTAAGAAGACGTACGAGTCTACTAGTAGCTCTATAATATTCTTAAGGTATAAAGCACGCGCTATCTCTAAGCGCGTACTACTAATATATTTTAATAGCTTATAATCCCACCCTCGCTTAGATAACTCTTTAGATAGAAGCTATTTAGATATAGTAAGATTAAACTCTTTATATATCTATCTAGCTATCTTATTAAGGTATAGCCAGCTCTTACGAAGTAGTCTCTTAAGTAGTTATCGTATTATATAATCGCTTAGTCGATAAGGTAGACCATAACGTATTAACCACGGTTTATTTCTCTATCCGTATATCTTAAGGTTAAACCTTATTCTATATACTATATTCTTACTAACTTTAGTAATAGCGATAATCTTATTAATAGGTATATTATATTATAGGAGGAAGTTAATTTATCCGTATACGGAATCGGGATAGATAATACCCTAGGGTACTATATATACACGCGTTAGTAAGTTAAAAATACTAAATATTATATATACTAACTCTTATATACTATATTATATAGTTATAGACCCTATATACGTGTAGTACGGCGATGATGCCGTAAAATATTAATTATATATAAAAACGCGTGTTGGTGGCATAGACGTGCATCGGGCGCCAAGCTTTCCCATGTAACTATGGACAAACGGATCCGGATTCATCACTGCGAAGTTCTACCGCGGCGCGGCGGACGCGCTTTCCCGCGTCTACCTCATTATGAGCGCGTCCTAAGGAAGCGGAGCATCAGGTAGGCTTGTCTTTCCATTTCACATCACCAATCTTTTCTGAAACGCTGCTCTTTTGCATTACATGTTTGAACGTATTCCAATTGTTTTGATTAGTTTTGGGATATAATGCCTTCTGATATCAGGAGTTTCTTTGGCGGTGGTGGGCAAGGGACTCAGAAGTTACCTGCACGAAAGGAGGAGGTGAGTTCACTTTGTTGGCACTTTGGCTCATGAAGATACCCGTCGGCTTTCGCATTCAATTCCGTATCCCTTCTTCTCTGTAACGTTTCCCAATGTCATACCCTCCAAACTTGTTAGATCTTCGTCAAACTGGTGCTAAATACAAACAGGCCCCGCCCACGAAGAAGCGAGGCCGTCCTGCCACCCGCCGAGTGATCCATGATGACTCAGAGGAAGATGATGCTCCCACGAAACCCACGCCTAAGAAGTCTGCGCCCAAAGCGAAGCGTGAACCTACCCCTGAGGGACAAGCCACAACTACATCCGATTACTTTGGAAGTAAGAAACCAAAACGTTCGGAACCAGTGAAAAGGAAAAATGCAACCACAGAGGTTACAACACCCAAAGCCAGCCCCAAATCTTCTCCAGCCAAGTCTCGAACTAAGCCTTCTCCACCTGCTACAAATGGACGAACCTCGACCCGCGCGAAGAAACCAATGACGTATAACGAAGACGAAGATAACATTGATGCATACCTTAACGATGATGATGATGGCGCCGATGATATATTTGCAGCTGATTTCAAAAACAGAAGGATAGATACCGATAATTACGTTGAAAGTCTGGACGTTACTCATGTAAAGCTTCCCCATCACCAGACGCCAAAAAGAAAGGGCACGAAGAAGGCAAAGGACGACCACGAGGAGAACTACGAGCCCGACGGTCATGACATCAATATGAAGGACACGGACGCCGATAGTGATTTCACTGTCTCAGATGACCATAAGGAAGCTGTCAAGAGCAAATCAAAGGACGGTGGAAAGAGTACAAAAACATCGAGCCGGAAGCGAAAATCCGTGGAATTGTCTGAAGAAGACGAAGAAGCAGAGCCTTCGAAGAAGACCAGGAAAGCTGCACCAGCAAAGAAGTCCCCTGTCAAGAAAAAAGCGAAGAAGGAAGACGTACCGGAGAATCCGAAGGTGCAAGAGATCTTCGACAGCATTCCTACCATACGACCTCCGACCCCACCGCCTGCATCTGGAGAGGCGAAAAAATTCAACTTCCGGGCACAACATGCCAATTCAGGAGCACCACCCTCCGCTGGCTCGGCGGATATTCCTACCGGTCAACCGAACTGCCTCGCTGGTCTTACATTTGTATTCACCGGTCTCCTGCAAACACTACAAAGAGAAGAAGGACAAGCTCTGGTTAAGCGCTATGGGGGTAAAGTGACCACTGCGCCGAGTAAGAAGACAAGCTACGTGGTCCTTGGTTCTGATGCCGGTCCCAAAAAGCTTCAGACAATCAGAACGAACGGTATCAAGACTATCGATGAGGATGGTCTCTTCGAGCTTATTCGACGTCTTCCTGCGAATGGCGGCGACAGCAAAGCTGCAGCAGCCTATGAGGAAAAACAGAAAGCTGAAGAAGAAAAGATCAAGAAAATGGCCGCGGAAATGGAAAGGGAAGAACGTCAAGAAAAGCAGAAAGCTGAAGAGGCAAAGATGAACCAGTTGGCAACAAGAATGCAGAAGGGAGACCAAAGAAAGGATGGCGCTGGTAGAGCAGGCGGAGGCAAAGCTTCATCATCGGGGAATCTTGAGAAAGCTGTAGAAGCCAGACCTGATAACAGGCTCTGGACTGTCAAGTACGCTCCTACGCAGCTAAGCCAGATATGTGGCAATAAAACGCAGGTGGACAAGCTACAGAAGTGGCTCAAGAACTTTCCTCGAGCAGTGCGCACAAACTTCAAGCTTGCGGGCGCTGACGGCAGTGGCACTTACCGAGCTGTCATTATCCATGGCCCACCAGGCATTGGCAAAACCACTGCTGCTCATCTTGTCGCCAAACTCGAGGGCTATGACATCGTTGAAAGTAATGCAAGCGACACTAGGAGCAAGAAGCTAGTCGAGGAAGGCCTCCGAGGAGTACTCAGTACCACATCCTTACTCGGATACTTCTCAGGCGATGGCAAGCAAGTCGAGGCTTCTAAGAAAAAGATGGTGCTTATCATGGATGAGGTTGACGGTATGTCAGCTGGTGATCGTGGTGGTGTCGGCGCATTGGCTGCGGTTTGCAAGAAGACACAGGTCCCCATGATCCTGATCTGCAATGATCGAAGGTTGCCAAAGATGAAGCCTTTTGATCACTGCACATATGACTTACCATTTCGACGTCCAACTGTTGATCACATTCGGTCTCGTATCATGACTATTGCGTTTCGTGAGGGCTTGAAGGTCCCGCCCAACGTAATCAACGCTCTTATCGAAGGGAGTAACGCCGATATCCGCCAGGTCGTCAATATGGTTTCGACAGCAAAGTTGGATCAGGAAGCTATGGACTTTGATGGCGGCAAGTCTATGTCGAAGGCATGGGAGAAACACGTTATTCTAAAGCCATGGGACATCGTTGGCAAGATACTTGGCGGGGGAATGTTCGCTGCCAGCAGCAAAGCTACCCTGAACGAGAAGATTGAGCTATATTTTAATGATCATGAGCTCAGCTATTTGATGCTACAAGAGAACTATCTTGGTACAAACCCAATCGTCGCGTCGACTTACACTGGTAAAGAGAGAAACCTGAAGATGCTCGAGCTTGTTGACAACGCTGCCTCAAGCATCAGCGACGGCGATCTAGTTGACCGGATGATCCATGGCTCACAGCAACAGTGGAGTCTTATGCCCACTCATGCTGCCTTCAGCTTCGTACGCCCCGCGAGTTTCGTGTCTGGAAGCATGGCGGGCTACAAGACCGGCTTTCCCTCTTGGCTAGGCAAGAACAGCTCCGCGCAGAAGATGCAGCGTATGGTGAAGGAAATACAAGGCCATATGCGTCTAAGATCATCAGCAGATCGTCACGAGATACGACAATCTTACGTGCCCGTCTTGTGGTCGCAGATGGTGAAGAAATTGGAGACAGATGGCAAGGAGGCTGTCCCTGCTGTTATTGATTTGATGGACAGCTACTTCTTGACAAAGGATGACTTTGATGCTATTCAGGAATTAGGCGTTGGATACATGGACCAAGAGAAAGTCAACATTGAGTCTCAGGCCAAAGCCACCTTCACCAGACTGTGAGTACTGGGTATGCAATATGGAACCGCTAAGCTAATCATCTCTAGGTACAATCAACAGTCACATCCACTGCCTTTTATGAAGGCAGGTAACGTTCTCCAACCCAAAGCCAAACAAAAGGAGCAGCCTGATCTTGAAGAGGCCATCGAAGAGTCCGACGATGATCAAGTCATCAATGAAGTCAAGGAAGAGGATGAAGAAGAGGTTGACCTGTCGAAAGACAAGTATGTCAAACAGCCCAAGAAGAAGAAGGCCGCAGCAAAGCCCAAGCCAGCGGCCAAGAAAAGGACCAAGAAGGACGATAGCGATGAAGAGCTGAGTGATGAGGAGGAAGTCAAGCCCAAGAAGGGAAAGGCTGTTGCCAGGGGTAACAATAGTAAAGGTCGTGGAAGAGGCAGGAAATAGTGAGTAGTATTGTGTGAGATTTTACCTCACAATGGGCGGTTCCAGCATGTCTTTTGAGTATAACAGGTTCGGATGCCTAGGTCAGTTAGCGATTTCATACTTCTGGAGGCATGCCTTGGAGACAGCATAAGACCGTGTGGTATTTATCTAACCCACGTAAGATATTGATCAAATGAGATGTTGTTGGCAGTAAACAATTCCACGTCATTTCATCCTTGGGTTGGGCAAGATCTGGGTGTTCACACAGGGTCTGGATCGGTGACGCGTCCGGCTGTTGACACATTCTGCCGTTGTTCACTTGTCAACATTCAGGCCAGGACCTTCCCCAGGTTCTGCTATGCTCACCGCCTCTTGTTGATAAGGTATCAAACTGTCACGTAACCATGGCGTCCGGTAATGCCAAGGCCCACAGAAGTATTTCAGTCAACGATGGGCGGTCTCTCTCCCTTCCTTCTTCAACACACTTTCAGAGAAATTTGTTACTGCTGTTCCTGTATCAATTATTTGTATTATTTGTACTTTTATCTCCACGACACTCCTTTACCTCTCTTGGTCTCTCTTGGACCGTCTTGGCTACACACACCAGAGTTCGTATCGCTCTTGGCGTCATTGCTGTTGTTGTTGTGATATTTTGGATTACTCTGGCTGGAAACGGAAGTTGACAACACGTAGCGTACGATTAGTTCAACACCATTAGACACCATGAACCCATCAGACAGCTCCCGCAGCGGCAAGGATCGTGCCGTCGACGTAACAGATGAGGATCACCACGGAAGGGTTGAAGAACTTGAGCCAGGTAAGCCGAGCAGCTTGTTCCTGAACACACTACCATGTATGTAAAACAAGTCTGACCTCAGATCTAGGTACATCAAGCTCTATTGATCGTTCTTGTGAAGGGCTGCGTCTTCTAAACATTGATGTAGACAACACTGCTCGCTTCATCACTCCCGATACGGTTTCCACTTCCGCAAATTCAGTCATCGAAGACGTTGTTCCTGATGCCAATGGGGTTCATTCTCAAGACCACTTAGCCATAGTTGACGAGGCTCCGCTCGAGGTTGCCCCAACAGTAAGTTGGTGTCTCTGTCTTGTCTGTACATGATTAACGGTAGCAGAGCATCCCCAATGGCCCACCGACCTTGACGGCCTTGGACAATCCGACCTGGGAGAACCCGCCGACTGTGGCTGATTCTGATGCAGCAGTACGTCGGCGTATAATGGAAGACAATCATCGTATGCGAGCACAGCTTGATCTTGTCATGAACCGGAGCTCAATGTCACAAGACGATGCTCGTCAAGCCCTTGCGACGGCAATCGATGAGAATCAGCGCTTGACAGAGCAACTGAGGGGTAGTACATCGCCTCCCTCGAACAATAACCCTCATGTCAACTCAGTCTACACCGGAAGCACTCAGGTATGGAATCGTTCACGCAGACGTGGCTTGGCGTTGAGACCTCTTGCTAATCTCATGGCAACTCCTATACAGGAGGACCCAATTGAAGAGACCTTTGACCCTCAACGCCTGACCCTCATGGCAAGCTTGCATGGATTGGGCAGCTCCTCAAGTCCCGAGCCTACCACTCCTCGTCGTAGCAGCCGCTTTCGTCCGCTCAGAGAGAGTCAGCCGAGTCCTTCGAGACGCACCACCCTCAATGATGCTTCTAGCATGCCCGTGCCCGGAGGAGACGGCTTCTTTGACGACATTCCATCCGCACAAGACAGGAATATGCAAGTACGTCATGTCAACATCCCAATCGCGGCCTCGTCGGCTTTCACAGTACCACACAAGCGACACCCCGGCTCTTTCACCGGAAAAGAGAATGTCCACACGGCTCAAGAGCCGCTCTACAAGTCCTTGCTTCGGGTGTGGTCTTCTTCTGGTATTTCTAGTGTGCCTCACACGGTTTTCGATGTCGTCCCAGAGCTGAAGGATCACTTTCGCGAACTCACCGCCGCCGTGCTATTCAATACCGACCTCTCGCAAGATGTTATCTCTCTCGTTGAACTCTATCCGAAGCGAGTCCACGCTGTGGTTTCTGAGAGCAAGTTGATCAGCTCCGATCTCAAGGTGGCCAGCTCCAGTCTGAAGGAGGCTCAGTCCAAGATGGCCCAGATGCAAGCCAATCACGCCAGACAACTCGCCGACATGAAGGAACAGCACAGGCAAGCCATGATCGCGTGCGATGATCGCCAGAAGGCAGAAGTCATGGAGCAGACAGCAGAACTCCGCTTGAACAAACAAATCGCAGAGGACGAAAGCATGTACCGCGGCGATCTCGTAAACACGTGCATCCACATTGGCAGAACTCACAACATGCTCCTCGAGCACCTCTGCGGTCCCGTCGCTTCGCCTGCCCAGATCAACAAGCTCAAGGCCATGCTCGCAGAGGCCGGCGCGCCCCCCGCGTCCATTACCGAAGCAACGACGAATCCGTCGTTTGCACCTGCCGTCCTGGCACTCGTCTCCCTCCTCGAGCCACACGTGGCCGACAAGGCTCTCTTCAGCAGCGTCGTCGAGCGCATCGTCGACGCGGACAACGACAACATTGAGCACGCCGTCCGCGAGTCCTATGTTAAGATGCATGCAGCGCTCGTTAGGCTACATGCTGCTTGGCTCGCTGCCGAGCGTCGTGCGGAGTACAATGTCCGCATTGTGAAGAGGTATGAGGTCCGCCTCACCCAGAGCATCGTGCTGGCCGGACAGGCCTGGGAGATGGAGAGCACGGCGGAGCGCAAGGCGTTCGCAGCGTACTGGGCCGCGCAGAGCTCCGCGTAGGCGTTGCTGGCTTTTCCCTCTGGAGTTTGGCGTTCTGTGTTGTGTCGTGCCGTTTGCCGCTGCCGCTGCTGCTGCTGCTGCACTCACCCTCTTTGCTTGTTTCTTTCCTTTGTTCCTTCCTTTCCTTTTTCTTTTTTTCTTTTGTCATCACTGTCGTTACCGCTGTTCCTCCACCACCTGCTGGGGGCGCCGATGGGCGCCGGTTGCGTTGTTCTTGCTGTCCGGTCCGTCGTTGGCCGTTTCTGGTCCCCCTGCGCCTATTGCGGCGGCAGGGGGACCGTCCACTCGTTTAGTTTCGTGCTTCTTGCACATTAAAAAATATCTTAGAAAAGGGGAGATGGTTTAATTTAATGGCCATCTCCCACCAAAAATTGTGCGTCTGGTGTTGGTGATATTGGTGATGTGTGCTTGCTTGTGGTGATGATCTTGAGATTGCTAGTAGAGCAGATGGTGGATTGCAGTGATCTTGATGCTTGGGTTTTGGTGGTGGTAACGGGGCGTCAAGGTGTTTGCTCCACTGGGAGGACCTGAGGATGCTGGTGATAGTGCAGTGTAGCAGAGGTTTGCTTGATGATGAGGTCCAAAATCGCTGTTCAAAACATAACATATAGACGTCCGCTCAACATGAAGGCTTAGGATATACTACAAACAGCACGACATACCTCAGATTCACCCAAGAACAAACCCTCAGATCCATTATATCCATCACACAATATCCACACCTACCCGCCTAATAAGCCCTCCATCCTTACGTATCCAGCAGGACATATACACACACTCCCCAACACCTGACCACCCATATTCCACCTATCCAACGAAGAATATAGCCACTCTACGCCCTTAAGACACCTACATCTGCGATAGCCAACAGAATACGGCGAGACCCAATATATGTATGGCAAGAGGGCAAACGCTAAGCAGGAACGCGCATGGATAAGGCATCTTGTCTGCCTTGATGGCGTTTACGATGAAGGGTAGTTGGTATAGGGCTGGAAGGCTTGGGGCTGGGGCTGTTGCGACAGTGCAGTGGCGGAAAGGGCCGGGCAGGGAATTTGATTGGTGCAGGGCATGGAAGAAGCGGTCAATGGGCGCATATCCGGGGGGCCTTAACAGTACTCAGTACATACTGCCCACTGCCCACTGCCCATTGCCCACTAACCACTAACCACTGCCCACTGCCCACTGTCTCTGCTGCAGGGTCCTCAGCGAACTTTGCCTGAAGCAGCCAGGGCAGGCGGCAGGCGGTTTGTCGATCTGCTGCTGGCTGGATCTGATGAGCGGTGTTCGCCTCTTCACCTGTTCGCCTTGTCGCCTAATAATTGATAATCCCCAGCTGCTGCCTTTTTGTTCGCCTTATAAAATTACCCCTCCAGATCAGCGTGTGCTACTAGGTACCTAGTAGTATAATGACAAGGGATGGATGGGTTTCCAACGTCGTTCAGGTACGCAGAGTACTTGGACGAGTACTGCTCACTCTCTCTGTACATTACTAGGTACCTAATTAGTTAATTACTGGTACACCACAAGTACTCGTTGGACGCGCAAGACGGTGTAATGTTGACGCTGTGTCGTCACTCATTGTTTGCTCATCACCTTGAATACTCTCGCCCTCATCCTCTCTTCCGACCAGCGTGACCATTCTTGTCGAGTCCGGTCATCTACGGCTGGCTTAGTCGTTTCGCCTTCCGATCATGTAATTGTAATCTCTTATGGCCACTTACTTACCTACACTACAACCTACGACTCCTTCTGACTCCAATCCTCCGCTCCACACCGACAGCCACCCTTCCGGTCTGCTGCATGCACACTCTCTCTCCACCACCAAGCCTTCGTACCCATGTAATTCGTATCCGTCAAATACTCTCTCTTTTCCACTATCCTCTTCACTCCTCCTCTGTCGCTCTCTTCCCTAATGCCGTCCTACGATTACTCCCACGATCGTCTGCGTGATCCCTATACCACTCGTCCCCGCGACTACGACTCCAGTCACTACTATAAGTAAGTGAGACATCATCGCTACCATCCACAAGCTAATATTGCGTGCACCCAACAGTCCGAGACACTACGAAAACATTCCGCGCTCGTCCCCCTACAACGACCCCTCATATCTCTCGAGTGCCAGCTCCGCTTATAATCGCAGTGAACGGCGGCGATGGCCTCCATCACCGAGCGTAGACGATGAATCCGACGCTCTTGCCAAAGAGTTTGGCAATGCATCCCTGACTGATCCCCGTGACGATGTCCCTGCCCGCGGCACTCCTGATCAGAATCCAATTATTGAGGATGTCGATCCTCCATCCTTTGTTCCGGAGAACAAGGAAGACCGCTTTGTCATTGTCGGGAGAGGGTCTAATGACGATGAGCAAGATACACCTACACGCGAGCGGAGGAGGTCACGTTTTAACAGGATGCCGGCGCTGAATACTGATATCGAAGAAGCAAATCTTTACTCGAGGAGAGAGCCGAGTCCATATGCGTTCTCGAGGGACTCAGACAAACCCAGCAAGCGAGAACCAGGGGACTTCTATCTATCTCCAAAGCCAATGACACCCTCCTACTCGAGCACGCCAAGATTGGCTCCGCCTGAGGATCGGAAACCACGGCCAAAGTCGCAACGCTCATCAGCAATGACTTCAGACGCAAACAGCACATTCGAGGACTCGGATGTCGAGCTTGATGAGGAGCTCTTGAAAAATACCAGGCGACCCGCACGTTACTCCTTTGCGCCTAGCTCCAGTGATCACGCACGCGAAGATATAAGGGCTTCCTTACAAGATCTCAAGAAGGAGGCAACATCCAAGCAATCGAATGTCAGGTTCTCGGACACTCCCGGAAGTGGCACATCATCACAGGCATCTACCCCTCCTCCGAACCAAAGAGCTCAGAAAATCCACACGCAGCAGACCTCCGCCAGCTCAAAGAACAATTCTCCTAGGAACAGCTATCCGGACTCAGATAGCCATTTGAGGCCTGCGACCGCCGTACCGAGCTCGGCGCAGTTGAAGGAACCCTCGTACCCACCATCGCCACCCCGGTCACCATGGGAGAAGGAACAACCAACCTTTCCTAGGTCTAGCTCCAAACCAACTTCGCGACCTGTCTCTCCGATCCATAATAATAGTGTTCCTTCACCCCCGCGAACTCGCGATGCCGATAGATATCCTTCTACATATTCCAGCGGCGACTCGCGGGTGAGGCCAGAGCCCAGAGTCTCCTCGTCATTGCGACACGACACTCTACCACCTCCAAGTCCGGTAATCAAAGTGCAAGCAACGACTCCAGCCCGGAAATCGAAGCTACCGTATCCTGACGATGACCATGGCTCGGATGGCGTCTATATTCCAACTGTAGAAGCTCCTATACAGCGACAACGTTTGCCTGAACTTGATGTCAACAAGGCGCAGTCTTGGAAAAAATCATCTTCACGACCTTCGTCGCCAACACGACACAGCCCAAAAAATGCAACAACAAGACCAATTCTGACACATCGATACACAGATTCCACTGGCTCTGGCACGGACTCTCCGACTTCGAAACATCGACATAAGGACTCTTATGGTTCCGAATCAGACTCCGAGTCTCGTCGTAAAACAGAGCGAGTCTTACAAATGAAGTCTTGCCCGAGGCCTGGCTGGACGACACATCACGATGACTGGGTCGCTATTCAAGGCTATAGCAAATTTGCCATCTGCCGTGACTGCTACAAAAATCATATCGCCGGTACCATTTTCGATCATGACGACGAGATAAAACGGCCGCGATACCGACCTGGTGTCAAACTGCGGTGTAGCTTCGACTCGGCATGGGTCCGCATGGCATTTACCTTGACCAAGTGGCGAAGAGAAAGAGACTTGGGGCTAATCAAGGATCTCGCCGAGATCGCGGAGAAAGAAAGCGAATGCCCTAAGAATGAAAAAATTCCTGGCGTGTGGTATGGGCTAAAACACGAGGGCAAATTCGTACCAGATCTATTCATCTGTCCGTACGATATCCACCAACTCGAAGCCCTTTTTTCCACGCTCAAGGGCATGTTCACCATCATTCCCCAACCCCGCGAGCGCAGCCCACACCGCTGTACTCTTGGCCGACCCTCAAGCCCCGAGTTCACGTCCTACCTCGATGTTTTGCATGCTATCGACGAGAAGGCCGTAGCTGAGACAAAGCACCAGGGCTACTGCATGCCCAACATGAAGCCTTTGGTCGCGCTGTTCCCCAGCACCCCAGAGCGCCAGCTCACCACATCGGTCTCACAACCACCCCCACCATGCACTCGTGGGTTCTTCATAACCAACGCAAAATGGCACTACATACCCCGGCTCCCCGAATTCACAGTCTGCAGCGAGTGCTACACGAAACACATCAAGCCCTACATCGCGGAAGGCTATCTCGCCGACCGCTTCCTCGCCAAGCCCACATACCTGCCCCGCAGTCTCGACGCCAACGGCGTGTCCTGCCAGATGTATCCCAAGTCCATGCAAAAGCTCTGGGCCGACAGCGACGAATACAACGACTACGACACTCTTGCGGCGAAAGCGCGCGAGCGCAAGCGCGAAGAGGATCGATATCGCGCGCGCATCAGCACGTTGGAACGGAGAATGGACAGGGCGACTAAGAAGGCGGCTGAGGAGGGGCTTGATGGGCGCGGCCGGGATCGCAATGCGTCTGGTGGTCTGCTGGAGCAGCAGCGGATGATGCAGTATGAGATGGATCGGCTGGCGGCGGATTGGCGAAAGTATGAATGAATGATTGCATGATTGAATGATGGATTGAGTGAATGAATGAATGAGCTGAGTGGTGTGGATGATTGTGTAATTGTGTGGGTTTTTCTTGACGGTCCTACCAGAAGGAAGGCTTTCGGGGGGTTTTATGGCCTGGTCTTGGCATCTCGAAGCGCCTTGTAGGAGTTGTTATAGTAGTAGTAAGAGTAACTGTTTTGGAGACACGAAATGACGGCCGGACAGACGGACGGAACTTAGGATGGAAGGATGGACAGACGGAAGGATGGAAAATATGACACGCGCACCACGAATGACGACGAATTGCATACATACATAAGATGCATACATTATTAATCCATACACACACGAACACGAGCATCCTTTTAGAAGAGAAAATACAAGGACAAAAAGAGAGGTGGTACCAGATAACTAGATTAGTAGGTTAGCAGACCCGTGAACGGCGGACCGAAACACCCTCCAAGAAATAAAAAAGTTCTAACCTTATATATATTATATATCACAACCATTCATGTACAACTACCCAACCACCAATCCAACAACCCAGTCATGTCATAATAGAACAAACGTCTTCCTTTGTACCTGGTTCAACCTCTCGACATGAAGCGCATATCATCATGGATGGACATACTATTATACATCTATCAGATTTAGGAAAAAAACATATATATAACAAGGGATATAGTGAAACCCAAAAAGCGGTAGGTATTAATTGGTGCAAAGAACCGAAGTGCTGTTTTCTTCGGGATGCTTTTTCTTAGATGACAGCGCTCAGGGGAGGTAGCGTACATCTGGCACGCTGACACATTCTAGGATAGCTGGCGAGGCCATATCCAGATGTTGGCTTTTGTTTGACTTTGCTGTGGTACGACCTGGGCGGGTTGACTCGGGAGTTTCGGACTTGAGACTGACGTCATCTGACTACCTTCAGATGGGCGATGCGTATATTATAGTTGGGCTGAGTGGATGTAGAATTTCGAAAGATTAATTAAGTAAGCCCTGTTATTGATTATTTTGCGCAAGAGAAGGTGTTAGATTCTCTTTAATGCGCAGAAGAGCCTCATGTCGAAAAAGACACAGGTACTACTAACAGCCAAGCCCCAGGCTTCATCTGAGGAGCTGCGAGAGCACACTGCCCAGCAGACCACGGACTTTTTCAGAACGTTCCTGGACGGCAGCGAGTACGAGGGCGGCGCTGAATGAGAACGTGAGGTGCTCTTTCCATTGATTCTAGTTGTAGACGTGTCAAAATCTCAAATCTCTTGGAAGATGCTACGTATAGCTGCGATTTAAAAGGAGGGGTTTTCGGGTAGACTTACCTCACGCAGGTAACGGCGCGGAAACCACGCGCTGAGAGCACGCGGAAGGACAAAGAAGAGCAGCTCCTCTCGCCGGTTCGAGCGCTCGACGAGGATGCTCCAGCCACAGGCCATACACCCGGATAGCACACACAATCCACCGTCCCACATCTGCGGCGTCACAGTCTTGCGACTGAAGATACGAGGTCCAAGCCGCGTCCGCCCGAGACAGACGCCGTAGTAGAACAAGGAGATGAAGGCACCCAAGAACGCAGAGCTGCGCGCCGTGCCCGCGATAGCTCGTATGAACGCGCTCTTCTTGGCAGCAGAAGAGCCCAGTCGACCACTTTGAAGTTTCCGGAGCAGTATGAGGAGCTGCAAGGGGGCGTACATCTTGGCCGCGAACATCCAGCCTTGCGCAAAGCGAACGAGACCGTGGACTTCGCAGCTAGGTCCCGCGCCGGAATGGACAATCTCACACGCGACCGGGATGGTCTTAGCAGGATCGCCCTTTTCAAAGGGTAGGCCGTGGTCGACTGCCATGCTGCCCAAGAGTGAGCCTATTCCCGTCTCCTTGCCGTACACGAAGTTACCATAACGGGCTTGACGCAGCGCAAGCAGCAAACGAGGATCCAGCTCAGCCGCGGCAGAAATCCACTTGACATATGTTCTAGGCAGGGCATGCGGGGCGTAAAACCAAGCATGCATGATGGTTGCTGCAGACAGGGAGAAAAGGGTAGGTGTGGAGAAAGAGGCTATCCGGTTTGTCCTCGTAGAGTGTGGCCCACTGGCAGACCATATTGAGGTAATTACTATATCTGCAGCCCGAGTAAAAGCCAGTAGAGTAAGATCCATGGACTTTCCGGCGAGCGATCCTGGAGGACGGGATAGAATATCCACGGTCATTGCCTGGGCAGGCACAGCTGCTATGTCGCTTGGCAATTCTCTCGAGGTGACTTTTCGAAGTTCGTTGAGTGAAGCTTCGCCATTGTCCAACGGCTGTACGGCGGCGCCATGATACTCTTGCACATCATGACCAGGATGTGACGACTGGACGGGAGTACTGTTCAGAAAAATAAAGGAGACATAGGAAGACAACAATGCTGCAAGAAACCTTGCTAGACGTTGAATCAAAAGGGAAGGCTTGCCAGTGGCTGGACCACGCTTAGTCAGATATCCAAGTATGATTCGAAAAGGAGTCTGCAGTAAAGTTGACCCTCCGATCAAGGCGGCACAGAAGGCGGGGAAACGGTGGAGACCAGTGGCTGCAGACAAGATCTGCCGTAACTGCAGTATGTGTGAATCAGCGTTATTTGTTTGGTTTTCAGAAGTAGTCTCGGGATATTCGTAGCCGTAGGAGGCAAGACGTGCTTGTGGGAGCCTGCTTGGAGGGCTGGGATTGGATAGTGAAAGAAGAAGTAAGAATCACCCACTCTTGTCAGTGCCGCGGCAGCACTCGATCTCCGACGTAAGACGACAATGGAGAGACTGATCAGCGAAGGGACAGTAGAAGACAGGTACGCCAGCATGTACGCCTGAATGAAGCTGCATGCAACGAGGCATAGGAGTTAGTATGCATCAAGATGGGAAGGGATAGTAGACATTTGGGAGAAATATCCACATACGGTCTTAGTGAGTAAAGCGGACGACTGATTGATTGAGTCATTGTTGGATGTCAGAGGAGCTCAAAGGGTGCATGTATGATGCACTCTAAGCAACCCAAGATCAACAAACTGGAGCCATGAAGCGAACGACGCGCTCACAGAAGTTAGCAAAGCTCGGGAGGTTTCGGAGCAGTGCTAGTGGACAGAACGCCGAGGCACGAAAAGCGATGTGTGTGAAGAATGCTACATTTGATGGATCGAGGTGCAGCAAGCAGCAGAGATTGGATGCGTAGAGTTAAGTCAACCCGGATTGTCTCAGCGGGTGTAGATTGGAGCTGCAGGTGAGGCGACGTCAAAAAGCGACGCGAGATCGTCAGAAAGAGCAGCAAGCCGAGGCAGAAGCAGTGAGTGCGACTTGGTGGGGAGGTCGACCAGGCTGCAGTAGCGCAGGAACAGAAATAATAACGAGGATGGAGTGAAGCAACGCGAGCCGTTCGATGGAGAGGCTTAGGTCCAGTATAATTACCTCGCTGAGTCTAAGTCTCAGTCTGGGCATTTTTATTCTCTTATATTCTTCCTACAGTAACTTGGGACCAACGTTCACCTTAATTAGCCACGACGCTTGTCGTGCGTAGGAGCTACATCCTTAGAGCGGCGATTAATTACTGCACACGGGACGGGACCCAACGTCAAACTTATCTCAGCGGGCATCAGCCAACTGCACATCAGTAACGCTGTTATCGCCAATGCTTGTTTAGATAATACAACTTATGTATACACGTGTACTAAGAACTTACTCACTTGCAAGCATGGTCAGATAGGATTTACGAAGATGAAGATGATAAGAATATAGTATGTCTGTTGTTTTCATGACTATCTCCTATATCTATCTTCTATTTACCTTGGACTCACACCATATCATAGTAATTCTGATGATGAAGTAGATAGCTTGTTTTGTGAAAGACTATTCCAAAGTCTGCCATACTACCTACATACTTATGACTAGTATTCACTAGTGTGATGATGCGGCTCGACCACGTTAGAGGAGAACGATGAGACAGCTGTGGCGTTTGGCGTTTGTGCTAGTACCAACACCAGCACCGGCACCAGTCACCGACTCATCCCTTCATATTAGCTGTACAAAGAGACTTTTATTTGGTTAGTCTGTACATGCAAATAGGCACAAGTAGAAGTGTACTGCGTAGGAAAATGTCCAAATCGGTGTCGGCGAACCGCGGAGGATAAGTTACGTACTGTAGGTATAGTATCCATCCATAGCTAATTAATTACCCCACGTTTCCAGCTACTTCAGGCGCGCGTCCCCCTGCAAGAGCTCCAAAGCTCCAACCGCAAATCCGGGGTCACTTTATTTCCACACGCGGCCTTACAGTACTGTAACTAATATTCACTGTCCACTACTACTGGTATTGCTGTACGTGCACGACCAGGGCCGGGGGGGGAGGGGCCGTTCGCGCCGTTGGACAGTCAGAGACATGCTCACTATTCATTGTTCATTGTTCATTGTTCACTGCTCACGGCTCACCTACTGCTGAGCGTCGAACAGTCAGGAGAAGTTTAGCGTAGAGAAAGAACTCTTATTAATTAGTGACGGGAAGGGAGTCTGGACAGACTCCATCCAGCCAGCCAGTCGACAACTTTTACTTACAAGCCAGCGCCCATTGCATTGATTGTTCTTCTTCATCACCTCCTGCAAGAAACCGACTTCGTCCTCGCACCTCTTTCGACCCAATAATTACCTCTCACCTAACACTATTCAGCTCCTCTCTCCCCTCCTACTGCGGCTTCGGTGGACTCTCTTTACATGCATGTGACAGCCTGCGCTGAGAACCACGACACAAGATATACACATCACACATCCTACATCACATCTTCTGGCATTGGAAGCCATCTGTTTCATCTCGAGGTCACCGCTTTCTCCACATCGTCCTTCCAGCCTTCCAGGTCCCCGTGCCCCCTGACCTGGTCCACAAAACGCAGTCTGCTGCCCCACATCTACCGAATTCACCCCAACTTGCGCTGCGACCTTCAACTGCCTGCGCTGTCGTCATTCCATCTCCCACATCTCCTCTTCCTACTGCTTCCTACGACAGTTGGCACTGTACCAACAGCAACTTCCTACAATCACCACTACCGCGCATCACCCTCCGATACACATCTCAGCCACCTGTTCGCTACTGCGTGTCGTACTCCCCAACACCTCTCCATGCCATCTCCGCCGACTGCCGCTTCGATTCGTTCTTCCACCACTACCACTACCGCCATAGGAGCGCAGCAAGACAAAGACATTCCCCCAAAGGAGCTTTGAGCCACTCTATCAGGCAACATGACTTCGAATCCTCAAACTCAGACGCATCTTTCACCCCGAGATGAGAAGCCTTTTGCCTTCGGCTGTATGTTCACAACCCCGACTTTTTAAACATCTCAAGCTAACCATAAGTTCTGCCAGACATGATTGTACCCGACGGTGGCGCGAATATCCATGATGCTGCTGCTCAAGAGCGAGAATTCCAAAACGAGATTGCATCTCTTAACGATCTCTTTGCCGCAGATCCCTACGCAGGAATCGGCCCGGAGTCGTCAAATCCCTTCGCCAATCTAGCCTCTCATGATCCCAGCACTCATCAATTTACATTCACACCTCCTACCGTCCATGGAGTCGACGCTGTCTACTTTGAACCCACGACACACCTGTCTTCAATGAATGCTCCGTATATGGGCATGCACAACCCTGCATACGAGTTTGTGGGCTTCGATCCAGCCAATCCTTACACCCCGACTGGAGAAGTCACAAATTCCTTTGCAGGTCTGAACATGATGCCCGGAGCTGTATCCGCCCCGAGAAACCCAGCCGCGCCAGTCATGAGCCCTATAGACACCTCCATCAACACACAAGTGCCACTGCAGTCATCGCAACCTAATGTCTCTTCTGTCAAATCATTCAATGAGCCTGCAAGTCCGACACATGTCGGGCCAACCCAAGACAACTTCTTTCTCCCATACCCAGACGTAAACAGACGACAGCAGGGCGCCCCGTCAAAAGTCTCTTCCCTTCTAAGATTCCCACATTTCGGTTCCGACCCCGCTTTCTCGGAACGATTCACACGACCTACTGAATCTCCAAGTTTTGCCGATGCTGTCGATAAGCGTGATCGGCTCACTAGGTTTGCTCTCGTCACAGCCGCAGCCAGCGAAGAGACTACTCCCGTAACGAGTCCTAACCTACGACGCCCATCAGCTATACAAAGCATTTCGACACGCGGAGAGAGTGTTGACTCGGAGCAGTCTGCGATGCAAGATATCAGTCAGCCGAAGCGTCGACGAATAGGCTCATCATCCCAAGACACCTCTACGTCAGACGATGAAAGGGACGATATGGGGGACGGTATGAACCAACCCCAAAATCGGCGCAAGTCTTCAGCGGGAATCTCAGCATCATCACGCCGAAACTTGACAGAGGAGCAACGACGCCAGAATCATAACAAGTCTGAACAGCGTCGGCGAACCGTCATCACTGATGATCTGACCTTGGTTCGCAATGTTGTCCCGGCATTGATCAATACAACGGCCAGCAAAGCAATAGCCATCCGTGAAACTTACCAATTTCTCCACGATATTATCGAAGGAAATAATGAGCTAGAAGACATGCTCGGCACAGAAATCGCGCGCGCTGGTCCATATCCCAGCGCAGACTTTACGAGGCCGAGCCCAAGTTCAAATTTAGGGCCACCATGACCATACATGCGATACGGTCTGACGAGATTTCCCAATCGAACCTCAATGTGTACTATACCCGGCATGGCGACAGGTGTACGAACTATGAACGCAATGGAGAATCGGCTATTTGGCCACCAATTCTCCATACACGATCAAAGCAGATATTATTCTGCACTTCCTGTACGCGATTAACTGCCTCGTAACGCCGAGTCTACGACTACGTCACAAATCGCTGGGTATGCAATTCAAACAGCGACACGACAATTTCTGAAGTGAAAAAATTGCATACGTCACTGTCAAGGCTCGTCGGGAGGGGACAAATGTATAGAGTCGATGTACGTGATTCCGGAATCTCATCTGCATGATGTGCCAAGGCTCCCTCGGAACACGGCTGCGATCAAGCACATGAATCGCAGTGAGCACAATTTCGTGCCGTAATCGTCCCGATCCTCTCTCTCTCTCTCTTGGGATCGCTGCCTGCAACAACACAGTCAGGTGTTTTAATCTGAAAGGCTCCCGGCACGTAAATGACGTTGCGTAGTACCTTACTTACTCACGACACCGCTGTCATCGGGATCAGCAATTGGTATGCACCATCATCCAAAATCGCCTTACGGCCGCACACTTCAGACCCTGGCCTTGGACGGTTCTCCACGGCCTCGGATTAATGACCCGGTGCGTGCGCTGGCTTTGGCATGTGATAATTGCATCTTACCCCGGATTCCCCTATGCTGGCCTCTCAGCTTGGGCCGGAGTACTTCGGCGGCTAATCATTGGGGCCAATGGACTAGTGGGAAATGCCGATGACTGAACATTATATGAAACAATAGTGAGAGCATATAATTTTACTGGCTAGGACGACGAACGGGTGGCCTATTTTCTGTGTGCTGGATCAGTCGTTCAGATGACGTTGCTAGAGTGGAGATAATAGTCGTGGCAGTCAAAATTTATGATTCGCTCACGTGTCGAAAGTATACATAATTCCTCCAGGCCATTTGTCTATCCGCGCAAGGCACTGCATTTCTCTACCAAGTATGATGTGCGCTCGTTTCGTGTGTTCCTGGACCCTGACTACATGCAACTTCTCCTTCTACTTCTCCTACGTCGTCTCCGTCTCCGTCTCCGTCTTCCTGTTCCTTCCCATCAATGCTCTCTAAACATCCACCAGGTTCTCACTCTGCTCCTGCTCCGGCCCGTCCTTGCCCGCACTGTCCTTCGTATCCTTGTTTCCGCGCTTGCTCTTCCTATCACTGGTCCTCTGGTAGTATTGATCCAGGACCTTGGCCGGAATACGATTGAGTAGCTCCTTCGGATAAATGCGCAGGAGCGACCATGCAAGATCGAGAGACTCGGTGATGGAGCGTGACTCGTAAGCTGATTGTTGAATGAATGTGCGCTCGAATTTCTCGAGGAACTCGAGCGACAACTTATCCTCGTTGGATAAAGCTTCCTCTCCGACGACAGCCTTCATGGCTGCTGCATCTCGGCCGATGGCGTATTTGGCGTACAGCTGATTTGATACGTCACCGTGATCGTCACGCGTACGTCCCTTGCCGATGGCAGACTTCATGAGCCGCGAGAGAGAAGGAAGGACGTTGATGGGTGGGTAGATACCCTTGTTATCGAGTTGGCGGTCCACAAAGATTTGGCCCTCCGTGATGTAGCCCGTCAGGTCAGGAATAGGATGGGTAATGTCTATGAGCAGATCAGTCTGGGTGCCAAGATCAGAGACATAGATGTACTTACCGTCGTTAGGCATGGTCAAAATGGGAATCTGGGTGATAGATCCATTACGGCCTTCGACACGGCCAGCACGTTCGTATATGGTCGACAAATCCGTGTACATGTAACCTGGGAAACCTCTTCGTCCCGGCACTTCTTCACGGGCAGCGGACACCTCACGGAGAGCGTCACAGTATGATGATAAGTCGGTAAGAATGACCAAAACGTGCTTTTCTAGTTGGTAGGCATAGTATTCGGCGGTGGTAAGAGCGAGACGAGGTGTGATGATACGTTCAATTCTATGAGCACTATTAGCTGCAGCACACAAAGACTGAAATTCAGCGCTTACGTCGGATCGTTTGCCAGGTTGAGGAAGAGCGTGGTGCGCTCCATGCTGCCATTCTCTTCGAAGTCTTTCGTGAAGAATCGACTGGTTTCCAGGTTGACACCCATAGCACCAAAGACAATGGAGAAATTGTCGTCATGCCCATCATGTACACTCTTGGAGACGAGACCCGCTTGTCTGCAAATCTGAGCGGCAATTTCGTTGTGAGGAAGACCGGCGGCGGAGAAGATAGGAATCTTCTGCCCACGGGCAATGGAGTTCATCGTATCAATAGCGGAGATGCCGGTCGAGATCATTTCTTCGGGGTACACCTGTATGGTTGTCAAGCTCTGACCCTAACCATTTACATCTCATTGCTTTACTCACACGCGAATATGGGTTGATAGGGCTGCCATTAATATCCAAATAGTCCTCTGCCAGTACCTTGGGTCCCTTGTCGATTGCACGGCCGGAGCCGTCGAATATTCGACCAAGCATGTCTTCCGAGACACCAAGCTTTAGACTGTGTCCACTAAACTCGACTTTTGTCTACAAATGTCAACAGACTTCTTCGTATGATATGCAAGCACAAACCTTCTTCACATCGATGCCTGATGTGCCTTCGAAAACCTATTCATTGGGTGAGAAGCTGGCCGGCTGATTCGGTGTATGATGGTGTGTACCTGTACAACAGCCTTATCACCTGCAGACGACATCCATTAGCGATTGAATAAAGGGGAGGGGGGTTGAAAATGTGTACCTCTAGCCTCCAAAACCTGTCCCGCTCTCTCTGTGCCATCCGGAAGTGTCAAAGTAACGATCTCATTGTATTGGGGGAATTTGACCTGATCGATCACAAATCAGTATCTTACTAAGGGCTCTTTACAGTCTTCCTGGGGCTCGTACGTTCTCCAGAATGACCAATGGTCCGTTGACACCCCCGACAGTGTTGTAACGTATCCTAGGATTGACCTTCATCATCCTAGGATCGATTGTTTCGGCCGGCATGGCGGGCGGTTTGATGCTACAGTTGCTGCAGCGAGGACTAGGGAGGGTATATGGGAAGTTAAGGGCTATCGAGTGTGTGCTGGTCGTCGGAAGAGTTGTCGTCGCCCTCAGGTGTGCTTATAGCTACGCTGCGGTTGAGCAGGGACAAGCTTAGCTTAGCTTGATGATGGATGGTGGTTGAGATAAGTCACATGATTCGGCTTGAACCTCCGATCTCGAGATCCACGTTCACCTCGTCAATCATTTACGACATCCTCTCGAGCACAACCCTACTACACGATTGCATTGCTGCATCCATCTTTTCATTTCCGATTGAACCTATTGATACTAATAAGCTGCTCACGCAAGGATGTACACAGGTGATGATTGGCTCGAATCAATCAACAAAGGAAAGAGTTCTACAAACACCGTCTAGCTTCGTGGTGCACGTCATTCACACAAAACTACGCAAAACCAGGCGCTAATGCTGCATCCCAATCTCCAAATGACCATGCGCTTTTTATCTTGCCATGGTCCTGGAACTTGATGACCGCGAAATGAGTCGGCAGATAATTCACAACATAGTCCTAGAAAGGCATTCATTTGCTCCAACGGGATTCTATGCTCCCTCACGCTGGTTTCCTCTTGGTCCCGCGTTAATACTTAATTTTCAAAAATTTCAAATATCCGAGTTGTCAACAGTTCACGGGACAAGCTGTCGGCTGCCCATTATATGCTCTTAGGCACGTGGATGGCCACAAGTGAATCGCCTTCCAAGCCTTGCTTCACAAATGTACAAACAAATGCGAGGTCTAAGTGATCTCATCTAGGTAATACACTACCAGACTTATACTTCCTGCGTCGCCGACACAACTCCGGCTCAGGTGTTGAGATCGTATTTTTCCTTCACCGTCAAAGTCTTCCAGATGCTATATTCCACCTTTGCTTGTGAGCTATTCAGGAACAAGTCAAAACGGTGGTTACAATTATCATATGCTCGTCACCAAAGCGGACAAAGTCGCTCACTTCAATCTCTACCTCTGGAACCCAGCATGGCGACACTCACAATAATTGACTTGACTGGGGACTTGACGATTATGGTCGGTGCGAAGCTTGCTGCCGGCATTCCGAGCCGATTCTAAGTGTCTCGCCATACCATGTGTCTTGCTTGCCCTGTGTGGAGCAAGATGCTTATGGGAAAGCTCAGTGAAAGCTCATTGGACACTGTAGAATTCCCCCACGATGGTCCTGATGCAATGGAAATCGTTCTCCGAATCGCTCATCTCCAATTCGACAAGATCTTGGATTCCGGACTGAGTCACGTTATTTTGGCTCAGATGGCAAATCTGGTGGAGACACACGATCTGTATCATCTTATAAAAGCCTTTTCGTGCCGTTGGCTGGAATACTTCTGCGATGAAATCACAGTAAATTCCCCTTCGATCGCTTGGGTCTTTGGCGAGGAGAAAATGTTCAAAGATTGCTTCATAGATCTAGTCAAAGCCACTAATAAGCAGGATGATGAGCGAGGAATTACTGAACGCTGCATCCGGGAGCTGTCAACCCCAGCAGGCATTGGTGGTAGGTCGACGATACAAATGGCACACCTACGTACATGTACTAATTGGTACAAGATGTTATCATGAGCGTCAGGGGCAAGGCTATTGACAGAATCCTCAGCATATTCCACATAGCCATGCAAGGTATAGAGAACGATACCGCTATGCAATGCGTCGTGGAGGAATCACGCTGTTATGGTCATCGCATTAGCATGATTACAGAGCCGTTGCGAAGGCTTAAGCTGTTGCCACTGCCATCCGAAGGGGAAGAGATCAGTGTGTCAGTTAACAATGTCGAGGCTGAGCTGGCCGACACAATGCAGTATCCAGAGTCAGATGAGCAACATGAAGACTGTTATGACGACATATATCGGTAGTCGAAAGACTTTAAGAGTGTCTGGAGGATTGATCGCCTTATTGGGGCTGAGTGGCCTTACCTAGAGACCTTACGCTGAAACGCCACGAAACTTAGAGTTTAAGAGCTCAATCTGGATGCTCACAAATGAATGCGGGAACGCCAGGTACTGAAAAGGTCACAAGACATATCACTTACAGATGCTGTAAATCGGAAACTCAATATACATGGCAAGGAAAATGGGATCTTGTGAGCCATTCAAGCAATATTTTATCGATTCACTCAGAAATGCAGAACAATTGAAAAAGGAGATTACAGATTACAGCATGGCTGTGGGTGAGGAGTCCGCTCTTCCAGGGGGACTGGCAGCCTGCAATCCTACAATTTTGCATGTCTATATCTCACGATAAATTCTACTATAGCCGTTCTAATTAGCTATAATTAAACCCTCCTTGACGATACTCAGGAAGGTACCGCGAGTCTGTTCGCTTTGCTTCTATCAGACAGTTTTACAAACCTAACCAATATCATGCGTAGCGCGATTTATTTGTTTAAGTCGACATGCATTATGGTGCATCAGACTGTTAATTAGGTGTGAGACTAATGAGAGCTTGTTGTAATATGAATAAAGAGTAGCAGTGTGCTGGTAGTGCCCTTTATCTGTTAGCTCAAGGATCTCCTAAATCTCTCCCAGCTAACTACATCACTTTTGAGGCTCAACGACAGAATCTTCATTCCTAGATTGCGATTACCAACCCAGTCATTGTAGAGCACTTTGACTTTAACTCTCGAAGTTGTGGTGTGAACACTGTCACCAACGATCCCTGTGATGATTGCACTCTCATTGTCGACAGTGAGTATAAGGCACTCCCACTCAGACTTCAGTACTGTGTCTGTCGACATCTCTTGCTTGCCCGGTCATGCGTGAATGCCCACTGAGACTTTAAACAGATGTTTCGCGGAAGATTATGAACATGCCGCACAACGGACCTCATACGGGGCAAATCATTCGCAGCATTACTCAAATTTACTGTCAATCTGATCTTCGAACGTGCGTGTCAGCAGTATAGGGGTATGTTGTGCAATTCTTGTCCGCAGTTTCACACAAATCCCACAAGTAGTGTGATGGAACAATGAGTCATTATATACTGCATATCATCCAATGCTTCTCAATCTTCATTCTCTTTGCATTTTCCCTCAAGAGACACTTAGGATTCTGGATGTCTTTTATATACTTCATGTTCTAGCATGTCAGAACGCGATATAGGTAAATATTGAGATATGACTATACCTTCCATCCGATATATCTCCCCTTTTGGCTATAAATTCACAACAGTCACTTGACAGCGTGCCCACAAGAATACAAGCTACGCAAACCTGCTCTAGCTCCTATAACTTTGTGTAAAGACTTATGGCGGATGCATCATTAAAGAAAAATTCTATCACACAATGTCAAAATGTAGTATAGCATATGGATAAGCGAGAACACACCCTTGACACTATGCTATATTCAAGGCGCGATACAAATAAAAAACCCTATCACGTTCCTAACACGTCGTAGACATCGAAATCAGATCCAATGTAACCATCTGGCTCTACCTTGAATTCTTGTAGTAACTTAGAAACGATAGCTTGATGAGGTGAAATTTTGTGGAGTGTAGATCCTTCGGATGGAGTTCCTCGGCGACATGATATACTGTAATAATGGCACCAGAAGAAGTATTGTCCCACAGTGAATACATACTCCATTGTAACACTGGACATAGTCCGAAGCTGTTGCCAAGTCAGGTCTTGACTACTGCGATTATCTAGCGTTTGACGGCCATGTAATGCGTCACATTACCAGTGAGTTTGAGGAACTCAATCAATTATATGGCTCCAAATTGATAGCTTCAGACTCATTGCGTAAGCTGAGCCTCCATGCTTCATGCGAGGATTCAAAAGAAGAACTGTGCTTTCCAAGTGATTAGTAACGAGCTCGAGAACCACTTCAACTCCCACTGGTCTACCAGCCATACCTTTAGGGAGCTTCCAGGACTTACCTGGTCCAGTTCAGCTATGTTCGAGCCGAGACTTCGGCTTAAAGTGAGCTTAAGCTTCACTAATCAGCTCTCATTTTAAGCAAGCTGGATTCGTTGACGATGAAGGTGATAGGAGAGATCGCGATTCACCCGCTGGTAGGCAAACTGACTATACCATAGTATACAGATTTTGTGAGACAGCAGTAACCTGAACCTACCTCTGAGTCAGGATATAACCAGGCTCGTGTAGGCACTACGTCCGATTATGATGCTCTTAGAGCTCGACTACTACCGCCATCCATTCTTTTCAATGGAGTGTGAAAGGATTTTCTGTGAACGGTCTAGTTAATTCAGCAATATCACTGTGGGATTCGATATTGACATGGATGTATCGACTTTTCGATACATTGACAGGTTGGCCAATATACGCTAACAACGCCACTATGATTTCTTCCACCTCAGTATTTTTCACAGGTGTGAACTGATTAGGACTACTTTTGTAATCCAAATCAACGGTCGTAGTATCGCAACTCCCCAGAAGTACAAGCCGGATTTCATCTTAGTGCTTCAAAGGTCTCATCACATACGCCATCCCCTCTTTGCCAAGCTTCTGATAGTCTTCCCTGGTTCCCAAACTCTTGCTTGGGGCACTGATCGAGCAGATAAGTAAGTCTAGCTTGGCCACACAGAACTTTAAATTCTGCTCTGTCTGCTGTAACTTATTCTCCAGCTCAATCCGTTGGCGGTATGACTCCTCAAGCTGACTTATTATTGAGATGCCGTTAGCGGAACCGGAAAACATCATCGCGTAGAACTGGATCTTGACTTCCAGTTCCATCTGCTTCTGCTTATACTTTACGATAGCAGCTTCGTATGATGCTATGTCACGCTGGCTTTCTAGAGTCTGGGCTGAGGCGCTCTGAAGAGCTCGGGAAGAGCGCTCAAGTTCAGTCGACAAAAAGTTATTCTGACGAGAATGGGCAACGAGATCCTGGTTGACCACTTCGAGTTCATCTTCTGCTTCGAGCTGCTTGGAGTGCGCACACTTGAGGGCTCGATCTTTCTCATCGAGGGCTCGCTCCATCTGTCTGACAAGTGCCTCCATCTTTGCTAGTTTCTCTTCCTTCGCTACGTTCTCAGAGATCGCCTCCTCGTTAGCAACGAGTTTGAGCTTCAAGGCAACTTTCTGAGACTCGGCAAGCTCAGCTTTGACTTTCTCTAGCTCAGCTTCGCGGCTTTTTATCTTATCATCGCGTTTGGTGAGTTCACATCTAAGATTGTGAAAGAGGTTCTCGATCGGAGTCACCTCGTCGATCGCAAATTTGACGGTCTGGAAGACAGTCCCGGTATTAGCAGTGAAGTTCGAGCCGGTTGCCGAGCCAGGTGTGCTGTCTCGCTGGCCACGCTGATTAAGGTGACTATAGACAGAACCTTCCCTCTATTTAGCTCAACTTTTTATAAATAGAAAGATTCATACCCGCAGTGGACCTATCCCATTTCAGTGATTAGAGCAAGTTATGTAGTGACAAGGTTTGTGAAAATGCATACCTATCATCGTCTCCTATAAGTGTTCTCTGAGCGTCGTCACGAAAGACTACCTTCAAAAGTGTCAGTTGGTGGTTGGTACCAGGATTATATTAGTCATTGCATACTCTCCTAAGATCCTCCAGACGGTGCGGCTCCTCATAGCTAAGATCTATTAAGTTGTTTCCTGCCATGTCGAAAGTTCCTCGAAGTGAAAGGGTGACAAGAGTGAAAAGCTGGTTTGTGACGAGTAGGAAAATGACACTGATGCGTTGAGCTGCTTAGAGAGCTATCAAATTTATCCGGCAGATCGGCGGATGATAACAACGTGACAAAGAGTGTACAAGGCAGGCACCCCCCTTTTAGACGCAAGTGGCTCAACCATTGAACACGACAATGAGATTGAGAAAAGAGATCGAGGTTACATCATACCAGCATAAGATAAATAAAGAGACCTCGAACAGGGAACCCATTGCTCTAATAGCTATATGAAGTTGGAACATTCCCTGGAGAACTTTCTTTATTCGCATTTCGAGAAAGCATCTTGTCATAGACAGAGGGAAACTCCCATACAGTTACCAGACTCACTGACTAGCCGAAACAGAGCAAGATAGATGGCTACATCATTTCATCGTTGAAGCTACGAAGTTCTTCTCAGGTAGTTGATGTTCGGGCTCTCATTCATCCAAGCTAACACCATCCATTAGTGTTGCTATCTCACTTCTTATCCATAATGTTCAACTTCGAAACGCTTCAGAATTTCGACTATCTGGAACTTCTCCATTTCATGCTTACTGCGTATAAGGAAAAACACACGGGAAGCCACCAGAGCGAGATCTAAGCAATTGTTCAGGCTCATCAATCCAGAGCTTTGAGTCATGATCCGGTGTGTCAAACGATAGTAGGCAAGCCAGGAGCTTTCAACCTAGGACCATTGAGATATCTGCCAGTGGACCATTCTCTTTAGACGTTGGCTGTATATGACAAGAACCGTAGCCATCTTATTCTCTCCTCCATATAAGTGGTCTGCATTTACTAGAGCCGAATAACCGGAAGAGGTGGATCACTTGGATATATCTTCGAACAAGGCCTCGATAAGGTCTAAACTTGATTGAGAAAAGTTGAGCGATCCGGAAAACTTCCACCAGCGATTAATGTTGTACCAGATTGAAAGAGAAGCTTAGAAAAGAGACAGTTATAGGTGTTTCGCTGACAAAAATACAGAAGGGTCTTGTGGTGATGACGACGTTGGTCTCGGTACTGTTGGCACCAGTCACACGTCAGGGAACTGGAGAAGACATAACGTAGGATACCTTGGGCGAAACTTGCTCTTTATGGACGACAACATGACATGACCTTTGATGGTTTGGAGTAAAGTATATGACTGACAAGTACGATGTGTCTTATCGAGCTAACAGTTTGAGATAGCTGATCTTAGAGACTGATATAGCAATGAGAGATGGTCTAAGGAGACAGTATAGTCTCAGTGGCAATCTAATGTTCCCTTCAAATAACCTATTAGGAGCTACGAATGGCTGTGCAGTAGTCCAATAGAGCTTTTCATTTCTGAGATTTGAAAAAGTTGTTCATTGATTGACTAGCATAGCTTCTCAGCATCTTCGTGCAAGTAACTCGAAATCTCTCCATCACAAATAGCGGCTAGCTCAAATAAGAGACCTAAAAATTGGCACAGAGTATTGTAATAGCCCTGTAAATGTCGAGCAATGCAAGCAACAGAAGATCACTAATCTTCGAATTATCAGCGATCAGAAGACATCCCAAAAGAGCACATCAAGCTAACAGGCTCTGGGTCTTATTCGTCACTTTACTGGTCTAGACTTTCCTTCTTTGCTGTACTATCGTAGCTTTATATGTGCACTCTGTCGACGAATAACACAAATATGCAATATCTTCTCCATCGTACTCAATCCATCCTATTCTGGGGAAAACATCGTTGCTGTCACAGATTAGGGGGTAAGGGAAATCCATACCTACGGGTAATTAAACTAGACCGACGGCAGAGATGTTGGTCGCTAGAATTCATTGCGCCGTTTATAAATGTTGGAATGGTGTTATTCATGGGTGAGAGCTAAGAATCAGCTATAGGATACAAGATCCGAGAGCACGGGTACCAGTTTAGGTGGGCTGGTCGGACTGAAGCACTGCCCTAATGCAACATGATGAGTTAGGCCCAATCACCGCGTGAGAAAGAGAAGACAGGTCTCAAATCCTACTGACACCTTTTGGATTACCAGGGAAATTATGACTGGCAAAATGGATTCAGTATTCTTACAGGACCAACCACAGTATCGCACGCTTTGAGCGTTACGTTTCGTTCGTGGCTATCGCCTGATCATCATCATCTATGAAAACCACATCTAGTCTAGGCATCAGTCTTGATAACCCTTGTATGCTTCACGAATTCATGAAGTGAAGAATGTTTAATTCTATGTTCAACGACTTTAGTCATTTGTGTTCTTGAAGTTTCGAGCAGTTTTTGCTTGGCCTTGCCCAGGGGGTTCCCAAGTCCGTACAGTCACAACACTGTAAGATCCCTACGAGGGTGCAGAATCTGGTAAAACACCGACTGAAATCTACATGCGATTGTCTCGAGATTTTGGAAGGTTACACATGGCTCTACAAATTGGTATATAGTTCTGAGTATACATAACAAGTTTAATACCATTATGGCTACGATGTCTCTACGACAATCAAGTACGGGAAACACGCTTCATGATCACGAAACAGGTGCATTATATCACCATGCGAGGCTTTGGGAAAGAGTGAAACAAATACTTGACCATCATTCTTTGATAGAGTTATCAGAGCCAAATCTAACGAAGTAGGAAACAAACCCCGTCTCTTGCGAGACTAGAAAACCCGGTTCCTGTAAATATGAGCTAACGTTATGCCTGTGGTTCGCATTGAAGACATCATTAGATAGATCCCTTGCATAGTTTAGAGAGATATGACGTGTTAATAAAGCCTGCGCTTATGAAACAGAAAGGTCCCTGAATTTCGAACCCTTTCTAGTGCTTTAATCTTCAGTTCAATAGCTCATCTTTCTTCTTTTGCATAATACGGGTTGACTCGATCTCTCGAAGGCATTGGACCACCCAACTACCAATACTGATAGTCCTTCTACGTTCTACGCTATGATACTGACCATGATCGTGACTTAGCCGGACCGCCACGGAATTGAACTGTTGGTAGGTAGTGGAATTTCGTGCTCTTACGAGAGGACGGGAGAAAACTATGAAAAATGGCCGCAAAAACAGCCCTGGCGCACAAGCGCCTTCAAACTATCCAGGTCACTTAAGGCCAAGATTCCGCTCAGTATAGAACAAGCAGATTGACTCCAGTGGCGAATCGAGCATTGAAAGACTGTCAGCATACCGTTCGAGACGTGGTTATGGACTGTATCTAGAGCGTACTATAATTGGCTCACAACGTCCTCTAATAAACCTGGTCGTTTGCAATCCAAAAAGCTCAGCAAGCAGCCATGCCAGTAAGGTCGAAGCCTTCCATCGAGTGGCAAGACTGGAGCAGTACTACCAATTTGAAATATTCCTTGCCTTCCATACAGATTTTGATCGCATCTTCCATTTGTAATTGATAGTCATCCCCAAAGAGGTTCTGGAAAATGTGATGTTGAATTCGTTCGACTTAGGCCTAAATGTCTAGAGCGGCAATGATGCGCAGGTGGCTGCCCAAGTGGTGACACGTGTGTAGATCTCTAAATATATTTGGAGAAAATGATCTAGTGTAATTTTTGCTAAGGTTGCCAATTCATCCGGTTACGATGGATGCTGACCTCAGCCTCAGCCCTATGGCTTGGTATTCCAAGGAATTCCGCCAAAGGCGTACTATCCGACACCTTCGAACATCACCTCGAATGCGAGTTATTACCCAACAACATCCTTTAGTAATGTTAATATCTGTTCCTATGCGTAGGGCAATCCTGCAATATCAACCTCACCTCCGACCTCAGGTTCGCCACTCATACAGCACATTCCGCCCTTCGCCAGCACCACCACGACTCCCCAAAGAAGACCAGGCTCTATTCGAGAAGCTTCAAGAGCAGTCCACGGGCGCTTTCAGCACGCCCCGGACTCCTTCACCAGTCAACCAGTCACCTGCATCGCAAAATACCTCATCAGTTGCCACCGACACCTCTCAGATCAACGCCAGTGTTAACCAATCTCCACAATCCGAGCAAATATTGAACGCAACAATCAAAGCTGATGGCGAAGGCGACGAACTGCACCCAAATATGAGAAGGGGTGCACCACCAGAGTTTGAGGGTGACACAAATCCGAAGACGGGAGAGGTAGGTGGGCCGAAGAATGAACCCTTGAGATGGGGACATGGTGGAGACTGGAGCTACAATGGAAGAGTGACGGACTTCTGATGGCGAAGAAGAAATATATATTATACACATAAGCTGAGGCTTGCATAAAAATTCCATATCAAGCTACCTAAGAATTCTCGCGATCTCGAACTAGGATGATCTCCGCTGGTCAAAGCTAGGGCCGATTCGTAAACCACTTGGAAGTCCCATATACGGACATGTGATGTACTTTGCGAAGCATTTCACCTTTTACATCTAGCAAAGGTTCGAATGCTAAAGTAAGCCGAACCACACCATACACACATCCTGTCATACAAAGAACGTGCATATACATTGAAATCACTGACTTCGCAATCCACAATACGGGAACTAGGGGTGGTGTGAATATTGTTGGTGATTTGCTGGAATGGCGTCCGGCGAATGGCTCTTGTTGCTGGAGTACATGCTGTTGTGCGTTCTATAATAGAGCGAACAGGGTAACGACCCCGCTTGTTTGCCTCAGGGTTGTGAGTGTCACTTCCGCCTTTATCTACTGGGCCTTGCCCACTTGAGCTCCATGAACTTAAGTTTCAGATTTCAGCCTTCCACCTACTTTAGTAGGATTTAAGAACATGGTTTCACGCAAGAAGCAGGTGGTTATCGCCATTAATGTAGTGGTGAGTGGAGATGTTGTATCCTACGATATGAAAGCTAAGTAAACATCAGGGTCTGCTTGCAACGACGGCGCTCGTAGCATACGCGCTTTACGAAATCAATGCTCGCTCGTTACCCATTCCTACTGTACTCGGAGCCATCACATTGGCTCTTCCAGTGTTCAGTGGTCTGTCCGTCGAGACGGTACGTGCAACCAACAGACGCCGACGAAGACTCCTGGGGAGCAGGCAGGCATCACCCTTCATCTCGAATCTTGTCCCATTATTCTGCTTAACAATTATTGAAGCGGTCCTTGCTACCCTCGCGGGCACCCATATTGCGCCATCTGGCGACTTGCGGTGTGGTATGGAAAGACGCTGGCAGGACATGTTCCATCGCAAAGATGGGAACCATATCAGAGCCATCCAAGATGCCTTCCAATGCTGTGGTCTTGCCAGCTCGCATGATATGGCATGGCCATTCCCGGACAAGCAGCATACGGCCCGCTCCTGCGAAGAGACGTTTGGAAGGACCAAAGGCTGCATGGGTGACTGGCGGAAGGATGAGCAGCAGATTGCAGCCATACTGTTGATTGTACCAATCATCGTATTCTTGTGGCAGGTGAGTATGAGGAGTGGCGAGAAAAAGAACGTGTCCTGAAATAGTTTAGATGATGGTCGTTACGGCGCCCCTGGAGCAGCACTCGTGGCTCGGACGTATTCTCCCACGCCAGCTCCAGGCGACTTCGTCAAGTGGAGAAAACGGTAATGTCCAACGTGCCCTCGAGTATCCGACCAGCCGAGAGCGCTATACCGATGATCCAGAAGACGCTAGTAATATTGAAAGTGCTCCTGAGTTACAAGAGACACTCGAAAGATTGACATCAGCTGCAAGTCAAGAGGCTGAAGCTGAACACACGAGAAGCCACTCCCGTGAACCTACACACGAGCAAAGAGACACTCCAAACGAACAGTCAGAACATAATGTCTGGAGCAGATCTTGATCATTGTGGACTGGCCCTTGACTTGAAGTCTTCCACCCTTATTGGGGAATATTCATGATACTGGATTTATTGGCGCGTAGGCTCCTCTTCACTCTTTTCATGTTTTGACGTGGTCTTGCTTTCTGAAGATGTTTGGGAATTGGCAGCTTTCCACCGACGACGGAGCCATTCATAGTCCTTCTAGTTGCAATATACTTCCCTAATGGACTGAAAACTTCAATTTCAGGAAACGGTGAGGCTGGAGCTTGTGACGAATGATCGAGCGTATTCTCGCCGTCGAGTGGGTTATCAGATGGGAGAGCATCAATTTTGGCGTCTATGATAGGCCCTGAATCATCAATAGACGTCTCCCTGGGTTGACTACGGATCTCTTGTGTCTCCTCCAAGTGTCGTTTTCGTACTTGACAGGTGACCTCTACCCATCCAATACCTTCTACCACGATATCGGTGGAGTATACAATGAAAGGCAGTTGATGGATTTTGACTCTGCCCGCATCTCTTGCCGTAAGTGTACCGGTCTGCTTGCTCGTTACATCCCATGTCAAAGGAAACGTCCCTGCCGACCGCATAGCCTCACCAGCCGACTCTGTCGTGATGGTTGGTACTTTCAGTGTGCTACGTCTCTCGTGGAGCTGGATGGCTTTTTCGGTAGATGTGAGATGTGGCTCCAATGTAAGAAAAGGGTGTGCAATGAAGACAAGGTCTGGGTTCTTGGGCGTGATGCGGATAAGCCCGCCAAGAACTAGTGACTGTCCTGGCTTGATAACAATCTTCTCTGGAATTTGTCTGGTTGTCATAATTATACCAGACCTGTGTTCAGGTTCGATGTATGTGTCGATATCTGATCTCAGCAGGCCAGGAAGATCGATAAGCTCGCCTTTACCGCCGCCAAATGGTATCCTAATTGGAGCTGCTGTTGTGCCCGGCAAACTCGATGCCATGGGCATAATTGGATATTGAGTTTCAATTTGGGGCGGCGGCAATAGTGAATCAGGGTCGAAAAAAGAAGTCGCGGAAAAAGGATCGACAGCCGGCTCGTCCGTGTTACTAATTTCAGAGACTAACGAACTCCCAGGAACAGAAGAATCAGAGCATGTCTCGAGCATATTTTCGGATATTTGTCGTTCGCCATGAGCATCTTGGCCATCCTCCGAACTCGACTTACCGAACGTGCTGAGATCAGGAGCAGCTAAGTCTGCAGCTACTGACGTATCAGAGTGGTTTTTAGACCCATTCATCGTTATTTGCAGTTGTGCTTCACGTCGAACTTTGTCCATGGCCACGTGAGAGCCTGTGCTTCTTCCTTTTGGATATACCACTTGGAACAGTTTGCTCTTGCCTACGTTGGCCTTACCGACCATCCACCCTGCCCCCCCTCGATCCCATATTTCTTCTTTTACTTCTGGTGTCCACCAGCCTCTTGAAGCGCTAACAAGACGTACATTACCAAGGCGGGCGTTCTTTGCTGTCCTTCCTAGTGCAGTTCGCAGTACCTCAAGAGCCCATGGCATCAAACGGTCGACATCCTCTTTTTTGGCAGCGAGCAAATCAGCTCTTGTAATTATGAAGCTGACCTCAGCCACTCTCCCGTGGCGAAATGTGCGGTCTTTTGACCTGCGATTCTGAGAGCGGAGAGGCGAGAGATCCAAGGTGTGTTGGAGGTTCGGTATTAGCGACATAGGGAAGTCTGCCGCATCCACGATATGGTATATATGATTGTATTTGTGAGGTGAGGTAGCGATAATCTCCTCTATGGACTCGATGGACGGGTGATATATAGACTCCCCGCTGTTGTGGTGCGTAAGATGATGGCATCTGTCGCAGACAGGTATGCCTTGTGCTTGTGTGAGGCTTTTTAGTCTTTTCTGTACGTCTGAGGAATCTTAGTAACTTTGTTTCATGTGCAGTTGGTCAGAAGAGAGGATACCGTCATTCTTGGACAGTGCTGCCAATTCCCCAACTACATTTTGGTTGGCCTGCTTCAAGGCCGCTTCAAATATATCGTCTTCGCGTGCCCGTTTCTCGGAAAAGGGCTTCTTTTTTTCTGGGTTCGTACCATATAGGTATTGTTTCAGCCTATGGCGTCTTGTGTTGTAGAAGCCAGCCGCTTTGGAATCAGTAGCTTGGGTCGGCGCACCGCATCCGGGACAAAACACAGGCAATTGACGAATGGGCTTGTAAAAGCCTAAGTCGGGCCTCCCTGTTATATCAATATCGCTCAGATCTAGATTTTCGGAAGTTTGAGCTCCAGTGCTTCTGTAGCGGAGGTCCTGAGTTCGCCGCAAGGTTCGCGTAGTAAGGGTCGAGGGCCTGAGGACCGGGTACGGTAAGATTGAAATGGTACGCGCCAACTGAGTAACATTTTGTGCTATCAGCCGCCTGGGGTGGTTGCATAGAGTCTGCATTAAGAAAGTTGCGATGTAACCAGACAGTTTCGCAACTTTTTTTGCTCACAGTAGCTCTATACGACAGATGGATCCGGACTTTTGACCGGCCCGAAAAAGTATCAAGCTCCCTAAGGTTTCCGGCGATGGGCTCCAGCCGGCGCGCTCCTTGTCACCTATTGTACGCATCATAACAGCGGCAATCTGCACTCCTTTTCCTTGTCCCATTACGTCAATCATCCTGTTCCTTTCAAACTTCAATTGAATCATCTCCATATCTAGAGTCATGTTGCCTTCTACAAGATCCGCTCTTAGCCAGGTGCCTCGGCAGTTTCGCAATGGTGGAATTTCAGTTCGAGCTGCTTCAGCATGGGCTCAAGTCCCACAAGGACCTCCAGTAAGTAAATCCGTACCGCGCCCAAGATCTTTAACTGACAATACTGTAGGATGTAAGTCACTCTAACTCTTTTGATTGATACATCAAGTACTTATTGGCTTTTTTTGTTTAGGCCATTCTCGGTATGTGGTTAAACAGTCCTCTTCACAGCATGAGCTAATTTGGACAGGTATTACTGAGGCTTTTAAAGCAGATAGCCACCCTAAGAAGATCAATCTAGGTATGTGAGTCGTCTCCGTCCATACCATCTAGCTACTAATGAAGGTTAATTTAGGTGTTGGCGCATACCGTGATGATAAAGGCAAGCCCTATGTTCTTCCTTCCGTTCGCTCTGCAGAGAAGAAACTCGTCGAGTCAGAGCTTGACAAAGAATATGCTGGCATTACCGGTGTACCGACTTTCACCAAGGCTGCAGCTGTTCTTGCGTACGGTGAAGACTCTGCGCCCATAAAAGAAGATAGGCTCGTGATCACACAGTCGATCTCTGGCACGGGAGCATTAAGAATCGGAGGTGCATTCCTCGAAAGATTCTACCCCGGCTCTAAGACGATTTACATCCCCAACCCAAGTTGGGCAAATCACAATGCTGTTTTCAAAGATTCTGGCCTGACCGTTGAGAAATTCCGCTACTACAACAAGGACACCATTGGACTAGATCTCGAGGGCATGGTCGCGGACATCAAAGCTATGCCAAAGGGAAGTATCGTCATGCTTCATGCATGTGCGCACAATCCCACTGGGGTCGACCCGACCCAGCAGCAATGGGCTCAAATTTGCGATGCTGTGAAGGAAGGCGGCCATTATCCTTTCTTCGATATGGCCTACCAAGGCTTTGCTAGTGGTGACGCCGGTAAGGATGCTTTCGCTCTTCGACACTTCATCAAGGAGGGTCTCCGACCTTGCCTTGCTCAAAGTTTTGCCAAAAACATGGTACGTTTCGTACATTTGACACTGCACACTGGTCACTAAATTACAGCTTTAGGGGCTCTACGGCGAGCGTGTCGGTGCCTTTTCCATAGTTTGCGAGTCTGTAGAGGAGAGAAAGAGAGTGGACTCGCAACTCAAGATTCTTGTTCGCCCTCTCTACTCCAACCCACCTGTCCATGGAGCTCGCATCGCATCGGCGATTCTTAATGACCCTACCTTGAAAAAGCAATGGTTTGGTGAGGTCAAGGGTATGGCTGACCGCATAATCAAAATGCGTGCTCTGCTCAAGGAGAACTTGGAGAAGCTGGGTAGCAAGCATGATTGGAGTCACATCACGTCCCAGATTGGCATGTTTGCGTACACTGGCCTCAAGCCTGAGCAAATGGATAAGCTCGCTAAGGAGGTACGATATTCAACTTTGGTGCTAACGCGAATGCTAACGCAATCAGCACTCTGTGTATGCGACCAAGGATGGCCGCATTTCAGTCGCCGGAATAACGTCCGAAAATGTTCAGCGCCTGGCCGAATCTATACACGCCGTTACTGGTTAGGCATGCCCAGTCTCACTTCCATTCTTACTTGTCATTATGTCACGTGTACCTTTACTGGCATATGGAATGAGAAAACGTATGTAGGATACCATAGAGTTGATAATTCAGCACATCATGTCTTGTTCGAAAGCAATGCAACGGTCTACCAGAGATCACTCTGTTAAAAAGTACTCCGAGCCGATTGCAGGTCAGACCTGGACTGGAAGTGCAGCACAATAATTGAAGGTGGAAACTGATTGCTGATTTCTTCGACCAGTGGCGGCAGCCATAGCTGCCCCAATCGGACTTTGCAAATACCAAAGAGCATTTGTCTTCGCTGTGAGTGACAGGGCCTGAGCAATTTATCGTTTCGGCGCACCCATCTACCTGATGCTGCCGCGTTGCAGTGATACTCGAGATCTGGCCGTGATGAAACAAGCTGTCCAACAAGACTCGTGCACAACGCGACAGCGGACACCTTAACCAGACGTGCGGGCTACAGCAGTCCTCCCCACAGATCAAAAAGTAGATGTGACGTAGGTGCGGTGTGTCGCAAAGGGCTGACCAGGATCAGGCTGTATAACGCATGTCTAGTGGACGGGTTTCGGCAAAATGCAACATTGCGTGCATTCAATATAAGACGCGACGAGTTCGTTTGTTCTAGACCTCTTTAGCGCACGCCTACCATCCGTGTTCTCGGGAGACCGCCGAATGGAGGGTGTGAGGCTTGCGCCGTAATTAATTATTTGTTATTAAACGTATACGGAGATACCGCTCCAATCCTGCCAGCCTGCACATACTGTTTACCTTGTTACATGACATACGTGTCTTGGATTCTGCAGCACAGCCTAACAGGTTGCTCAAGCACAGCAGTCTGTATGATAAAAACAGTTGATACATGGCCCAAATTCTCAAAGGGCGCCATGAACGACCGTACTAGCGGGTTGTAGCAACCTTCTGTGCGGCCAAAGAGTCTGTCTAAATCCATTGGAGCATAGAGACCCTAAAGTATCTTTGTTAACATCCTAAGCAACGAGCTTAAGTGAGGTGTGCTGGGTGATCTTGCGGAAGTACAAATGAATGTCGACAGACTACTCACTTGGGAACGCTTGAAAACCTAGACAACACGTGTCGGCCCGACCCTCGAGTGATCGAGTGAACATAAACCTCGTCATAGTTAGGGGACACGACTCACACCCTACCTAAGGCAGTGCTACCTGGGCGTACTATCACAGACACATCCATGTTACATACAGTTTGGGGGCCCACTGGGCAATAACGAGAGGCCGTCTCGTGTCGGCTCGTCTGACCAGTTCTAGCGGATGATGCGAAGCCTGAAGCGACACAAAAACTTATTCTACAATCACTACATGCATAGGTTTGTAGCAGCCTCATCCAGGATATACCACTCTGCCCAAACCTTTGTCGTGCTTGCAAAGGAGCCGAAAAAGCGCTATCAAGTCTGACATTCAGCCACCAGCCAAGTCCCCTCCCCCAGGCATCAGCGAAGCTCTACGGTAGGAGGTGGAAGAACCCCGCCAAAGGCCAGGCAAGCTCCCACGACGCCGCCATCAATCGGCAGCCAGAAAGCACTAATTACTCCAGCTACTTCCATCACTACTCACTTGCTACTACCTACCTACCACCTGCCCCGCACGTGTAAGACAGCGAGATTGGAAGGCGTAAGTTACGCACGGCGGACATCCAGAATCATGGCTCCCGAAGAATTGCACGTTGTTCGTACCTCTCTCTATCCTCTCTCTGTCTCTCACCACTATCTATCCTCTTCCTCTGATCCTCTCTACTTCCACATTAAGGCACAGCATTCCCTCACTCCCAAGCTCGCCATTGCTAACCCTCTCTCCTAACTATGAAGTCACTGAAGGAGGCAACCCTCATCAAAAAGGCTGGCGATGCGCTCGACTATGCGACTTTCGAGCAAATCTTACAAATGGACGATGACGAGGATGAGAGGGAATTTAGCCGCGAGATTGTCTTTGATTTCTTCCAGCAAGCCGAAAGCACATTCAAGAATATGGATACAGCCCTGTGAGTTTCCTAGGCCGAAGCGGCCAGCTCCGAATGATGCGTGTGTAGGGCTCGTGCTGACTTTAGACCAGCGGCGAGCGCGACTTGGAAGAACTCTCGTCTCTCGGCCACTTCCTCAAAGGTTCATCGGCGACTCTAGGTCTGACCAAAGTCAAAGACAGCTGCGAGAAAATCCAGCACATTGGTTCCCGCAAGGACGAGACTGGATCGCACGACGAATTGGACGACGATAAGAGCCTAGAAAAACTAGATGGCATCATCAAGCAGACCAAGAAAGATTTCGAGGTTATTGAGAAGCTCATGAGGGAGTTTTACGAAGCATGAGTGATACCCCTTCTCTTCTCCGACGTTGTGAGACGACTCACACGGCGTGACGGATGACGTGACATGACAAGGCATCTTTGGGAAAAAAGGCGTGGCACTTTGGAGCGGAATTCTTATTCCCTACATAAATGGGATAGGAGACTCAGTCGCTCTATTGGCGATGCCTGTGCAAAACTTTGGACTTTTTACCTATACCTCGTCACCAGCGCAGTGCATATCATCGACTGCTGTTCCGGCGACACATCTGTGGTACCTGCATAGTACAATTCGAAAGGCCCTACGCTTACTAATAGGACTCTCAACTTACAAACCATGAGCGCGTTCGCATGTGATCCTCCGAATCCTAACAATGCTTCAAATTCGCATTGCATTAAAGCTGCGCGCAACTTCATTAAATCCAGCCAGGCGACACTGATCGCGATGACGTGCTCATGCACTCGAACTTAACCATGATGAACGGTACGTCACAAGTGCGCAGAAGGGAGTATAGCCTGGCTTTTGATACATCAATCTTGCAAGAGGTCTGGACTGCAGATGTACTCTTTGCTATGATCGACACTGTAAACCACCTATCGCTACGTCAATATTAACAGAGCATCGTCCATGATCCGCACGCTTATTTTGCCGGCCTATCGTCAATTCGAAGATGATGTTAACACAACGACGAGAATGGAACAACATCACTGCTCTTACGACCTTCGTACGAGATCGAAGCACATTTGGACTATTTCCATAGCCTAATTACCCGGGGACTGGACCAAGGTAAGTGTGAGGGTAAGCTCAATGGATCAGCTGTGAATTCTAGGCCCATAATGCCCTCTTTAGTACTACTTGTGTGCGCTTATGAGAAAAGGCGGAGTTGTATGTCTAAGAATGGTCACATCGATACTTGGTCCTGAGCGAAAGCGTACCTAGTACTTGCACAAAGCATCGGCGCGAAAAGATTGTACTTTAAAGGTGATGTTGTGGGAGACGTCGAAATCATGATGATCAAGGGCCCAGGTTATCGTCGAACAGGGAGACCAGCAGTGTGGGTTTTCAGTGAATAGAGAGAAGGGAAGAGATGTGCTAAAAGATTAGCATGTATATATGGTCTACCTGCTGCGTGTCTTATTACAAGCGAAAATGGAGCCAGGAGTGAGGGGGTAAATGACGCTGAGAATCCTTTCATGTTACAATTACTCATCTAGGACCGTTGAATGCTGGAATTGTATGCCTCTCGGCCCTTGAGTGCATCTAAAACAGGGTATATAAAACTCCGATCGCCGTGCTCCTCGTTGTGGACATCACGCAGGTACGTCGTCCGCCTTGTCTAGAAACGGCTTCATCTCGTCCTCGCAATTCCTTTCACCTTTGTCACATCCCATAAAGTTTGCAACAAAATCTCCTTCCTTATACAAACCTTCCTCATTCTTTCCCGATGAATCCCTCGTGAACGAGTTGAACGTCCGCTGCGGCACCAGGACCAGTTTCGCAAGCACGGTACCATGCCACCTGTCCCATTTGTTAGCAAACAAGCCCCTTTTGCCATGTTGCATAGTGGCAGCCAGAAACTCACTGCACCAAATGCTCCAGCGCGTGCGCATCCGCCTTCTGGAAATTGTACGACCGATACAACGGATCCATCCAACTGTCCAGAAAGAACTTCGCCCAGTCCCCGCTCCGCAGTATAAAACTATCTTGCCGCAAGCCCTCTGCGTCTTGTGCTATGATCAGATTTGCATCGTCGGCGCGCAGGTGCGAGAAAGACTTGATGACGCTGTCGGGTGGTACAACAGGCACGTCGCGGATCATGAGGGGTTCGAGGACCGAGGGAGAGGTGATGCGGGCATGTAGCGAGAGAGAGGTATTCATGATCAGGCTATGAGCGTCGAGGTACCAGAAGAACGTGCTGTGAGGGAAGGAGGTGAGGGCATGGCGCATGGCAGGGATCTTGGACCATGCGTTTGTGTGTTTGCCTAGGTCGTAAGTTGTGGATAAGGCAAAGAAAGTCTCATAGCCTGGTGCTGTGTCAGTCATGGCAAATGTCTCCTCCTCCCCCCTGGGAACACTTACCATGTTTCTTGGCATAGGATATCCTGTTCCGCTTGATCTGCTCTGTGTGAACTGCATCTGCGCTCGGGTCGAACACAGTGACTATGACCGCGGGTGGCGTGCCAGGTGGGATGCGCTCTTCGCTCTCGCTGGAGAAGCTGGCTATGAAGTATACGAAGGCGATGATGCCAAGGCCTATTATTGCGAATTTGCGAATTTGGCTACGGCGGAGGTATTGAGACAGTGGGTAGCGAGTCGAACGTGCGGCGTAGGGTGGAGGATTTGAGGTTTTGCGTGGTGGGAATGCGAAGTGCATTGTAGTGTGCAGTTTCGTAAAAAAGAGTCGTGAGGGCCGTTCTACGTCGGGGTGGAGAGACACTGAAGTTGTATAGCTAGCTGATTGCGGTACTCACCGCGCCATGCGGATAAGTGGATGAGACGAGATTTACTGGCTGAGTATTCCCCAAGAGAAGAGTGGTACTTGGTACTGTGTTGGTCTTGTTGGAGATTTGCTTAATTGTTTCGTAAAGCAACATCTTCTGATAAGCACCCAGTAGTATCAAAAGCAGATTAAATTGGATATCCGCTTGTTGGCCTAAGGCCAAAAGCTTGGCGACCCGTCCTCAAGGGCTTGTGCCTTCACATGAAGGTACATCTCGCGCCGTATACATCTCGCGCCGTATCGAGATGAGAGATACGCAGTTTCATCCGTACAAGATCAACTTACTTCATAGCGCCCGATAAAGCATATGTTACTTTGCATGAAGGATACCTCCTGAATCTGAGACAATTGCTAGATCCCGTCTCTATATATACATGACTGGTAGTATCAAATAATGATGTGTCTCAGCGGTAAGACGCTGACCTCATAGGTAGTATGACGTGCACTTGCTGTTATCAAGAGATAGATAAATATCTGTGTTAGTCTATAGGACTATTGTCTTTGAAGTCTAGAATCAGTGCCATTAGCACATCAATTCCTGCTCCGTGTAAAGCCTCGATATTGTCAATTCTCCCCAATCCCCAAACATCCATCGAATGCAATACCAATAATGTTAGAGTCAATGATCCAGCTCAAGTACTGTTCCGACTCCTATCCAAGTGGTAAGCAAGGCTCAAGGTCTTTCGCGGCGAAAGTCTGCGATGAAACGCTTGGGACAGACTTCGAATTAAACAAATGAGATCATGCCCGGACATGTGGATGGGTAAATACATATTCCGAGCTTCCTCCTCCATATGTGTTCTCAAATAGAGAAAACCTCCGAGACATCTTCGACAAAAACTTAGGCCAACTTACCGGTCAAAAGGCTGTCAAGAACCTCGGACACTCCAAGCTTCCATGCCTACCTAAAGTGTATCGAATCGCTCAAGCCCTGCCTTTAGAACTCCCCACTGAACTTCATCGCAATGACCCCATATCCTCTACTGGCCTGAATCACACCCCAGGAATCTCCCTGGCCTTTGGCCATTCTGAAGCACTCTTTGCTTAAGATCGCTTGTCGATGTTGGGACTGTCCTCAAGCTTGACCCACGAAAACAATTTTTCTTACAGCATCATCCTTCACAAAGATTCCGGAACGTGCCGTCCAGTCAATGCTATTCAGTCAATGCTGTCAGGTCAACCCTCGAAACATCCGTTGAGACCATCAGAGATATACCATCCGCTCAACTCCAGCTCCACTGATTCTCCTTCGGTGCAAATACCCGCATTCACGACCTCCTTTCTGCCCTTAAGTCACAATACGAAGACACAAGTCCAGGCACCCTCGTGGCGCTCCTCATCATGAGTTATTTGAATTCCGCCGCGGATAAGAGCAGGGAGCATCGATATCCCAGCCGACGGCATTCACGCGTACCTATATGGCTACATCATTATGTGTATAGCACGCAGTAATAACGTACTTCAGACAATATTCTGCCCTGCTGCCGAGCGTGATCATATCGATACATTCATGCCTATACCAACTGTCCATTCGCACACACCTAAATAGTGTATCCTTAAGAAAAACAAGCCCTAGAAGAGAGCGAAGGAAGTCTTCACAAGTGTATAAACACCTCCGATGAAACTAATTGACGTTGTGCTTGCCGAGGGGGGAGATTGACGAGTGGGAGGCTGTGACAGGGCCGAGTGCCGTGATTATAGCCGGTGGTAGGGTATATGATGTTGGCGAAGGGCACAGCTGTCTCGTAGGACATGGAATTACAATTAGATTTCAGATAAGTACTGATGTAGAGGCGTTCGTGTCGTACGTAGAGTAGCTGGAGAGAATGACCATTATCCCCCTATACGCATATCTGCAGTATATGAATGGTTGACTTCAGCCCGGCAATATCTATAATTTATTCGACACCTCCGTGTCACCAATGCCCCTTCTCCTTTCGCACTCGCTCACGCACTTGTTCCTACCTCTCTAGCCTCGCAATTTCTCCCTCGATTGCTCGTTCCTCCCTCTTAAGCTCCGCCCACCGCTTAGCCAAGTCACGCATGCCCCTTTCGCTCTCGTACCCTCTCAGTAGCCTTTCCGCGCCCGTCCTCTTCGCCAGGAATGCACTCTTATTGTCCTCCACCCTCTTTGCATATAGCCCTAATGCCTCGGCCAAAGCCTCATCTCCACCCCCTACCGTTCGAGGATGCGCCGCGATGGACAATTTGAGTGCTAAGCCTTGCGTCACAGTGGCGAGATGTTCAGCATGGGCCCGTGTGTGTCGAGAGAGTGTGCCGTGCAAGGTGCGATCGGTCAGGGTGAGAAGGGTTGTGACAAGGTTGCGGTGGGCTGTGAGAAGATCCGTAAGTAGATTAGTGAGGTCATAAAAAGATGTCGTCAAATTATTATTGAGGTTTATGTGCGTGGTTTTGAGACTTGAGATATGCGAGGGCAGTCGGGAAATTAGCTGGGGTAGAACGTTTGATGGCTCGAAAGGATGTGCGATGCGAGTTAGATGAGTTGCGGAAGTAGTGAAGAGGGTAGAGAGCGAGGATGTGACCACATCGATGTTGTCCTGTAGCTAAGGATTCAGCGGGTGACAAGGGCATCAGCAGGAGCAGACGGACGAGGAAGTATTCGATGTCCTCACTAAGGATCTCGTGATCTTCGTCAGGGATGACGCCGAGGAGCTGTGCGCAGACGATCTGGACGACTTCACGGAGCTGGTACTGGTCAGTTTGTTAACGTGCGAGTGAACACTTTAAATCCGCACGTCTGCAGGTAGATCTGCTGTATTCAACGAGGTTTCATAGAGACCGTCCATCAATATGGATCGCTCTGCTGCTTCGACGCGTGCTTTGGAGAGTTGCTGAAAGGAGTCAGCCTGGTGCCTCCAAGCTGGTGCCATATACAGCTGCACACATTACTTAAACCCTCTTGTATGCGTTGCTTCTTAAGGTCTTTGGTTGTGCAATCTGTATTCAATTTGTTCGTCGTGAGATCTTTGTATAGAGCCTTGAACTTTGGATTTTGATCGAGCAGTGCAAGATTCACCGGAGGAAGCATTGTTGCTATAGCTTTTGCGAAAGCACTACACTAAACTTTGAGGGTGAATAACAACATTTCAGTATCAACACTGCTAGCTCTTAGTCTTTTAAGGAGCAGGTGCATTTGCGGGGCGGTATTGGATCTATTCTAGACACTTAATATCATATTTCTTCGAGAGAGCCCTAGAGCTCTACAGAGCTAAGTACCGAAGGTGATATATCTGTGAGACAAACAAAGCCAAAATCAGTCCTTGCAAACGGTTATTATACGGAGCGGTCTCTGTCAAGATTCCGAACTTGAGGTCACCATCCCCATCCCACATTCATTATCGTTCATGGTCTACACCATAATCTTCACTCGCAAATCCTCACCTCTCTTCTCCGAATACCATCAGAATGGCAGAGCCGATCCCCGCCGACGAAACTCCAAACCAAAAGCAAGCCCGTCTCCGCCGTGAGCGCCGCAATGCAAAAATCCAAGCCGGAGGTAGCGCACGGCTGGCCGCCATCACTTCTATGAGCGGCCGTCCAGCTCCTGCACCAGATGACGGTACTTAGTCTCTGCCCACCTCCAATATCAGGCTCAATAGAAGCCGTGCTGAACGATGTCTAAATAGCCCCGGCCGCCTCTACAACTCCCTCCAAGTCCACACAAGTCCTCCAGCACAGTATTTCGCACGATGACGATCCGGACGAAGTCGACATTTCGCAGCACCACTACATACCACGCACTACATCACGCCCACTCACTCCTTCTGGCCGCTCCAGCCCGTTTACCGGTTCGGTGAATGCACCTGGAGCTCAAGACGACCCTCAAATGCGTATGCTGCAGCAAATGCTCGGCGGCTTCGACCCAAATGCCGCTGGTGGCGCAGGTGCTGGAGGTGATCCCCTCGCTGGTCTCCCACCGGGCATGCAGCAGATGATGGCCGCTATGACCGGTGGCACGGGCATGGGAGGTCCACAGGAGACTGCGCCAGTACCGACGACAACTTATGTATGGCGAATTGTACATGCCGTGTTTGCACTAGGTCTTGCTGTGTACATTGCAAGTCAGACGGCGTTCACGGGGGCGAAGAGTGCTAGACGATCAGCACAGAATGACGGCGGGTTTGGTCTAGATGATTTCGAGCTAGTGAATGATGTTGGGAAGAGATTGTTCTGGCTGTTCGCCACGGCGGAGGTCGTGTTGCAGAGTAGTCGCTACTTCCTGGAAAGGGGTGCATTGCCACAGAGTGGGATTTTCGGGATGCTGAGCAGTGTGTTGCCAGAGCCATTCAGTGGATATGTGAGGGTCGTTGGACGTTACAGCGTAATCTACACGACTGTCGTCGCGGATGCCATGGTGGTGGTATTTGTACTGGGCTGCGTTGCATGGTGGAGAGGAGGTATAGCATAGACATGTCGCATCCCATAGCTTCTACACGCTGCCCGGTATTCCAATGATGATGATACAATTATATTACATTCTTCCTATCACATACATCACATACTCTTTAACGGCTGGGAATTTTCCTCAAAGTTCGGGGTAAGCTTGTACTCCTCGCCTATATCCCCCCCAATATACTCGTCTCTATTATGAATAAATTCCCGGGCCTTCTCTTTCTGCCATTGACTTTGCATTCGTTTTACCTCCGGTTCCTCAGCTGCCTCTAATTCATGCTCTAACGGCTCTACCTCCACCGCATCTGTCGCCTCTCTCAGCTTCTCCCAGATTTTATCTTCATGCATCCCCTTGATGTCCATTTGCACACGCACATGATCTGCTGCCTGACTGCCAATATACGTGAAGTCTATTGGTAGATTCTTGGGCGGCTTATTGAAGACAAGCTCGAGGATGGGGGATGTATTTGGATCGACGGTTTTGGAGATGCGAATGGGAATAGCGGGATTGCGGTATTTAATGCGTGGGAGGATGACTTTCCAAAACTTCCTGTGAGAACAAGTGTGTGATTAGGGGTGTCTTTCTGTGCGAGCTTGAAGACGGGTGAGCTTTGGAATGGAGAGACACTTACTTGGCGCCGATGTGGCCCTGTTGGCCTGAGTAACTAAATCTCAGATATACCATTTGTAGTTCGGGTGGTATGATTGCTGCGCCATTGCCGATTCGTATGGCCAGAAGCTAGACGGGTGATTAGGCCTGGGAATGCGGAACTGGTCGCAGGAAATGAATATGAATACCTTCTGCACCATAGTCAGTATAGGAAAAGTGTGCTTCTCACCCTACTTACGCCTTTCAGCTTTGCCATACGCTTCGATATACTGACCATCCTCAAAGTCTTGTTGGTCATGAAGATTGGCGGGAATACTTAAGAGGTTAGCAACTGGAAATTTCGCGACGGGCTGTTTGACGGCCGGGCCGTACTACTGTAGTGAAATATGGCTTAGTCATCCGCACTCCAACTTGAACTTTACTAAAATGCTCAGTATGGCTACTTGCATGCAGTGGTTGGGCAGGCCAATCAACAATTATATATTAATTGAACTGTATGCGTTGATCATCTACATATATTATAGCACAATTTTCCTTCTCCGCTGTGGTATGTCTAGAATTGTCCACTGATACAATACCGTCTTAATCGTATCCAGTTGGTACAGCCTTAGATGATAGATGGGGGTTTAGGTCGTCGACTTCATTCCTCGGTTATAGAGTGAGATGGCGCAGCACCGTGGATGAGTGGTATCACCTAGCGGGAGCAGCTCCTGCGGGGGCAGCACCAGCTGTTCCAGCACCACGATTTGGATTCATCCTTCGTCCCCTGAGAACGTGTATTAGTTCAGACGCACAGTATAATTCGATTGAAACAATGTGGTACTCACATGAAAGAACGGCTCAAGAATGAGATTATAATCATTGGTGCCCATGATGGCAGTTTAGAGAAACCCCAGCTAACGTAGGCAAGTGGAATATCAAGACCGAATTGCGCTAAAAGACCGTCGAACGGATGATATGGTCCCTCATACGGCTTGAAATCCTGGTAGCCCTTCTCGGCAACGAGCTTGGTGATCTCGCGAGCGGTGATGGAGGTGCGGTTCATGGGAATATAATATACAGTGGTTGAGGGTTTGGATTGATCAGGCAGAGGCTTCGGGAGAAGGATGTAGTAAAGAGCCGGAGGACCAACAGCCCAGGCATTGCAGAGTATTGGATCTTCTTCACAATCGAGAATTGCAAAGTTGGGACGCTTCGGGTTGGGAGACATGAGTGCGACAGATTCCTATTACTGTTAGCTACTGTACAATGTTATGTACGTAGAATAGCATGACATACGTTCCATGCTTTCGTCGCATTGGCGCATCGTCCGAAGCAGGTCGTGTTACCGCCAGTGACGTACACTACCCATTCTTCAGGACCTTCGCTCAGCGCTGATGTAGGACGAATTACGGTCTTCCAGTTCTCCCGGTTGATAGGTGAGACCACAGCAGAGGCAACCTTCGCAGCGCCGGCGTCAATTAGGTGGGACGGCGCGGGAACAGCAGAGGACACGTAAGACTGAGCCTTGTTAAACCATCCCTTGACCTTGTCTGCAAGCGGAGCTTGCTCCTCAGCAACAGCGAGCGCAGACAACGCAAATACCAGAGTTGAGGAAAAACGCATGGTTATTGGATGCGCACTTTTCTGAGTTTGGGCGTGCGAAAGAGGTTGAAGTCGAGATGGACGCCTGATAGAAACTATGCGGATGCTGTAAGCATGCAGGCGACACGCGGGATTGGTGAGGAGCGCGACGAATCAGCACAGAGTAAGATGACCACCAGGCTATCCTTCAATCTAGGGATGATATGGAGAGAGTCAAATGGCAAGAGAGAGTGGTCGAAAGTATTAAGGTGATAAAAAGAAGGTTTGAGAGTGAACTATGGATTGTTCAAGGAACATTGTTATCGCAAGGCGATGCAAATAGCTCGACTCTGGGGCAGCTCGAAGTGCTTACGGAACGCCAAGACTTTGTCAGGCAGATGATCGCCCTATACCATGCAATGCTAGGTAAAGATAAGTTCGCATCAGGGAACATTTAGTAATGTTAGTACAATTTTGGAAATTGCAAATACAATTCTATAACTCAACCAAATTCCTGAAACGACATTTCATTGGGCCAGCTGTCAATTCTTTCACACCAAGCAAACATCGCGAGTATCAGCCACGCAGGACAAACTTCTTCAAAGCTAAACCAGTCGAAAGCGAGAACATGCGAAGGGTGGTCAAAGTATTGCTGCACGAGCAAATTATGTTCGTCTAACTCGTATGAAATACAGGAGGGGATGAAAGGAACTATTATATACAGCAGGTCCACTCGTAACAGCTCACAGGATATTCCTCACTCTGTAGCATCACTTTTTAAATATTGTATGTTCCTTGCTCACTCGTGAGAAAAAATCCTTAAGTTTCTGCCCCACCGTACGTGTGTCCTGTCCAGATGGGCCTGAGACAGGCGCGGGTTGCTCCATCACAGATGGCTCCAATTCATCAATCGATGCGTTCATTTCTTGTCTGTCGAGTGATCTTGGTCGGCCTTCACCGATATACCTGTGCTTATCCTTCAAGTTTTGCGTCCCATCCAAACGACCTGGTAGCGCTCTTTCGACCAGAGGTTTCGTAGCCGTCTCAAGATAAGCCGCATGTAGCATGTGGTGCTCATGATCTACCAATGACTTATTTGACAGGACCGTCATGTCGTACTTCTGTACTCGTCGGCCTCTTCTGCCATTTAGGTCATGAACCTTGATAATGACAGGTTTTGTCTGTTGTTCAATGTCCCTGAAGACTTTGTATGCCTTCTTTGAGTCCACGCTCCCATCGTTGATGTTTGATACCGCCTCTGCCGCAGCAAGACCGTCTACAGCAAGACCGTCTGCCATTTTAGCGAGTTCTGCTACTTCAGATTCTGTCACTTCCGAGAGTCCTGCTAGACCGTTCAATTGAACTTCTGCTTTCCCCGCAAGTTCTGCTAATTCGGCCCGTTGACGTGCTACTTTTATTTGGAACTGCTCCTTGAGATATTGATATATCTCATCACGTGTCATCCAGCCCCTCTCGAAACGCACGTTGTCCTCGACCCCCATTGCCTTCGCCTGCTGTCCCATTCGCATTCGTACGGACGGAGTGTTCATGATGATCCAGCGGAGCCTCCAACCAAACACGCCGAGCTCCTTTATCCGTGCTGGCTTGTCTCCGAGCAGGTACTCGTCTAGACCGCCAACCTTATCTATTGTCCTTATGACGCGGGCTGCTACCTTCAAGGGAATGTGTTGATTCAATGCCACCGAGAACAATCTTTTTCGTACGATGTTCGGATACCATGTCCTGCGAGTTTTTGTTTTTGTTTTGTCGGAAACATTGTTTCCCACTTGGACGCGTAGACCACCATAAAGTCCTCTGTTTGATTGTTTGTAGTGTCTGGGTTCGCCATATGGATATGAAGGGGGTTCAAGTCGTTGCCATAGTTGATCTTTGTATTCGACTGGCTTCGTCTTGTCTACGGCTTGAACGGTTGTGTAGGCTCTCGCGGTGGTGGAAATCCGACGGACGTTCGAGGGCTGCGTAAGCCTATATGGTAGTCGAGTGGCCATTACGAGCGTATCTCGTTAGTATTGACAGCCCGCCCGTGGCTGTCAGAGGGATGTTAGATGCCTCGATCTGTATATAATTGATGGGATTTCGGAGGTGAAGTTTTGCCGTCGCTGAGTTGCGGAGCGATTTCGCGCTAGTACGGTGGATCCGGCAGCGTCTTCAGCAACTTCAGATCCACAGTTGTCTATAATTATCCTAAACGTGTCGACTACACTTCCGCTCTTCAAGAGTATTCGAATCTCAGATCATGGCTATTTCTCAGGACCACATACCGCCTATACCTCCGTCAGCTGCCGCCCTCGCATTCGCTGCCGCCCTTGTTGCCGGTATCACAGGCTATTTCCTGGGTCAAGCTTCTTCAATAGGCATATTCGGCGGCTCGAAGAATGGTGCAAGGGAATTAAAGAGTCACACATCTGATAGCTCCGGCGATGAGGATTATGAAAAACTCCGCAATGAATGGAAGACGAGTGACGAGGACCAAGAGATCAAGGATTTCGCTGCCAATGAGGAATGCAAGCTTGTGCTAGTGGTACGGACAGACTTGGGCATGACAAAAGGTAGCTGTCTGCGTCAGTACCGCCCTCCAACTCGACTGACATCTCTACAGGCAAGATTGCAGCTCAGTGTGGACATGCGACCCTCGCCTGCTACAAGCACTTCCTACGAAAGTCTCCAAACTCGACAATGCTTAAGCGCTGGGAACGATATGGTCAGATGAAGGTGGCCCTACAAGTTAAGAGCGAGGAGGATATGGAAATGTTGCAGGCGCAGGCAACCAGCTTAGGACTATGTGCGCAGGTCATACATGATGCAGGACGAACACAAATAGCTAGCGGGAGTGCGACCGTGCTTGGTATAGGGCCAGGACCGAAGAGTGTGATAGATCAAGTCACTGGTCACCTGAAGTTATTGTGATATAGATTTACAAATATAATGACATGACGCCATGAAGTAAATGCTCAAAGTGCGCGAGAACATGTGAGGATGCGAGGAGTCGACGAGGCGCTCAGTCGATATGGCCGAATAACTCTATATGGTCTGTGAGTACTTTGGAGCTGACAGGTAGTAGGAAGAAGATGCCATAGGAACGGGATGTTCAGAATGTTGTCACGACCGGCTCAATGACTTAGCAAGTCAAAGAGGGCAGTGGAGAGATTGGTGTTATGTAGGCGGATGGTTTTCCTCGAGTCTCAAGAGCCAACGGCCTCGACCATGATTTGGAATATAACGCCCATCTTGCGCTTCACTGAGCTCAACCCTTACGGGGAGCTCAAGCTCCACGTTCGATTATTTCTCTGAGACCTGTCGCCCGGGCTGACATCATTTGAGGATGTCATCCATTTCCGGTGTGTAGCGAACTGTCCAGAAATCAACTGTTGGCGTCCGAAGAAGCTGTCAGGATCGCTGGACACAAGTCTGATGATGTGAAAAAAAGTCTGAGGGAAAACGAGCTCTTATAGAAAAAAAAGTCTCGCCTCGCGTGGCGCTAGCACTAGCGTGATTTTAAAGCTACCGACCACCCTAGTTACACAGGTCCACCTCCACTGTCAACATGTAGGTACGCAGACTTGCTCCTCTTCCACCCAAGCAATACTTCTTTTCCAGTTTGCTGCACCGCTCAAAGTCTGATCTGGACAAATTCACCCGGACCTAGCAAAATGGCGGACGACATCGAAGCCATGAACCGTGTGCGCATTGCAATGGGTTACGACCCACTTCCGGTGCCAGGTGCTCCAATCGTACATGGACCAGTCTTCAAGGAGTCTAAGTCTAATACCAGCCCCAACGAAGAAGTTGCCAGTACTGTCAATTCGCGCCAGGCCGCGGCGGATAGTAATTGGGAAAGACTGGAAGCTCAACGGCGAGCTGAGGAGGAGCGTCAGGCCAAGAAAGAGAGGCTACGGAAGGAAAGAGAACGAGCACAGCTCAGCGCTAAGCTCCAAGGTAAAGGTCTTGGAGAGGCGGACGAGAATGAGATGGACACCAAAAGCTGGCTCATGGGGCAGAAGAAGCGTCAAAAAAAGTTAGAGAAGGATAGGACACGAAAGTTGCAAGAGGAACTTGCTGAGCGGGAAAATCAAATCGACTATACAGCTGCAGATTTGAGAGGCGTCAAAGTTGGTCACGACTTTGAGAACTTCGATGAAGGCACAGAACAGATCCTGACCCTCAAAGATGCTGGCGTCGAAGATTCCGAGGAAGAAGATGAGCTCGAGAATGCCGCATTGAAGGATCAAGAAAAGTTGAAGGAGCGCCTTGAAAACAAGAAACGCAAACGAATCTACGATCCAAACGATGAGAACGGAGACGGTAGCAAGTCTTTACTTGCCCAATATGATGATGTAGATGGTCCAGCGAAAAAAAGCAAACGCTTCACCTTGGATGGTTCAGGTAGTACGATCGAAGCCGCTCAGGCTGCTCAAGCTGGTTCGACGACACGCAAAGGGGTCACCATATCTCTTGATATTATCAACGAAGGAACTGCGCCCATATCTGATTATGCTGAGTCCACTGGAGTGAAAGTGAAGAAACCAAAGAAAAAGAAAACAAAGCATTCGCGAAAGAAGGTGGTTGATGAGGACGACGATTTCCCGATGAATGGCTCAACCGAAAGCGTCGAAGCAGAAGCTATGGACACAGACGCACCAAAAAAGGTCATGTTCGACAGCAATTCATTTGACGATGATGATCTGCAATTGAAGCTAGCTCAACAGAGACGCGAAGCATTAAAGAAACGGAAGAAGTTGCGACCCGAAGATTTAGCCAAGCAGATTCGCGAAGAGGTGTCCGTCACGCCAGATGCTATGGACACAGCAGAGGACGGGGACGAAGAGGGACCTGGTTTGATCATTGACGAGACATCGCGGTTTGTCTCAAACCTAGAAAGGCCCGATACTTCACCCCCCGACGTTAAATCAGAAAGCCGCCCTCAAAGTGTCGGGAGGACGGATCTGCACGAAGATGTCAATATGGAGCTCAAGGACGATCTCGAAGAAGGTGAAGAGCTACCCGATGCCAAGCCATACCATAGTGTCTCCACAGAGGTCGGAAATGCTGGTCTTGAAGATGAGGCCACAGTCAGCTCCGGCATAGGTGCAACCATGAAGCTTCTCAAGGACCGCGGCCTCGTAGACGGCGCGAATGCCTTGGAGCTCAGTGAAGCCCAACGACGACGACAAGACTTTTTAGCACACAAGAAAAAAGCGGAAAATGAAGCAGAGCGCCAAGGTAAACTGCAGCGCGAGCGCGAGAGGCAAAGCGGCCGATTAGATCATATGACTGTCAAAGACCGCGAGGAGCGTGCCCGGAACACAAACGCACAGCGCGATCACCAAGAATCCCGCAGACTAGCCGAGATTTTCAGTCACGAGTACCGACCTACTGTCGAGCTAAAGTATCACGACGAGTATGGCCGCAGTCTAGGCCAAAAAGACGCTTTCAAACATTTGAGTCACCAGTTCCATGGCAAAGGCAGTGGCAAAGGTAAGACTGAGAAGACCCTGAAGAAGATTGAAGATGAGAAGCGTCGCATGGCACAGAATTCGCTGGATAGTAGCCAGCATAGAGCCATGAACTATAACGCATCGGACCAGACTACAGAGCAACGACCGAAGGGTTCGAAGTAGGCTTTGGTAGAGTGGCTATGTGAGGGCAGTTGTCTTTTGAATATTCACTATGTATCCAGCATTAAAGAAGGAATATAGACCTCTCTAAGCACCCCGTGAAAGAAAACTTGGTCCTGTGTATCGATGTTTTGGTTCCGATTCTGTTTGATTCTGGTGATGCATTGACATGACAAAATAGTGTCGTTGACTGCCCCATTTGCCTTTACGTGTAAGTGATGAGTATATAAAGATGATTGCCCCTCAATATTTTACATAGCATGTTCCAACCATGAAATAACAGATGCTAACTACATATGGATCATTTCACAATGCCACGCCTTCTCTTATACTTTAAATCCTTCCTGCAACTACTTTCCGGTTCCTGTGTGGTCGCATTTGGCTAATTTACGATATATTCTCCTGCCATCAGAACGCAACTATGTTTCTTGGAAATTGTTCGAGCTGGAGGACTGACGGGTATCAACATAACGACTACCATCTCGTAGGAAGCCGGGCTCGAGGCTCGAGGCCTCATACTACTTACCGAATGCATCACTTCCGAGGTGCGGAGAAAAAAGTTCAAGCATTTACAGCGTTATGCGATGAGTTCAAGTACGACAATTTGCATTCAATCCGTGAGTGGACTGGTTTGAAGGCTGTTTGAATCCCTCTACTTCAAATCCCTATCCATAAGCTAAACATTCGCTTCAGCATGACCAGAGCCCAACGCGATGTGACCCCTGATCGTTTCAACATAGGTTGTCTTGTCTCCACAAACCACACCCAAAGCTATTTCACGCAGAAGGTTGATCTCCTTCCAGTATGGTACGAAAGCTTCGGCGTCTCCTGTACCTAGCTGTCCATTCGTATTGCTTCCCGCAACGAATACTCGTCGATCTTGTGTGATGACAACAACATGGCCGTTTCCGACGGCCACATCCCGTATATCCATCGTGTCTCCCTGTTCGGACGGTGAAATGACATTCGCCAGCTTGACGTCATCATCATTGTGAGCTCTCATGTCATCGATCAGCAGGCCACGACCTGGTTGCGCTTGTCCCCAGAGGTATAGGTCTCTGTCTTCAGTTAGAGCCGCGCTCATGTAGCCTCCACTGGCGATCTTCGAGATGCGCAGACCCTCGAGGGCAGAGACACTTCCTGGGCTGGTCGGTGGATTATGCTCATCAACCGATCTGCCTAGAGCGCTGTGTGAGCGAGCTTCGCCCCATGTGTAGATTGTGCTTCGAACGACCCCGCGGTCGTTAGATTCGGTAAGGAGGGCGAAGCAGGTGGAGCTGGCGACGAGCTGGATATGGCGTCCGTTTCCTTTATGACTAACTAATGGTGTGCTTATGGGTCTAGATTCACCAGCTGTGCTGCTTGTGATTGCGAGGTTGACTACATGAGTGGCCTCAGAGATTGGTGTATTATACCAGTCGATGAAGGAAGTCACGTTATGGAACTCAAGGACCTCCCAGTTCTCGACCCGTGAGGTCAAGATCACAGCAGCGACATGTCCAGAGTTTATTAAAGCAATGTCCGCAAGGAGAGGACAAGTGCCGAGGCTACCTTGAAGTGTGAAAGTGTCGTTTTCGAGAAGAGCAAGCTGACCGAGCTCGGTGATGCCACCTCGGAGACCGTCGTGTGTACCAAAGAACTTGGTGATTGTACAGTTTCTCGGACTTGTAAGCTTTCTAGCGTGTCTTCCAGTCATACCTCCGTAATGGTACAGATGGCCGTCTCGTTTTACTGTAGACATTAGTCACGATTTTGCGAGATATCCTTTGGGATCTAGGAGGGATGTAACTTGCTCAGAGTATCGGACCAACCAGCATATAAAACACCAATGTTATCTCCTGCGTCCATACAGTGTGGTGTAACAAGGTCTCCAGCCTTTGATAATGCAATTTGTTCATGTGAATTCAAACCGAAAGCCCATACTTGTTGGGCCATGTTGTTTAGGGTTAGAGATCATCAGACCATTCAATACGGCTATTGTATAATCGTTATATGTACAACGTCGAGGTCTGTTTGTCTATTCGTAATTTAGATGGCGTTCGAAGCAGAGAAAGCAGAAAAAGCAAGGTTGGTGTGGTGCTGCGGGACCGAGCCAATTCAGATGGATCCCTATATCAATGGATGCAACCTTCAGGACTTTAGACTGTCAATCTGCCAACCCTTGTACCGTTACCACCTGCTATAAACAGTACGGTCACGCTGGAGGGAAAGTATGGATCTGAAGGCACTTAGATGTTGCGTTGATGTTCATAGGTTTACCAAAGTTTCAGATGACCCCGCATCAACTTTGGGCTAATTGATATGACATGATGCTGTCACAATAACTGAATTGGTTTCTGGATATATGAGGTCAAAGCTATGATGCAAGGGAAAGACATTTTTTAAACGACACAGATAAGAAAACCATATAATACGTTTTTAACCCGTGTGAAGCTCTGGGATTGAACACATCTTTGCGCAAATACTGCTGGAAGAAGTAAGAGATTATCTGATCGCCTTGTTCTTTATTCGTTTGCTTCACCAGGAGTATGAAATCTGCGCTGCCTGTTGTGATGTATGGAAACATCAAGAGCCTTAGGCGCGCTGTCAATTTTATGTGACTCTCCTGAACTCAAGCCCTAGGCCAGTAAATGAAATGCAAGACAGTGCCATCGGAGTATAGATAATTGTTAAAAGCATCGTGGTACACTGTCTGACCTCCCATCCTTCTTGGAGTCCTATCTTAAGTATCACCTCAATAATCCGTGTCGAAAATTCCATTAACACACCATCGTCGCCATTTGATTCAAATTTTGATCCTTTGCAGTCATACTATCCCGCGTACTAAAGAACAGATGAATGTGATGCTTAAAAGGTTGATATCGGATAACGGGCCTAGGTAGGAGAAATACAACCTCGTACCCCTCATTATCAGCCTCGATGGACCAACTATACAAATTGACCGACTCTGATAAACTCTTAACTTGTGCTTAGTATAGCCTACCTCCGCCGGTAAGTGCGACGCCGTACTTCCTAAGACATTACACGATACCTCCTAGGAGTATCCCATTCAAGTAGGAACATTTGGCTACCCGCTATCAGATCAATAAATGTACCTCTAAGTTAGAAAGATTACAGCAATGGGACTAACAAAACCTCACTCTATGACTGGAAATTCACTATCGGGAAAGAGTTACTGTGACTCCTTCCCTATGACAGCAGAAATGAATCAAACTATCAAACGAGCCATATTCTATGCAATGAACCAGTATCTCAACCAGCATCTCTCCCTAGATTTTCTTTCGCTCTTGACTCCAACTCCGGGAGGGTCGTGCCACCAGTCTAAATATATACACAGCCTGGAGTCAGTCTCACCTTAAGGTCTCTATGAGAACTGGCAGTTACCCAGGATATCTCGTCAAGTCTGGCGTATAGTGTGTGGATCCTGAAATTTCTCCCCTGAGAATCTCGCCTGAGAGCGGTCGCCATAACGCTTAGTGTTTTTCGAGGCCGGGCTAGGACTCTGAGGCCACTGTAATTAACCCTATTGATCGGCCGTCGCGTCTCTGGAGCATCGATAGCCCGCAAAGTGGTGTGGATGGAGTCCAACTGGGCTTGTGCTAGAACTTTGCGATAATTGTATACCCTGTCATGGCGGGGTCATGTCCTGCTTGTTCTACTTCAGATATGCTGAAAGGGGTGTTCATTCTGTGCAGGTGAGTTGCTGGTTTTGACAATGTGACCGTTTTGGAGGGAGTGTTGTGATAGTGAAGAGATAATCACGAGTGTGAGAAAGACTATATGGACGGAAAATGGCTTTGTGCGAATATTCTCTCCACCAAAGAATGCTCGGACTACGTCTATAGCCCAGGAATGAATGTTCCCTCTGCGATAGGTACAACTTATCAACTCATTTCTCTCATGATCAACCAAAACTTACATAAGGAATCAGTTTGAACGAGATTCCTCGAGCTATGGACAAAGCAATGGCGACTAAAAATGTTCCAACTTTGTGTCATTACAAAGTGTGACATTTCGACCATGGAAAACAGATTTGACCGATGAAAAGATGTAAGAATAATACGTGCTACACGCTAACGAGGATCTTCGCCTGTGAGTTATCCCGAAAATTGCGCAGCTAGACAAGCACTACCCGCGGCACACATGAAGAAGAACATGTCATTCATAGATAGTTACGTACATATGGCAGTTCTCAAAAATGCAGAACATTGCTCATACGTCGTACACCCTAGAGTGCAGACGGGTATCTCTCAACACCAGACGCCGCATATGCAAGCTACAATGATGCAAAATCTCTGAGACAAGATTGCCCAAAACTCCTATGCTTGCATTGGGTAATGGGGGTTGCAAAGCCCGTTTGTGCGATCGCCAGCGTCAAATGCGACCCTCTTGGATCTAAGTTCAGCCTTATATGGGCTATGCGCCTGGTTTGCGAAGTATGCAGAATTATTGGGACTGCTCATGAAGAGAAGGGTATCGACCGCATCTTTCTCGTCTTGCTGGCTGGGCATGCGGAGTATGCCTTGTCGAGGGGTCCTAGGTACACCATTGTGTGTTTTACCTTCTTCGACTGTGGACAAAAATGGTGGTGGAGTGTTTGTGGTATGTGCGCGTCTGTTCCGACGGGATGAGATTATGGGCGCAGCCGGAGCGAGACCATTTTCCTGAGTTTCATGTGATGTTTGAGTGCCTCCAGTAGTATTCAGTGCCAGAAAAGCCCGATGAACCGACGCATTTGAATGTGAGTCCTTGTATGTAAAGCCTGCCTCGCGTCAGATTATGATTGTTAGGCTGACGCTGTATTTCTTACTTGATGGAGTTGTATCCATCGAACGAGAGATGCCTCGAGACCAGATCTCGTGACCAGGTGAGTACTTAGGTCTATCAGCATGATCGGAGTAAGCACTTAACCTCCGGTTACGGGATAAATATTGCGGCGAGTCTGAATGTCGGAATTGTTCTCTATTACGGGGGGCTACAGGAGAACTGATTTGTGAAGCTTGTTCTTCGAGCTCGTCCAGGGTATGGTGCTCCCAGCCGTGCTGTACTTTGACCATAGCATAAGATAGTCTTGCTTTTAGTTGCGCGGCAAGCTGTTTCCAGAAGATCAGAACTATGCCCATCAAACAAGCCGATCATTGAACGAACCTCGCTTCCTCGGGTTGTTGAAGTTGAGTCAATACTCATGTTGCTGGTGCCACGCCTGTGACCACGTGCTTTTTCAGTAAGCGCACTGTTGGGGTTGTTGGCAATACTGCCTTTGACGGTACCACTCGCGGTTCGTTTATATCCTTGCACCAATACTGGCGCATCTAAGCTTATAGGTGTTGTGACTGTACTGTCGTTACTGCTACTATCTTCAGTCCCTGTTGTCGCACTGATAGGTATTTGTGTTTCTCTGTAGCTAAACCCTGTGTCTAGTGTAGGTACTAGCTCAGTATCTGCTTTACTGGTAGATTCAGTCTTTTCGTAATGCCGCGGCTGACTTGAATTGCTGATGGATGACGTGGGGGATGTCAAAGTAGTATCTGCACCATTAGAGGTTGAGAGACTGCTGGACGATGACAACAAACGGGACGCCGTAGTTGCGTTTGTGCTAGACGAGGCGGTAGACACAAAGGAGACCTGTGAGACTGGAAGAGTTTCTTTCAATCCCGTAGAAGCAGCAAGGCTGGTCGAGTCTGTATCATTCGTGAGAACTATGTTGAGCAAGTAATATTCGGTTTGGGACGCGATCGTACTCATGGTGGGGTAAGAACGTGCGGTCTAACCAGGGATCGCGGATCCGTTGATATAGTCGCTGCGCAGAAGGATCAGAGAGTCAATTGCTCGTATTTTCACTTTTCTTGCGAGGTCCGGTGGAGTCAATTATCAGAACGTGAACTGAACGCTATTGCGAAGGTCGGGTTTCACGTATACACGCCGAGAGGCGATCACCGGTGGCGCGAACGCGACGTCGTCAGCTCAACAAAGACGCGAAGAGCGGGGCCCGTAGTTACTGGTCGCAACAACCACAGAACAACGACCAGAGGTGTTCGAAGTATATATGAAAAGAGACCTGAGCCTGATACTCAGATGCTCAGATGTTCCAGTGTGAAGTATGGAGAGAGAGAAAGTGCGTCACGCGTTTGTCGTACTGGACAGTGAGAATCACCGGGACCGGGAAGGCGCGCTGGCACATGACCGGCTCGGCTAGAGTGACGCGCATCACGCTGTTCCGTGTCTGCCTGAGGTTTTCGGTCTCGACTCGGGGTTGAGCGTAAATTGATTGCCACAATTCTGCTGCTGCCAGCGTTTATCGACTGACACAGTGTTTTCAAACCCTTGGTGTATTTATTAACCCTTGACAGCGTTTCGCAATTGACTTTTAGACAACAACGATCACCCTTGCCATCTATTGCCCTTGTAACGCACGCTACGACGCGCGAGCGCAGGAGCCAATCGCACCTTGGATTCGAAGACAAGTCAAGACTGATAGGCCGGAAAGTGAACCGTTGTCCCTAAGCTGCAGACGATGCGCGTCGGAGAGTTCTACATGTACATATACATCCGCTGGATGCCGTTCATGCATGCAAGCCATTCCAGCATCGCATTTGTTGTTGTTGACCATGGAAAACGCCTAGAATGCTATACCAGCAACACCACTTATGCAATGCATCTGACAAAAAGTACTCAGGCCTAGATCACAATAACAGATCCCCAGTCCTACTTTCGCCGCTTTCCTCCACCAGAGGTGCTGTCTTGGTTCTTCCTCTTCTTTCCTTCTCTTCGCCAGTACTCCTCCTTCTCCTTCTTTTCTCGTTCACTCCTCTTCTCCTGGTTCTCTGCCACTTTTTTCCGATATGGCTCTTTGCGTTCTTCCTGCTTCTTACGTCGCTTCTCAAGCTTGTCGTTCCTGAGCGTTTGCAATTGTTGCATCAGAACCATTGCTTTACGTTCGTCTTTGCCTGGCAAGACGGCTCGTTTTTGCATATATGTCTGCTTCCGTTGCGGCTTGAGCTGGACGATCTGTGACTTGTACGGTAGATCAGCCTGTAACTTGCGTGGCACTCGAATGGGATTGAAGTGTCGGTCTTGGCGCTCGACAGGTCTATATGCAGAATTCTTGTCCTGCGGTGTCGGCATTCCGATGTCTTTACGGACTTCTCCTGTGAGCCGCATACCTTTCCATCCCATGTTCTCACCAGCTGCTGTAAGAGTCGATCGGTCAAGTAATTCGGTCACAACATTGTAAAATCGATGCGGCTTGATGGGATACCATGCTCGTAAGAAAACGATGTCGCTCATCAAGACTTTGTCCTCAAATGTCGCACGAAAGTTTCCCTCCGGCTTGCTCAAGGCTTTCTTAATCTGACCACGGATGCCTGATACTGTCCTGATGCTGGCACCCTCAAACTTGGCAATCTCAAGTGAAGTGCTGAACATGTCCTTCACAAAGGCGGTATTCTTAAAAATTTTATAAGGATGTCCGGTTAGCTTGAGTTTCTTGACAATTTCCGTACTCTCGTCCACGTTGAGAACTACACCAGTTGCCGCTATCCGGAAGCCAGGATTCGTGTTTGAGAAAGACTGAACACAGCAGAACCCAGTGTTCGGTGCAATAAGGGGCCCGTAGAATGTACCAAAGCAATGCATGTGTTCTGGTGTGTATTTTAGCATGCGATTCCGGGTGCGTGAATCTGATATGCTATAGACTGGCATAGTTTGGAATCGACGCCAGCCAAGAGAGAAGATCAGAGGATCATTTGTCTTCAAAATCTTCTTATGCCAGCGATGGCGTTTGATGCGGATTTGAACGAACCCAAAGCGTTCCTCTGTTGGTGTAAGTCCGCCAATGATGATTGGAAATCGAGGGTTAAAGTTGGCGCAAAACTCGTATGGCACATCCTCCAGTACTATTCGTGCGTATGTCCCAGCTTTGTACCCTTCGAATCGTGCTCTTGACAACCCGTCCATTTGGCTAACCTCGGCGTCATTTATATCGAGCTGCTTCCGCATGGCTGCTTTTTGTGCTTCGTACCACTCGTCCTCACCGAATTGTTCCTCATCACCATTGACCGCTGCTCCTTCGTTTGTCTTGTCTTTTCCGAAGCCTTCTCGATCTTCCTCCTCGAACCGCAGCTTGAGCTCCTCCTTCTTGCGGGCATTACGCTCTCGTTCTTCTTCTATAGCCTTTGAGGCATCTTGCTCGTTCGCAGTCTCGCCTCCTCCAAATTTCTGCCCAGTTTCGAGATCTTCGAATTCACCATCACCCTCGTCTTCGCCACCGAACGCCGAGTCGTCCTCGCCATTATCATCCGCGCGACTGTTAATCAGACTGGCTGTCGTAAAGCGTTGACGCAACGCTTCGATACTATCCTCATCCGCCCATTTACCCTCTAACATCTCATAATCATAGGCGGGTATCATCCTATCTTCAGTTTCTTCGGTCAATCCATGCTTTGCTCTTTTGAAGAAGTCATCATCTGGATCATTGCTACCCTCCCCGTTGACTTCCGTTGCTCCAGCCCATCTTCTCAAAACCTCGCTGAGGGATATTGACTCATCGTACATTAATCGCATAAGCTCCTTTGTTTGATAGGGTCTTTTCTTTCCGTGTAACCGCTCTGCGTTTCCACTAAGATTGTTCTTCCATTTTACAGCGCCACCATCTTCATCGTCTGATTCGGATTCCCCGTCGCTCAAATTCTCATGATCAAACTCCTGCTCGTCCTCAGAAGATAGTGAACCTAGATCAGAATCGCTATCAGCGAATGCGATGTCGTCGGTAGAACTATCGCCACTGCGCTTTGATAGTGTCTTGTGCTTAAAATGATCGTCCTCGGTCTCAACGCCTTTAATGTGGCCATCGTCGTCTTCGTCGGATGCACCCATCAAGTCTGCTTCGTCCTCGTCTTCGTCCTCTCCACTCTCGAAGCCCTCGTCCTCATCTGGCTCATCTATATCTTTCGCAACCATATTCGCGACTCGCTTTGCTTTCCTTCCCATGTTTCCAATGTCATCATCAAGGTCACCATCCACAATTGTAGTGCCTCCTGAATATAGACGCATGCCTGAATCCGCTTGTCCAAGAAGTCTCCTCCCTCCCTGCAAGCCAATCATGAGTTTTTCGCCTAAACCACGTTCTTTTCCGTCCTCGTCCTCATCATCGTCCCTGTCGAACGTTGAAGTCTTGACATCGATATATACTGCATCTTTATCGACAAGAACACCCCCGACATCAGACATAGGAGCAAAAATGATTTTCTGTTTATCTCCCAGTCTTCTTCTGCCCTTCTTGCCTGTTACTTTGGCGACAGCTTGGTCCATATAGGGAGTTGGACACGGATCCGGGAGCGCCTCGATCATGGAGACTTTCTGATCTCCCATGCCTGGTATATGTACTCTTGCACCCTCAGCAGGGAAGTTCGTACCGCGAAGGTAGCCGTATAGAGCGACAGTGCGGTCGCATTTGGGGTTTTCTTCGATTCGGGTAGGCGGTGTCATATCAAGGAACCGATCTACAAGAGAATATGGATGCGAGTTACGCCATACTAACGGTCGAGGGTTCTTCATTACAGATAGGAATCGCGAAAGATTCAGGATTTCGCGATCAGGGTAACGGCCATTGACTACACCTGATAAGTAAAATAGTTTCGCGCCCTGGTAGAGTTCGCTCCAAAAGCGATGTTTGAGCCTTTTTTTCTGAGCCTTTAGCGTTTCTTGCTTTTTGAATAGATCCAAGTGGGTCAGGATGCCGAAGACATTGCTAGGCATTCCTGTCGCAGGCAGGATGTTCAAAAACTCCATAGTCTCCATCTCAAAGCCATAGTTCCCATCTATCATGAGCAGAACATAATCTACTATCTTTGCAATGTCCATCATGCTTGCCAGAGATTCGGCTGGGCATTCTATGAAGGTCAGCCGTCGGCGCTTCGAAGTGACGACAGTAAGGGGACCAGTGGGCGCAGAGAGGGTTTGCTTCGTGTATCGACGAACGAGAGATTTTATAAGCGTAGTTTTTCCAACCTATCCTGATCAGCCATCCACAATTCGCTGGCGCCTCTTGTAGGGAATACGTACTCCTGGTGGTCCCACGATCGCAACGACTGTGGGTGGTGCCTCTTCAGGTAGACGGTCCACCAAGGGAACATGTAGTTTCTTCTCTTTGACCTGGCAAACCTATCAGAATTCACGCTTTGCTTTAAGGTCTGTGTTCATACATCGTGAGAGCGTGCAGCTTGACGCTGAAGCTTGCGCGGGTTCGTAACGGCGAAAGCTTTTGGATTGCGCTCTGTAGCAAAAGTTAGACCGAGCAAACAGGTTACGATGGTCAGTGTACCAGACGTAGATGCCTTCTTGTCTTTGGTCTTTCGGTGCGCCCGATTGACTTGCTCCGACATGGTCGCTGCTCGGAAGTATGGTGGTGCAGCACTCAGAAGTTCTGTGATCAATACTCATGGCGGAAGAAATTATTATTATGGCGCTAAGACATAATGAGCTAGTAACTCAACCCTGGTCTCATTGGAAGGTACCTAGCACTAGCCTAGGTACATATCACTATCTTATCGCGTGCCCCGCGTTGCACCGCCACGACGCGACGACGCCACGCTCTGCAGGCTTTCACCTAATATTTATGTATTCAAGTATTGGCCCGTGTCAATGTCGAGGTAGTGTGATTTGAGACTTCAGATTGTCAGACGAAGTAGATGTATTGGCCCACGAGCGTCCACTATTAGCTTAAGTACAGCCGAACTTGAAGCAAGGGTGCAGTTAGGAATGCAGCCAGCTGGAGCCTTCACTTCCCAGTCTTGCATTGCGGACCCCCCCTCCCAGCGCACGTCATTGCGTCACCTGCACTTGGTCGAGGGCTCCAGCTTGTTCCAACCACCCCAGGTCGGTTTGCATAAATACCCTCATACTGCGATACTTGTTCACCACGCTCCCGGTCCTCTTCAACAAATTCCCGATTCAGTCCACTCGTCATTTGTTCATTCGCCTTTCCACCATAGCAAGAATGCCTGTTATCAATGTGAGCTCTAGCCTTTATTGCTAGGTAACAAGTCTAACAGTGTTTGTAGGTGTCTCTCAAGGAGGGTCATTCTAAAGAGAAGCTTGAGGCGTATGTTCGGAACGCAGTAGCCGCTACTCATAAAGCTAACTCCCATCAGGGCCAAGCAGAGTATAACTGATCAAGGTGGAAAAATCACCAAGGAGTTTAAGTTAATCGATGGATTCACGTACGAGATATGTAACTATGGTATGGCACAGTATTGACATGCAATAGCGCCGAGATCCCAGATGATAAGCTGTCAACGCTGGAGTCTCACGAAGGTGTAGATGTCGAGAAGGATCAAGTTGTCACCACGCAGTAGAGCGATGCCCTGATGAATGCGCAAGAGTTTTAAGTACAACTCGACTGAGATTTATGAAAGGATGGTACCTATAGCTATTATAGCAGGCAGCCTGTTTGCAAATTCAAATGACGCTCCCAGATTTGGGTTGTCTCCATACCCATCATGTTGCGACTAACCCAAAGCAGCATGTGTGCCCTATACTGTCATACCAACGCGACGTCAAACTTCCACTGGCGGTAACTTCACGTCATGGCTGGGATGTCTCATGTGTCAGCATGAACAGTTGTCAAAGTGTATTTATCCGCTATATTTTGACTGGTTCAACTCTTATACACGTGATGTGGTCTTTACAACTTCTCAGTCAAGTCGCATTCATGCCAAGCTGCCCGTGGTGAGCCCGTGAGCTACCTAGGTCGTTACCAATCTCCTGGGCTGTCTTCCCTCCACCTTTTCACAAGATTCGACCATGTGGCAGGCCGCAAGTAGGGTATCGAGGTCGGTGTTAGAGAATGGAACCTGTGGTGCGCCCAAAACACGCCTTAAGAAATCAATTGGACACTGTCGCGCACGCGCTGCGATACATACGAGGACTGTCACCGACGCCGATATCGCACATCTCGCCGCGAAGCCTCTACATCCTTTGACGCTTGCGGACCTGGTCAAGTAAGATCACACTCTTCTCCTAGTCGTGGCGTGGAAGCTCACATGGCCACTGGGCAGACATGGTCGACCGCCATTACCAGCTGAAGCACTCTTCAAATCCGCGAATTTCACCCTCTCGATTCTGCCAGCACGTCTTGCGCACCGAATCCAGTCTCTACGGAATCTGCCCTTTATAGTCGTCGTCAACCCTCAAATATCCAAGATCCACGAGAATTATCTGCATTCGCTGTCCACACTGCTGCCATGGGCTGAGAAAGAGATCAGTACCCTGGAAGATGAGATACAATTCACGGAGGTGATGGCTGACCTGGTGCACACTCATGCTGATACAATCTCAATACTGGCACGGGGCTTTCTAGAGGCCCGGAAATATATATCCCCCAAAGATGTCACAAGATTTCTCGACGAGCACCTCCGTGCTCGAATTGGTACTCGTCTCATAGCAGAACAACACATTGCATTACATTTCTCATCACAACCACACCAAGATCTATCAGACGATGCTGATATTCACGCAGAATCAGGGTATATCGGTGTGATTGATACGAAGCTTTGCCCTGCTTCCATTGTTCGCCAGTGCGAATCAGTGGTGTCCGACATATGCGAGCTGAAATACGGCCTTCGACCATCGCTTGTAATCAACGGCGAGCCAGAATACACTTTCGCACATGTCCCTGTACACCTGGAATATATCATCACCGAGCTACTGAAGAACGCGTTTCGAGCGACTGTAGAACGAGGAAAGGAGCGCGAACCGGTCGAGGTGACCATTGCGCCATTGCCAGAAAATAACCTTTCAGACGCATCAAACAAGATGCTCAAAAATATCGATCAATGGAATGTGGACAAAGCTTCAAGATTGGCGTCTCATATTGTCGAGGAAGTGAACACCGGTGTCTCCGAGAATATCCGACCCCTGAAGCGATCTACACCAGGAGTGACTATTCGTATTCGTGATCATGGGGGTGGTATAACACCAGAGAATTATCAACATATCTGGGATTACAGCTTCACGACATTCACAGAAGATGAAGCCTCTTCGAGTCTTTCGATTGGTAGTGGACTGGAGGCTTTGAGCACAATATCCGGTGCCAGTGGCGATAATAAGAACAGCCTTGCTGGTCTTGGATATGGCCTTCCTTTAGGGAGAGCCTATGCGGAATACTTTGGAGGAGGTATCGCCGTGCAAAGCATGTGGGGATGGGGTACAGACGTTTATCTCAGCCTACGGGGTGTGGGAAGAGTTGAATGTGGTGACACGTGAGCATCTCAATCTATTTTGTCGTTCTTGGAAGATGTACCTTCTCACTATGAAGGCCCATCTCGTCAAAGCCAGTGTTCCAAGATGCAAGAATAAGGATCTCATACGTCATGTAAGCATCACGACCAGGACATCACAGTCCTCACCAACTTCGACAAATGGATGGAAGATCCTGAACACGAAAAATTGCTACGGTGACAATACCCTGAAATACTGTTCAGCAGAATGTACATGTGGCGCGGCGCGTTCGATGCAGCCTCAAATGTACATCGAACGGATAGCTCGGCTGCATAGCTCACGCTAACGAATGAATACCTCGATGGATCGCCCAAGGCACATCAGACTCGCCGTCCAGGGCCAGCATAGTTATGACGTATATATGGACATAATGGATGTTCTCGGCGATAACATCATAGTGTGGCGGCGTCTCGCAGCTTCTGAAAGATGTATATAAGGAAGTGCTGCCTGGCCCTCCAGCCATCGGACGTAGTCTACATTCAATATAATCAATCATATATCCCCTAAGCAACATGGGGAAAGTCTTCTTCATTACCGGCACCAGCACTGGCTTTGGTGCCGAACTGGCCAAGATCGCTCTGGAACGCGGGGACTCTGTAGTTGCTACAGCTCGCGATTCCTCGAAGCTAAAGTTTGACGGAGCCACTGAATCGAACTATCTTGCTGTCAATCTTGACGTAACCTCGAAAGATCAAATCGAGAATGCTTTCGACGCAGCTATCAACAAATTCCACACTATCGACGTGGTAGTCAACAATGCAGGTACTATTAGCCTTTCCCATATTTCTGACCTAAAACCTAAATATGCCAGGCTATGGACTGTCTGGAGAATTCGAGTCACTGAGTGAAAAGCAGATCAGAGCTCAAATGGAGGTCAACTTCTTCGGTCTTATCGATGTCACACGGAAAGCTCTTGAAGTTTTGAGGGCTCAGGGCACGGGCGGAAGGATTCAGCAGGTCACGTCCATCGGCGGCCAAGTTGGTATGTGTTTCACGCTGTATTTTGGTGCATTATGGTTAATGTTACAGGCGTGCCAACATTCTCTATCTATTGCGCAAGGTATGTGTATGAGGCACGAGTGTGACTTATGACTAACATCATCTTCAGTAAATGGGCGATTGAGGGCTTCACTGAGGCATTGTCCCTGGAACTGAAGCCGGAGTGGAACATCCACTTGACCTGTATAGAACCAGGTAAGATACCAGGTAATCCATCAACTTCCAGCCGAAGCTTACATTATCGAAAGGCGGTTTCCGAACCGATTGGGCCGGTCGAAGCATGCACTTTGGTGAGAACAAGAACCCAGCATACGACCACATCGACGCCAAAACAGCCATGGGCAAACGTAACGGTACTCAGGCGGGAGACCCATACAAAGCTGCCCTTGGATACTACGAGCTCGCTATGATGCAAGATCCGCCGTTGAGATGCATTCTTGGTACTGACGCATACGCCACCATCAACAAGAAACTCAAGACTTACGCCGAGAACGTCAAAAAGTATGAGAAGTTGAGCAACTCGACAGATGTTGATGGCTACAAGGCTCCGTCATAAATGACTGAACACGAACAATGTTGGAGTATGTTATATTTTTAATATGCATGTAAACCCTATTTATAGAGCGCTGGACGATGTATATAATATGTGTTACATAAGATCATAGTTGAGAGTACACAGTATAATGTAGTTCATGCTCAAAACATTTATCTAAGTGACCCTTTGTAATGGCAGGGCTCCATACACGCGCCATACCACAACGTACACGAAAAGGACCGAGTCGCAGCTATGGAGTACATTACTTATAACCGCCTTGAGCTACACGTGACATCGCGCGCACTACGCGTGTCCACAATCTATATCTATCATACTTGAAACACTAATGATCCTAGTATGAAATTACATTCATAAACCTCATATACTCTCAATAGAGCTTTCTATTTATGTAGATTAGTCATATCTAGAGATTTATGTCTATAAATTAGAGGTGAGTTCATTACAAGTGGGTGGATATGCCCCGCTTATCAAGGTCCTTGCGCGACCGGGAGGCTTGCGGTACGCGGGGAAGGCATGCACATTCTCACCTCGCAGGCATCAACTATAATTTGATGGCTAGGTACCACATGTCAACCTCGCCTTACCTCACTCTTCTTTGCACCGAATCTTCACTTGACCGCGCTCTTGTCGCTGTATGCAGCGGGTTGTGCCCGCTTTGTAGGTTCTGCTACATTGAAACGATTTGACGGTAAACTAAGTCATACAGTCGTACCCAGTGCCTTAGTGTCCAAGCTGCGCACTTCCTCCGGTTCGCGACCACTGCACTTATTTCCGAGGAACGATGAATTCAACATACGAAGAAAACGCTCTTTCGAATCAAATATCATCAGCACATAAGCGCACGTCCAGCTTTAGCTATCGTGTCCCAACACCTCCTCGCATAGTTATTCCCCCTCCCATCGTATCCACCGACTTTCGTGATCTCAGCATCGACCACATAGCACCCCAAGGTGACAGAGAACTTGATCTCAGCTTCTTAAACAATGTCGATTATGCCAAACTTACTCAAGACTCTCATACTCTGGAATGGACGTACGAGCGGAGGCGAGAGGCCCAGGCTATCCTACCATTTCTGTATCTTGGGCCTATGAGTAGGGCGAAGGACAAGGTCTTCTTGCAGAAGGAACAGATCACTATGATGGTAGCAGTACGTCCAAAACAATCTGGTCTGACGAACGCGGCGTTCACGGCGGCGAACGAACTGGGAGTCGAAATCGCAACCGTCGACGCGCCATCCCCGCAGGAACTCATTGCTGTATTTCCCACAGCTATAAAACGAATCAACATACATCTATATCAAGTATATCAGCGGTCGCTGGCGATGGAACCTCCGAAATTAGGCAAGGTCCTCATATTCTGCGAATCAGGAAACGACAAGTCAGCCGCCCTAGTTGCGGCGTATATCACCGAAATGTTCGATAAAATTACTCACATCAAAGCAATGCAAATATGTCAGGCTCAAAGATTCTGCGTCAACTTCGATGATACATCTAAACAGCTTCTACAAACATATCATGGCATCCTTACCGCTAAACGAAATGTCACGCAACCGGCCAATGGCAACGGATACCGCAAACAAAAACGCAACCTTGATCGCGACGAAGATGATACAGAGGCCATGGACCTTGAAAGATTTGATGGCAGGGTTTTTACTCCATATAGCTGACCCGCAGCGTGACATGAATATGCCCATCATAAAGAATCGACCTTAATGTCACAAGAGAAAGACGGGGGCATTTGGGGGCATTTAGTATACGGGAATAGCTTTAGGGGTGAGTCCACGGGAGTCCCTTTCTGGTCCAATAGATCCAATCTATGTTGAACATCAGAGTCACATTAGCGCCCAACGTCAGCTTCAAAGCGTCATGGTTCAAGGAAGTTCATGGGTGACCTGACGATGTGTGTGAAGGGCATGCAAGAGACAGAGCCTCGACTGAACACAAAGAACCACAGAACACACCTACGCCGACTCTAGGAAAGGTAACTTAGTTGTGGACACGATGGTAATACCTCGGATGATCTTATTGATCATGTTTATGTGCTCGGTATGTCAAGTGAATTAGATCTCATTATAATTCTTCTTCCTGTATTTGTGAAATATTGTGCGCCGCGTGCTTGCCACCGCACACTTAACCAAACGCACTATCCCAGATTCTTTCATCGTCAAACAACAGAGACAGTGCCCGAGTAAATTTTCTAAAGGACATCGTATTCTTTCTTCGATCAATCGTATTGTAGACAAAGCTAACATCCGCACGATGAGACTGCGCGGCCGCGACCAGATCCGCCTGCCGCAAAGATTTCAGGACCGTAGTGAAGTGGAGTCCAAAGACATTGTTCAGGTCCGTCACCCTCTTTCCCTAAATATCTTCTTCCACCAACCACCCGCAATTTTCTCATCTCACATTTCTCTGAGCTTCTCTAAACATCTCTCTGCAGTCAACCTCAAACGACCAACTCGAAGAAGCAATTGACAACATGGTGAAACGCGTCAGACATTCGACCATTGACAGTGACTCCGAGCCCGTTCCGCGTACGCGCTCAGCACGCCGGCCTTACAAGAAAAGAGCTTCTCGTGAGAAGCAACAGTCTGCAAGCGAACAGATTATCAAAAAGCCCACCCTGAAGCCAGCTGCCTTCCCTTCTCAGTATTTCCCAGATACTCGGCCACGTCCAGGCGAAATTCCAGGATGCAAACACAACATCTACAAGTTTATTGCAGACCGTGATCGTAGCCAAACAAAACAGTGGAAGGATAGCATGGTGAATATACTGACGCCACGCGTAAGAACACAATGGACCCTCGATATGGATGAAGGTGAGGCAGAGAAGTGGGACAATGATATGCGTTCAATGGAAGACAGTGATGAAGAAGGTCACACCGTGAAGAATCCAAGAAAGGTAATGATTACAATGTTATTTGAAAACGAGTTGTAGCTGACGTCACACAGGTCACTTTCAATGACCTCAGCATCAATGTACAAGCCATGATCATCAGAGAGATTGAGGAAGAAGCACAAATCTTGGTGAAACACAAGATATTTGAGCACAGCTACTATCCTTGTGAGGTTCTTTTAAACACTTCCAGAGCAGAGTGCATGAAGATTGTCATCGATCAAGGTGAGCAAGAGCCCACTGAAGAACAATACGCCCGTGCTCGAGCTGGAGAATACGTGGATCCAGAAGAGCCTACCTGTAAGGAGCTAGTGTGTGGGTACGGTTATCTTTTTACTGAAGAGCTTCCGCTCACCCTTCTTGGAGAATGGCTTCCAAAGGCCAAGATATGCGTGGCAGAACGAATTGCGTCACAGAAATCTCAAGAGGCCAAAATCTCATTGAAGGCGAAGCGTATTGAAGATGCAGCCAGAATTGCGGCGGATTCAAAACGCATAGAGGACGCCAACAGAAATTCAGCAGAATCTCAAGTATCTAGCGCAAAGCTGAACATTCCTTCGAAGTCCTCAGCTCTCGCCTTGGGGCATGGAACAAATCTTGAAGCTGACTGGGATCCTCCACCAGGAGGATTGACAGTGCTAGCTCGCCGAATGAGTGCGAAGTTCACCACCGAGAAGTTGGAACGCATGATCTCCGCTCTCGATAAAGAGGTTGCTAAGAAAAAGGCGATGGAGGGACACTCTCGAAATGAGCAACCAAAACTTTCCAGTACACCTCAACTCGATCCTCTCCAATGTCAGCAAAGTGTTAGTAGCCTTGCTCCGCCGCACGTCCGTGGATCCGTAGCTCCGGTCGCAAATATGGGCTCCAAGCCTCGTCCTACATCGACGCCTGTTGCAGACAAGGCATCGGCTTCAGTCCAGAGCGTCATCCATCGAAGCACCTCTAGTCTCTCTGGTACCACTTCTGCCATTATGTCGCCAGGACTCACGAATAAAGCAATGAGTATTAGCAGTCAAGAGTCCCCAAGACCGTCACAACAGATGTCCCCCACGTCAAGCATGAGTTCAACAGGCTGTATTGCTGCCCTCAACGCATCACAGTCAGGTCATACAACATCAGCGAACATGATTGCCTCCAAGTCAAAGTCCTTACACAATGCCACTAGTAATCAATCAGGCTCTAGCTCTGTTTCTAGCTCGATTATGAAGAGTACATCTGGCAAACTAGCATCATCCGTATCTGAAGATTCGCTGGGAAATCGACCCCCTCTCACATTGCCTCATACTTCGCAAGGAATTGCAACAGAGCTTGGCGAGACGGAAGAAGAGAAAAACACAGTCAGTGAAGCCGTTCTGGATGCAGAAACTCTTCGTATCGCTAGAAATTCGCACGTAGCTAGACTCGACTCTCTTGGTGTATCATTTCTAGGCCAACATACCGGCTCTGAGTGTCAAGTCTCGTCATTACCAGACATGACGCATTCAAAGTTGCATGGCCGAATTGAACCCATGACAAATCAGGCAACTGAAGTCCCAAGTCAAGTGGAATACCTTGCTGGAATCCATGCTTACGCTAGTAGCTCTTCACCGATGGAGCAATACGCACATACATCTGCGAATGAATACGTCAGCCCTGGAAAGCGATCCCAGGGCAATTCTTCGAAATCTCCGCAGGAATCTTGCATTAGCCCTCAAGAAGATCCGCCGTCGCTTTTAAGCTACAGCAGTTCTCTCTGTCCCCCTGAACATATCAATAATGTTGCGTATTGTGGTTTGTCAGTACATACGAACTCCAGGTTTATCACCAAGAAGACATCTAAAAGATCACGTGGATATGACACAGTGCATGGAGACCCCTTCGCGAATTCCCCACGATCATACCCCAGCCCTAATGGCTACAGTAACGTAGGAGGATATGGTAGCCCTGATCAAACAAATACTGGCTATCCGACGAACGCATCCGGGGCACTCACCAGTCCGTATTACACGCAACACAACACACAATCCGCTACAACCGGCCCTAACGAAGCACGTTCTTATCCTTTAGATATGCAACACGCGCATTCGTCAGAGCATTCATACTGTCCCATGACAGGTGCCACTCAACCAACCTCTCTCCCAACCTCTGATTCTTACCCAAGTCACCCCAATGCTCAGACGCCCCGTTCCCTCTCAGAAGAATCCCTGGAGCGAAGAAAGAACCTTGCCAAGTACAATGAGCAGCAAGCATCCGACAAGCAGAAAAGGGTCCCGGAACTGGTCGCTGGTATGGGTTTCAGGGCTCATAAGAGGCTATCACTGTCCAATGGTTCGCAGCAGAAAATTGCTTCGCCTGTTAAGACTGGCGCTGTGAGTGGTAAGAAGAGGAAAAGCGACGAGGGCTTGAATGGGGGTGAGGCTTTGAAGAAGACGAAGTACTGAAGCCGTTGTGTGCATGGCGTCTTAGTCGTGGGACAGCAGAGTTTGGACGTAATGTCTCGTTTCGAGAAGCACAAAATGCGAACCGCCTTCCTTGGAAGCAGTAAGTAGGTACGGTCGCTAGGAAGACCTTATGATGGTTTTATATGGCATGCTTCCGGGGATGCCAATGGAAAACATGTTTTCGAGCCAGTCTCATTGTTTCGAATGAGTCTGCTCATTCACGTGGTTCATTGAAGTCGGTCGAAACAGCTTGCGTCAATTGATATGTTTTTTAGTTTGAGTCTGGAGACGTAGCAGCGATTGATAGCGCTGTGAAAATGGACGGACATGTCAAGTCCTTGATTCGGCGGTATAGGCTCTGTTTAACAGAGCCCATTCAGGTGTGCTAGAGCACACATCGATGTACATGATATGGTAGAGGTAGATTGGGCTTTAAAAATAGTATACGATGTTCCTAATAGCTTATTGAATGTAACTTGTTTTCATTTCACTAATGTATACGCTACTCCATAATCTCATTCAATTCGTTATCACATAATTCTATACACTCACTTTGTCTCCTCAACTGGACCCCTCACCCCCATCTCCGGGTCCCCGCGTCCCGGCACCAAACCCATCCCTCCAGCTGCGAGTCTCACCCTCATATCTCCAACCCTCCGCATCAGCCTCCCTGGAATTAGCGTCCCTGTTTTGACCAACTCCTCTCGTGGCACCCATGTGCCATCGCGCTCCCACACTTCACACTTTGTTCTGAAGTTCAGCGTCGGATACAGGCTCAGATACCCGACCTCTCGTTCGCTTCTAACCAACAACGCCCAAATCAACATACCAAAACAGAACACGAGACTGAGAGCCGATAGGGCCACATAGGCGAGCAGTGTAGTGCGACTTACATGGATGTCGTATGCCATGACAGACGGATAGATTGGCGTATCACGGTCCGCTTCGGGAAACATAGACATAATCGCCGCGCCGGCAGCGGTGCTGTTGTCAAAACCAAGTGTACGCAGCTCTGCAAAGTCTTTTGCTTGGCAGTGGTATATCGGTAGCGAGAGCAAGCTCTGCAGTCCACCCACAGCACGGCTTTCCGCAGCCGGATCATCCTTGGCAAGCGAGTTGAGGCCGTGGAACCACCACCATACATACAGCGGCAGCACAGGTCTGTTGTCTTCGATCTCGAGGAATGAGAGCACGAGGTGGAAGAACGACTCCGGGTCGACAGGGTTGAAGACGACGTCGAACGCGGACAGGAGGTCCGGCGCAAGTACCTGGGTCTGCTGGGCCGGACTTGTTGCGGAGAATTCGTAGGACAGGATCGTGCCGTTGAGACGCGAATACGCGACTGTCGCGGGCCGCAGGGACACGCGCAAGGACGTCTTCCAGCCCGCCTCGAGCATCCAGCTACGGTTCGTCAGACAATCGCCATTGCCCGCCTTGAGCCCGTCGCAAAGGACGAGTTTGGCTTGCAGGAGGCCTGCGGCATCGTTTTTGATGCATAGCGCAAACGCGCCAATGTTGACACCCCAGTATTTACATTCTGTGTCGTGGTCGTACGTCCAGTCGTGCGCGCCATGTAGAAAGTCGAAAATAAAGCCCGATTGGTCGACGGCCATGAAGGAGTCTGCCTTTTGGCTGTTTTCGTCGGAGAGCAGCCATGCGGCATAGTTCTCGATGCCACCGGGGACGTAGTAGGTCTGTTCGCAGGTGTGGGCTGCGGAGCCGGTAAAGGAGGCGGTGCATGCATCGACGGCGTTGGAGGTGGGGACCTCGATGGCGCGGGTGGTGTCGAGGAGAAACTCTGAGAAGCGAGTTGCAAAGAGCAGATCGGTCATGGGTGCCCAGACGGCGGCGAGCGAGGCGTTAAAGGTGCCGATGCCGTAGCCCATCATCATCTCGTCTTCATGGACGGGCCTGAAGATCTTGGTCGTTTCTACGTTACCTGCGGGGAGTTAGTTCGTGATGGCGTGCATTGGGCGAGGCTGGATACGAGAGGCGCCCCTCCTGGAGGAATACTCACTCATAATCAACACGTTGAGGATGGGAACCATTACGATGGCCGTTATGCGGAGGAGTGACCAGCCACGAGTTACGGCGTGCTTTACGCCGTATGAGACCATGATGGCTAGGAGGCCTGACATGCCAGTGCCTGCTTCGAGGGCTAGGTAGTCTGTGAGGCGAAACCCAGTGGTGTGGTGTCTTCGGGTGACGAGTATGAATTGTAGTTTCTCGAATGCACCTGCAATTGCTGCTGCCAACGTCACTCCTGCTATCTCAGACAGGACTCTCAGAACCAAGATGGTGTTACTCGGCGAGCTTCCGATGAAACTGATTTTTGACATGAAAGAATTACTCGAAGCGTAGATTGACGTCAGAGCTAGAAATACCAACGCAAGTATTGACGATATCCATGATAGAGAAACCCATCTTAGCAGCTGCGCTTGTGGATTTCGAGTTCTCGGTGGATTATCAAAACCGCCTTGGCTGGCAGTTCGACTCCTCTTCATTAACTTTCCTGTTGGGCTGCGTATTTCGGTGAAGGATGTGTGGAAGGTCTTGTTGCTCGTTCTGTTGCTATCAGTCTCCATGATCGTGTAATTATCAGCCTAAAAGCCGATACGTAGTAGAGTTATAGCATAGATAACAGTGTCTAAGGTTGGGTGTATCCAAGTTGGAATCCGTGGACCCAAACCACTGGGTAGAGGGAAGTAGGTCGCTCAGAATGACGCTGACTCTATATTGGGCAACTGGAACACTCAAGCAGTACAGAAGAGGCTATCGATTGTACTAGCAGACCAACCTTGCAAAAGCTGAGTATTCTGTAGCATTGTGCCTGGAATGCCCCTGTAACATGTTGTATAGAGCAAAATCGCAGGGTGGGATGAGGCCGGCCGATTACAATCAATGGGCTGCTTCTATGACCAAACAGTACAGAAATGCCACGAGAAAAGCCCTTGTCAAACATCGGAGACCGGACAAGATTAATCGAGGTTTTCAGCCCCAGCGTTGTAACCCCACGCCAGTGACGATGATTGGAAGTGGAAGACTTGGCTGCATTTAAAGGATCCCTGGTATTATCCAGTTCAAACTTGACGGACGAACATGCAACCGATGAAGCCACCGCAATACTGCCTGTACGCAAGGGTCAGTATGCTCAGTGGCGCTCAATACGAGAAGTGACATGGGTACCGACGAACAGCGCCTCGCGAGTGGATCGGAAGTGGGGGGGCCACTGGCAGTCTCGATTCAGACGATATTTCATACATATAAGCATGGGTTTAACATCGAGAGATGTGGTGATCTAAAAGAGGGTGATGACTGTGTATGAAGCGTTGACATGAGGCTTCATATGAGAGGTGTAGTGAGCATGAAGGTCCCTTGGCGAAGGTCCAAGATGCCAAGCATATAAGCGATCTCCCTGAAGTCAGTGTTCTATTCCTAGTCTGGATCTCTTGTCTTCACATATCATCTGCGACTATACTTCTAGATATGTATAAAGATCTTATGGTTTAAGCAAGCATGTACGATATATATTTATAGCGTGTTTGACATTTTTGAGATTCGCCGAGGTCCGTTTGACGTTGGGTCCGCTGCTCGGGAGGCGGGAGAAAAACGGACTAATACAAGCTAACCAGAACAGGCTCTAGTGGTTGCTCGGAACCATTGCAGCCTAAGGCAAATAATATCCCACATCCACCTGAGGCAAAACCCTGGATTGCTTATCGATAAAAATTTCCCCCACCAGATAATTTTGGTGAAGCCGACCACGACATCACAGCCACTATCCCAGTCGTTGCTTGAGGCCAAGAGTCTCGTGTTGGGCAGTGTGGCTTCCTCCATACCTTTTAGATTCAAAGTGCCAGACAAGATGGCTCCAATCGCCGTGCAGCAGTCACACCACCATCGCAGCACTACGAAATCAGTCCAGAAGGCTTTCAAATCGCGGCATGCTTCCAAAGGCGCGTTAAAGGAGCGCTCGAAGGGTAAGGTCGAACCATATGGAGCTTATATGTGTCAGCTATGCTAATTCAAGCCAGGCAAGGTTGAGGTCTTTGAAAAAGGTGTGCGCCGGACACCTCACCAGCAGATCATGTCCAAACTAGACCGCCGGAATCAAGCAAAGCAGAAACGTCTAGTGAACAACCAAGAGCATACCAAGGCCATAAGTGTATTCTCAGGAAGAGATGGGGCCCCAAGAGTGGTAGCTCTAGTTCCCCTGGCCGAGGACGTGTCCGCCTCTGCTACAGTCAAGAGCTTGAATGGTAGCCTGGATATCGAAGACGAGGTTCCTGAGTATGGTAGTCTGCGCACATCAGTCGACCGATTCAAGCAAAATATACAGTATATCATTCCACAAAGAGAGCTCTTTGCAGTCTTGGACGCCTGCCGGACTGCAGACTTTGTTGTCTTCATCTTGTCTGCGGAGCAAGAGGTAGACAGCTATGGTGAGCTTTTGATCCGTAGTGTGGAAACTCAGGGTGTTTCAAACTGCATTGCTGTTGCTCAAGGTCTTGGTGCAATAGAACCTACTAAGAAACGAGCTCAGACCGTCGCCTCCCTCAAGTCTTATATCACACATTTCTTACCTACTATCGAAAAAGTACACTCGTTAGAAGCATCACAAGAATGCCTCAATGTTGTTCGTTCTTTATGCACAACAGTACCAAAAGGAATACGATGGAGGGAGGACAGGTCATGGATAGCCGTGGAGGATGTACAGTGGCCATCAGGCAAGGGAGCTCTTACCAGCGAAGAACCGAAAGGAGAAGTGATAATTACAGGCGTGGTAAGGGGGAAAGGCCTGAAAGCAGACCGATTAGTCCAAGTCGGCGACTGGGGCGATTTCCAAATTGATCGTATTGTCGCTGCGCCTCTGGACACCAAGAAGAAGACGACGACGAAGGACAGCGCCATGGCGGTAGATTCTGAAGCCATAGACAACGTATTGGAGCGACCGAGCGAGGACCAGGATGACTTGGATGAACTTGCACCGGAAGAGGTCGTGATGGAAGATGTTCTAGCAGAGAACTTTGCGATGTCGACGATGTCCTCGGTACGAAAGGGAGTATTGCTCGACGATCATCATTACTTCGACGAAGACGAGGGTCAAGCACCAGTGAAAGCCAAACGGTTACCAAGAGGAACTTCAAAGTACCAATCGGCGTGGTTCCTAGACAACATATCGGATTCTGGTTCGGACATGGAAGATGTCGACGAAGACATGCCTGACGATGCTGTCACAGTAGCGGGCGCTCCAGACCCAGCTGACGGCATAGATCCTATGGACTTTGATGGAACTATGCGTGACCCGACCGAGGCTGGACCTTCAGAATACCCAGCTTCAGAGATGTTCTTGGATCCAGCTCCTGAGGACGAAAAAGACCAGCTCGATGCATATCGCCAGCAACGAAAGAACGAAGAGGGTGATGATCTCGAATTTCCTGACGAAATCGAGCTCCACCCGAACGTCCTTGCCCGTGAGCGTCTCGCCCGCTACCGTGGTCTTAAGAGTCTCAAGACTAGTACATGGGAAACCCAAGGAGATAAACCCCATGAACCTGCCGAATGGGCACGCTTACTGGAGGTTCAAGACTACAGAGGTGCCAAGAATCGTGTACTTCGGGAGACGCTCCTTGGCGGAGTCCAGCCTGGTACTCGTGTAGCTGTTCATCTGCGTGACGTACCCTTATCCCTCCAGGCTAAATATGACCCGACTCGGCCACTTGGTCTATTCTCTCTGCTGCGCCACGAACATAAGCGCACAGCATGTAATTACAGTATCACGCTCAGCCCGGAGCACGACGGTCCCCTGAGGTCCAAGTCCGAACTCATCGCCCAGTGTGGACCACGCAGATTCGTCATCAACCCCCTGTTTTCGCATGCAGGCAACACGCCAAACGACGTGCACAAATTCGAGCGGTTCATCCATCCAGGTCGAAGTTCTGTCGCATCGTTCACAGGACCCTTGACGTGGGGTGCGGTCCCAGTAATATACTTCACACGCACACCATCCTCTTCGCTAGAATCTATCATTTCTCCTTTCTCTCTCATCGCCACCGGGTCATCTCTCGCGCCCTCGACCTCACGCGTCGTTGCGAAACGCATCATCCTCACTGGTCATCCATACAAGATTCATAAGCGCCTCGTCACAGTGCGCTACATGTTTTTCAATGATCAAGATATAGCCTGGTTCAAGGCACTGCAGCTCTGGACGAAACGAGGCCGGAGTGGGTATATCAAGGAGAGTTTGGGCACGCATGGGTACTTCAAAGCCACATTTGATGGCAAGATTAACCCGCTAGATGCTGTGGCAATGAGTTTGTACAAGCGTGTGTGGCCGCGCGCTGCGAAGGCGCTGGAGATGGGTCAGGCTTGAACGTCATGACTGGTATGAGCATCGCAAAAATGAGTGATGGTGTTAGGTATTATACAGACGCAAATTCAGCGAACAATGATTCACTCCACTTGCATGACGTTGTTGGATCTAGCTATCTACACTGAAGAACTTGCACGCTTGCCTTTATTTATTCCCATAAAATATAACGCTGTTTGAAGAAGGTGTCATCAATGCCCTACACCAGAAAACCCACAGTTGTCCTGTCGAGAACCACAACGTTGAATAAGCCTCAAGAAGCCCAACACCGAAATCCGATAATTCATGACTATGACGAATCGCACGACATGACATATAGTCATAAATGGCATAAAGACTGACCTATTGTCTCAATACGAAAAAAGGGGGTGTGAATTCTGAGGAGCCTTGCGATGGCTATACAACATGACCATCTTGCACCGCTTACACAGAAAGTAATGCAAAATCTTCCACTGCCGATACCCTCTTTCCCTTGAGAAGAAGACAGATGCGTTGACAAGCAAATCCATTCCCACACCGACCCAGCATGACAAAAAGGAGACGCCCGCAAAACACCACAAATGCAACGATGCCATATACCATACCATACCATACCACACCACACCCCAACCCAACCCCCCCTTCCATCAAACCCACAAGAAGCCTCTAAATCTTATAAACCACACCATCCGAATACATAATCTTATTCCGCGCACTCAACTCACACAACGCAGCCTCGACCTCATCCGCCCCAAACGCCCTCGCCCTGCCCACACGCCCATTAACCGCCGCCAGCACAGCCGCGCGATCCGCCGCGTCGTCTGCGAACAGCGCGCCGTCAATCAGCGAGCCTAGCGTCGACTGGAACAAAGTCAGTCGCGCCGGAGCGATGGACTGTGATGCGGCTTGGCTGTCTTCTGATTGGGAGGGCAGGAGTTGTGATGCGGGCATGCTGGATGCGGGCGAGAGCTGCGACGAGGATGCGGCGGCGGTGCTGCGGCCTGTGCGCGTGCGTTGTGTTTTGGGTGTTGTGCGGTATAGTTCGTCGTCGTCGTCGTCGTCGTCGTCCTCGGTGGCGGCAGCGTCGTTTGGTGCTGAGGTACTGGGGCCGCCGCGTCGTGTGCGTGGGCCTGCGGTTCGGCGTGGGGTGGATGTCGGACGGGTGTTCTGCGTGTCGTCTGCGTCGTCGTCATCCGAGTCGTCGGAATCGGTTGACATGGCGTCGTCCATGCGGGAGATCTTCCTGCGCTTGCGGCGCTCGTCTTCGACGACTTCTTTGAAGAGGGCGAAGCGTAGGATGCCTTCTGCGACTTTGGCGTCTTTTTCGTCGACGCGGTTGGACAGGCGCGATTTGGCGTGTGCGGTGGCGAGACGGATGAGGGTTTCGAGCGTACGCGCCGTCATGGGACTTGTGCGGCGCTGGTTGCCCTCCAGCTCATCGTTCCGGAGCGCAGAGTACGTTGTGACGATATGGTCCGCCGCGCCCTTTGTCAAGATGGGCTTTATGCGGTTCTTTGCATATTGGATGTATTTCTTTATAAAGGGGATGCTGAGGACCTCAGTCTTCTTGGCAGCACCACGACCGACGCGCACGGTGACACCAGAGTGTAGGACAGGGTTGAATCTTTCGTAGACTTCAGTCGGTTTGTTCGGGTCTGCCTCTTCCTGAAGGCCGACACCGAGCATCTGCGCGCCATCCTCGCGGACCGGGGCGCCCTCTTCTGTACCAGGTTGTCGGTACTGGTGCATGTGCAGAACGTGCTCGGAAATCATACGGTCACGGCGATCTTCAATATCGTCGGTGACAACGAAGAGGAGATCGAAACGGGAGAGAAGGGAGTCGGGGAGGGCAATGTTGCGGTGGGGGTCCTTGTGAGTGTCGTATTGACCGTAGATGGGGTTGGCTGCTGCGATGACACTGCATCGTGCGTTGAGACTGGTGTGGATACCGGCTTTAGCGATTGTGACTGTTTGTTGTTCCATGACTTCGTGGATGGCAACACGATCGACGTCGCTCATCTTGTCGAATTCGTCGATACAGACGACACCACGATCTGCTAGAACCATAGCACCAGCTTCTAGTCTGCGCTCTCCGGTTTCCTTGTCAGAAGTAACGGCTGCCGTAAGACCAACACCTGAGGAACCGCGTCCAGTAGTTGCAATAGCGAGAGGAGCTGTATTAAGCACGAACCGAAGAAGCTGAGATTTGGCAGTAGACGGATCACCGACCATAAGGATGTTGATGTCACCCCTCAAATGTGTACCGTTCTCCAAATTCTTCTCCATACCACCCAGCAACATCAGCAGGATTGCCTTTTTGATGTAATCATGCCCAAATATACTTGGTGCTAGCGATTGCGAAAGTAGATCAAACACCCTCTTCTGTTTTGAGATCTTGTTGATATTGCGAATGTCGGTGTCAGTAATAGTAGCTTGCGCAATCCCTCCGCCTGATTTCGACGAGAGCAGGATAACGTTATTGGCCATGATTATTGTGCGAAAGGTTGAGCTGCCTGCACCGGCATTTCTATTACCCAGAGACCTGAAGATACCAACAAGCTGGATTCTGTCTCCTGGCTTCACCTTGTCTACCAGGTCATCGTCCATAATGACATCAACGCCACGAGGCAATTGACCAGCTGGCGCACGCTCAGGCATTTCTTGGATCGATATTGTTTGGTGGTCTCTGTATGTGCAGTAGCCGTATTCAGTGATGAGCTGAAGATGTCAATGTTCATCTGATACATATGAAGAGTCTTGACATACTGCATTGCCCTCGTCGTCTTCTGTTGGGTACACACTCGTACTCGTGACTCCACCTGCCGTCATAGTCTGATCTCGATATTCCCTTTGATGGAAGGTGCCTTTCGCCTCGTTCCAGTGCACACTCTTGACAACCTTCGGTCGGACGAGGGAGCACTTTGTGACGATACCCTCTAGTGATACCATGTGGTTGAGGTGATTCGAGCTGAGTGTCCGTGGGTTGCACGAGAACTCCCCGAAGCTGCCAATATATGCGCAGTAGAACATCTGTCTCCAGTAAGCGCTCACCCTCTAGGATAAGGGATGCAAAAGACAAACCATCTCAGTGTCGATATCCGTCCGAATTGTCGCAACTACGTTCTTGAGTGCCTGGTCGAATGCTTGCGACCAATCGAATGGGCTATTGAGAAGCCTGCTACCTGTCAACAAAGCTGATCTCGAAACCACAACTGACGTCTCTTACCCATCTGATATCTCCCTGTTATGCGTGCGAATCTCATCCAAGCTAACCTTCTCTACGTCAGCTTCTTCCCTTCTTCCATTTCTTTCGCAGATCTCACAATGAGTCTCCTGGTATTCCGATTCAGCATGAGCACGATATCGGCACGGTAGCTGTACGGTCGTTAGCGCATAGCCAGGAGATATCGCTGTCGCAATTCGCACCTGCGGGCACGCGGATCATCTGCCGATCTGTCAGCCGAATACTCTCTTAATTCTCATATATTCACTTACTGGGATCCAGAAACTCTTCGGCGAGCCTTATGCGATCGCGCACGGCTTCGTCGCGAAGCTGAGTTTCGTCCATTGCGGTCGGCTATAGGATGTAGATACTCGAGACAAGAATCTCTTTCGCGCGCACAATGTCGACTTGGCGGACAGTTATGGCTGCTGGAGTGTTGCGGGGGAATAATGTACAATGAGTGTGTTGACGATGTTGCGATGTTGATATTGGGGAGGTGGGCGGCGGCTGCATTGGGCGAGGGGTCGCAAAATAATGGGGACGCGTTCTTTCGCGTGCAGGACGCGAGAGCGTGTAAAGTGGTTTCTGACTAAGCTAATTGGGCAGCTTCGAGCCTGAGGCTCTAAGGCCATCATGACCTCGAAATATCTAGTTAGATGCCTGAGGCTACAAGGTTCCATGATGCGGAATCATGTCTGTCTTTTATATGACATTTAGTCGAAGGTATTTCCGGAGGCTATTTGGCATTAGTATATCTGTTGCCATGGAATAGTCACCAAAGGTCTGTCTGAAGGTCACGGATAGCAAGCAGATATTTGGAGACTTCTTCATCCAAGTCCTGTATTATCGTGTGAACTTCTCTCAGCTACTCCAAAAGAATAGCATGCCAAGAGTGACATGCGGTTGTCTCTCCACCGTCCTATTCTGTCCAAGAGTATCTTCCTCTTCCGATGCGGTGCATGTCCTAGCAGGCCATCCATATCTGACGCCAATGCTCTATCAGATCTGTGCCATGCCGGCGGTTACATGTAAAGCCGCGTTGACACCTACTGTCCTCGGTAAGTCCGCAAGTAGACCTCTAAAGACATGCTCGTGATGCGTGATGCATGTTCCACGTTGCAATGGCCGTCGCCGTCGTCTTCCTCAGTCCGCAAAGGGGGGCGTCCTCGGTCTGGAAGCGGTCGACCCCGCGTCCGCCACCAGCAAGATCCCTGCTAGCGTAGAGTGCAAAGTGCACTGCAGCGTCTCAACTGCAACCCTCCTCGGCTTCCACGCACTCTTCAGACCTTCTCTCTTCAGTATTCCCTCCGACACGCGTGCTCTCATCATCATCATCATCATCATCATCATCATCATCATCATCATCATCATCATCATCATCATCATCATTATCGCTCATTCACTCAGTCGATCTCCAGCACTCGCCGTACAGTCTCTACCTCCGCGTGCCCTCTATAATTCTTCATACGATGGCACCACACAACCCCTTCCTCACTAAACAGAAACTCTCCCCCAACCTGCAACGGATTGCCACCTGCTAGCTTCATGCGCAGGCCCTTGACGCCCCTGATCTGCTTGATCTGTCCGGCAACCCACTGGGGCTTGCTGATATCCTGCATGTACGCTGGGCGCTGTTTGCCCGCGTCGAGCGTCCAGGACATGCCGAGCCCCTTGTACAGTCGCCGCGTGGGCTCTGCAAAGATGGGAAAGTTCGTGCCTGTGAAGTCCTTGTATTGCTGGATCATCGACGGCGAGCCGCAGCCGATGATAACGATGGACGTGGGGGTGTCCATGCCGAAGTACGTCGCCGGGTCAATAGACGTGGTGAGGGCTTTGAGGTAGGCTTGACATGCCTATATCAACCAGGCTTGCATTAGTTGTGTTTCGAGATGGATGAGGGTATAGCATCGAGACTCACGCCGCAGTAGAAATGCCGTATGAACACTACAAATTGCCGCTCTCCAATCACGCTTTCGCCGGAATACAGGCTCCTGAACGATCTGCTGTTGCCTTCAGAGTCGTATATCGGGATGTCACCGACCAGGTCAAGCTGGTCGTGCGATGGCAGTTCGTCGGTCTCGTCTGTGCTATCGTGGAACCTCTCAAACCAGGCATCATTATTTAGGGAGCACGAGTTGTTGGTCGTCGGCGAGGTCGGCGCTGTAGAGGGCGCCGTGCCAGCCGTCGACGCGGAATTCGCTCTATACCGTGAAAACACTGAATCGGCATTGCTGCTCACGCTGATGGGCGAAGCGAGTGATTCGTTGTTGTTGTTGCGGTGGTGTTGGGAGGTGTAATAGCCAGGAGGCGGTGCTTTTCTGAGCTTAACCATCGTGAGTATCTATGTAGTATTATATCGTGTTCAAAATAGTTCGTCCAAAGTCGTCGAGGGATTCTTGGAGGAAAGAAATGAGAAATGCAAAAACTTGGGGGAATGCCGCCCGTTGTTTATGTTTATAGACATAATATATATTATATGGATATCTTCTGGAACACCCTCGGATCCATGGATCCATGCTACTGATCTGCGGGGTGGGACCCTCCGATGTACCCCTGCTGACCAGTAAACAAGCCAACAAGTGGTAAATAAGTGCTGCTTCATATGGATGGAGAACTATTCGGCCGTCCGACGGTTCGACAGCTGGCCCAGCCCCGCAAGCCACTCAGCCAGTAGTCCAGTACCACAGTGACAGAGGGCCGCGACTCGTACGCCACTCACAAAGACTACGGTTTAGTGTGGATACGCCATGTGCCATGTGCCAGAGATGTAGACATGATTCATTTGAGATGCTGCGTCGCCCCGAGAGTGGTAGTGACTGAGAGCGAAAATATGGCATTCGACCCCTGCATGAGATCCATCATGCAGTGCTTGCTTCCATCCTCGCGTTTATGCGGCGACGTCTCACCAGCTGCCGATCCACTGCCGAGCTCGAGCTTCTATGTTGTGGATGTGTATTGTAACGACTGCCGCGGCGATGACTAAAGAAATATTGATATGGATGTGGCCTCTATCGAACACCGACTGAAGAGAGACAAATGCCCTTCAGGATGAATAACGGCCGCCGACTGAAGTACTAAACACAGACTTTCGCAATGCAGTACGACACGTCCGGACTTTGTGCTGCCTCTGTCGTGCTACCATGGCCGCACCGTAGATGGCGACAATTCCCTAAACAAGCAACAAAGCCTCTGCGCCGTCGCAGTATTATTCGGACTTACATAGTTCTAGTCTGCACTTCGTCTTGGCATGTATATAATGTCAGCCATATCACTCTCTCGTGTCCATGCGGCAAAGCTATTTTCGGCTCTCAGCTTGCAGCCACAAAACACAATATCCCGATGCTGACCTCGTACTCGCGGTGGCTACATCCTGATACCGCTCTGGGAGGATGGTCGTGTTTCAGCGTGCTGGCTTTCGACATGCAGTGCACCCACCCGAGCTCGCATGAGATTTGACATCGCGTCGCGTCGCTTCGATGGGTACTTTGACCAGCTGCATCATTCAATACTGGTCCACCATGTCGTTCATAAAACACTGGTCGCAGGCCCCCCTTTCTTATAGCTCTATAAAACAACTAGAGCACGCAGTCCATCGTAATGCCGGCTTTATGGTGTCCCAAGGTTCGCGTCTTGAAAATGTGGACATAATGTGACGCTATAGCTAGCCATCCAACTAGTCCAGGAGAGGAAAAGTGAAGTTGTGAAGAACTCTGGCCCGGTGATGTGGCTAATGAGCACCTTGTTTCTTCACGATCTAGGAGCCGGCTCCGTGAGTCGCTTGTTTACTTGGCTGGCGCCTCCACAAACAGGCGCAATTCACTTTGCAGAGTCATCACATCACGTGTACACTGCTGAATAGGCAGCCTTCTATATCGTATTGAGCACGTGTATCCCACCGCCACGGCGCCAACAAGGTATCACCGGTCAGTCTGCCACTTCGTGTCTATATGATCGAAAGCTCTACAGTCTCTGCTTCTGAAGCGGCAATTGATTGAGTTCATTTCATCATTCGGGTCTTGAAAGAGTCTCACCAAAGAGACGCCGCGACGATTGCATAATTGGTTCACATCCAGATCCTCATCGTATCTATCTCAAGTCAATTACCTCAATAGAGAAACCAATCAGCCCATAAAATGGCCGGAGCAGACAAAGACGGCCTCCACTTCGACGGCTACGAAGACGCCGAAGTGTCTGCATTCGTCTGGCCTGACGACCCCATCGCCCTCGAAAAAGAACTCACCATCTTCCGCAAAATGCGCATCCAAGTAGCAGCACTCCGAACACGCAACAAGCAGCCCATCGAACCGTCCTTCCTGAACGAAATCACCGCCGGTCTGCTCGGCCTGAAGATCGTGAACATGACCCCAGACCTCCTCAAGAAAACCCTCATGGTCCGCGGCATGGAACTCATCCAATCCCTACCCGCCCGCGCCGAACACAAAGACCTCGCCCAATACCTCCTCCAAAAATGGAACTCCGAAGCCGAAGAACGCGCCCTCCTCGCCGCCACAAACACTCCCTCCGACCCAGACCTCGACCTCGACCTCGACCCCGACGATTCCTCCCCCGGAACCACCACACCTCTCTCCCCCGCCCGATCCGGCCCTCGCAAACCCTACAAACGCACCCACGGCCTCGTCCTCCGCAAACCACCCCCAACCCACCCCATCTACGGCCACAACGGCATCATGCACGGCCTCCTCGTCGACAAATCCAGCGGCCGCCGCGCCTACATCACCGACCCGTCCTACACGCCGCGCTTCTGCAAAATCTACGGCCACAACGGCCTGCGCATCGGCGCATGGTTCCCGATGCAACGCGTCGCGGCTCTGCGCGGCGCCCACGGCCCGCTCATGGCCGGCATCGATATCGGACCTAGTGGGGCGTACAGCGTCGTTGTCAAGGGCGGCAGCGTGTATGAGGATTTTGACCGTGATCTCGGCGATGTGCTGTGGTATTCGGGCAGTGGTAGTCATGTTAATCTGGGTAGTGTGCCGCGGGAGACGGGCGGGACGAATGCGCTGAGGAGGAGTGTAGAGACGGGACAGGCGGTGCGGGTGTTGAGGGCGAGTGGGGCGACGGGTGGTGTGGCGCCGAAGCCGGTGTGTGGGATGCGGTATGATGGGTTGTGAGTATTCTTTTCTTGTGTTTGGCGGTCGTGTTGGGCTAATTTGCGTATGCAGGTATCGTGTTGAGGGCTCGACGATCAAGACGAATCATCTGGGTGGTGCGTATGAGCAGTTCAAGCTGGTGCGGTCGGAGAATCAGGACCCGATCGACTATACGCGTCCGACTGTGCAGGAGCAGAGAGATTATGAGGCGCTGTACTACGACTACTAGGCCGATGGGATGATACTGTGATGGAAAAATTGTGTATTGAAGCGACGAGCATAGGACTCATACGCAGCGTAGTCTGAAATTGGGATAGACCCATCAGTGACGTGGAGGATAGCATGTTGTGGTATGCAATAGGCCCAGAAACCCCCTCGTCAGGCGTAACTCATTACCCAAGCTACAAATACCGCGCCCAGATATTCAGCTGTGGCCGGACCTGATGTCAAACCTAAGTTGAATCACGTCCCGTCCCATCTCTTGTCTCACCACCTGACATTCAATCGCACATCCCCGAATTTTCGTACTTTCAGAAGGGTATGAGCTCCGTATCGAGCGCAATGCACAAATCATAGCGCGTTCGAGCCGTGATGGTGGCGTATCGGCCGCGATCCTTCGCTAGTAGACAGTTTGTGAGATGACGCAGTGTGGAGACGGGGAATGTGGTTGTGTGAATATTTGCTCGAAGAGCGGAGTCGAGTAAGACGTAACGTTCATGTGATATATTAGAGATCCGGCACGTGATGGTATGTGAGGAGCCATGAAAATGGAGTCGTTCGCGTGGTGTTTGTAAGGAGGATGTTCATTGACTTCGGGATGTCATGAAATGCTTATGCTTTTCCAGGTGGGGTCGGGTCGGGTCGGGGTATAGCAGAATTGTGCTTCAGAAACAGCGTCTTGTGAATAGCAGCAAGGGCCACCTCAGCGTTAAAGCCGACCAGATCCCCTATACTGCACACACGATCGCAAAGCAGCCCATCCAGCTTTCCACATAAGAGGCCATCCAAGAGAAGCCCACCATCTCGCAAACACCCCCTCCCTCCAAAACAATCTCAACCCATCTCCGCATCCCCAACGGGCTCCGGCCTCGACGAAAACACAACCTTAAACAGAACCACCTCCACCACCTCCAGCTCCTCAGCCCCATCCACAGTGCCCTGCCTCCGCCTAACCACACCGTACGGCTTCACCAACTTCCTGACCTCGCCCGTCATGCGCTGGTGCCTGCCCACGTACAGATAGACCCGCTTCATCCACGCCGTGTTATCGGCAGGTGCCGTGGCATCGTAGAGCGGGAAGACGAGCTCGCCGATGGGCGTCTGCGTGGGTATGTTGCTGTCGCCGGCGATGGGTGCGGTGTCGGCGTGGATGACGCCTTGGATCTCGAGGATGGCGAGGCCGGAGGGCGTGTGCAGGAGCCCTGGGAGTGGGTTGGGAGACGTTTGTGGATCGCGCTCTGCTGGGCTGAGGTGTAAGGGGATAGAGGGCATGGTGGTGGGCGGTGTTTTGGGGTTGGACTGGGATGGGTGGAGGTTGATATGTGCTTGATATGCAGAACAGTTCTGGCTAAGCATTTTGGGACTAGCGCCATTGAGACAAGACTATCTCTCTGTCTCATAAGTCATAACTCTCTTTGATCTATCTACCATATGCTAGGACACGAATGACATGCGAAAGCATGGCTGTTCAAAATACGACTTTAGGTATGTCTAGAACATTGATCGTTCGCTTAAACCGTTAATTCCTCCGTCTTACGCAGTTCAATGGTACAGTTCTTGATACTGGCGTCTCTCTGATACCGAAACACCTGTCCGTCACTCCTTACACCCTCGCATATCGCCATTTATGAGAAACACTTCTTGCATTACCTTTATCTGGCTCCTCATGAACTGCTTACTTCGTAAGTTCATCTGTCTTCAGCATCGTGGTACTCCGTTCCTCCATCAGCAAAAGTCTCGTCACCAGCGGCGCTCACTTCGTCCCCAGTGCTTATCCTACCCACAGCAGGATCCTGGCAAGACATTTGCTCTTTCGTTCCATCCCTTTCGGCAAATTTTGGTATCTGCATCTTAGCAGGAGAGAGAAACACCCTTGCCTTATTCGAGCCTTCGTGCGCGTTCGCATATGCCAGGAATGGATTAGGCCCGCTGACGGAAATTGGCTTCGGAAGTTTACCCCACGGGGTCGGCGATGGTTGAATGAACGATGCTGAGCCGTATCTTATTGGAGTTGCAGGTGGGGGTTGCCGAGCCGGCTCTGAATCCGATTTCGTAGGAATTATTCCGCAACTTGCGTTGGCTTTCGGGAGCTTGAGAGGCATATCAGAGGAGCGGAACTGTTTTGGGATTCCCGAAACAAAGCATGTTTTGGGGCTTGGTGTGTGCTGCAGAGATGGCTGGGTCTCGCGGACTATGTCTTCAGTGAACGTCGATTGCGGTCTGTCGGAATTGGGAGGTGTCCAATCGTTGTGGCTAGGTCGGAGGAATGGGTTATCACTGCCAGAAGCCGATGCTAGCGGGGCTGAAGGTTTGCTGCGTCTCAAGTCTGTGTAAGTTGGGGACGAAGGAGAGGTCTGCACACAGTGGTTGGTAGGTATCTCCTTGTCCCGGTAGGTATTGAGCTGAGACTCCAAAGTCTTGATTGCGGTCTTCAACGGCCTCATAGCAGAGTACTTTGAGCTAGACTACGAATCAGCATCGCGCGTGTCTTCAAGCAAATGTAACCTACCGATCACAGCCATCTTCCAACTCAGCAACCTTCGCTTCGCAAATGAACAGCTCCACGCTCAACTCATACTTCCCCAGTTCCCTGAGTGCGTGCTTCAGCTGGTGCTTCTCCTCTTGACTCAAGGTTTTCTCTCTTTTCAATCCAACACCAGCCGTACTTTGCTCCAGTGCCCTCAGCACTGCCTTCAACCCATGGAAGACATCATTACAGCCAGTCAGCACATCGCTGAAGACGTCCTGGGCGCCAAAATAACTCCCAGGGATCGGAGCCATATTCTCATAAGGCCTGCAAAGACATAGCAGACCGCATAGTCGAGAAATGACATTTCCAAGCTCACTTACGGATGTGGCGCGTAAGTCTGGAACGACACGTAGAAGAAGGGAAGATTGAAGTACGAGCTGAGGCCCTGTTCTGGTTGCCAGCTTGGCTAGGGTATCACTAGAATTCTGCGTCGACATCGTAATTGGTATCTTCGATAAGTTTGCGCTGCGGGTGCGTGCTGATGTTTTCTAGGAACGTGAATGTGATTGTGAATGATACCTCAACGGGTGGATTAGCTAGACTACTATGGAGGTGAGTCGGTAGCAAGTGGTCGCACAGCTATGGAGCGTTTGTAGATGTACCGTACAGTTTTACGGTCCACTAATATCGTAGTGAACAACCTTGGAAACATTGATTAGTGTTGACAAAAACAAACAATGCGAACGCTGGGGCCGTGCATAAGGCACTAAGGCACAAATCAGGCGGCATTTGCTCTTGCAACCTCACTGCTTGTATCAAGGCCGCTGTTGACAGGGATTGAATACAGCTCGAGATAGTCATACATTGAGTCGTGTACAAATACCAGTTGCTTGGAAATGATAGTGGTAGGACTAGGGAGACTGTAATAGGATTCGGTGCGACTCGGACAAACAGGGTCAATATCGACAATTCGACCAATTGCCAAGTTCCATAGTGGAATCTCACCAGGGCCTAGAACCTCACGGACTGTCGCGGCCACCAGTGCTGGCGACCTATAATATCTCAAACGTGCCGGAGTATGCGGTGACCCCTGGTGCGCCGACTTGAGGACACTAGATGTCGAACGCGAACTCTCCCCTTCAGATTGATCGTCGCGCGGTGTGATAGCATTGTACTGCTCAAAGTATATTTCGTTACCGCTAGCGGAATCAAATACACTACCGCCATTACTAGTCGATAGTGCGGTTTATGACAGCGTCTCAAGCTTCCGGCCGATAGACAACGGGGTTGTAATAGAGGCCAACGAAACCGATCAACTCCGCGTAACTGAAGCTGAAGACATGCTTAGGGACAACGTGTCGGGACTCTAGTCGAACGGAGTCGTAGTCGCCGCTCTTGGTCCCTTCCGCAAAAATTAAGAAGACGGAGGAATGGCCACAGTTTTCGGATGGACACGCTCCTTCTTCTCGAAGCGAGTAGGAACAATAAAGACAATGATCTGGAAGAGTATGTTGTGACCGGAACAAGCGGGATAGCGCAACATTTGCAGTGGAATTCGTACAAGCCCATTAGCTTCATGTTTCTACAGGACCCAAAGCCAACGGCAAAAGAAACACATCTCGGAGTAGCAGCGCCAAACCTGCCACGAGCTCCACCTAGCTGATAGTTTGGATCACGCATCTTCCAGAACGGTACACGGCCTGCTGTTTTCTTGTTGCTACGAGAACCGTAAGAGGTTGCTGGACATGATCGTTGATCGTCTGGATATTGCGTCCCTCAAGGCGTACCAAGAAAATAGGGGCCAGAGAGCTATCATCATATCGGGTACCGCGGACCTTCGGGTGGCCTCTGGTAGACGTAGGCTGTAATACGAACAGCCTTTTCTCTTTTGGGAGGGGTTCGATGCAGTTCGCATGTCGGATGGAGCGCGATCTTTAAGATCATTGAGCATATGGTCTCTCAGCACAGTCTCAACTCAAAAAGACATTTTGATCTTCAAAAGAGTGCCTCGAATCGCCGGGTACTAGCAAGCACGCGGAATACTACAACAGTGTTGTCCAAGTTGACCATCTCAAGGCAAGTTGACTACACGATGCTGATTACAACATACCCTGGATAGCGATCGCTTTTCCTGAGGTACAGATTTGGGTCGCATGTCTGGACAAATGCGTGGCATCTTGCAGCGTATTCGTTGAACTGCTTATCGTAATCATTACGATTCCAACCGCCTGTACGAGCCGGAGGGTGGACAAGAGTCCTGTAATACACACCGACCCTTGTGAACTGACCTTTATCTCCGGTCGGTCGTAGTATTAGTCCCCAAGGTCCATGATTGGTGCTCCCACCAATGACGAACTGATATTCATCCGAGAGGGGCTCCCAGCTTACTGTCTGATGCTGCCCACGACGGCAAAGTTCGTCAGGTCGCGACTCGTGCACGAAGAGACCTTCGAGTACAATCTCGCCTCCAGAAACTGTGCCAAACGGGTCTTCAGATGTCTTGTCGGTGCTGGCGGATAGTACCTTAGCATTATATTTATAAGGACGACGATGGAGACTGGGCGGCATGCGACCCTTTACGGAAGCCCAAGACCAGCTGGGCGCACCGGATGCCAGTGGTGTCTGATCGTGAGACTCTATATGCCAAAGTAGGGCTCTGGGGAGGTCCCATTTCCAAAGACCGGCTAAGTAGTCGGTAGCCTCGCCCATTCGTCTAGCCAAAGCTGAGAGCGCAACAAGCTTGTCTTTGCATTCATATGTTAATTGAGCTGCCGTGTATCTGCAGACTATACGCTCCCAAACGCGACTCTTGTTAGAAGATTCGGATAGTTTCAAGCGAGGAGATAATGATTGCCATATATCATCAACTCGTCGCAAGCCGTACCACGATTCTGATTCGCATACTGTGTGAGTCTTGCAGTCCCACCACATCTGCCCCGTACAGAAATGAAGACTTCTTGGGGACAATGCAAGTTCTTGCACTACCCAAGCTCTTTGAAACAAGGGACTGTCTGAGAAGTTACGACGCCACATCCTTGGAAGGCATACGAAGTATTCCATGTTGTCTGGAACGACGCGACCTGGTAACGCTAGCACAGTCAGGTTACCCACAGATGGATCTCTGCCAAGGAACAAGGGCGTCCTCCAACTATCACTGTTGTTTGCAGCAATATTGCAAACAGAGTTTTCATATACCTTGTCCATTTCTGCAGATTGTTCAGCCCAATCATCGGGGGAATCTTGCAAGATACAGAGGCAGTCTATCCAGATGTATCTATACCCGAGCTTCCTGGTACACTCCATAGCTTGCACAAACTTTTCAGGAATCGTATCGGTCAGAATTGAGGTCAAGTAAAGCGGAAGCAGACCCGTTGAGAGTATTCCTGGGACTTCTGACCCCCAACAATGAGACAATGTCAGATAAGACGTTGTAGCAGGCAGGTTCTCTGACAGGCAAAGCCTTGGACGCAAGACACAATCCGCTGATCCGACGTCTATGAGGCGACGCGGCAGAAATGACCCCACATCGGACTTGGTACAGTCGGTGTGGTTTTTCACACAGGTTTCGAGCCAATCCCGGGCTTTCGACCAGGTGCTAGGATTATCGAAAGATGTTGAAGATGTTGAAGATGTTGACATGGAACGTTGTGTAAGACCTTCTTGAAATTAAGATACTTTGTACGACTGCAGTAAATGACTTACATGTGCTATAATATACTTGTGCCAATGTTACTGTAATAGAATCAGTGATTCCCACCACCGAATAATTGAGGACTACTTTTTGTGAGTGGACACGTAGTGATAGTGACAGGGGTCTCTGATCACTGTTTATGACACTCAAAAAGTCATCTTGTTGTTGCCTGCTGTCGTCCAGGACCAAGCTGCATAATGTACAGCCTTGCCGCATACATTCCACAAGTTGCTTCAATCGGCATGCCATTGTGTCGTAAAGCTTGCCCGAACTGTGGAGACTTTTCCATACTTGATTGACAAGGAGACAAAGGCAGATTATGTGTGACCCCCGAAGCACGGACGTTCTGGGAACAAGATCTTTGGTCAAGTTATTGCCGTCCATTTGCCTGTGGTAGAGGTTTCTAGGCCCTGGCGAGGCCTGGAGTCATCTGATATGAGATTTGGAGAGATTACATAACACCAAAGCGAGATACGACGGCTTGTGGTAGAGCAAAAGGAATGTGAGCGATCTTTGGTGATAGGCATCGAATAGATCTCAGCCAGAATATGTCAGCAAAAGTACGCTAGTCATCTTCGGGTACTGAAGATGCTGCGCCACAATGGATGGATTCCTGCACATAATCCCCGCAAATATGGCATGCTATATACTTTATTCGACGAGGTCGAGCAATACTGAGGCTTTCTTATAGCAGTACTGCATGAGGGATCCATAGGTCTGCAGAGCATCTTCTCATGACAACAGTGATGACCGGATACCTTCATTGGCTGCCTAATGGCGACGTCTAGGCTGCAGCCTGCATATGCAGGCAGTGCTGGCGAGCAAGGCAGAAGCCTCACTGGTAGAAGCAGCACGCGACAAAAAGTGATCCTAATAACCTCATTCTTCATCTCCACTCAGTCTTTCTTTTTCAACTATTCATTATAGCCATTGCAATATTCATGCTATACCTTCACAAGATTGCATGTACTTAGGCTTTTCTGTGTTCGTAAGGGTTCATAAGCACATAGCACATTACATTCAGGCCTTTTATCCTTTTGATACCTAGAGTTTCGTATCTCCCGCGAGTCTCTCTCACCGATTATGGCTCCACGTAGACAATCGTTGGTGTCAGGGCCTCTGGGAAATGCTGCTAGTAATCTTTTGGCCGTCTCGCCCAACGTCCTCGAATACTTCTTACCAGGCTTCGCTACGATACAGAGCTTCTTCCAGCAATGGCTCAACATCGACATCACGAAACTTGTCACAACGTTTTTCCTCTTCGGTGTCTTCAGTTCATCGATACAGAAGATGTCCTCAGGTATATACAACTGGCTCACCAGATTCTTGACCGCGTCCGTCAGCATACCTGCCAGCGACAGACTGAACAGAGAGGTTCTCCTTTGGATGAGCACCAATGTTGTGACACAGACCGGGACCAGAGTTCTAGCAGCTCAGAGTGGAAGATCACTTGGCAATGACATGGGGATGATGATAAACCCTCCGATGCCGCCACCCCCAGGTCTCCCACGACCACCAACAAGACACACACGACCAAAAAAGTCAAAATCAAAAGCCTTACTGGCTGGTGCTCCGATTGATTACTATCCATCTTTTGGATCAACCTGGTTTTGGTTCCGAGGTAGACTCTTTCTCTTTCGCAGGTGCGGCACAAAATATGACAGCCAGGGAATAGACGACTATTGGAGTGCGCCAGACGGCTCTGAACATATCGTACTTCTATGTGTCGGAAGAAGCCCAGAACCACTCAAGAGGTTTCTGGAAGTGTGCCGCGAGAATGCCAATAAGAAGACGGAGACATTCACTAGCATCCATCTTTGTCAAGACGGATTTCGCGCGATGTGGGACACGCATATGCTTCGCCCGGCCCGGCCATTACACACTGTAGACCTTGATGAGGTCTTGAAGAAAGATATCGTAGCTGATATCGAAGCATATCTTGCGCCATCGACGAGACGATTTTATGCAAGAAGAGGCATCCCTTACCGCCGCGGATATCTCTTCCACGGCGAGCCAGGGACTGGGAAGACATCGTTCTGGTATGTGATGTTATCTGATGATTGATAATTTGCTAAACTTCGCACAGTCTTGCTCTAGCTGGTTACTTCAATCTCGAGTTATACGCCCTCAATCTCAGCAATCTTATGAATGCCGCCGGTCTTCTCCGCCTGTTTGCCACCTTGCCTCAAGAATGTATCATCGTTCTGGAAGACATTGATTCTGCTGGCATCCAGCGTGAAGCATCCGAAGATTTTTCGTGGTACGACAATACGAACAGCCCACACGGTGGCCCTCCACCGCCTCCACCTCCACCTCCACCTCCGGGTGCGGTCACACTCAGTGGCCTACTCAATGCTCTCGATGGTCTTGCATCACAAGAGGGCCGTGTGCTTATCATGACATCAAACACCCCTGATGCTCTTGATAAAGCGCTGATTCGACCCGGTCGTGTCGACCGCCAGATCTGTTTCGGACTTCTGACGCCAAGCGTCGCCGAGAGTATCTTCATCCGGATGTTCACCATGGACGAAGATTCGGATGATGGTGAAAATCCCTCGTCCGAGACATGCCTCGAGGCCTCTTCTGAATTGAACACTGCCGTCAACGGTACAATCCCCGGCACCCTCCTCCCGGACATCGATCCTGCAGCACTACGTGCTCTTGCACATGATTTTGGAACCAGGATCCCACCTGATACCCTCTCGCCCGCTGAGGTTCAAGGCTTTCTGCTTCAGCATCGCGATTCACCAGCTACGGCAGTCGAGAAAATCGAGGAGTGGATTGAGGAATTGAAGAGAACCCGGGAGACGAAGAAGAAGGAGAAGGAGGAAGCGTTGGAGAAGCGTAGACACGATATCATGGAAGCGAACGAGAGGATGTATACAAAGAGGAGAGAGAGAGAGCTGGTCGTGGAGAAGATTGCGGAGACTATGCAGGGGCGCAGGAGGAGGCGAGCAACGAACGAGAAAGTCAAGAGAGGGCGACGAAGTGATACCAAGAGCAGGCAGAAGAAAGAAGATGGATGGGTTACTAGTGAAGAGGTTGACTTGCCGGAGGGGAAGGATGTTGATGGGCTGCTCAAGAAGGCAGATACTCCGGATGGCGGACTGAATACAAGTACGGCTCCCGCAGCAGTAATAGAGCCCGCGAAGGAGCCTGAGCTCAATTTCGATAGTATCATTGCGCCCCCTGCACTTCCTACGAAAGTGCTTACGAATGGTGTCCATTGATTACGGGGTGGTGGTCGATCAAATTGTATCTTTTCCCAGCTCGTACTCCAAGCGGTCCACTCAGATACATAAGCTATGTAGCATCATAGAACAGTAGACTTGAATAGCTCTTAGCTCATATTGAATCCTATGCATCATGCCTTACAATCGCGTTTGGACTCGTATCTCGTCTATCTAGTCCATGTACATCATTCGTCTCTTGCATAGATTTCTCACACCTGTCCCTACTCATTGTGCTTAAATTTTCCTCGATTCTCCCCTTTCCGCCTGGTCTTCAGGTCAAGCAGTTCTGCTACTATCTTAATTTTCTAGCCTAGATGGTATCAAGTTGAACTATTCGGGGCTTGAATACCAACTATAATATTCGCCAGACCGCGGGCGATACTTCCAAGACCTCCCCTTTGGTTCTAATCGTCGCGGAGCTGGTCTCTCTCACGGCTGCTTATGCCCCTTAATCTATGATTATGCCCGGGTTCGATACTAAGCCATCATTCTTTGAAAAGCCCGCTATGACAAAGTCATGTGTTCCAACCTACCCACATCTTTCCGGCATCATCTCAGCTCTTCCTACATTTCCTCACGGGCTCCCTTTATTGTATTAAAGTCCTACCCGGACAATCCTCCCAGGAGGCTTCTTCTTGTATTTGGCCAATGTGCTATTCCTTAGACCTATAATAGTTGACAGACCTCAAAGCCGGCCCAACTTTATTCACCGGTGTCGGTTTTTCTCATCTCGCTCTCTCTGAATGGACGACTAGAACAGTGCTCGCTAAGCGCCAATCGATGATCTCGTCATCACCAACGTAGTCACCACCCCTAGCGGACCGTTAAGTATAGCTTGTGAGTCGTTGCGCTACTTGTATTTGCCTTGCCGCCATTCGTGTCTTTGTTTTTTAAGGTGCGGAGGTATATCTTACTGCTAGATTTATTACTGGTTCCGATATCTTTATGGGCGAGGTTTGTGAGCAGGTCGCCAGTGCTTTTCTATAAAACCAAATTAGTCATTGAGAGCGGCTTTCAGTGAGAGGATTTAGTTTCCTAGAGTTCGTGGGGGGTTTCGGCTTTTCAAAGCCATCATTGAATGCGGTTGTCGTCACTTGGAACACATAATAAACGTACTCGACGAACAATACAGCGTGGAAAAGGGTGTATTAGAGATTGGCGACCTGAAGTTCAGATATGTACTCAAGACTGGTTGCGTCTTATGCGGCAATCGCATAGTGTTCGATTGGACTTGTACAACGAGCGGGGAGGCTAGCCCGCAACGGAGAGCAGCACCATAACAAATATATTGGGAGATCTCATACCGATGATATAATTAGTCGTGCGCAAATAGACATTTATTAATCACTATTACACGACTCACTTTGTAGCAGTTTCGGTGGGAGAGCAGTCTCCGATTGATTTCCATAGTCAAACGGTCAAGATATCAGAGAGGTGCAAGCTGTAAATGCCTCGCCACTCCTACCGAATTCTCATTAAACAGCGATCGTCAAGGCTAATGGATCATAGAGTGTGGACATTCGAGGTCGACGAGTGGTAATTGTTTCTTGGCCAGTTCTTCAGTGGTTCTCCTATCTCAATTTCGGTTGTTCTAGAGCTAAGAATAAAATATTTACAGGCCGCAGAATGAAACAAGATATCTAACTAGAAGTATAGAGTGAATTTATCCTAGTTATTCTATCGAAGACATCCAGTGCTAAACAGAATGTGTATTCGTCCGTTGGGGTTTATCCTGTTTTACGCGCACATGGCCCACTTGTCCTAGGCCATCAAAGCTAAAAAAGGTTGAGTTCTGCGTCGGATTCCCTTTGCTATTGGGTGCTTACATCTCTTCCATATCCAATCACAATAGCTTCGCATCCATGGCATAGTTGGTCTCTATCATCTATCATTGATATCCTTAATCGCTCAATCTCTGCATAGCTTTGCTTTGTGAGTAAGATACTAAGTTCCTTTGCTACTCCTCTATCGCCACATAGACAGTTTAACATCTGAACTCTAGCAATTGCTACTAGAAACTTCCAAAAGACATTCACTTCTATGGTTGTTGGCTCTCGTAGGGACCTTACACTTCTGATCGGAGCTTTTCTAAACTGTAAGACCCGAACCTCATTCCTTGTATGCCGTGTAGGCGCTGCTGCTGCGTGTTCGGCATAGAAAAATCTCCTTCATGGCATTTTCGCCGAATCCTCTCAGGTTATAAGTGCTCTTCTAGTAGACGACGCGTCTGCGATGTACATTCTTCTGAATACCATTCATAGAACTACTCAAGACATACCTAAGTAGCTGCAATGAGACAAAATAGTCCGTTAGATAGCCGAAATGTTTCACAAATACGACTTCTATCATGTGATCGGCCCACACTACAAACAGCGGTTTGCAAACACTTAGTGATGAATTACAAGGTAGCTCTAGGAGAATCAAACCATTGAATCGAGATCACTTGTGTCTTCGGGTTTCAGCTTGACTTCAAGATGAAAGTCCAGTAGCTCATCCAAGCCACGAGTATCGGTAGAAGCGGTATAATGATGGCCGATAATATAAAGATAGATAGAGGATATCCCTTTGCCTGAAGGTCTTTATGGTAAGGCGATAGAAGGATCCCTAAAAAAGCATGTGTTATTTTGGTAATTAACGCTATTATAGACTATATCATGCGAACCAGGAAAGATAATCTATGAGAGTAACTTAAACTAACAAAATTTCAATCTACAAACTCTGTCGGGAGAAGATTAATTACAACATCAGGAAGTTAATCTACGACAAAGAGTACTTAGAATCATTTCCACCTTGCACTTCGCAGTTTGATAGCGGAAAGGGACTGGATAATCTGGCGAACAAATTAGAACGTGTATCGTGATTCCATACTAATAATAATTCAAGAGATAGATAACATCATTGCTATCTCTAGGGAGTCTTCTACTTGAGGAGTTCGAGAGAGACGTGTAAAATAATACTATAAGATCTAAGACAGAGTAAGAGAAAACGACATGAGTAGATGGAGCTACCTATAACCTTGATGATAGTAGGCATAGTGACAGAGATAGCAATTTCTCCTTGCAGTGCTAGTAGCCATAGGATAATACAATTTTACGCTTCGAGATATAAACATGCTTTATCCTATAATTCATTTATAAGATTATGTAAAGAATATCATGCATGATTACATTAGTACACTTAGTACCTAAACCACTAGCACATAGTAGCTATTATACACGATTGTTCCTACTATAATTCCTAGTAATCATCTACTCTTCATGCTTATCTCTAGATATGCTAGCTTTTAGTGGCCATAATATAGCGATACTGTTCCACTTCTAGGCGCACTTTTACAGGTACCATTTAATACAACGAATACTCTCCACATTATTACGCGGTGTCCATGCTCTAAAGACTAATATATTTATGATCCAAGCTCTACTTTAGGCGGTTTCTTCTTCTCTTAGGCGGGCATTTATGATTCCCGTTTATTATACACGTAGAATCTACACTAATATAAAGAAGAGCGTGCTGTTCCTAATAGTACTCTACCATAAATCCCTCTTCTTATCTTTTAGTATTATCTATGTCTACTCTATAGTAATAGAATCTAATTATCTTTTTAGAGAGAGACTTAGTCATTACTAGTACTACTTAAGTTTAGATATCTCTTCTTACATCTTAAATGGCCTAATATCTATCATATAGTAATATAATTACTATAATCTTTAAAGAAGTCTTTTTTTCTTTCTAGTAGTTCCTAAGCTAAAGGAGCTTCTCTAGCCTTCATATATAGCTGTATATATTTATTAGTAAGATAGTCTCTATACTCTCTAGATAAGGCTATACTATTTTAGCATAGTACTTAAGATAAATTAGTTCTTCCAAATTTCTTAAGTTATTTATATCTATTTTATAGTAGGGTAGTCTCTATGCTTCTCTATAGATAAGTATTTTATATCTAGAAGTACTTCTACTTTAATATTTCTTTTCATCTCTATATATTTCTAATATCTATTCTATAGTAATATAGTTCTTATACGCTTTAACAAACACTAATTACTCTGCTAATGGTATTTAAGCTATACTAGCTCTCTTAATCTTGGAAAGATATCTATATCTATTCTATAGTAAGGTAGTCTCTATACCCCTTGAAAGATAATTATCCCATGTCTAATAGTACTCAAGTCTAAATGCCTCTCATTGCCCTTTAGATTAGCCTATACCCATCCCTTAGCCATGTGGTTCTTCGACAATGGGAAGGTCATAGAAGATACTTTAATCATTGCTTATTAGCATTGAGCCATGAAATGGCTTAGTTAATTTGTATAGGGTCTCGGGTAATACTTAGTTCTGGAGCCATTGGCGAGCTAGTGTATCCGATACTAGCAGTACTTCTTCTGATTAAGAGCTGGAATAACCCGAAAATAGGAGTATCCATCTGGTAAAGACGTGATTCTACTGCGCTATGGACTAACTAAAAGTGAGACCTAGGGAGTCTTATGTCGCAGGATCGTTCTACCTTGAAATTTCAACCATTTTTAATAGGCCAGACGGTACAGGGGTCCAACACTCACTTCACCTTTAGAATAACCAATTATAATAAAGCTTTAGTGCCTTGGCAGTCTCTATTGAATCTATACACGCACTTTTCTAGTAGTTTCTCATCGCTCTCTCACATATCTATACTATACACACACAATCAACCATGTCTGAACACATCACCAGCAGAAGCGACAGAGACTCCGCAGACGTGGGCGATGTCAATCAGCTCCCCTTGACACAGCCAAAGGTTTCAGATGACATATCACTCGTTGTCGGGGCTAACAGGGTTCCTTTCATCATTTCCCGAAAAGCCCTCGCCCTCGCTGGCCCAATGCTAGCAATGGCACTCTCAGAGAGTCTTCAAACAGTAGTACCAGATGTTCATTCTGTCGAATGGCCCGAGGAGAGTCCATATGCCGTTGAGATCGTCTTAAACATTCTTAATGGTCATTTTAAGAAGATTCCACAGTGTTCCCTCAGCTTGGAACAGCTCTCTGCCCTGGCAAAGTTTGTCGACAAGTTTGAGATCCAATCTACCATCTCTCCATTCTACCGAAAATGGGTCCAGGACCTAGATCAGGAGCTCTCCTGCGCTGAAGATCCAGCGCACTTCAAGATATATTGGGCTTTTGGCCTAGAGAGCTACTTCTCAAGCCTTGCGCACACGATGGTCCTTCATACCCACGAAACAGATAATTCTTATGATATACGGATGCACATTGAGAGCTTGAAGAAGATAGATGCTCCTCCACGAATTATCAGTATGCACATAGCTCTACATTTCAAAATTTAGATCTTGTTCGCTAATTGCTTGTGTCGTAGGTAACATTCTAAAAATTCGTCAGGATGCTATCGGAAGAGTTCTCCAATGCCTGAGTAGTCGAATTTCCAGGGCCTATTCCGGCGTGGACTGCAGCACTTCACATAGGAAAGATAAATGCTACACTATCACCATGGGCTGTATTACCAAAGCCCTCCTGCTAAAGGGACTGTGGCCTATTCCGAAAGCCAAAGATGTGAAGCACAGCTTATTATATCTGTGCCAAGAGGTCAAAAAGATTAAAGCAATACCCTACCAAGATTCTACCAACGTGCACGCCGGGTGCGCGTATAAGTTCAAGTTAAAATCTGACATGGTCACAATTTTAGACCATCTACCAAGTCCGCTAGACAATGGACATCAAATTTACTTCAGAGAGGTTGCGAAGAGACTCTAGGCAGATCTAAAAAAAACCTTTTTAGACGTTATATCTTCGCCGATAAGAAGTCGAAGATGGATAGCAAGAGCAAGATCTTTTAGATTTTCTTTGTCTTACATTGCATTGAGCGATCGGTGTTGAGCAGAGCACAATGTTTGTTTCAAGCTAAAAATTTCCCGCTGTATAAAGGATCTCGATCTTCAAGGAGTTCTTACTTAAAAATGCATAGTAGAACACATTAGTAATACCATGCACTACCCAATAGGAATCGAAATTGTTTCTATACAACCGAACTCCAAGCCAGTGATTCTATACACGTTAGCCCCATATAATCCAACCACAATCTTCACCTCTATTGTATTCAACCACAAGAGCTTACTCTTAAACTCTCTATCATCCAAAAGCCCTCCTCTGGCATTACTAAAGCTCAAGCTTAGTGAGCCGTACCTACAGCGCATGACACAAGCTTTGCCATCGTGATAGCTTCGATCACGTTCTGGCACATGGACGATAGGACCCGGACACGATTTTTTTCCTGTCTCTATTCTTAGTCCTTGTAATACAAACAGCTTTGATAGACTGGAGTAGAGAGTTATTGGATAATTCGGAAGTTAGTCAGGGATACGAATGTAGCTCGGCTGTGTTAGTGTGAAACTAATCGATCTTCGTTGTACTGGGTGGATCGAGTAGGAGAGGACCATTCAAGTCTTTTGCGATACGACAAATATCTTAATTTAGGTAATTAGTCCGTCTGTTACGTCTTTTCGTGTTACTTGGAAGGGGTATGTTGTTCAAGCTTCATATTGAGCTATGGATCAGGAGATAAATCCATGTGCAGAGCAGTATCATATAGTAAAAGAATATCTCTACTTAGTAACCTCTTTAGTACGTATTCCAACGATGATTCTCGTTGGGAACATAATATCATGAAATATATTAGCCATTATTCATTTAATCCGAATCTTCCACCTGCTCTGCTTCCTCTTCAAAACCTCTGGGGTCCGAATTTTTCGGATGCGACATGATAGTATCCATCTCGAATTGAAGAAACAGGCTCGTTGGGAGGTGTTATAGAGGTCTTGTACGCTTCGGCAACCTTCAACTTTAGGTCGTTCCGTATCCTATCTGGGGCGTCATTAGGGTTGGCACCGTGGTCGCAAAGGATTCGCATGATGCTTAGGCAGCTACCGGATGCACATCGAAGGTCTCTTAGAAAGGTTACGAGGAGTGCCTGGCCTATTCTAGCGCCCTTATCGAGCAGTAGTCGGACCATTCTCTCATTGCCGAGAAAACAGGCTAATTCAAGAGGGCTATATTTATCCATGTTGACATTATTCGGAGGACGCTGTTGTACCACGCCCGGCTTATGATACCATATCGTAACGTCACGCATACAGCTTACTCTGAAACTCTTGACACATCCTCCAGGTTCTATGATAACCGCGTGGTTGGGTAATCCATTGATGTCGGCGCCAAGGTCGAGCAACCGTCGCACAATTTTTTGGTCGTCTCTGGCGACAAATGGTATAAGAATGTCTTTTTGCCTAATATCGATTCCAAGCCCGAATAGATGTTCAACCATTTCGTCATGGCGACTTTCATGTGCAGTATCGAGGACATGGTTGATTGTAAATCTACCAAGCTGATCCCTATAGTCACTGTAGATTGCGCTTACCAAACCTCGGTGACCACGCGAAGCGGCTGCTGTGAAGGCTTCTGAAGCACGTCCAGGCATCTCTTTTAAAAACATAAAGGTGAGCCGTTGGTGACCTCGATTTGCGGCTGCTACTATACATCTGTCTCGATCACAGCGAGACCATGGATAGTCATTTGCCTCAGCAATGAAGTTAAGCAAAGCATCATTGGCATGGTCAATTGTAGGAAGACTCATGTTGCCCTGGGTATACTCGACCCCCTTTTTGAATTTGCCGCGCCAGTCGTTTGAAGCTGCATATACCTTACATAGCTGACGTAGGTGTTCCGTTTCAGCGTGCTCTACACGAACTCTTAGAAGTGATATGGCGGCTTCTTTGTGACCCTGTGCAAGTGCAGCTATAAGCGGTAGCTTATACCGACAATTATTATCGAGCGCCACATATGCATCACCGACAATGTGATGGGCAATGAGACGTGCATAGCCCCTGTCCGCGAGAACGTATGCCATTCGTGTCTCCCGTCCATAACCTCTAGCTACAAATCTCTCACAGGCGTTATACTTTTCAATCCAGTCGGAGAGATTGAATTCGAACTCCTTAATGAACTTATTTTGCGGTATCGCGTATCTGGCTGCTTTGTCCGAATGATATAGTATACTTTCCGTCGCGTACCCTAGCAGACCAAAATTTTTCATGATAGCATCTCGCGTTTCAAGGTGGTCGTGTCGTGACTTTTTAGCAGATGGCTTATAGTGGCGTAGGTTGACCGCTGCGATATATTTCTCACACTGTAATTTTAACGTCTCGTGGCTCATTCCAACGGGGTCAGTTGCGTATCGAGGGTTGACATCCTCGAGACCACCGTTTAGTAGGAAATCACGGACAGACTCATGTATAAATTGGATAGTGGGATTATTCTTCGCCTTGGTCTTCTCGGCCAAGCCTTTTGACGCATCCACGATTATCTTCTCCATATCCATAGTGTCTGTGTCCGAAGAGCTCGGAATAGTGCCCTCAACTTTATGCAGGATCGCCATGACCAACTCTTGAGCACTCAGTGGTCTCTGAGCAAACAGGACCCACAGTAAGCAGACTTCTAGTTTATCATTTCCCGTAGAATCCCTCACTATAATACTGCGAAAGAGGGCATGTAGGTCGTCAGGTATCTTCTCGAGCTTTTTCTCTATCTTGTCAAGTCTGCCCTTGTCGTATTCTTTGTTAAGCAGTTCTACCACCAACACGACCCACATGAAGACACCAGAAGCTCGTTTTAGAATTTCTCTTCTTATCATGTCGGCACGAGTTGTTTTTCCAATCTGTAGCATACTGCTCAGGTATCGCTCAATGTCTTCTGAGTGCCCAGCTTCATTTTCAAGTATGATGCTCTCGGCTTCTTGAAGAGTAATATTAGGATAGTGTCTGCTGGCAAAACATATTCGTATTTGGCAGTCTGAGGTTGTTGCAACCTCGCAAAGCTCTTTAAGGAAGTAGACCATGTCTCGGATCTCAGCCTCGCCACATTCGTCTAAAGCATCAATGAAGCATAGAGCATATTGATGCTGGAGATTCTCAACGGCCGTGAATAAGAGGTATTTTAACGGCTCCAATTCCCATTCTCCAAAAGGCCCACGGGTTGACCCGAAGTCTACGGCAGCCAACACCGAACGCAGCGATGGAACCTTCTCTAGAAGCTGGACAAGGAGGGAACGGTATGCGCCGATGGTCGTTTTTTCCAGCTCTGTACCTCGCGCATTGAAGTAAAATGACAAGTGGATTCAATCACCCGTGATGTTATTTTTTCTGGTACAGTCGAGGAAATTCATCAAGGTGGACTTTCCACTTCCTGGCTTACCCCTGATCCATATCAATGAGCCTTGGTTGTCTGTGCCTTGATGCTCTAGCCATCTTTTATAAGATGGAAGCTCCAGGAACCATTTGCAGGTCCTAGCATGGGCCGCTTTGATTGATCGTTGACGTGCTCCGTACTCGTCGAATTTCAAACTGGCCAATAGTTCCTTAACGGCTCCAGGCGTATATCGGCCTTGAAGGGCAGACTTCTTCGAAATCTCTTCTCGGAGCCTGAACATTGCCTTCTCCAGAGTTTCATTATATATGATAGACATTGAGACCCCAAACATTCCAAGGAGTGAGTAGGCTTTGTCCTCTTCCCGGGTTGTTTGACGTCCAGATGCCCAGGAAAATATCTGGTCAACACTAATGTCACTGACAGAAGTAGTACCACGGAGAACATCAGCGTCGATGTGAGTCAGGTCGCATAGGTCACCGACGAGTGAGAGCTTGTTACCAAGACGTCCACCCTCCTTGGAGTAGAACTCGACAGTTCGTGGCGCTATAAGCTCTTGTAATGTCCAGCCCCGAGTGAACCAACGACTCATTCGAAATTCCTGCTTCCAACTTGTCTCTGATGTAGCCAGGGCATGAACCGTAGTCGAGACATCTGATAGATACACATAGCATTTGGTAGCCTTTTGGTACCAACGAAACATAGAGACCAGTGCTTCTGAGAGCTCAGAAGTGTCCCTCTTGTTAATACAGCACGTGTCGACCCAGAAGTACTCCAGATGATCTATTTGGGCTTGGCGATTGCAGAACCAGAGCTTTTGGTACCCAGCTTTTTTTTTTTGCAATTACCAGTGCCAATATCATCGTATTGGACTTCATCCTCGGGTCGGCCCCAGACATGAGAGAGAATTGCATATGGCGGAGCCTTGTTTTCATCGCAAGGCGGAGCGAAATTGAATCCACTGCGACCGACTTTGAGTAAGCGCATTGTGATGACCCTGCTGGCGGAGAAGTGAGGAGAATAGAGATCACGGTCCAGGCTCAAAAGTAATGGCAATAGAGAGGTGAGGATAGATCAGCAGAGACTTTCAATTGCGACGAGGCTGAGCAGGTCTTTTTTATAGTCACGTGAAAGTATGAGTGAGGGGCATGCTTATGATGCATAAGTACGAGACGGTCATACGTCACATAATACCCTTGGTTCCTATCATGCAATCGTGAAAAACACATAGTTACAGTATATCAGTCCTGTGCTGCCTCTGATGTCATTCAGACACAGCCTGAAGTTCGTCTGTATTCCCGGGGACTAGCACACATCTCTATACCAGAGCAGCTGAGGCCCAGCGCCGGGGGTGACGCACAAGCGCGAACGTTCGATAGCGACGATCAGCGGCACCGAAATCCTATCGAGGAACTCGGATTGAGTCTTCGGAGACAGCGTCATGGTTCGTCTACACACGTTTCAACCATCAGAAGTTTCAGCCAGCCAGCCGGACTGCATCCGAAGGCTCTCCTGCTGTCTCTCAATTGCCAGCTGCACCGGATCGGTCCTCCTGGGATGAAAGCTCGGCGCTGGCGACTTTAGTATACCACGACTCCCATTGGTCTGTGAGTATAGTTTGGGAGTTCTATTCCACGCCACCTTCTTCTCCTCCTTGTCCTCCTCATCCTCATGTATCGACGGCTCACTTGGCTCCGGACTCGGCAGCACAGCTTCAAGTTGGCGTGGCGTCAGCGCGAGCTCCTCTGGTATTTCGCACAAGGGATAAACGCGCGTGCGATCAGTGTTGGCTGTTGTTTGACTGCCTTGTCGGAACGATCGCATACTTCTGTAGCTTAATTTTCGGAGGTCGCGAAATCGCTCGGCTATGAGCGCACGGAGCGGAGGCATACATGCGGCGATGATTGCAGTGTTGACTTCAATACAGGACCACCAGGCTGTCATGGAGCCGTAATAAGATGCGTCGGTGAAGTTGTGTGCGAATCGGATGAGTGAGTACAGGCGTAAGACTGATACTGCACAAACGCTATCACTTTGGTCAGACTGGAACAGTGCCTCAAGGGACAGGACAACTCACAACCACCCGATGGCGAAAATGAAACTCACACCGATCTTCTGGTGGATTGGGAGACCAAGTCGCCATATGCTAGGCAGAGGTAATACAGTGATGACGAAGTCTGTACCAATGTTGATGGCAGCATTGGCTTCAAAGAGCCTTAGGAGCCGTTAGCTTAGGTCTGTAGCCGACTTTCATGCTGTACTCACGCAAACATATTGACGCATTTTGCCTTCACGCTTAAATTCCAGAACCCATTCGCCGGCGTGCATGTGAAAAGTCCAGAAAACACAATCGAGAGTCCAAAGCACAGGACGAACGAACCAAGAATCCACACGACCCACATAAGGCTCTTCGAGGCGTGGAAAATGCGTCGATACAAGAGAAGAATACTGAGCTTCGTGAATGTAATAGCGACACCATAAAGAGCTATGCTCCAGTATAGGTACTGTTATCAACAGTTAGTAGGCTGATCGAAACGTCGAAAAAGGTCCTCGATCCTACTCACAAATCTCTGCTTCTGCAGTTGGTACGGCGACAGAAATTGAACATGTTTCCCAGAGCCCCATTGAACCTCTACATGCAGTCAGCCAGACTCCTCACATCGAGGCGCGAACACTCACGCATTATCTGACAAACGCCCATCCCGATCGAAAACAGCATGCCGACGAGCATCAACCAATCATCCCTCCCCAACCCCTTCGTTACTGCCATACGTGAATAAAACCTCATAAGCACAACGACCAGAGCGCCGACTTCAAACGCAATGACAATTGCAAGCGTTGTTTGACCCAAGTCGTCACTCTCGAGCTTCGCTCTTTGCGTCGGACTAAGATCAGACGCCATGTCGAATACTGCTGAAAACGAGGTACAGGATTGTGAAACTGTACATGGGAAAAGGATATGCCTGCCTGTCAGATCTTATAAGGTACACAACAAGGTTGGCGCCGAACTTTTAGTTGACTTGCCCTTTTCATTATCAGCACTAGAGTCAATCCTTCAGGGCTCTAAAAATTTCGGCGAAAGGGTATAAAGGCACTAGTGTGTGATCCGAGAGCCCGTATCGGTCTCGTGGGCCGCTCCCACTACTGCTTAGGCGGAACGGTAACAGATTTAGCGTCGAGGTTTATTTCTAGCCAGCGATTGACAGGCCACATTTCCGGTAGAAATCAATGTCAGGGCTGGCATAGTCTGGGATCTGCGATCTCAAGGCCGTAGCTGCGATTTTATGCTTTGGCACTTTAGGCGTGTCGAATACACAGGCGCTCGACGGCGCCAACTATGAAATCAATTCCGTACGTCATCCCACGATGATGTCTGCAGGGACGTAGCGTTTTGAAGTGCTTGGCCCTTGTATTTCGAATATGGACAGGGCAGGTGGCTGCCTTACGCCGAGAGATGCGATAATGAGGGTCACATAGTATCGCACGGTCTGAACTCACTCTGTAGATCTATCTGTAAAGCTTCACTGTGCAAGCGTCGATTGCCTCGCTGTACTGAGATCTATGGCAATGAAGTAGACGCTTCTCATTCAGTATAAATGACATATTTGATATTCAATTACCAGATGGCGCGAAAAAAGCGATGTCCAAGTAGTTGCGTATTCACGGTACAACATAAACCCCTCGAATGTCGATCACCCTTTATCAACCTTGGAAGACGACGTGCTTGCCCACCTAATACTATCTAAGCCTAGCCTGAACTAATGCCCAAGGCCCCTCTCATTATTCCGAGGGTAAGGTTTGTATCTGCGCGATGTCCAACGATTGCGCTATTGTCGATCGACTTGCCATTTTCAATCACAAGCAGCGAAGTAGACTCGCTTGTTGATATATGGGAATATGAATGCCTGAGGTATAAAGGCATACAGGTGAGCCGCAACAGATTGCCTGCTTCAAGATTTGGTGGACTAAGGTAAACACAGCGCGATCGCCACAAAGAAGGTCGGAAGGGTTGTAAGATATGAGGTTCACATCTATGTCTATATCCGATTTATGCCTTCGACGATCTATGTGGTACACAGTTTTTAATCTATATGTGCTCTATAACGTCGCACAAAGCCACTAAGCTCTAAGCTCTACAACCTCGCCCTCTCCTTGAACTCCTCGTTTTCTCTCTTCAAAGGCTCCGACGCCCCGTCACCCGATGACTGAGGCTTGCCAGGTGTATTACTCTTCTTCGGCGCTGATATATATCCACCCTTCACATTGTCCGCATTGACAATCTTCCCGCTCTCGTCACGCTTGATTCCCAGCTCAACGAGCTTCGCAAACGCGGCCGAAAAATCTCGATAGAACAGCTCCTTGTCTGCGGCATACTTCTTGACCCACGGCGCAAATTCCTTATCCTGAATCAGCGCCAGATCACTCGGCAGCATCATCAACTCCTCATCTAGATCCTCATCGTAGTGCACGAATTGCTTGACACCATTATCCAAAGTCTTCGGTTTCCACTCCAATTCTACCATCAATCGGAAATATTGGTTCGAAAAACGTGTCGGGTTAGGCACCCACGGTCCATGGAAGCCGCTGCGATCCTTGTGCGTGCGGCCGAGATTATGAGCTCCGCTCAGCGCCACGATTTCTTGGTCGTTGAAGCCCATGCGGTAGAATATGAAGCGAACGTGGTCAGCGCCTTGTGCGCCATCGGGGAGTCGACCACGAGGTGGGAGTTTGCTGTCATCGACATAATCTGTGCGACCGGGTTTCCATGGTATAGTTGGTCCGTCCATTTCTTTGATGGCGATGATGCCGGCGAGCGTCCACAGGTCGGCGTACGTAAGCCACGGATGCTTCTCCTTAACTGGCTCGAGGAACGTACGCGCATGTTGGAGACCAGCGTTGGCTGGATCACCGCCTTCAGCCTGGGATTGACTTAGAGATTGTCCCACATGAGGACGGACGAGGGACCACGTACCTCGTAGCGCATTCCGGCGCCGTTAGAGCCGCCAGTGTCGGTCTCCGCATCGTATGTGCCTGCGCTATGCCATGCTAGACGGACAAGAACAGGCCCAGCACTCCCATCGTCGTATTCAGGCTGGTGTAGCAGCTTCTTGATATCAGCCGCTACGGCCTCATAGTTGCCTGAGTTTGACATCGTCTATGGCAAGTTGAAATATATGCAACAAATCTCGAAAGGTCAGAGGGACAAGAAGGCTATCTGAGCCTGATTTACGCAAAAAGTAAATCTATAACGTGTCGACAAAGCAACAGGAGCATAGCATGCTTCTATGATGCCTATATTAAGGGGCGCGGTTGCCACCATGTGAGTGACAAAAGCGCGTCATGAGGTGCCTCGGCATCGCGAGAAAATCGCGTCTAAGAGCTTATCAACGGTTGCGCACGAGCGTGGTCGGATGTTGATAAATGCAATGCATGGGCCTGTGATGCGTTTTGGAAATAATCAAAGTCGAGATCATTTGCGTGATACTGTGGGTCCGCGTCGGCGAAGACCGGGACTTTGGCCGGCTACGGGCTTTTCTTTCGGAACGCGGAATATTCAACACCATCATGGTATCGTGATTCATCTTTGAATAGAGGTTCGGCTTTTTTACAGTACATGCCTAGTCCCCGTCAAATGAAATCTTGTACAAAATCGTAGCTGGAACTTGCGCAATTGTTTTGCTCTACCAGTCTGCTATGGCTGGACACCAAACGATGTCTGCATCATCAGGATGTAGCCTGACGCGAATCAGTTTGTGTCCTGCGTAGTCCGTGGCTTCCGAAGGACTGGAGAGGTTTGCGGATCGCGAGACAAGAGGACGGAGCCTAAGATGGAGAAAAACAGACTTGAGTCTTGGTTGACCCGCATACATGAATGAATGGCTTGCGACGTTCAGCCGAGGCTCGAGAGTGTATACAGAGCGATGATGTGAGAAAATTACGTGAATGAAGCTGAGGATGATTACGGTGAAGATGTTTAGACGGCATGAGATACGGGTGGAGGAGAGGATGACGGATATTTGTATCCTGGCGTATTTGGATGCTTGACGTCAGGGCCAAATAATCTAATGCGGAGGTTACCATTGATACGAAACGACTCGGGGAGCGGTCTCAGACATTGGTATACAGTGTATGAATCTAGGCTGTTACACTTGAATCTACGAGATGAAGGAGGGAGGAGTTGCCTTGCTCAAACATCTTATAGACCTTAAGCCCACGTCCCGCCAGATATAGCTATTGGATGATGAGTTGCTTGTTTTTATAGGACCTTAAAGAGGTCATTATTCAGTCATATTCGTCTTAAGACCGCAATCCTATGCATTAGCCTCCACAACAAGGGACCTGCCTGTCAGCCTGAGGCAGAAGTATAAGGCTTCAACTCCACCACCAGCAATGGATCAGGCCCCACTATCAAAAAGTTTCCCCAGCTTTCACATCATGTCCTAGCACGCGTCGCCACACCATTGAATCTACACAACAATGGAGGATGACCGAGAGAAATCCAACTTAGGCCCTTCAGTACCCGAGGAACTGAACGAAGATATACCCGTTCAAGCGAAGCAGCCAAAGAAACGCTTCGTGGGCCGGCGAGCTGCACAGAAGTTGGAGGAACAGAATGCGCCAAACAGTAATATCGAAGACAGCAAAGCCATACAAGGTGCGGAACACAATGTTATCCTCTGTCCTCGTGTCCATATGCTGACCAGCTATCTATAGTCTCCAGACCTCGAAGATTCGCGCGAACCCTGAACAACATCCCTCCCGACATCCTCCAAGACACCGATATCAACGACGCAATCGCCCTCCTTCCTATCAACTACAACTTCGAGATCCACAAGACCATCCACCGCATACGAAGCAATGGCTCCAAGAAAATCGCTCTCCAGTTCCCCGAAGGCCTCCTCCTCTTCGCAACCACAATTTCCGACATCCTCACGCGCTTTTGCCCCGACATCTCCACCCTCATCATGGGCGACGTGACCTACGGCGCCTGCTGCATCGACGACTTCACCGCTCGCGCCCTTGGCTGCGACCTGCTCGTGCACTATGCCCATAGCTGCCTGATCCCAGTCGCCGTCACAAAGATCACCACCCTCTACGTCTTCGTCTCCATCTCCATCGACACCCAACACCTCCTCGCCACCATCGCGCGCAACTTCACCCCGGGCAAGACCCTCGCCCTCGTCGGCACAATCCAATTCAACACCACCATCCACGCCATCGCGCCCCAATTGCGCCGCGACGGCTTCAACATCCTCATCCCCCAAATCACCCCGCTCTCCAAGGGCGAGATCCTAGGCTGCACATCGCCCAGCATGCCCGTCTCCACGTCCATCTCCACCTCAGACGCAAACACCCCCGATATCCTCCTATACATCGGCGACGGCCGCTTCCACCTCGAATCCGCCATGATCGCCAACCCCTCGCTGCCATCCTACCGCTACGACCCTTACTCGCGGCGTCTCACCCGCGAAGAATACGCACACGACGAACTATACTCACTACGCAGCACCGCCATCCACACCGCCTCATCCGCCCAGAAATGGGGCATCATCCTCGGTGCCCTAGGCCGACAAGGCAACCCGCACACCCTCGAGCTCATCGAGACCCACCTACGCGCCCGCGGCATACCGTGGGTCAACATCCTGCTTTCTGAAATCTTTCCGGGGAAATTGGCGCTGATGCCGGATGTCACTGCGTGGGTCCAGATTGCGTGTCCGCGGCTGAGCATCGACTGGGGATATGCGTTTCCGCGGCCTTTGCTGAGTCCGTACGAGGCGCTAGTCGCGCTGGGAGTGAGGGAGGCGCCGTGGAAGGAGAATTTGGATCAGGGCAGGCCGAGGAATGACGATGCAGCGTACCCGATGGACTTCTATGCGCGCGAGGGCCTGGGCAGGACGACTAGGGAAACTGTAATGTCTGCCGCGGCGGCGGGATAAAGGAAACGTAGCACACATACCACAGAACGGAATAAAATAAAAGTAAAATTCGATCATTGGGTACATGAAGGACGAGTGTGACGACGAAACGAGACGTCCAAATCTGCGTGTTGAAGACGTAGTATACAAAGCCGCACGCCGCTCATACACCCCATGATCCATCCTAAGAGTCCGTCCAGATATACTGTTGACAGCCATTATTTCTCCTCAAACACCAAGGCAGGGTAACCGCCGCCCAAAAGCGAACAGATAAACCAGTCATGCAGCAGATGAAACTCAGATTCTAAATTTTTTTTCCCTTTGTTTGTGGTTTCACTTTGTACCTTAGCTAAATCTCCAGAGCCTTGTATCCCGGGTCGCTCGCGTTCAGGGGCTTGATAGCATCTTCTTTTGGCTCCGTAGGTACGCGCTTGACGCCCATGCCGTCGCCTCGACCAGCGATGCCAAATTGCCCCATGGCCGCGGTGACAGCCTTCATGCCCTCACTTGGATCCGACATCTGCGAAGCCTTTCGGAGCGCGTCTTCGAGGCCATGTGAACGCTTCTGGAATGCAAGTCTGTCGAGGAAGAGCTGTTGGCGACGGCGTTCCAGATCGCGGCGATCGGCAGAGAGAAGGGACTCGAGCTCGGAAAATTGACTAAGCTTGAGCTCGAGTTTCTGAAGCTGGGTGTTGACAGCGGTGGAGACGAGGCGGGTGATCTCACGCTCCTCGTGTGAGGCAAGAGCGGTTGCGCGGGCAGCAGTCAGGGCAAAGACCGTGTTCGGAATCGATGCAGGCTTATCCGAAGGTGCTTGCACAGCTGGCGCAACGTCAATGTCCATGCTATCTTCATTCTTGAGCTCTGCGGCAGGAGCTTTCTCTTTCTCCTTGTCTGACCTTGCGCCGGGCGTCTTCTCGATCTTCTCTCGAAGAACGCGGCGCATTTCTTCTACAGTCTTCCCAGCGGCTGCAGCTGCAACTGATGGATCAGCAAGACCTGCTAAGAATCCAACCACAGACATGACCGGGTTGTCAGCTTGAGAGAAAGGCACGCGTCCATTGCTCAAGTATGACAGGCTTCCAAGGTTTGCATCCGCTCCGTTCGGAGTCGGTTCGCCTTCCAAATAGGGGTCTTCGATCTCGAGTTGGAGAAATTTGAGCACACATTCTTCTCTCGTCCTGCTGCCGACGTGTTCAGAAATCTGGTTCCAGTCTTCATCAAATAGTTCAAGACCTTCCAGTAAAAGGAGAGTTTCGGCGTCGGTCCAAGGCGCATCGCGATCAGGGATGGCCGAGTATTTGTCGTTTTCGAGCTTGGTATAGTCAACAGCATTCGTCGAGGCTGGGAAGCGCCCCTCGAGGAAACACGTTGGACAAAGGTCGTACTTCATCATTTGAGCAGTTTTTCCTGTCGCCGAATGTGGAACCGACTTGGTATTGTGATAACGCACTTTCGTGCAGTCAATACCGCAAGTGTAGCAGTTGTATTGTTTACCGGCTTCTTTCAGCGTGTCGGCTAGTGACTTCGCGCCATTTGTTTCGGAGCTTTCGCCATTGGCATCTCCTTCTTTGCCCTCGGCAGGAGTAACCTCCTTGCCGTTTGACTCGTAGATATTCCGTCGGATCTCCAAATTGAGATCTGACTTCGAAGATGGGGCAGCGCTGGCTAGTCTTTCTGTACCAGCATGTGGTTTCCCCTGCGTAGTGACTATTTGCGGCGCGGGTTGGTGTGGTTGCAAACCTCTTGGTGTGTCCACAGTAACCTTAAAGTGGCCAGTAAATGGAGGTCCGATGTTTGATGGTCGTGTCTCAGGATCGACCTTAGAACTACATTTAGCATAGGAAAACAAGGGTTGCTTTTTGTCAATTTGATCTCACCTGGTAGTTGATCAGTCCCCATTGTTCTAGGAATGCGTGGACGCGCATGATGGCACAGACGTCTCCTGCTAAGTTTCTTCTACAAGCTGTGACGGTAAGGTATTCCGCGGGGTTTAGTCGGTATGTATTGACCATGAAGTCTCGATAATCCTTGTAGACAGCGGGCGTTTTGCTGCGCACTTTTCCGTTGAAGAATTCCCATAACGATTTCGTCTCGATCTTGTGAATTTTGTTCATGTCAAACCAACTGCTGTAACTCGGGAGGATGATGGAATGTGTTTGCGCGATCAAGTGGTTGCGAGCACTTGACTCAAGAGCTGCTTTCGCAGATGCCTGATTGTCCCCAGTACTATCGGCGCCCTCAGCTCCGTCCTGAGTAGCATCTCCTTCTTTCTTGACATCATCGCCGACGCCTCCCATCTCTTCATCTTGTGCAGCGTCTGTGTCTTCTGCTTCGGGGCGGGGCCCATCAGGAGCATCGAGCGGATTGTCTGATATCACTACCGGGGTCGCTGTTGAAGGTTCGCGCGAGCCAACTTTGAATATTAGAATCAATCTCTTTTTATGATGGCTAAGCGGGGTGCAAAGATCGCTTGTCGCAGAACCTGTAGGAGAATACGACTCGGAGCGATATGACATTGTCGATACCGAATCAGATAAGGATGACCTTTGTGCTCTGGCCATTCTGCCCTGGCCAATTTACAATGCAGAACAGTTTCCCGACAATACTTCGAACAATACTGAAAATTAATGTAGCTTACCTGTCACGTTCCCAGTCTGAATTTCTGATCCTTCTGCAGCGGGCGCATCAGTCGCGCCTCCACCTGCGGTGTTCATATCTGCAGTCTGACCCGATTGCGATACCTGCTGTCTGGGATCGATCTCATCGGCCATATCGAGAAGCAGCGATTGTCGCGTATAATGAAAGAAGGGGGCAGCGAGGTCGAGATGAAGTTGGAATGAGCGCGCACCCAGTATAGTAGTGCGAGCGGGCGGGACTGTCGCGACGAGAGCTATAGATTTTTACAACAAGGTCGGGCGTCGAGAGAGTGGGAATGGTTGTTATAAAATGAGGGGATGAATCGGCGTCGTGAACTTTGATGGTTCATCTCGACGCGACAAGAAGTCGTGCCAGGAGCGCTGAGACCAGCACAGCCTTACGAAAATTACGCATTGTGTAAGCAACGCACTAACCGGATATAGTTCTATAAGAACACCCACCCACGTGAAGCACCACCTCGGTTCGGGGCAGGTATGTTACTGGTGATGCCCGCAGGACTTGAGCGAGCAGATCTCCGTTGAATGTCTCCAAATTGGTAGTTCTATTTCTCACGAGGGCCTTCAATCTACTACCGCCGACACGTCGAGCTAATATCCTACAATTGTCCTCAGAAGCTTGAAATGCATTCTCTAGCGCGGCAATCGACCCTGCGCAGTGCTCGCTTCTGCCTGCGTCACAACCAACCGATAGCGATTTCGCGACTCTCAGCATACAGGAGACTTCTGTCAACACTCGCAGTCCTTGAACAAAGAGATGGAAAGCTCAATACGTCCTCGCTGGCTGCGGTGACAGCTGCACAGAAACTTGGAGGCACAATAACAGCATTTATTGCTGGTGGTGGAGTGAAAGCCGTAGCAGACGAAACTGCCAAGGTTAAGGGCATCGAAAAGATCATATATGTCGACAACGCAGCTTATGATCGGGTGAGATGTCTACTCAGTAGTCCTGGACTCAGCTGACAAAGAGCTTTACAGGGCCTGCCAGAGAATTATGCACCGCTGCTCGTAGAAAACATAAAGAAGGGTGGCTTCACACACATCTTCGCAGGTCACTCAGCATTCGGGAAGGCATTGATACCCAGAGTAGCTGCCATGCTTGACTCGCAGCAAATATCAGACATCACAGCAGTAGAGAGCGAAGACAGTGGGTGCTCTGGTCTCTTTTGCTTATGCTATTTGCTAACTGTACCACAGCTTTCGTTCGGCCCATATACGCCGGAAATGCCATACTCACGGTTCAGTCATCCGACGCTATCAAATTTATAACAGTCCGTGCCACCGCGTTCCCATCGCCTGAGCTCGAGGGAGGCTCTGGTGAGGCGTCTGAGGGAATCGACCCCAAGGCAGAATGCAATATTGAATGGGTTTCGGAAGATTTGGCGAAGTCAGATCGACCAGAACTAGCAACAGCAGGCAAAGTTGTGTCGGGAGGACGAGGCTTGAAGTCAAAAGAGGAGTTTGACAGGCTCATGCCTCCTTTGGCGGATGCCCTCGGAGCCGCCATTGGAGCTTCGCGAGCTGCTGTAGACAGTGGCTTTGCAGACAACAGTCTTCAAGTAGGACAGACCGGCAAGAATGTTGCGCCACAACTCTACCTCTGCGCAGGTATCTCTGGCGCAATCCAGCATTTGGCCGGCATGAAGGACAGCAAAGTTATCGCAGCTATCAACAAGGACCCTGACGCGCCGATATTTCAGGTCGCCGATGTAGGGTTGGTTGGAGATCTGTTCGAAAAGGTGCCAGAGTTGACAGAGAAGCTGAAGCAGTAAGCTTGTAGCCGGCATGGTGTTTCTGTAAATAGGAGATCAGGTGGCATCATTCAACTATTCTCCAGCGATATATACTGTAGAATGTATCTTTTGTGTATGCTCTACGAATAGCGCCTGACACTTCCTCATTCACCTACGTACATACCTAATAGTAGTAATAATTACCATTCGACAGGCCTATCCACGTATGGGTTAGTAGTGGGGCTGAACCGTTAACTAAGGACATTTAGGTTCGTGCTCGGCCCAGCCACTTCATTACGTGCAGCGTGTGATCGTCCTGGCGGCAGGACCATCATGAACGAGTCCTCTCTATGGCCTGAAGACACAGCCCCTGCATTTTGATAGATGAGACCACTCCAGTAACCGTCACAGTGCGCGCTTCTCAGATCTTCCTAATGATATCGACCAATATTGCTGGCGACTTGCATCTTGGCATCAAGCCCTATGGAAAGGCCGATCGAAGATGAAAAGCCATCGTCATCTGGTACAGATGGAGACGGCCCGGGCGGCTCCACCAACCTCAAGGATGTAAATGAGCCTCTGGATGAAGTCTCACGATGGAAAGATGGAGAGAAGAACTACGAGAATGGCCAGGAGAGGTATGTGTCGTCCCGGTTGAAATGTGATCGGACAGCTGATATCAGACTAGCGACTGGTGGTTTGCCTCTATAGGTGTACCCCTTCTTGCAGCTACACTTGGCCCGCTCGCAAACGTTCTGTCGATAGGCGCGCTCGTAACGTACTGGCGCATGACCGTTGTCGATGGAGACGGGAATGCCTTGGCGGAGCTCGATGGCATCCCTTTTCCTGACCCTCGCTGGTAAGTATGCCTCACGATACTCAGTGATCAGGTTGACTAATTTGAGAAAGGTGCTACTGGTTGAATGTGGTGTCACTCATACTTGGCTTTATCGGAAACTTCTTTTTGCTGATGAATTTCACCCAACGGATCCGCTATATCATTGCTCTTCCTGCGACCATTATTCTCTGGTATATTGCTACCGGTATTGTAAGTTGAGTAGCGATTCCGTTTCTCGGTCTTGAATACTGACTCGCATTGGAGCTAATTGGTATCCTGGCATGTATGAACATATATGTTCCCCCTGATCGAGCCAACGGGCAGACCTACACTCAAGGTTTCTGGTATGGTATGGCCGCCGCTGCTATGTATCTGGTGTCTTCAATGCTGCTCATGGTCAATATGCTGGGGTACTTCCTCGGGAAATATCCCCAGAAATTCGATCTTACTGATCATCAGCGCACACTAATCTTGCAAACCATGCTCTTCTTTATTTGGCTCGCTGGGGGTGGAGCTGTCTTTGCTCGTATTGAGACAGATGCTGGAAATGATGGATGGGGATTCACTGATGCCGTAAGTTGGCACATGTGTCTGCGACAAGATGCATCATTCTGACTAACGACAGATGTACTTCTGCGACGTGACTATTCTTACCGTGGGTTTTGGAGATCTAGCTCCCGCATCAGATCTAGGACGGGGCTTAGTGTTCCCTTACTCAGTCGGCGGGATAATCATGCTGGGTCTCGTCATCAATAGTATCCATAGATTCGTACAGGAACTTGGTGCAGATAAGATCGTCAAAGGCCATTTCGAGAAGACCCGACTCCGGACATGGGATCGCACTGTCACGACCTCGCGTGAACTGCAACGACGTGAGGGACAGCTTTCAGCCCAAATTGATGTCCGTCGGACTATTTCAGCGCCTTTCAATGCCGTAAACCAGTCTTTGTCGCGTAAGATCTCGAGCAAGCCACGAACTCCAATGGGTGCTGTAGTGCACGATAAAAAGTCTTTTTCGATCGCTCCTACCATCAGAAGACGGAAGCCGAAGTTACTTCTGTTGCGAGAAGAGAAAGATCGCTTTGATGCTATGCGCAGCATTCAGAAGTCTACCGCGACATATAAGAAATGGTGGCGCCTGTGTGTTAGCATTATAGCATTTGGGATCTTGTGGGCTGTTGGCGCAGTAGTCTTTTGGCAGGCCGAGCAAGATACCCAGGGGCTGACATACTTTCAGGTAAGATCGCGCTCTGCTATCGTGCTGTCATATATAATGAGCCAACCTTGAGCAGTCTCTCTACTTTTGCTACGTGTCCCTCCTGACCATCGGGTATGGTGATCTCTCACCTAGATCGAATGCAGGTCGATGCTTCTTCGTTGTGTGGTCGCTTATCGCTGTACCCACTATGACCATTCTGATTTCCGATAGTAAGTCAAACCATAGAATATCGCTGCTTGCCAATACTGAAGAATTTCAAAGTGGGTGATACTATCATCTCGAACTTCAAGAGAGGAACTTTCAAAGTTGCCGACTTCACCGTACTGCCAAAGGCTGGCATATGGCGAACTTTTCTGGACAATTTCCCCACACTGTTTAATTACCTACAGAGGAAAGCAGAGGATCGTGCCCGAAAGAAGCGCATAAAGCAAGGAATGCTAGGCCCACCGGATGAGGATCTCGAAGACCCAGAAACAACACCAAATCTCGAGACCCTCGCTGCCGAAGCTGAGCACGATGACACCGGAGAAGCGGACGAATCTGAACTCGCCCATCGCCTTGCACGAGCCATTCGCCGCACGGCCAACGACCTCAAAGATGACAAACCCAAACGCTACAGCTATGAGGAGTGGGCAGAGTTCACAAGACTAATTAGATTTACCACCGAGAAGAATCAAGACGCCCGTGAACAAGACGACGAAGGCCTCGTCGACTGGGACTGGATTGGAGAGGATAGTCCCATGATGGCAAAGCAGAGTGAACCCGAGTTCGTTCTCGATCGACTCTGTGAAAGTCTATCGCGGTATGCAAAACGAGGTCATGTAAGGCCCGCGCAACTCTCTGCGATAAACCTCGATAATGTCCCTCTTGAGGTAGAAGAGAGTGGAGACAGACAGGATGGAAGCAACGATTGAACCAGTGAACTGAAATCCAACATCTGATCAGAATTTCCTGAAGTGGTGAGGAGAAGTGGGTCGAAACTTTTAGCCGACTTCCCCCACGTCTCTGGCTAGCATCATGGATTTACCCGGTCTAAAGTACCTGCCGTAACACGGTTTCGTTTCGGATGCAAATTCATTTCCATCCGAGGATACCGAGTACGATCGACTCATCCACATAGCAAACGCGGCGTTATGTATATATATACAGCCATGGTCCCCATCGTAATGTCATTGCTCGTCGGTATTCTGGGACGACAGTATATGAAACCATCATATCCGTCATGCAGTTCCTTGCCATCGGCTGGGCTGCCATCATAGCGATAGTTGTCACGTCGGTGAGTGCGGAGCGTCTTGTACGATCTGTACCTGGTCCACGACCCAGTGGAGGACATTGGGTTGATATATGGACGTCCATGCCCCAGCTCACAGAGCCTGGTAACTTACCGCCAACACCATTTGTATGTTGCCATCATTGTACTGAGCCAACAACGAGTGGCTGACCTGCCATAGAATGGGTCTCGAACTGTCTTCTCCAATTCGACCATCCGGCAGACGCTTCGTATGACCCTTTCAGCGGATCAGATCCGCATCCGTGTGACGAATGTATTTGGTCTGACCGATCTCCTGGTCACGGCGATGACAGTTGCACTGCCCGCCAACGGTTCTGCCGGCGTCGCAGCAGTACAACCACAGACAGTCATGCCATTAACATTCAGCGGCAGTCAGTCTATCGTCATTCCGAACGGTGCTCTGGCGGTATCAGATCCTATCGACTTTTTGGTTCACAGCGGATCGATGATATCCGTGTCGATGTATCTTTCAGATGGGCAACAAGGTTTTGCCATCACCTCGCATCCTGGCAGCCGTACAACGTCGTGGTTGACTAGTGGTAATACTATTAATGATGCCAATATGACCAGTACCGGGCTGGCTAGTGTTGCTCATTGGTATTATCTCAGCGCGGTAGAGGCTTGGCTGCCCAACACTTCGAGGGCGTTTGCTATCGTAGGAGACAGTATCACAGACGGTCGAGGTAGCGAGACAGACAAGAATAATCGGTAGCTTCGTCTTCTCGTTCATTGGAAGCTGATACTGACATGCCAGCAGATGGCCAGACCTCTTACTGGCTCGCATGCAAAAGCAGCCCAGCACGAGTCCCATCGCCGTCCTCAACCAAGCCGCTGGAGGGAACCGTGTTCTCGCGGACGGGCTCGGTCCAAACGCTCAGGGTCGAATCGATCGTGATGTGCTTTCTCACAGTGGTGTTCGATATGCCATGCTCTTCGAGGGTGTGAACGATATTGGGAGTGCCGCAGCTACGACTGCCGCTCAAAACGCCGTATACTCACGTCTCCTTCTCGCATACCAGCAATTAGCGACTCGTATTCATGCTTTCAGTATACCATTGTTTGCAGCAACGATAACACCATTTAGCGCACCGAACTCGACAATTCAACCGTATTCAGATCCGCTCAGAGAGGCAACGAGGTCGAAGGTGAACGAGTGGATTCGGACAAGTGGTGTATTTGACCGCGTGGTGGACTTCGATGCTGTTTTACGCGATCCGCGGAATTCGACGATGCTGGATCCTCAATATGATTCTGGAGACTATCTGCATCCGAACGTCAGGGGCTACCAAGCGTTGGCTGACGCGTTTCCTCTCGAGCTGTTCGACAGGTTTTCAGAGGGAGTCTCTAGCTTTATCTAATCGGTACACTAGTCGGTACACAGAAGAGACCAGTTCACCTGCCACGCGACCAGACGACGCCCAAGCACAGACCCTCCCGCAAGGTGAACAGCGCGCTCAACAACACAACGCCGACGTCCACCATCCACCCGCCCACCCTCGCTCCCAACACCACTTCGTCTCCTCGAAAGACAAAATATAGGTTATTTAATTTGTACAGCTTCCATATTCTCCGTTGGTGCAATGGTATCGTGCTGCCCTCTATAGATGCCTCGACTATAGTTGTACGCCCTAGTCCATACCATACGCACCCCGGGGAGGTACGCGGTTCGAGTCTCGTAGTACCCCCAATATTCCGCTTATTTACCAAAGATGCCGGATGGTTCGATTCCATTCACAACCCGTCTCACACATGGGGGTGTCCTGTATCAGCGGGCCCGGGGCCTGGTCATCATTCCTTCTCATTGTATTCAGCCGTTCGGCCAGCCTTCTTCGGCTGTTCGGGCGGTGTTGAGGAGGAGGCTGGTGGCTAGGCGGGCTTACAGTCTGGATTTTTTTGCGTTTGTCGGGGACGCTTCAGGGGAGAGTGGTGATACTATTTTTTTGGTAGTAGGATGTTGTCTTCTGTCATTGTTTGCTTGCTTTTGGCGTCAACCTGAAGGTTCTCCCATACCGTTGTCTCCATCGTTCTGGAGTTTTTTAGGACATATAAGGTGCGTATCTACTGGACATCTGATCTGTCTCTTGAATGATCTTACGTTGGAGTGCTGCATTCAGTGTGACATTGACTGTATACGGCACAGGCATCATCTAACCGTGAGACTGAACAACCTCAACACAGCTTACAAGTTATTGGTGGACTCAGGTCCATCATTTACAATGGCGGCTCCGTGAGAGGTTGTTGACTGTTTTATAGTTCGTCTTGCTAGTCTGAATACCATGATAAAGGTGATGCGCTCGATACAGGAGTTCCACAGAAAGATCTACGATTGGATGAGGCCATATATGCATGTTCGTATAGCCTTGGCGCTGCGTTTGTTTGGACGGTCGTGGACCTTGAAACTACTTAATCTCTTCATTAAGAGACTCTCGTGCCATGTTACGTTATTACTACAGACTCTCCAGAGTTGACATTCGAGTGTCCAACCCCACATATGCTAAGCAATGCCACCCATGGCTGGAGCATCTCGTATTTTGAAGCCACTAAGATGTTCTAGGCCACCGACGACTAGCGAGGAATCCAGCCATGCAGCTGATGGGAACACAGACTGCGCAACCTCGTATCAGCTGCAGAATAAAGACTGCTGGAGCTGCACTCTCCGAACCTCAACACTTGCGAGCTTCCAACCATGGAAGCTGCCGGTCTTGCTATCGGCATCATCGGGCTGTATTCTGCCTGTCGCGACGGCTACCTCTTCTACGAGAACGTGAAGAGTGCAGAGAAGAGCACGCTCAAATTCACGCGCTCACTGCTCATCCAGAAGTCCCGTCTGTGGGCTTGGGGGTTCTATTGGGAGATATCACGGCATGATCCAGCCATCACGGCAAATGAGGGGTCGCTTGAGTTGATGCACCGCAATCGCAAGATTGGGGAGTACCTGTTGCAGAATCCGGCCAAGATCACGGGGGTAGAGCTGGCGCTGGAGAGTATCGCGAGCTTGTTCTCGGACAAAGATGTACTGAAGAAGTACGGGGTGGAATTGAGATATCCGCGTGGTGAGAATATGGTATGGAATTTCTGTGATGTTAATGTACCACGCGCTGATTCCTGGGTCAGAAGAATCGGGATGCATTACCCCAGCCGTCTCGGGATCAGACGAAACAGATACAGAGAAAGGCTGTTTTCCTGCGGCAGCGGCTGACCATTCTCCGGCGTTGCACGTGGGTTCTGAAAGACCGCGACAAGGTCGCAGAGTTGACTAGGGATCTTGAATCGTACAACAATTCACTTCACTTCCTATGCCCTGATGGAGCGCTGGGACCTTTGAAGATTCTCTCTGTGACCAGCCTGGTCGCAGGACAGAGCGGTAATAAGGTCGGCCTAGCGCTGGACCGCTCTCTTGCGGAAGAGTTATCTGCACAAGCGGGCCCAATGGCAAAAGGCACATACGATGCAATGGCAGATCTCACTTCGATTCGGGTCCTAGCAGAGCGCGTTTCGCAGCCGCTCAACGATACAAGCAGGGCCAGACTGGTCAATCTCCGCAGAGATGAATTTGAGCTACACCAGAACCGTTTTGACGCGAATCCAATGTCTTGTATGGCAATCTGGAGGGGAAGAAATGATATGGACCGCGGATTTGAGGCGGTCGTACTGATAGAGTTCAAGTCTTACCTGGACGACCATGGTAGGCCCGATCAAGATACGCATGACAATGTCCTCAAGCTTGGGTATCTGGTGACCTCGAAACAAGCGCCAACGTCACTTCTCTCTCGCTTCTGCTATGGGCTGTTCAAGGACTCGGAGCATCACCGTATAGGCTTCGTGTACAAGCTACCGCAAAATCTGGGGATCTCAATCTCAGGGGCCCGGATGGTTCCTGATGCGCTCATACCTCGCACGCCTGTCTCTCTAGCTGAAGTACTCCGCACGTTCAATGCCATGTCTCTTAACAGACGCTTCTCTCTCGCCAAAGAGCTTCTGGAGGCAGTGACAGCAATGCACGCCACAGGCTGGATCCACAAGAACATCCGACCCACGTCCATCATCTTCTTTCCAAGGGACCAGCGGCCGATCAATCGCAACGACATTGAATGGCAACGCGTCAACCTCATGGGCTGGGGCTTTTCACGCCACACACAATTCGTTCAACAGTACGCAGCACCTGGTCCAAAGCGCTCCGCACAGCCCAGACTCATCAAGCTCGACAAGTACCAGCATCCCGACAAACAGAACGATCCCTCGCGAGTATACGAGCCTACGTACGACATGTACTCTTTGGGACTGGTCCTACTCGAGATTGGGCTGTGGAGAGATCTCGATGGCTATGTTGGGCCGGCTAAGACATCACATTGGAGTGCCGACGATGTGCATGCATACATTGTAGGCCAGGTTGTGCCGCATCTCAAGCATTGCTGCGGCGAAACATACATGGCAGTGGTGCAGACATGTCTGGGAGTGCAATCGAAAGAGAGCATGAGACCGAACGCGAGGATGCAACAGGAGGAGGACTGCTTGCGTTTAGTTGCGAGATTGGCAGCTTGCAATGTGTGATCGCTGTGAGATGGACGGTGAAAGAGGATGATGAGGGTGATTCTGGCATCGCGGTTCTGGACCTTCGACTCCTAGCACGAGAGACTGATCCATCGTTGAAGGCGGAGATGTCGATGTAGATATAGACGTAGATAGCTGAGCAGGGATTCTCGTCACTTCACGGAATTGAAGGTCTACATGTAATTGTATAGGAAGCGGCTGAGGAGTTGTTGACGGGTGGCTGAGATGAAGATTATATGGATGAGCCGCCGAAGATATTGCGGCGACTTAGCGGCAACGGCAGCGGCAAAAGGCCCCTAATTTAGCCTGAAGCCAGTTGTGGGGCCGCGGCTGCCTTTGCGGGACGGGGACATGAACGGGGACGCGGACAATCAAGGACTTCATCCATCTAATTAATTAGTACTGTATGTAATTAGTACGTATCACCCAACTATTGTTATTCTTTTATTATACGCTCAACGCTCACTACCACCGCATCCACAGGCATGTCATCTTCGTATCCGTTCTCACTTCCACCTCTCTTGGCAGCTAGAAGGCTGAGTCGCGTCGATGAGCCGCAAACCATCGGTCGGGGCTGCCTCCGATCTGATATTCCAACAGACAGACGGATGACACAGCGTGACTGATAACATGCCTTCATTGCCCGTGAGCCTCAAAGTCGAATCACACATCCGACATCTCGAACAAAGAGAAGCCCGTCAACGGTCAACCTGCAGACGCTGGCGGTTTCAAGATTCGTGTGCACTAGTTAGTCCCCACACTGCACCCCGAGACTGACACATACATGAATGTACGCGTCCCGGATATAGACTGCCGCTCCGTCACCTCACCTTACCACCATGGCGAACAAATCACGCACAAAGCGGGTCGTAGCCCTTGTCCTATATCCAACTGCCAAGAGGGATTCTTCTGATCGTCGGTCGAATGATATGTAACGCTCGTGGGGCTCTCTTATCCCGAATCTTACAGCCTTGTAACGTGGTGGATGCCATAATATCTCGAGAGACGTAAGCACTGTCGCGTGCTCAGTTTCTCTCTTTCGCTTTCACTGCGAGTGCTTCCAATGCCCCTGGTGAGGTATTGTGCGTTTCCTATCTACCAAGCATTCCCCTAAATTCTCGCATTGTGTCGCGTGATCTATTATTAAACTTTCCTCACTCACTTGCACTGTCTGTCCTTTCCTTGTTGTCTCGCTGGCTGCTGCACTCGCAGGACTGTACATTGCTGTTTCCTGTCTAGAGATTGCCACTCTTCTGATATTCCCGTCTACCGTGCGATTCCGACTCATCTTTGCGCACAACGTACATTGTTCATCATCGCAGTCTTCAACATGAGACCTCTCCGTCGTCTGCATATTGTCGTTGCTTGCGCTTTTTTCTTCATACTCTACCTTGGCTGGGTATGGCCTTCTCTGGAGGTCAAAACACGGCTACAAAAGGTCTTCTCTGGCTCTGCGCGCCGGATAGTGGTGTTTGGTGATGACTGGTCTGACATTGGGACGTCTCCCATTGCTGCTCCACGTCCAGAATCCGTACTCATACGAGAGCCCGCAAGTGGGAAAATCTGGACCGAGTCTCTGAGTAAAAAGGTGAGGCCACTTGATGATCCTTGCTTGAGTTAGCACTAAAGTGCATTCATTAGCTGCTCTGTGACACTATCGACAACTTTGCTCGAGATGGATCTACCATCGAGCATAAAGATGCAACGGCTAATGGTCGACCGGCAGCCAGCTCTGGAAGACATGTAGACTTGGAGGAGCAGGTACTCCAGTGGATCGAACATGAAAAACAGAGGAGCTCGGTACCATCTGGACGATACAAGAAGAAGGAGGATACGCTTTTCACGATAATGTTTGGGCTCTGGGATCTGCTCGACTACGTGCACCTGTCGGAGGAAGCAGGAAAGCGAGCGATCGACTCTGCGGTCCTCGAGATATTTCAACAAATGGACAAGATCGTAGACCACGCGAATTTTCCTGTTCGCATAGTCTTGCCCTTCACGATAGACATCTCTCTGCTTCCTGGGTTCCCGAGTCAAGTAGCCAACTCTACCTCAGGACTATCCTTGGCTCAACTGCAGCACCACGCGATGTACTTGTCCACATACTGGAATACGGCGCTGATGCGCGCGGCAATGCAGTGGACTGGAGGCGACGTGTTTATGCCAGACCTCAACCACTTTGTGGTGTCAAATGTGCAGTCGAAACAGCTCTGGCAACTCAACCTCAGCGATGCATTTGGAAATGGCCGACAGAGTCCCGTTTTCAACAACGTCGAGCTGCCGTGTTTATTGCGGCCGGATACACTGCCGTTTCTAGAAAACTTCCAGTCGGCCGGCGCAGCGTCGCATGGATCGCAGCAGCAATGCGATGAACCGACCAACCATTTGTTCTGGTATGCAATCTCAAAAGCCTCTCTCATCCTCAAGAATGCACCTTGCTGACACACTGCAACTAGGGATGAAATGCACTTGTCAGGCAAAGCAAACCAGCTGTTTGGCGACGAAGCCGCGAGTCTTGTACATGAAAACAAGACGATCAATGCCAATGCGCGCCATCAAAACAATGCAGATGGCGAAGCCGAAACGACAAACTTCACACTTATTTTACCACCAGAGGAGTTGCGCTGATCGTGTGGAAAACATTGCGATGCGACCGCCAGAATATAATTTACCAGGCTTGCGTAGTTTAGATCCCCGTTGCATGCTTTAAAAGATAGGCATGTTAGTACATTCCAAGATACCTTTCCAAAACTGTTCAAAACAAACATTCATTTCGGCATTCTCCACGTGTTGGGCAGCGATCTAGCCATGAGTTTTGGTGGAGTTGCGCAAACGTATCCATGTTTATCTTGCGTGCCGCATCAGTGTGGAATGTCCCAAGATGACGTTTGCCTGTTTTGACGGTCATGCTGAACAAAGAATCCCGGCTGGCAAATTCTCGACCAAGGGATGACTGGTGGAAGACAGGGCGTTCACAGCTTACTGTAAAGTGAAGGTTTCCACGTGGATCGCCTTCGACCGTTTCCCAAAACTGACGAGTATCGCGAACCGGGAACAGCACCAGCCAACGAGTCTAGGTGATGTCTCGTGATGTCAATAAAAGATGAATCGCTTGTTGTTTGCGGGTTCGGTAAGGATAACAAAGGGCTGCTCATTGTTTGCGCCCGAACATCACTAGTTGCATTCCTGTCTCATGGCATACAGTATCCCTTGCTACCTAGACAACACTATCCGCGTTCCGTATGTCTCTGGTATTCACAAAGAAGCCTTGGCGTACTTGAACAGTGTTAACCACGGATCCATGACAAAGACGAGCTCAGACGACGATGCACTTCACCGCTGTCCCCTATAGTTCTGCATTCGTTCTACCCGTCCCACTATAACCATAACCACAGTCGGCGAAGCTCAAATCTGCGAACGAATTTCGTCATTGCAAACATTGACGCAGTCCCCTGCCCGCGTCTGGTCGTCAACAGAAAAAAAAAGTCCACGACTAATTTCATGCCTGTGACGAGGGTCATTCACATGGCAACTCTGTCATATTAAAATAAACCGAAAACTCTTGAGACAAAGCTGCGACTGGACTACAAAGTCGCACTCTCAGCTCGAATGTCGAAACCGCCGCCACTCAATATCGTCCGTGGGTCCGCTCTTCACTGCGGCTCACCCAGTCGAGACGTCTCTAGGCCGACGCTCAAGGAGAAGAAAGCATCTATTGACCTGCGAAATACGCATTCGCCCGTCACGTCCAACGTTCCTGTCTCGTCTCCTAGTCGTTCGGGTAGTGAAGACCACTGCTGTTGTCCTCCACAGCCGCCAAGGCCAGAAAATTGTGAGTTGAGATTTTTTTATCCCTTCAATCGAGCTCAGAGTCAAACCACTGGCAAAGAACTCAAGCTGACACCGCTCCTTGCCAGGTTTCATACTGTTCAGGTCGGCGCATCAGAAGCAGCTGAGTGAATCTGGCGGCAACAACCAGCCTGAGATATCGATCAAAATAGGGGACCTCTGGAAAAGAGCAGATCCTGCTGTCAAGGACTATTGGAAAGCAGAAGCTGAGGTAGGTCTCCAAGTTCATCCACAAGACCACCAAACAGCTAAAGTGTGCATACAGAAGAGGAAAGCTTCCCACAAACAGCAGTATCCGAACTACAAGTACCAACCAAAGAGCAAGAACCGCGCTTCCGGCTCCGCCAATGCCAGCACCTGTAACGTCTGTGGTAAACGACTGATCGGAGCGCCGCCGAGTAGCCCTCACTCGAATGCATCGCCGCGTCTCGCAGAGCATACACTGCCCTCGCCCTCCACACAATCCAGCGCATATCAAAGCCCAGTCTTCCAAACTCCCTTCCCAAACTCAACACCCCAATCGCCCACAATGCTCGCCACCGGCTCTACCCTCCCATCCAGCAACCGGGACAGCCTCACCGGTCGCTCCGACCACCACCACCCTCCCAGCACAACCCCTTCATCCCGCACAAAACGCCTCTCAGAACCAGACATCATCCCGCACAACCGCAGAACCTCAACCCAAGACTCCAAGCGCCGCCGCATGAGCCACGAGATCCCGCCCACCCCTTCCCCCTACTCGCCATACACCGCTCATTTCGACCTCCACAACCTCCACCACCACCACCACGCTCGCCAGGCCCGCCACGAGCGCGAGCCCCAGAGCAAATCCGGCCATAACGGGCCCCCGCCATCAATGTACAATCGCCGCACACCGCTCGACGTGGCAGCCAGCCAGGCCCCCTCGCCAGGCTTCCGTCCGCCGAATTCCGCGCAGTGGCCGAGTGCGAAATCACAACCCCCTGTGTCGGCGCGCAGCATCGTCCATGTCCCGCATACACCCACGCACCACGGACCAGGAAGCAGCATCACCAATCCAACCTCAAACACAGCAACAGCAACAACACCAACCCGCCACCTCCCCGGCATCGCAGAGGTAATGCGCTCCCCCCTCCCCTTGCCCCCCTCCATGCCTCCCCCCCTCCTCTCCCCACCCAACGACCCCTCTTCCCGCCTCCGCCTCGCCCCCCTCGGCCCCTCAACCCCTGTCCCCCTCTCCACCCCTACAACAGCCCAGCACCACATCTCCTCCCCCGACGACCGCCCCACCCCCGCCTCAACCCTCGCCACAAGCCGCCCCTTTACAGAGAAAATCGAAAGGCTCGCTCGCGTCAGTAGGCCCGTGCGGGAGCGCTACCCGGGGGCACGAGGCGTGTTGATTGCCGTTGAGGGCGACGACGCGGTTGCGGCGGCGGCGTTGGCGCGGTTGTTGCATGCGACGCTGGGGAGGGAGGAGGGGGATTTTGTGACGCGGTTGGAGGAGGGTGTTGGGGATGTGTTCAAAGAACAAGGGAAGGAGAGGGAGGAGGTGGAAGAGACAGAGCGTGATGGGGAAGGAAAAGGAGAAAGAGAAGCAGAAAGTGAAAAAGAAGCCGAAGGCAAACGCGAAACAAACCAAGAACTCAGCATGCGCGACTACATCAACACAATCGCCGCCTGGCACACGCGCAACCTCGCCATAACAACCTACCTCCGCGGCAGCGACACCACCCCCCAACCCAAACCCACAACCCCCCAATCCCCCCTCCCCGTCCTCCTAACCCCAAACTACCAACTCCACACCACCGACACATTCACCACCCTCATCCCCATCCACGACGCCTTCTCGCCCGACGCACACTACGCCCACCTCGCCAGTCTCTGGCGCGGCATCACAGGGCCCGACCTGACCGTCTACCTGCGCGACGTCAGCAGAGCGCAGCTGGGCAGGGAGGAAGCGGTGCATTTGCTGCCGCGGAGTAATGCGATTCGGATTGTCAAGGAGAGGGGGGGCAGGAGGGTGGAGGAGGAGAGGGTGCGGGCGTTGAGGTTTCAGATTGGGGTTTTTTTGAGGGGGAGGGCTTTGGAGGGGGGTGGTTCTTGTGGGGGTGGGGGGGGTGGTGGAGTGGGGGGAGGGGGGGGGGGGGGGGGGGGGGGGGGGGGTGTGGGGGTGGTGGGGATGGTGGATTTGGGGTAGGGTTGGGTTGGTTGATATGGAGGGGAGAGGATGATGGAATGGTGTGGTTGGTTGTATGTTTCTTCATTCTGTGTGTGTGTGTGTGTTGAGGGATAATAAGGCGGAAAGATAATGGGGCGCGGTGTATGTATGTATGTATGTATGGCTTGTGGGAAAAAAAGGGGGAAGAGAGAGGGCGGACTCAATTCGCATGGCGATGCGATGAAGAGATACAGGATGGATTTCTTGCAACAAGGACAAGACAGTAGTAGTAAGTACCAAGGTAATAATGTAATGGCACGCGAGCCGCGTTTTATAATCTTCATCTACTCCACTGCACCATACTCATCATCGAATCGCAATCAATCACTGTAAATGCATATTCTATCCCCGAAGAAAAGCAGCGATGCACACACACATAGTCTATATAATGCATATATCCCGCATTCCCATACCGTACCACACCCACATCCCATCACAGCACCATTCACGGCGTCGGCGGCTCCTCTCCGCTCCCTCCGCCCATCAGCCCAGTCGCAAGGCTCTTCATGCGCCTGCCCATCAAATCGTCCTCACTCGCCAAACTAACCAAACTCTTCGTCCTTCCCGGCGCCCGCCGCCGTCTCGCACGCGGCGCAGCATCCGTATTGATCTTGTGCGGCGGACTCCCGCGTCCAAACGTCATCTCCAACGGTCTATCGTCGTCGCCCGAGCTCTCGCCCGTGCGCACACGGCGGTGATGGCGAGACTGCTTATTGTTGTCAAGGTCGGTGCGAAGCGATATCTGCGTGGGATAGGCACGAGCGGCTCCGTTTGCGACGACGGACCGGGAGGAGAAGTAGTCGCCTGCGCGATGATGCCCTTCGCGGTTATTAACTTCAGCGTCCGCGTCATCCGCATCCGCACGCTCGAAGATTTCACGCATCCATTTCGCGCAGCGGAAGACGTACTTCCAGCCTTCGGGAAACAGACTGATGAACTGGAAAAAGCCATGCGAGATACCCGGGATCAACATGACCTCGACATGCTCTGCTTCCCAGAAGACTTCACGGTCACGTGGCACGAGACCCAGCTCCATGCGATCTGCATGGCGCGCGGCTTTCGCGGCCCGTATGCGGCCCGCGAAAATGACAGTGTCGTCCACAAGGGGGTCGCGCTCGCCAGTCAGGAAGTATGTCTTCGGGAAGTGGGCCAGCAGTGATTCCGGGGCAAGGAGCGGGGAGAGCAGGTAGTCAGTGGAAAAGTCTGGGCGGTTGTGTGGCCCAATGTAGAGGACAATCATGGCGCGCATCATCTCAGGAGTCAGGATGCGATCGTTAAAGTAAGATATCATGGAGGACATTGCGAGGCGGGTCTTGAGCGGTTGTGGTTTCTGGGCTTGGGCGTCTTGAGTTGCAACGGCAGTGGTGTTGGTGTTAGTGTGGGCGGCAGAGAGATGAATTGCGGTCACCGGCGAAGTGATCTGGCCCGCTGCGGTGGTAGGTGTAGAGGGTGATTTGTGTAGTGGAGGGTTTGCGTCCTCTTCGTCGTCCGAAACGTGGGGAGTGTCTGGGGCAAGATTACGGTAATCGTCGCTCTTACGTCGGAGGATACCTTGATTGGTCCTACGGACACGACGGTCGCGAATCAGTGCCATTTGTTCGTCCGTCATCCAGTTTCCAATGTTCATATCCAGCGACGGGTAGATGAGGACGACGCCCTCGGGGGGTGGTAGCATTTGTTCTCCTTGCCAGCGACGACTATCTGTGGAACCAGCTTGAAGAATCATCAAGACCATACCAACAGCCAAGTTCCCGCCAGCACTATCTCCGGCAACAACAATCTTTGGAGATTCGTCCCCTGAAAGACCGAGACACCTCCCTCTACTTGACACAATCATATGATATACATCGTAACATTCGTTTAGGGCGTACGGGTACGGAAACTCCGGAGCTTTACGATAGTCGAGACTCAGTACTGGAAGCCCTGTCTTCCCGGCCCAGGCCATCAGTTTGTCGTCATGAGTTCGTGGATTCATGGCGACGAAGCCTCCACCTGGAATGTCCAAGACCACTTTACGCTGCTTTTTCAATGCTGACAGAGGTCCATCAAAGTAAAGCCATGCTTGTACAGGCTCTTGATAAGAAGATTCCTGTGGTCTTGGTATCCGAATAGCTCTCGGTGGGTATCTCATCAGTCTAGGTCTAAGTACCCCCGTGAGAAATCCCAGGTATGGCGTTGTGCCCTTATTCCAGCTCACGCGCATATGCTCCACTGTTAAGGATCCTCGAACCTTTCTTACCTTCTCATCCGCTTGCTCCGCACATATCAGATAGTATACTGAGAAGACGAGAGAGAGGAAGTCTCTTGCCCATTTCCGGCGAATGCGCATCGCAGACCAGAAGCCTGCGTCCAGCGCCGTTGTCACCCATGTTGCTCGGAAGTATGAGCGACTGTATAGATTTGCAAGAGGTTCAGGGCACTCGAGGCCAACCACTTTGCCGAAATTGCGAGCCACGTATAGCCAGAGAAGCGTTATCACAAGGCTTTGCCAAGTCGTGAGGCGATTCTGGAGGAGAGCGGAGATGCGGCGAAGGACAGGAGGACCATGGCGATTACCTCTATTGTACCGTTAGCCACGTTGTACGACTTATAGAGCTGTCAACATACTTGTAGAGGTATATAGACCAAAATGAAAGGACGGCGAAGACTTGAATCTTACGGAACTTGACCGATGGCCTTCCCAAGACATGATCTGAGACAACACATTAGCTCGAGCATTTGCATACCCACGGCCGATTTCTACTTACCAATCATGGTCACAAGCTCTTATAGTAGCAGAGTATAGGACACACAGAGACCTAGGAAGCAGAGACCGAAGCAGAGCAGGAAGAATGCATTGCATCAGTACAGCGCGTGAGGCGTATGAGCGGAGGACAAAGAGAGCTTAGGTTGGCTGAAGATTCACGAAGTCAGGAATCAGCCGCCATGTGAATGTGGCAGAGACATGGGGAACGAATGCTGCTCAGGTGCATTGGAACTCAAGCCATATCCGTAACGTCAGCGAGCAGCGTGGGACGTCTGACATGTGAAAGAGGGTCCTGTTCTACCATGGCGCTATACCCTTTCCGGCTAGCGACCGTTGGTATTAGGTGCTGCAGCTGGAGCCTCAGGTACGTACTGATGAACGTGCTTGTTTGAACATCACGAGGCTTCTTCATCATCATCATCCTCCCGGTCACCAGGGTTACAAGCGCATGCATTAAGTTGTATTTTGGAACGTATAAAATTCAGGAAGCCGTGACAAAAGTCGACTTCCCATTAGGACCCAAGTTTGAGCCCCTCCTTTCAACCACCGGCTAGGTATGGATAGAACTACTCAAAGGTCCCCACGACTCGGTAGTCCAACAACAGTAAGAAAAAGCGCATATGCAAGACACAGAAGTACCAAAGTAGAATAGCACAACGACGCATGACGAAATAAAACACAGATCGAACACCCATCAAGGTGTTCTGCCGCCCTGGTAGAGATATGGACCCCATAACGCCGGTCGCGACATCTGCACCTCATAGATGTGGTGAAGTCTTCGTAATATTGTACAAGGAATTCAGCATGAGTAAATCAGTGAAGAGGCAGGGCACTGCAGTCCCACTCTTTCCCGTGAGATCAAATGCTGAGATGATCAACCATGCGGAGGATATAACGGCGCCGATACATGTTGCCGGTCGTGTCGGACATGCGAGCGCCGAATGACGCGCCAGTGGAATTGAACATGATGAGCCCTGGAGACTCGAGGTATATGGTGGAAATGAAATGCGTAAGATGAGAGATGGTGTGTATGAGAGAGCAAAAGACAATGCCGCGCTGCGCCGTTCATCAGATGCGATGAATTTTTGGGTGTCGAGAACGAGTCAAGGCCATGATGATGGATCGAAGACGTTTTTTCGAACGTGGTGGGAGGATCGTTTTGGTACTCGTATCAAGCGTCGATACGGCCGTTTCATGCCCCAGATTTCAACCTCTTGTTATTGTTTCCGACTCGAGGACTTGGCTTCGTCTTGGTGTTTGTGCCATTGACTTCGCCATCGTCGCCTTCCTGCTTCACCGTGCTACGACGGCGCTTATTGGAGACATTAGGACTGGTGTTTGCGCTTGCAGTTGCGGAACTGTTGGTACCTTGTTGAGAATGTTGAGTAGCGAGGTTATGTGTCTGAGCAGGTGAAGGAGTATGAGTCTGCATGAGATGGGGAGAACCGTTGACTTGGTGAGGCAGTGCCATGTTCGCCATAGCTGGAGACATGTACTGTCCGGCTGGTCCAGGGCCGAAATTTCCACTCGACATGCCTGAAGGCGTGCGCGCACCTGGCATGTTACCTGGTCCGAGTTGCTGCTGAGGCTGCATAGCCTGCATCCTTTGAACGTAATCGCCCAACGCTGCACTGACTGACATATTCGGATTCGCTACGTAGTGGCCCATGAGTCCTTGCATATGGGAAAGCGTCTCGGAGATCTGGCAACAGTTCAGCTCGCAACTCACACGTGGCAGATCCATCTACTACTTACCTCCAAAAAGCCTCCAACCTTTCTCAGTACACCGTACTCGTTGACGGGCGCTCTGGGAATATCTTGCTCTCGGATGGTACGAGGTTGCTGTTGGCGCTGGTTTCGATTTTTGGCGTTCTTGTTGAGTTTTGGAGATTGCTTGATCGTCTGCACCGGCGAATCTTCAGCAAAAAGTTCAGCCAGCCTATCGCGCGGAACATAGTCCTGCGAGCTGGTACTTTCAAAATGGAGGACCTCAATCTTGTCGTCTGTCGTGAGGATAGCTGCGAGTGTGCCACTGCAAATGAGCTACCAGAAGTCTTAGCTACGTTATCTTGTCATGCCATGGAGTACTTACTTGGGTGCCGTTTTGGAAATCGTAGATCAGCTTCGCACGGCTGGCATGGACCACACCTCCTGTTTGTGATACGGTCTCGTGTAGGCCTTCCAGTGAGAAGCGCATGGACTCGACTCGCTCTTGGCCTTCGAAGTGTGCCATGTAGAACCGCGGGAGTGACGCTGCGGAAATGTCGTACAATTTCGTTTTTCCGTTATCTTTGTGGGCCAGAATGTAATTGAAACTTCCGTCTTCTGAAAAGAAGGTTCTAACAAATTGCTGCCATAGCTCGATCTTGTTGTGTTCAGCCTAGGATATGTTAGTGCATGCGAGCCTGAAGATTTCATGTACCATCATACAGTGAACGCGCCGAGTCGATCTGAGAACGCTATAAGTTTCAGGATGAGGTGACCGCTGTTGGATCGTTGTTGTTGCGCCCGTGCCATTTGTTGCATCATCATACGTTGATGGGCCTGTTGTTGCGCCTGTTGCTGAGCTTGTTGCTGCTGGAGTGGGGTTGCGGTCATCTGTTGCTGTAGCTGCGGGTTTGGGGGTCCAGACGTCGGCTGGGTTCCAGGCTGAGGCTGTGATTGTGAACCTGGCGCTGGTTGTCCCTGCTGTGGCGTGTTCTGCTGAGGGTTGTTCGACGCTTGAGGCTGACCGGGATTTGATTGTACCCCTTGTGGCTGCGGAGTCGGAGGCTGCTGTGGAGCTGCTTGCGGCGCTGGCGACGGTTGCGCTTCTCGTGGGCCGCCCATCTGAGATGGTGGTCGCATGGGTCCTTGCTGTGCTTGTGGTTGGGGACCTTGTGGAGGTTGCGAGACGGGGTGTCCCTGATTGCTGCCTTGGGATTGCATGGCGTGCATCTGCTGTTGCATCTGCTGCTGTTGCTGGGCCTGGGCAGCCTGGTGGGCTTGTGCCTGTTGCTGCTGTTGACGCAGGCGCTGTTGTGCCTCAATGAAATGAGGAGGAAGGTTAGGAAGAGCGCCAACACCACCAAGCTGCTGCTGATGTTGTTGCTGCATAGCATGCATCTGCTGTGGTGTTAAGCCTCCGGGTTGCCCATTCTGAAAGGCCATGCCCATGCCCTGTTGCTGTTGCTGTGCCTGTTGCTGCTGCGCCTGTTGTTGCTGCTGTTGATGCCGCAGCATTTGTTGTTGCTGCATGAATGCACGCTGCTGTTGCATGTGGAAATTGGTGTTCACTGGAGCAGAGTCAGCATTTCCATTCACCCGTAGTTTTCGTCAGCATACGCACTCTGCTGCTGTTGCATCATCATCTGTTGCTGCTGAGGCCCGAGATGTGCCATGGCGTGCTGGCTTGGCTGTCCTTGTGGTCCACCTACACCAGGCTGCATACCCATCATGTGCGGGCCGGCACCTTGGGTGACTTGAGGTCCATGAGGCCCTCCTGGACCTGGGCCGCCAGGATGCATCATTGGAGCACCCATGCCAGGTCCCATACCTTGAGGTATTCCGGGGTGAGGCCCTCCACCAGGACCGCCTCCATGGTGAGGGAATCCACTGGTCATCATCCTGGCAATCTATACGGCCAGTTTGACGCCAAGATGCGCCCCCTCTGCCCTCTGGGCTCACGAAGCTATCACTGTCGGCACTCTTATTACCGGCTTGTGTCGAGCTAAGATGTATAGGTTGATGGAACGATGTCGGGGGTCCCAATGTGCACTTCCAATGCGGTGTCGAGGACCATGGGTATTAAGAAATGGCCACTATAAGCAGAAAGGTGTCAGCAGTGTGAATTGACTCGATCATGAAAGACGCATCAGATCACATCAGAGATGTATCGAAGAGAAAGAAGAAAAATAAAAGAAAAATAAAACGCTTACGGGAAGGGTACCGTGGAAGAGCAGCGTATGTTTAGTGAATGATCACCAGTGCGGAGAGTGCGGGCAGGACGTGCGCGAGGAGGTAGCCAGCTGTGTGGGCTGGAGAAGTAATGCGCTTTTGGAGCAGGACGAGCAGGACGAGCAGGTTGAGGATATCGTCGGATGACAATCGCAATAGAATGCAATAAAGCAAAGATACGTAGCCAGTGGACAGGTGGATGCGCGCGTACCGCGAAATCGTACGTTCCCGGGTGGCTGGGGAAACGAGCGTTGGACGAGTTGAGGAAGCGGATGGATGGCGATGGTGAGGGGATATTATGGCATCGCGTGCGATAAGGGATCAGAATGGCGATGGAAGAGCAACAACGGTAGCGGAAGCGAAGTCAGCAAGAGGAAAAGGTGTATGGAGGGCGAGTCGCGAGATGAAACAGGTGTTCTATCACGACTACTAAGAGTTGTGTGGTGAGGCAGCGAGTTTGGGTAGCGGGTAGCGGGTCTGTCTGTGGTCTCTCTGTGAGTCTGTGTGTCTCTCTCAGTCAGTCTCAGCTGTTGTCGGGCTGGTCGGTCTTCTGTCTCGGTCTGTGTAGGGAATTAGTGAGGGCAAGGCCATGTGCAGATCCGTGCGTGTATTTTAGTCACGTGTGGCTGATCTCATCTCATTTACCCTCACCGCTTACCGTATTTTATCGCACGCCCGGCACTATTTATTCTCTCACATCTATTTTTCTTCTTTTTCTACCTTTCCACCACACACAACAACATCAACATGCGTCTCTTCTTTTCCTCATGCATTGCTCACTCCACTGGTAAGCTTCTCTCTGTCCCCCTCCTACCCTCGAGTGATGATATACAGAAAGTTCTTCTTTCCCCAGCAGATTCGACCATGAAGAGCCTCACACCCCGGACTGCCTCGCAAGCGGTCTGCTACTTGCCAGTACATGCCGTCTGACAACCACGATGAACACATGCTTTGCTTAGCGCGTTGAAAAACTGTTGCTAACTCACTATCACAGATCTCACCCTCACCGGGCGCACATAGCTAACGTCGACCTCTCGCACCGCTCGTAGTACCCATCGCATGCATACATCGTAGTCAAGGAGAAGGTCAGTTCTATCCTATTTCCTCCTACATCTTGTCTTGCATGATGAAACATTTCCTACATTCGCAGTTTCCACGCTAGCCCTCACTTGAACCTACAACCGAGGAGTCGTTGAGCGCAAATTCTTCCTTGGATGTCTGATCCTCACACCCACAAACAATCTTGCTACATTTGTTTCTTTCGATCCAAAAGCTAACATTGTTTGTCTCAGGTTTACCACTCTCGTCCTTTTGCATCCCCTACTACAGTCACCTATTCATAGCTCAAGGTAGGTCGTGAAGATTATGAATGGCCAACATTTCTGGCAAGTGATCCGTAGGCTCCAGTCTTCCATAGTAATACAAATGATTCCTGGACATAAACAATGATTCCTCAACCTACCGTGACCCGTGATTGACTTCGCTGTCGAGTATCAGCCACATTGCTACTGAAGCCCCGTAAAGAATTGTCGACCAACTTGCCGATGTTTAACTTACGCTTGGTGCTTGAGCCCTTTTCAGAACGTATACGAAGTGTAGACTTTGAGAGCTGAAACGCACTGCGCTGCATTCGAATTTAACGCTTTCAGTGAGGGCAATACACCACCTCCATAGTACGTTCTCCTCGATTGCATCTTAGCTCTGAACAGTCGTCCGAGTCAGTCATGATGGTGTTTCCAATTGCATGGATTGACGTACGGAGAGTCCTTTCTTCATAGGTGGGCAGAAGTAAGATCTAGAAGTCATAAGAACTGAGTCGAACGTAGGTTGCAGAGCGCAAATCTGATATTGGAAGTCAAATCAGGGAGAAATTCAAGAACAATAAGCAAGCCTAGTCATCATATATGCCACCTTCTCCTAGATTGGGAGAGTTGTTATTGCACAGGTCATTACCTGCGATACCCATCAGCCGGGTCTTGTTGTGTTTTACGGTAAAGACCTTGTCTTGTTTGATCTGGTATGTATGCTTCTTTAAAATGTCTCGCCGGTGCTCTTCGTCTTTTTCAGGTTGCTGTCTTGTGAAGAGCTGGTCCTCTGCATCTTTATACTCGTACAGTGTGCCAGTTCGCTCTGTTCAGGGGTGAGAAACCTGAGAGTGCACTTCCTGTCCGAACAAAAACACACGACCAAGACTAACATGTACACAGTACACAAAGACGTCGACATTTATCGGCCATGTTCCGTCACTAAAGCCATACCTTCGACGTCCGCATAAGCGTATACTAAAATCACAACCCGTCTTCAATCGCAGCCACCTCAGCCATATGCCCCCTAATCATCCTCTTCACCTCCTCTCCCACCTCCCCATACGGATGCCTAGGCACAAACCTCCCCTCCGCCCCCTCAATCCCCGCCCTCCTCCCCGCAAACTCCCCCGCCGCAAACTTCGTACTCGCAATCCCCGCCTTACACGGCGTCTCCGCCAAGCTAACCCTCCGCTGCAACTCCAACGCCTCCGCACCCTCCCCCGCCTTATACAGCCCATAAACCCGCACTATCGCCCTCGGAAACACATTCGCAAACGCCGCCACACACCCCGCACTCCCGACCGCCAACCCCCCAAGCAAAAAATCACTCTGCCCGCCAAACACACTAAACTCCGAAGCCGGCAACACAGCAGCAAGCCGCGTGATCTTCGCCACACTCCCGCATGTTAGCTTGACGCCTACGATATTCGCGTTGCGTCGCGCCAGTCGCGCGATCAGGTCCGAGTCGAGATCGACCCCGTTGCACACGCCCGGGAAGTTGTAGATGATGATGGGCAGCGGGCTGGTTGCGGCGATGCGGTCGTAGAAGCGCTCGATGACTGCGGGCGTGGTGGCGGGTCCGAAGTAGGCTGGTGGGAGGAGGAGGGCGTAGTTGGCGCCGGCGGCGTGGGCGTCGGCGATGTAGTCGTGGACTTGGGCGGTTGAGTGGCCGCTTACGCCGGCTATGAGGGGGTAGTTGGGGGGCACGGAGGAGCGGGCGAGGTGGATGAGGGATTTGCGTTCGGCTTGGGTGAGGAGGAAGGGTTCGGCGTTGGTGCCTGGGTTGATGGTTTGTTGGTTAGGGTGGGCTTGGGGATGGGTGTGGTGGGTGCGACGAACCGAGGATTACGAGGCCTGTGAGGCCGGTGGTGGAGAGGTAGGTGTACCATTTTGCTTGGGCTTCGTGGTCGATGGTGTCGGTTGCTGGGTTGAAGAGTGTGACGGCGGGACACCTGGGTGGTCGATTAGTGGGTGGTTTACTTGATAGAAGGTATATGTAGATGTATGAGGCTTACCAGACGCCCGCAGGCGGCGGTTTCGGTCTTGCTTGCGAGCTCATTGTTTTTTGTTTAGAAGGTCGTGTTAGGTTTGGCAACACTCATGGACTGGCGATCCACGAATGTTTTGAGGAAGTGCGGGACACACGGAGCCGAGATCGGCAGAGCTCCCGAGCTCGCGGGACCACTTTTCCGGACGGAGTGAGTCCGTTGACACAAGCGTTCGGGATTCACACTAGGTCCCTTTTTTGATACTGCTCTTGACACTGTCATTGTGTTCGACTCGAGTCCTGTCTCGCGAGCGACTATCTTATGCGTTTAGCTGCTGTAGGATATGTAATTGTGTTCTTGATATACGAATGCACAGGTCCCAAGTCGACTGCAGGACGTATCCTTATATCATTCCACCATAGCACATATGGAGGTATCCAATACATACTTTCCTTCTTCCCACCCCATGCCACTGCTGCGATGCGATACTGGTGCAGTTACAAAGAGGAATCTCTGCCCGTCTCTATGATTCATACTTCCTCGTTATCCCACAACTGTGCATATCCTCTCGTAGTAGCAGGACCTGTAGTATTGCAATCGATGTAGATGTAGATGGAGCCGAGATGATCTCTATATGCCGCCCGATCGTTGTGCGTTCTTGCTCACCTGTCCTGCAGCTGCAGCGAGGATCGTGGCACGCGTGCGGCGTGAATATATGGTGCAGAGTCGTTTCGGATTGTGTAGATCGAAAGCTGCACCACTAGCTCTCTCAGACTCACATGTTTTGTCTTGTAGTGTCTCGGCCATTCAGCATGCGAACTTCCAAATCCACTGTGTTAGTATATATTTCAACCAATCCTTGACAAGTCAAAGTCCTCCGTCCAGCGTGAGAACTGTACGACGCCATCATTGCCTACGCTCACGCCGCCCATGTAAGTCAAATCAGCCGCCATCACTGATGCAGAGTGGTATGAATATCCATGCTCCTGATCACTCTGCCACAGCACTGCATAGCCGCATCGACCAGCACGAGCACGATAAGATCTTTCCATCTCAAGAGTTTCGCAGTCGATGAAGATGATTGCTGGAGCTAGTTGCCAGTGTTCTGCCAGTACCTTATGACTTCGAAGCCTGTAAAGAGAGCACTGCGCGGATTGGTCGTGAATAATGTCAGTCGTATGTTCCTACCCTTCTGATCTTACTCATGTTTCTCATATCAGCGCTATATTGTACGTATGGAAAATGCTTAGGTCAACTGTGTTTGATTGTCAAGGAACGCAATCAATTCTAAAACAACCAGTTCTTGAAGGACGACCGAATAAGGACGTCAAACGAAGTCTGACTTGCCTTACCTACATGACTGACTTTGAAGTGCCACTGATCTCGAACCGACGAGTCGTCCCATGGTCCGAGCAGCATAGCACACCGCGGATTTCAGCAGCGAGATCGGGACAGCAAAAGTTCAAGCCCGGCCAGGCCGACAGTATACCGACACATTTCATGTTGTGAGACACCATCCACCTCAGGATGTTATTCAGTCCTATGATGCGCTATTCCAGAGACCAGACAGGTTGTTGCTGCGTGGTACGCACAGGTAAATGACTCTACGCAGACGACGTTTTCTGGATGTTATGGTATCGCTCATTGCGCATCTTAATTCTGCATGTTTGGTGTGGTGCACATATAGCTCTTTGTAATGCGAGTGTCCACACATCTATTCCAGTCCATGCTCCGTTTTACCGAGAACTTCGTGCAGAACACTCTGTTGCTAGGTTCGACCTCTTTTACGATGGACAGTCTCTTTTCTTGCGTGTGTGTCTTCAATTCGTTTATTCATACAGCTTCCACCAAAGGTATATCGAGCGTAGTATGCTGAGTGCGGTCCGAACGACTGGAACGAAGAGCTGGGACTGAAGAGCTGGGAACACTAATGTGTTTGCGGTAGATATCCGTGTCAAGCGGACGACTTTACGTCGCGGACGATGAAGAAGGCTAACCGTGAGTCGAACACGCCTGGGATGACGCCGGTGATCGGGCTGGTGGGTATCTAGTATCAAAGTCAGTTTAGGCGAAACGACGCACTGTATCTTGCCATTAATGTAGAGTATAGCAGCACCAGGACGATGCCAAGGCGAGATTTGACAGACAGACGCGAGTTTTAATAGTGCGTATACCATCCACGATGACGCTCGAGATGGAATAGTTAATCTCAGTCTGGCTAGGTACGAGGTTAGCCTTGATGATCTCACGCTCAAGGTTAGGGTTCCCGTGCCCGTCGGACACAGTTGTAGGTTCAGTGACGACGTGTCCCAAGACGAAACCTATGTTGAAGAGTGCAAAGGTATACTCTCTTCCATTCTGCCATTCTAGACGACATGGTAGTCAGGATGTTTATGATGAGCCAGCCGACGTTAACGTCACACCGTGACATTCCCCAGCTAGTGTACTCAAGTCTTGGACCTCAGTGTGTGGGGTGTGTGTGTGTGAAGTGGAGGGAGTCTAGTCGAGGGCACGCAACAAGACTACACGGATTATTTAGCGGATGAATATGGATATTGTGATGACGCGTGTGTGCTGTTGTATTTCTTCTTTTCTACTCTGCTTGGGAGGGCTGGATTGTGTGGCCGGTCTCGATGAGGTAAAGACTGGAGTATGGTAGGACTGTTAGGGTTGATGGATACATCATTTGCGTTCGAGGTCGTGGCAAAGAAGGGTGTGTACGTATGTATGTGCATCTTCGTGACATCTGTGTGGGCGGGTGGGTAGAGTGGCGTGGGTAAGGGTTGGAGATACGCGAGTATGCTGCGATGGATCTTCTAGGAGGAGGTGATGCTGTTGTGTGTTGAGCAAAAGCGTTTAGTTTTGGCAGAGGTGATGTGGTCAGAATGGAAGCGGACTTTGGGGTACTGTAGACAGGGGCAGATGATGAAGAGTGAGGTCAGTGGCAAGATGTGATGGGCTTGGATGGTATTTGTCGAGTGTGATGGTCGTTTTAAGCGTGATGCTCTCTGTCTATATCATTCTCGAAATGCAGAAACTGAAAAGTGGATGACAGGATCACAAGAGTAGGCTGCCCACGTTGCGCTTCTCATCGTATGGATGCACCGGAGAACGATAGGCAGCAAGAGGCAATGACGCAGAGTCGATATACGGATCACCAAGCAAGCAACACCACAGTGACTGATCTCAATACACCAAATAAGGGGCTGATCATCTCGACACACCAAACACTCGCAAGCTACAGCGCACCACCATCATCACCACATCTCGTCCACCCAGCGCGGCCTCTCCCTCCATCGCTCAACTCTCTGTGCGACACTGATGACTGTGCAACCAGCCACAAACACCACACCCACACCCACCACCCATCAACCCCCCCCTATCCACATCTCGGTCACACTCACGGCGTCTCTCCCCACGAACTCTCACGCCGAAGCACAAAACTTCCTCAATAAAGCCCCAAACAACCAATAACCAGCCATGCCCATCTCTCACACACACAGCCAAGGTCAGCACCCAAGACTCGTAATCACGCCGCCGCTGCTCGGAGAACCACATATCAGACCCATCAGACCCATGTCCCCCTCCCCTTCAACCCCCGACTCGCATCTTCGATCATCAGCAGCGGCTGCGATTGAAAGGGGGGGGAGGGTGGCCGCGGGCGCGACGTCGGACCGGCACTGATTGGCGGAGGGGCAAACTAGTATGGTCGGGGATAATTATGTTCGCCAGCCAAGAATGAAGGAAGGAAGGAAGGGCAGGACAGGACAGGATTTGCTACGCGGTGGGTCCGAGCGGGACCGGGACGGGGGGACAGGGGGGCCCGGGAGATGTTTTCCGAAAATGGCGAGCGTGCGGCGGCGTGCGGCGAGCCGAGTGGTGGATGCAGGGAGTATGGAGCCGAGCAGGGTTTGGAGAATGACATGCGGCTTGATTACACATGTAGAGTATGTGATGTGATGTGATGTTTGCGTGTGCGGTGGTGCGTGTTGGCGATGGGTTTGGCGGGGCTTGATTCGTGGTGCAGATTTTGGGCGAGTGCATATGTGGTTGATGATGTTGTTGATGAACACTGGTATAGTAAAGACCCTTAGAACCCTTTCTTCGATAGGGCTGTCTGCTCGAAAATCCTCTACCCACGTGTCGATGGAGTTAGTGCCACGTCTTCGGTTATAAGGGTCCCTACGACTTTTTTCTGAGATACCCGTTGTGAAGATTACCCTTAGGGGTGGACCTGCCTCGATACGCGACGCCATCATCTCAATCCACAACCAGTCGCAAATACAGTCATGTCATATCGAACGCGCCCTGCATATCGTACCATCGAAGCATCGTCATTACAAATAACGAATAACCCAAATCCAACACCGACGAAAGCACAGTCGAACCAAGCGATCCCCAGCGTGACACACGCACATGTGAAAACACCCAGTCATTGGCCCTTCTTCCCTCCAAACTGGTAATTTCTCACAGGGCCATGGAATGTCGTTACGGTCCGATCGCCGATGCGTCAATAGAAATGCCCATCGACGCCTTGCTCGTCCTGCCCTGAAACACCCAATCTGCCCCCAGGCCCTGGCACGACACGAGCACCGTGAAATTTGAAATGCCATCCATCGGCTACCGCACACCGCGTCATTCGCGTTTCTGTGCCACCTTTCAGGGCCCTATGCCTTTCCATTGGCCCTGTGCTACACAACGAGGCAATACAGTCCGCGTTGGATATCGTCGGATGTCGTCCGGAGCTGCCACCGCGACGTGACTCCAATGAGCCGCCGTCGGGTGTAGAGTGCTGCAAATAGCCTGGACCGTCTTTGCAAAATCCGATGGCTCTAGAATGACTAGTCATCGGCCAAGGCCCTTGTGTCCGCTGGCAGATATCGACAAACGTGGTATTGCGTGCCGGAATCAGCGCCGTTGGTGCTTAGCATATCAGTAAAGCGCTGTCAGGCACATTCCACATTCGTATCCTTCTACCCCCTGGGAGTGTCGAGGAGCGTCGTGACGATGCGCACTCCATCTGTTTCTTTCATTGGCCACGCGCGTTTCAATCTGGCAAGAACTACGACCCCCCGTTCATCGTGGAAGTTCGTGAACCGGAGGCAGTGCCGTGATGGTCCTCAGTGGTGCCTTTGCTCAGCTCTCGACTTGACAGAACCCGGCCCCATGCAAGACGCGCCAGGATCCACACCGTTAATGATAAGTCTTGATTTCGCAACTCGGTCTGTCAATGGTCCAGGCGGGCTCTCAGAAGGAAATAATGAGCCTGCTGTGTTGTCGTTGAACGTCGTGTCGGAGGCAGCACCGGCATGCCTTCCAATGATACCGCTCCCCGGAAGAAGACCTCAGCAGCAAAGTAAAAACGTCCTGTCATATCATACCAGCCAAACCCGCCTATCTCCATGGGCCAGCCCCCTAGAAAAACCACCAGGACGCATTCGTCAGTCAGGAGTAGACCTTCATTGGCTGGGCTATGATGCTGAGAGGTAATCGAAAGACCGCTGCACAGTCGTCGGTCTTCGTGTCGGAGACACGCCCGGCTCAAAGGCCAATCGACACGTTCGCCTCAGCTCACCACTCACCGGCCGTCATGTCTATTACTCAGGTTAGCCAGGCTCGAGATTCCGAAAATGGCGTAGCGGGGCTTCCTTCTGCCTTAACTCAATGCAACGGGATGGTAGGGCTGACTACGTAGTACAGTAGCGTGCGCAAATCTTGGTAAGAGGTCGTGATGGGCGCACAGAAGTAACTAACTCGCGTCGGGACGGTTCGGAGGCCGGGCCGCGCCAATCAGGGCAGATAGACTATCGGAGGCTAATCCATGTATGAGTATAAATGATGCCATAAATAGCAATGAGACCAGATAATTACATTGAAGGTAGAAGATAGAATCCGGCGATGAAGGAAACGATCAGCCAGATTGTGTTGATTAAGATTAGATAGTGTGTAAGAGCTTAATGAAGACGAATTCGCGCCTATTCCAACAAGTATAGCAGATTTACCAAGACCGAAGACTCCGTATTGCTAGTGCCACACTCTGCCCTTATCGACCAACGCCCTCCTATGTATGCTGTGCGTTAAGTCCAACGCCGCATCATTGCAGGATCAAGCATGTGCCATCCATTATACAAAATCCCAAAGCAGGACTCCGGCCACGCCATGTATGCATACCTCTTCAATACTCCGTATCAATGCGCCCATATCTTGCCCTCCCTTTCAGTGATCCTTCCCGCTTCTGTCTCCAGCCGCGCTTTCACGCCCACTGCCATTCCCAGTGCCCCTCAGAAACACTCTCCTCGTCCCACCGACTCTTCCCAAGTCCTGTACACCTTCTTTGTCCTTGCCATCCCTCCCCAAATCTTTTCCGTCTTTCACGCCGCCGCTGATGCGCCGTGCCTGGCTCATCATGTTGTCGATCCATTCCAACTTCTCTTCACTGAGATCCAGCTTTTTCTTCGCTGCCGGGCCCGCAAGACCTACGTTACCTTCGTCACGCCATGAGCCACGCGATGTATCGCTCCTCACCGAGTCTGGCGTGTTTGCGTGGCTGCCGCTGACGAGACGCGAGGACATGTGTGCGGTTGCGCTGCCTGGAGTCAACGCGTGATTTGCAGCAGCTGTTTGTGCTGCAATGATGGCCCCGTTGTGGGCTGCTGCCGCACCCGGTAGGGGCGATACGCTCCTGGAGGTCGTCTTTGTCGGTGTGCCTTGTGGAGTGACGCTGGATGTGCCTGAAGCTGGATCAATATTAAGACCGAGAACCTCGAACTTCCCATCCGAGACAGTACGGTGTCCGTGATGGCCTGCGTATTGACGGAGGTAGTCACCGAGGTCTGCCCAGCCGCCACCGACGCGAACCATGACACGCTCTCCATTGTCGCCCACGCGGCGAATGAACAACTTAATGGGCTTGTCGCGGCCTGGTTGGATGAGATGATATAGTTTGATGTCCGAGTGCTCAGAACCACCCTGTCGGCGTAGGGAGGGTAACTCGTCGTTCTTGACAGGAGAGAGAGTCATCTCAGGAGACTTGACAGCAGAACGTGACGAGCGGAACAGTGTAGAGGCTGAAAATCTATGCGACCCAGAGCTTGAACGAGGAGACTTGTTTTGGGCGCCGACAGAAGATGTTGCATCTGACTCCACCGCCCCTGTTGTCAGTCGAATATTTGCAGGAACAGAACTCAAGATTTCCGATATCTGTTTGTTCAGCTCGGCGTTAGAAGTAGTGCTATAACTACGGCCTTGTCGAGTCTTGTTCAGCGAGGCAGGATGGGATACGGAGCCCCCATTTTCACTTTCGGATAGCAATACGCTTGGCGGAGCTCCCAGGGAGTCTGTAGGGCTCTCACTACTACGGTCCTCTGCCCTTCGAAACTTCTTGATCGACGCATTGAGAGGTGGATGGGCGCGTAAAGGATTTAGTCTCCCAGGTCTCAATGAAGGGGACTCGTTGCCAAATACATCATCTGGTGAACGAGATGGTGTGACTGGTGAGGATGAACGATCAGGCGTTTGTGGACTCGAATCGGGTGTTTGCGGTCTGCTTGGCGAACTTTGTGGAAATACAGGTCTTGCGTCCTCCTCTTCAGTGAATGGAAGCGACACGGAGCTTCTCCCAAGGCGTCCACTCGAAGCGGCAACATTCTCCTTACTAGCAGATCCCACGGACACACGTCTTTCACTGATGCTACGGCGTCCTGAAGCTATGGAGCTAGTAGAGTTTTGTCGTGATAACGTGACCGTCTTTACCTGTATATAGATTAGTAGGTTTATTATGACATTGGATATATTAAGCATACTTTATCCCGAGAAAATGACTCAATGGAAGTTGTCGAGGCACGCTTCATCATAACAGGTCTAGCCTCTGCTTGACTTGATTTCTCTTCGTCTTCTTCTTCGTACTTGTCATTAGACTCATTTACCCACACCATGCCGGAGCGCTTCCAACCACTTTCCGGTGACATGTTGACGGACATCCTAGCCCTTGGCGTCTTCTGGAGATTGTCGGGATCCACCTCATTGTCTGTGTCAAGGGGCCTGTTCAGGATATCATCATCATATTGTTGATCCCTCACAGTATTTCCAGAGTAAGAAGCTTGAGGTGTAGAGGGACTAGCCAATGCAAAACTTCGTGAACCCCTCGAAGGGGTTTGCGGAGATTGGGCCTGTCTCAAGGGCGAAAAGGTCGGGGGAGACGGGAAGCTTTCGGCTGTTGGTGTCACAAGAGGTACCGATGAATCCTCGCTTGGAGTCAAGAGATGTCCACTCGCAGTCTCTTGGAGGGTTAGTGTTGGTCGTCTCTTCTCAGTGACTTCAGGTAATGTGGCCAGTACAGGGTCCGGTCGAGCACTGGCAGGCCATGACCAGTCTAGTTGGAATCTCTTTCGCCGTGCTTCACTATTCCATTGTCCAACATCAGTCTCCAAAGCTTCAAACTCATCTATCCAATCGTCCGGGATGACATCATCTCGTCCCTCTAGTGTGTCCAACATGCCGTCTAGGCGTTGTCCCAGGCTTGAGGCCTTCCCATCTAGTACTGTCGCTATGGTGTCTGTTGCCCCTTTCCATTTCTTGATGTTCAGTGGGTCCATCGCTTCGTCTTTTGGTAACTGGATCGCGTCCCAGGCCAGTTCTAAGGCGCGCTTTGCCTCGTTCAAGTCTGACAGAAAGGTGGGGATATCTCGCAAGATCCCTAACCGCATTGACCATGTATCCAGGAGTCCATTCAGCAAGTTCAATACCGGGAGAGCTTGGACTATGGTTCCTGTAACAAGCAAGCTCACATCATCCATGAGGTTGAGCGTTGCCCGTGTCCGGCGCTCGTAGCTGCTGGAAGGTCTCGACCTTGAGCCATGTATATCAAGTACGTATCCTTTGAGCTCGTCAATATCCAACTCTGCCATCTCTTTCAATATTTCCTCTACTCTCGTTTCGTATGCCTCAACCATGGCTGCGGGCAAACACCCCCAATATTCCAGTGGGATCCTCTGCACACGGCCATCATTCCCGGTGATATCCACCGTGTCTATTCCATCCTGTACATTTGGTTGTGCGAAGCTGCCTGGCCAGTTCCACCGCTTCAACTCCAGGTACCAGTCTTGGGCACTGATTGCGACCTTTGCGGCTTTGATCGCAAGTCCTTTCTGCGCCGAGCTCGCACCCTCTGCACAGGCTAGATAGCGGTACTCTTCTGTGTCGTTGTTTGGGAAGACGTTCTCGGAGAATGCGTCTAGGATTGCAACGGGCGACACGTCGTATGGCGCCTCGTCGCTGGTAGAGTGTAATCTGCGGTGCCCACGGCGAGGCGACAGACCTGGTGAGATGGCACGCGAGTCATATGAAGGCGGCAGAAAGCGTGTTTTCGAGGTCAATTCAGCCATTGCAGGCTCGCGAAGGATGTCGACGGAGAGGAACAAGCGCGGGGAAAAGTGACGTGGGCCAGGCGCGACGGCGTTGTCGAAGTTTGATACTGGTATGGGACATGAAGATGGGGTCGTCGGAAATCTGTGTGGTTAGTAAAGCACCCAAGCATGAGTCCTACGCGTACGAGGACAGTGGCGCGGCGGTTGTAGGTTGTTTGGTGTTGCGCTGTGCGATGTGAATACCCGTCACGGACAAGCCAGGCAAGATTTACAGAAAGCACGGGCCTCTACACTTTCCAGTTCCGCTAGCGCCGTTCTATTGGATAGTTACAATGAAGCAATACATTGTCCGTCCATTCGGAACTGTTGTCGGATAATTTAACGGACTTGAAAATGAATGTATGAGGTCCAAAATCAAGAGCATATTACCTTCTTCCTACATAATGGGTTGCCTGCTTAGAGGATGAAACGGCTTCACACTTCGACTTGGGACGTTACGTCATATATCACGGCCGAAGATAGCTCATTCGAGGTTCCAGGATAAGTATTAAACACAGTTCAAGTGGATTGGAGATACGCCAATGCATGTATTTTGCATTGTAACTTGACTATCCCAGCCAAGACTCCCAGCATCGGAAAAATTCAACCACGTCTGCGTGTACATAATATCTATCGCGTTCGCATCATGACTTCTGCGTCGGAACCCATTGAGTCGATCACTGCCTGCGATAGGCGTCGTCAGCAGCCTCGTTCATGCACTGTGTTGTCAACGGTTATTTACTTTGTATGTGCGTCAGGGTCAAGAGAGAAGATGAGGAAGTGAGATCTTCAAATCAGGGAGTAACTCGGAGCTAAGCATCTGAGCAGCGTGCCGAAAGAAGTATACAAAGAGACCGGAGAGTGATGGAGTGGTTCTGAGTGATCTGGGAAACAAAGGTTCGAAAAAGGGTCAAACTTACAACAGAGAAAGAGTTAAATCGCCACGAATGCTGGCTTTGAGCTCGATTTCGATTTCCAGATTAGCCTCCAGCTTCAGCTTCAGTCCATCTTGCTCGTCAAGTCCTCCCTTCTTAGCCTCTTGCGGATCCATTCTGTAAGGCTGATCGGGGTTTGTACCACGCATGGGTATTTCTCCTCTCAACGCCCTCGCTTTCGTTACCGGACCATCCATACTTGTGCTATCGGGCCCTATGCGCTCAAAGGCCTGCATCGTGCTCAGTTCGCCGTTGGCGTCGGCTTCCTCGAGGGCTTCCAGACTGCTGGTCTTCATGTATTTGCCTTCGTCTATGCCCTTCTGGATCCGCTTGCGTCGCGCTCTCCGGGACGCTGATCGAGTGCGGTTTGTTTCTTGGCCGGCGTCTCGTTGCTCTTTCTTCACTGCTTCTTCTTGCTTTTTCTGTCGTTGAACGGTGCGGTGTTGGTATTCTGAGTGGCTGGATTCTTCTCCGGTTTCGTTGCCCGAGTCTCGAGGGTCGTTGTTCTCCTTGTCTGCCATGATTGACAATGCTCTATGCTATATCACAGCGTAGAGGAGTGGGAGACAGTAAGAGAATGCTCGTCTAGATAGCGACCAGGATAACGAGGACTGTTCGAACAGAGCAAGAATAGATATGACGATTCGTGGTGCCGCTCCCTGTAGTGGTACCAGTACGGTACGAGAGAAAAAAGGAGTAGATGGCAACAGCAGTACGATGAGACTCCAACGAAGCTTGATGCAGAGCAGTACCAACGCAAGAAACGCTGTGAGGCCAAAACGTACTCCAAGCTCAGTCAGATCCAAACACCTACAGCCTCCACTAAACCAAGGAATCACCTCTCCAACCCACACCCGGTCCCAGCAGGGGGTCGTGACACCCGCCGACGGCACCGCACCGAGACGATACCACAGATTGACGTCTGCTTACGCCATGAAGCACATAAATCATGGCAGCTTCCCAGCTCTTCCGCGCATCCTGGTTGTGCTGCGGGCATGGACGCATGCGGCATATCATCCCGCTTAGGAGCCATTATTGTTCCATCATCGGTCCACATCTGCCAGGATACTACATCCTTGCGCTGCGGCAAGAGACTACTCAGTAGTCGAGAGTAACAGCGAGGTATCCGCCTTTGATGTGGCCACCTGCCCTGTGAGTGCACATCCACGCGCGTCCCAGTTCTGGCGTTTCCGATGATCGAGTGTATGAGTCGTCGACAGACCTATTGCGAGGGATTAAGATGAAGGTAAAAGCAGTGTAATCGCTGATGCCCGCGCCACAACTAGACCGTGCACAACATTTGCGGTTATTGTGGCGCTCTCAGAGCTTGCTTATATCCCTGTCCTTACAGCTCCCTCGTTGACGCGGCCCCACCGATGACGTGTGATCAGTCAATGCTTGTGGGGTGCTGTGGCTCGTGAAAGTGAGAACAAACTCGCCAAGTTGATGCGCGCTTTTGCGTGAATGTAGAAGTATAGGTTAGACGTTCATTGGGGCTAGGCTTAGATTGAGGGGGAAGACGAGTATCGACAACGACGTTGCGAGCGCGTGGAAAGAGACAGCGGGAATGGGGCAAACAGATCCAATTGGTCACAACACGGGGACTATATTCTGGCTTAGTACAATAGCATCATTAACAAAGGTCATGGAGAGAAGGTGTGTGAAGAGATGGTATTCTGTTCAACTATGCCTATATGGCCAAAGCTAGATATGATTATGTCTTTCAAGAACCCCTTCACTGAATCTAACAATTGAGCAATGCGATAGTGCTTAAGAGCTCCATAAGGTAGATCGATGCGATAACTCTCAGTTCCTAGTCATATCATCAGTAAGGTTGGGATAATGGAATGCCTCGGGCACTTACAGCAGTCCTAATGTCAGGTCGCCATGGATTTTCGCTTTCAATTGGATCTCGATATCGAGATTGAGCTCGAGACGCAGACGAAGCTGCTCACCACCACCCTCATCCCCGTCTTCCTTTCCCTTTGATTGCTTGCCACCACCAGTAAGTCCACCGAGGGCTTTGCCTGCAGTATCGCCGACTTGGCCAACAGCTTTGCCAGCTGTGTCTTGTACCATATCGCCGGCGCCATTCACAAGTTCGCCGCCGGGGAGGTCTTCAGTGATGCCATCCAAGGGGCCGCCGCCCTGCTTCTCCTGTGTCTGTGTCTGCTGGCCTCCTTGCCGTTGTTGGCGCTGGCGTTGTCGGTTGCGACGGCCTCCACCGCCAGAAGAGACATCAGAGCGAGCGACCGACTCAGCATCACTCTCTGGGGCATTTCGTCGACCACGGCCGCGCGACTGGCGACGACGACTTTGACTAGGAGCTACTGACTGCTCCTTCTCCGACATGTTTGATTTTGGTTTTTCTTGTTCGACACTGACTTCTCCTTCAGTGCCGTCGTCGGTTTCAGGTCCAGGCGTAGGTTGCTGTTGAGGCTCGGGAGCTTTCTTTCCAAGCTTCTTTGGTGTCTTCTTCTCAGTTGTCTTCTTGCTAGAGCTGTTCAGTCCAATGCCACCTTGTGCTTGAGCCTGGCCTTGAGCTTCTGCGCCGGCGTTGAGACTGGATTCTTCGGTGGTTGTATCCGCCATCGTATATGGGAATGGGTGAAACAATTACGTGACAGGGTATTATGGGGGCTTCGGAGCAGGGAGAAGTTAAGTGACGCAGAGGGAAGGACAAGAATCAGAGTAATTGGAAAGAAAAAGGCTGTGCAAGGTTACAAGAACCTGCTTGGAGATTACATCTTACACAGCTTTTGGAATGGGTGTGCTTGGTCAAGCCACAGGAGTCTGTCGACTGACGCAAGACAGGGCCAGGATGCAACTTAACGGCCTACAAGGATTTGATCCATGAGCTCTGTTCCCCCTGTTCAGACGGAACAACTTGCCCGTCCTCACGCTCTGACGGGTCATATCGCCGAGTTGCTGCATGCCTTGTAATGGCTTTGCTGGTTGCTCGACAGAGCCATTTGTCTGGGATTCGAGACGAGTACCATGCACGGTGCACGACCAGATTGGTTTGCGTAGCTCTAGAGCGCGGATGGCATAGACTGCTCATATACTGCTTCCATTTACGAAGCCGAGCAGCTCCATTCATTGTCACGATGGAACAGTGATCGAGTCCACAAGCGGATGGATTATCGTCGTTCAAGTTCCTCACTCTTAGCGTCGTCCCCTCGGTCCACGGCCAAACTCTTGACGGCCAGCAACTTCTTCCCAACACGCTCCGCCGGGGAGACCGATGAACAACTATATGAACAATCCAAGTTCATCAATACTTGAGTGTTGTCAGATCAACAACTTCTCTCACAGATGTCCCGACGGCGAGAACGTTTTGAAATCGACCAACACGTGACATGCACGAATACGGCGTAGCGCATCATCTGCGGACACGCGATCTGAGTGTCCGTAAGTTGACGCCTGCAGGCTGTGGCTTTGCTAGATGTTGTTACACTTTAGGTTATCTGTTGCCCTGACATCTCAAGTTTGGATTCTTTCATCAACACGTATTACTCACTAGGATCTGTCCATGTATATCGAGGTATTTCGGACCGGTGAGGTGATGCCTGTCGCCTAAGGCGTAAATCGCCACTCGAGTGACTCAACATGGAAGCGTCTCCTTCGCCATCTATATATCATTCTACAGCTACAACCCCCTCTATCGCTACATCGAATACAACTGAAGAGTTCACTCTGTCTAGCATTCTCCAACAATTCGATCTTGACAAATATATAGCCATCGGCACACTTGTCATCAAATGCGAATCATGGAAGGATGCTCAATCGTATGACTCCACAAGCTGGTCTGAACTGGATGCGGTCGCAACCTCCGATCTAGATGCTTCCAACTCCCTGGGCGTCTTATTACTCCCTCTTGTTAGCACAGGATGGCTCCGCTTATTCTTGCGGACGAACGTTGATCAAACGACCTCTGCAATCAGAATTTATCTCCTTTCAGAGGACGTAAGTCGAGCGACAGTAGACAGAAGTAGCTCTAAGCTTCGAAGGCAGTTGAAGAAACTCCTTTCTCGCCTCCAAACGGAAGATGATGGCCGTTTTGGAGAGCGGTTGGACCCTCGGCCGCGTGCTGCTAACGGCGGTGACCGTTCACTGTGGTACATCTTCAACACCGTGCCTTCACCAGCGCCGGATGTAGACAGACCAATCGCGTCTCACGACTCAGAATCAATGCAGGACTTGTTATATGGACCCTTGGATGGCATCAAGACTCAGCTTTATCCGTTTCAGGCTCGAACCGCAGCAGCAATGGTAGATATCTTCCCACAAATCTTTGGGGTGTCTTGTATGTACTAACACTAAACAAGGTTGAACGGGAGACCGCGCCCGAAAGTTATCTTGATCCCCGGTTCGAAGAACGGACCGATCAGGATGGTCGAAGATACTATTTCTCTCCCAAAGACGCCGTCTTTCTCCGCGAGCCGCAACAGTACGAGACGACTAGGGGCGGCATATTGGCCGAGTCTATGGTGAGCTGGCATGCCTTCGCTATCTTTTCGCCTAATACTAATGTCTCCAAGGGTTACGGCAAGACGTTGATTTGCCTCGCGGTTATAGTAGCCACGAAGCATCACATGCCCCGTTTCCCTGTTGAGTATCCTCCCATCATGCCAAAGAGAGAACATACCGCATCTCTGCTCTCTATGACAGCAGCCAATATAGCTCGCCACGCACTTCCGTGGAGAAGATCGAAAGTCCCTCCTCATCTTGTGGAGCTGCTCCAGAGTTATGTGCCAGCCTATAATATACCACCGGACCCGATACGGTTCAATCGAAATCCCTCAAAGCTACCTATACGCCATCTCACGCTCTCACATTGCACGCTGCTTGTTGTACCGGATCATTTGTTTGATCAATGGATCAGTCAGATCCACAGTCACGTAGAACCTGGAGTCCTCTCCGTCTTGTACATTGGTGAAAGGACCCAAAAATTACCATGCGCCTCAGAACTGGTTACCTATGACACTATTTTGTTCACAAAATCGAGGTTTGAATTGGAGATCTTGGATGGTCAAGATGTCCAAGGTCGATCATTGGGCCAGGGACCACAAACTTCTTGCCAGTGAGTTGAATTTCTGCTCCTAGCATGGATATCAGGATCTGACAGCCGCTCACACAGGTGTCCGTACATAGGAGCATCTCGTCTCAGAGATTGTACCTGTCTTACGCCTGAGGAAATCTATAAATCTCCTCTCAAAGAAGTTCATTGGCTCCGCATAGTCGTTGACGAAGGACATGGCTTCGCCTCGCCTACGTCTGCGGCCGTCCGGGTGGCGAATCAACTGCAGGCAGAGCGACGGTGGGTCGTGTCCGGGACTCCGGCCAAAGGATTAGTCGGCGTGGAGATTGACGACCACTACCATGAGAACTTGGACTTCAGCGACCATGCCACCGCCTCTGAGCGCTGGAAAGCTGTTCGAGAGGCAAGGAAAGGATTTCTTAGCACGCCTGATGAGACGCACGGCGCTCAAGCTCTTGGACTGCTTGCCTCACGGTTTCTCAAAGTACAGCCATTTACCGGGGCTTTGAAGGGCGACAACGCGGCCAATTGGAATGACTATATTTATAGAGGGACAGGAAAGGACGCGAGACTATCGGGCTACTCAAGTTGTCTATCCAGGACACTGGAGAGGCTGATCATCAAGACTCGCCCAGAAGATGTAGAGAAAGACCTCCAGCTGCCTCCACTAAACCACCGAGTGGTTCGGCTAGAACCCTCATTCTACGACAAGATGACGACCAACATGTTTGTACAAGTCATGCGCGGAAACGCCATCACCAGTGAACGGGCCGATCGTGACTATCTCTTCCACAAGGACAACGAAAAGCCACGACATGAATTGATTCGAAATCTTCGGCAGGCCAACTTCTTCTGGACCGGGTTCAGCCCCGATGACGTTGCATCGTCCCTTGATGTTTGCAGTACCTATCTTGATAAAGCAGAAGCCAAATGCACAGCAGAGGATCGCAAGGCATTGTTGGAAAGCATGGACACAATCAAAAGACTGCCTGGGATCAGTACATGGGAAGCGATGGGCTTCTCGCATGAGCTTGGAATATATGTAGACCCATGGCCCGAAGATTACTTAGACATATGGGCTCTGAATCACAAAGATCAGCCCGCTCCGATCGGACTTGAGTCGCTGTACCAGGCACAAATTCATGTGAACAGCGCTGAATCTGCACATGAGGATCCGCTTGAGCGTTTCAATGCGATTGGCATTGATATGAAACGCAGGTTCAAGGATCGGAAGGCGGAAACGGAGCACAAAAGGGATCCAAAAGACGCAAAAACGTCGCAGTCGGCAGGGAAGATCCTCAACTCGGGCGTTCCGTCTTCCATTCTCACTAGCAACGGGGACGGGGGAGCGCGAAGGAGCATCTTATCGAATCGAAGCCCAAACAAGGCCGGAAAAAAGTCACCCAATCTACTCAAGCGCAAAGCGATGGATGAGTTTGAAGAAGTTACATCACCGTCAAAGCGGCCCAAATTCAACCTCACGCCTGGCCATGTCGCGGTCGCCAGCCCTGAGTTTGAGGATGCGGAATCAAACACATCCACATCTGCCTCATTATCCGCCGCTAGAAAGTGTGTCGGCTTCACCACTGACGAACTGCCATCGCAATCACCAACGAAACCACGGAAAAGCGCAGGCTCTGCCAGCGACCTCCCGATGCGAATCACAACGGAATCCTTAGGCCACTCATCAAACAGCCACGCTACGCCACAGTCCTCTTCATCAAAGAGCCAACCTCAAAAGCCCAGCATTCTCAAGCCATCGATAGCCACATCCTCATCAACAGGTCCATCGACTGACTCCGGCACACAGAAGAATCTGACACAACTCCACTCCTCCACTCTCCTCGGCACAACCTCCGCCAAAGCAAGCTATCTTATCGACGCCTTCACCCGCTACACGCCGCACGAAAAAGTCCTCGTCTTCTTCGACTGCATCACCACCGCGCGCTACATCCAATCCCTCCTCGACCTCCTACACATCGGCTCCCGCCATTTCGCATACCGCATGCCGACTCGCACACGCGCCAAGAACAAGACCGACTTCCAGGAAAACCCGCTCGTGAGAGTGCTGCTGATCGACGTCAAGCTTGGCGGTGAGGGCCTAGATCTGAACGCCGCAAGCGTGGTGCTGATTGTGAATCCCATCTGCCAGCCAGCGCTCGAGGCCCAGGTTATCAAGCGTGCGCATCGCATCGGGCAGACCAGACGCGTGCTCGTCGAGACGCTGATACTTAAGGGCACCGTGGAGGAGGAGCTGTTCGAGATGAGCATGAAGATGACGCGCAAGGAGCTGGGCGAGGGCATGGCGCGGAACGAGCGCATCAGGGATGTTCTGCTGAACGCGAAGATCATTCCCGTGGGGGAGCGCGAGCATGAGCCGCTGCGTGCGATGGCCAGACTAGCTGTGCCGCAGAAGATCTTCGGGAGGGAGAACTGGAAGGCGTTTAATGAGATTGACGACGATGACGATGGTGGTGACGATACGGAGAGTAAAGGGGGTAGGAAGAGGGCGAGTGTGAGGAAGGGGAGGAGAAAGAAGGGAATAGTTGTAAAGTAGTCGAGGCGAGTCGATAGACCCGCTGGTAATAGACGTATGTATACATATATGGTACAACATGTACGAGTCTATGTAAATCGCCTTTGTCCCTTTTGAGGTCAGGGGGTATCGCTACTTTTGTTTCAAACACCACGGACATCAAATGCTATCCAGCACCCCAACACCACACAAACACACACATACAATCGCCTCCCCTCCTCCTTCCATCACCCCCTTCCATCCCCACCTACCTCGTCCGTGCCCCCGAAAACAGCAAACACTTCCACCTCCGCCATCCCCACCCCGACCGCCGCCCCGGCTGCTTCTCCAACCACGGCATCTCCCCCTCCTTCCCCTCCTTCTTCCCCAACCCCTTTTCTCCCTCTACATCTCTTCCCTCCCCGCCTTCAACCCCCACTTCCTTCCCCCGCTTCGCCCCCGCCCCCCGCCGCAGCCGCCGCAAATCCGCCAAACACCGCTCCTGCTCCGCCAGCAACGCCCGACACTCAGGCGTCATATCCTCCTTCTCCCCCCTCTTCCCCTCCCCATCCCGACGCTCCGCATGTGGCGCCGTGCCCGGCCTCGCGCGCCCCGAAAGCGACGAGAAAGCCCGTGTTCGCGTGCGCATCCGCGGTAGTCCGAGGTGTGTTTTCGTCGTTAGTGATGAGGATACGGATGCGGATGACGAGGGACGGCCGAGATCGAGCGAGCCGCGTGGGATGACGGGGGACGAGGCGGTGGGGTCGGGGGCGGCGGGGAGGAGGGGGTGGAGGAGGAGGTGGAAGCGGGAGAAGTCTGAGATGGGGATGCTTTCGAGGGGGGCGGAGCGGGGGCGGCGGATGGAGGAGGAGAAGGGGCTGGCGCGGAGGGCGGTGGGGAACATTGAGAGGGTTGCGGGTTGGGGGGAGAGGGGGGGTGTGGGGAGGGTTGATGGTGTTGTTGCCGTGGCTGTGGTGGGATAGGGGGAGAGGAAGGTTGGTTTGGGCTTTGGTTTTGATTTTGAGCGGGGGCGGGTTTGGGTTTGGGGGTGGAGGTGGGGGAAGGAGGTTGTCATTGGGGTGATTTGCGGGCTGGGGATGTCTTTGCGTTGGAAGGCGGCGAGGTCTTGGATGAGGGCTTCTGGGTTGGTGGTGGGTAGGGGGAGGGGTGGTGGTTTGGATGTGTGGCGTGGACGGCGGGTGTGGGCTATGGGGTCCGGGAGGGCGTGGAGGAGGACGTGGTGTTTGACGTCTTGCGAGGTGACTTTGAAGTGGACGCCTGTGGGTTGTTGTTTGGAGGTGGCGTCGGAGGAGCGGGTTTGGCGGTGTCGGAGCTCTGTGGCGACGGCCTCGAGGCGTGCGACTTCGAGGCGGCGGGCGAGGTCGTTGGGGTCGACTGGGGCGTTGATATTGGGTCTTGGACGGGTGTCTGCGGGACCGGATGCGGAGCGTGGGAGAGGAGGCTGTGATGGAGGCGAAGATTAGTTGTGGTCGGAAGACGGGAGAGTGTTTGACTTGCCCTCAGTGGCATTCCTGGCAGATTGGAACAGGGCATGTTTCTGACTCAGGCGCAGCAAGGCGCGGTCAGCAAAGGTAGATGGTCGAGGACTGCGAGAGGTTTGCAGACACGGTTTGAGTGTCAGGAGAAGACGTGGTAGAATAGATGGGCGGCCGTCTTGTATTCTAAGCGCACAGCTAGGCGAGGTAACTTGCAAGGAGACGGATGAGGGGGATAGAAATTGGAACTGGAGTAGAAAAAGTGGTGATAATAAGGTCAGGGCGCTGTAGTTCCGAAAGGGGGTACTAAGTATATACTAAGATGGCGCACACTATATATACCTAGTGCGAGGCGCTTGAAGGTTGGGGGGAAAGGCTACTAGTTGGAGTTCTATGCCGCGTTGTGACTACTAACGGGCGGGATACGGGCAAACGACAGTTATACTTTATTCAGTGAAAACGAGGCTTGGAGAAGAGGTAACGAGCATTTATGATCTGCCAGATTCATCGTCCGACTAGTGTTATTCTCATCTGTTCGATCATCCCATTTACCATGTTCGGAAATATCGAAGCAAGGCTGGTTGTTGATGTTGATGCAGAAACGCCACATGCAGCCACATCCCAGCCACACACCAATCAGCGCACGTGCCACGTGTGCCTGGCCGCCCCACTTTCGGCATCTCGATTCGGTATCAGCGGATCGTGCACGGGCGGGAAAAAGGGAAACCGGGAACGAGTGAAAGGGGAAAATGGAAATAGGAAATATGGAATGGGAAATAGAAAAGAGAGTAGGGAATGGGGTAAATGAAAAAAAGAATGAGAAACAAGGCTTCTGACAAATACTCCTACCGTTCTTTGTCCCAGGACGTATATGCGAGGCTGCAACACCGTAATACCCGGGATCAGATTCATCCATCTGATGGAATGTACCTTTGGCTTTTGCTCTCCTGGCAACATGCATAAGCTTACAATCACAATCAACAGACGATAACAGAGGCCGAGGACAAGGTCGTGTCAGCGGGCCGGCAGTAGAAAAAGTAAAGAAGGTTTGACCAGCTGCGGCATGTGGAAGACTGATCTGCACAGGGACTGGGACAATGCGCGACGGTGACGGTAACTACAACCTTCTTTTTAGATTCCAGTTCTGATATCTGTTCATATTCATCCTGAAGTCCTCCATCATTCACAAACATCATCATGTCTTTTCCTGAAGTCCATACCTACTGCTCTTCAAGTCGTGTGAGTGTGTCACACGACCACTCACACGTCTTGTGGCTTCTGCCTCCAACATGAAACACATTCAAAAACCACAATACGACCGCACATGCCTGCGGTCTTGCTTTGGCTACCAAAATACCTACACTCAGCAGTCTACACTCATCACGAATACTCACATACCGTCATGTGTACATTGTCGCACTCCGCATGCGCTGGTGGAATCACACTCATCCCCCATATCCTTCTTCACTGTTTGCCAAACAACGTCCATCGCCATGATGACTGCCATCATCACCCTCAGCCTTCTTAACCGCCGTCTACAGCCCAGCCTGTACTTGGGTATTCCACCATGCCTGCCCAAGCGCGCGAAAACCGCATCATAGCATTCAACATCATCGCCCGTATCGCTACGCTCCTGCGCAAAACCCCCCAAGGCAAACCACTGCTCGACAAAGTCAACTACGACATCGCAACCCTCCTCACCGCAACCACAGAAGACACCCCGTCCCACCCGATTCTAAACGAGCTCCTCCAGCACCGCGAAGACGTCCTGGCCGAGAAGTCAAGATCCACCGCCCATTCTCAGCAGCCCGCCAAACACCGTTCTCCAGATCCACGCGCCGCACACAATCCTCGCACCCTGGCGCATCCCGATTCTCATCCCCAGCAGCCGCGGCATGCGCGTCCGCCCTCCCAGTCCCCATCACCCCCTCGCCAACGCTCCCGCTCTCGTCGCCCATATCCCGACCCGCACAACGCCCCGCCAGAACACCACATGTCCGGCGCCCTCGCCGCCGACGACCCCCGCGCCACAGGCCCTATTCAACCCCACTCCGCCGACGACGATGGGTTCGTGACACAATCTCGACAGCACCGCCGCCGCCGCAGAAGCAGACGGTATAAGAGGCCTTCACCGCCGCGCTTCAGCGTAAGAAAGGGGCTAGGCGCGTTTGTGCGCGAGACAGTGGCATGGGAAGTAGATAAGGTGCGGCATGCGCAGAAGAAGGAGGAGAGAGCGAGCAGGGGCGGTGGCAGTGAGCAGGGCAGTGGGACGGGTGAAAATGAAGACCGCGCGAGCAAGGACGAAGGATACGAGCACGGATACGCAGAGAGTGGTACCGAGTCCGACAGACAGCGTGGCCGCGCACGACACAGACGAGATGCACAAAGCCACAGTTACCGCGACGAGCGAGGCAGGACTAGGTTCGTGTATGAGGATAGCACGCCGACACGATACACCGCATCCACCGAGCGCCATGCCGACGCATCCTATGACAATATACATGTCCACCCACGCAGACGAAAACGTCGGTACCACGCGCACGATCCTGCTCATCAGCCGGTAGGTAGGTACGCGCCCCTCCTCTCGCCTGCCGCCTCTTGACAACTGCTAGACTCGCGCTCGTGGTAGTGCTGTGCATAGCATTATATCTAGTCTCTCGGCCCTGCGTCTCCCGGGTGTTAATGCGCCGCCTGTGACGGAGGCTCAGCGGAGGGATTTTTATGGTCTTACGAGGCGTGGGGTGTGAGGAGATGTGTAGCGTGTTATATTGTATGTAGTTGTAGAGGGAGGTGGTGGCTGGATAGTGCTTGGGGGGTTGTGTGTGGACTGTGTTGGACTTGTGGGTTTGGTGGTGGTGATGTGGGAGGTATGAGGATGAGGGTGTGAGCGGAGGAATCAGACTAGTGAAGTCTTGAATTTATGGGATCTTGAGGCGTGGAGAGGATTTTGTTTCGTTTATATATTATACTATATCAAGAGTCAGTTCCTTAAATAGTAAAGATAGGGTGTGCGTAGCCAAGCGCATCCACTCCCGGCATCACACCAAACCAACCTCCTTTCATGCTCTCTCAAAACACCAACCTAGCATCCCATCCACCGTACATCATCCCTACACCACATCACACCAATCCCTACTCCACCTCCCCATGATCGACGGACTATAGAAACCATTAGCAAGCAACCCAACACAAATCCAATCCACTTCCTAATAAGTAACCGCACTATCAGAACGAAGAAATATCTCTCATGGAACTCAACATAATATATGAATCATCATTATGCACGCGCTTTTAGGTGGATTGGGTTCTGTTGTACGTACCTAGCTAGATACCGTTTTGACTTGAGGAGTGTGGATATATGAGGCGGAAGGTAGGATGGGATGGCGGGTGCGGCGATGTGGCGGGCGGTACGCAGATGAAGGAGGCAGTCGTTGTGGTCTTGATGTATCTGTTCTGTCGGCGCTCTGGGGTCTCTTAGGAAGAAGCGTGTCCATGTCCCACCGTGCTACGCTATGATGTTGAGATGTATGCCCTTGGAGGACTTACCTAGTTCGACGACCGAGGCTTTTGGATGCTAGGAGTTTCAAAAACAGTGACACGCATAGAGGTCGCAAGTTTCTACATCTACTCACAGATACTGAGACACTGTAGATCAATGTGCCCAGCAGCTCGTCATGCTTGACATGACGAGTGAGTGATGCTCAACCCCTTCCATGCCGTCTCTTTCGTCCCGCCACGGAATATACCCACTCCGCTCTTTAACTTTGTTATCCAGGACTCAGTGGGAGGTAGCGAGCTAAACAATTCATCAGTCTTCATCGAGTTGTGATACATGTACAAGGTATTGCTCAGTCTGCTTGGTAGTCATGTGCCGGGCTGGGTTTGCCAGTCGGTGTGGACACTCTCGTGCGGATGCTAGTATTCGAGGGAATACACAGCATCTTGAATGGGAGTATAGCGCTGTATTACAGTCTGCCCTGTGTGAGTCGGTCTCTTGTTCTTTTATAGGCTGTGTGTGGCGGACTCCTTCGACCTACCACCCCCCCTGAGGCTCCGCTGGGTTTGGCACTGCACGCTGGTAGTTTGGCCGGCATGGCTCTTACAACTGTCCTTGATGAATGCCTAGAAGATGTTTACTTGTGTAGCAGAGCGGCCTATGCGGTGCGAGTGTTTGTTGTGGGTGACGGTTCGGGTGCGCTTCAGCACTTACACTGCGGCACAGGTGCCATTCTTTTCTAGCTATAGGCTCTTCGAAGCAGATGCATGGTCTGTTGTGTAGCCTTTTATGTATTGTAACAATATTACCTTGACCCATTCTAGTTATCTGTATGTATGCAGGGCGCTGTAGGAGAGAGGACGGCGAGAGGTTTGGATTGGTTCCCAATGGGGGCAGGAAAGCTGTGATTTTTGTGTAGGAGGTTGGGGTATGGTTATGTGTGTTCCTAATATTTTCGAGATGCTTTGAAATATCGTTAGTATAGGCATCTCGGTGGAAGGATTGTGAGACACTTACAGACTTACAGAGAGTTAGGGTGTTACTAGAAGAGAGAACACACGTCCGCTTGAAGTCGGCAAACGGCCGTTGCTGTGCTCGCGTGTTCTATCCAAAAAGCGGAGATATTAGGGAGTGTCCACTACAGTACTCGAAGGTCAAATTACTCGATTTGAAGAGCTGGCTGTCCGTCCCCTGTGGTGTTGTCGATGTCTTTAAGCTTCGTAAGGTTGCATATTCTCTTACCGCGATCCGGTCATGTACAATGTTAATTGTAGTGACACTTCCAGTCATATGTATCTTACGCCGAACGGAATGCCTCAAACGAGTCTCTGCAAGGAAGTTAGTATGACAAGGCCTGATACCAATGGATATGTGCTACACGATTGTGTTTCGCTGCAGCTTAGAGTCTACCACCGCCAGTCGCAAAGACTGTCTCTTTTTGATGGCGGATCTCGGCGGTAGACTGGCCGAGGTTGTTCTTGGTTGTTCTCCAGCAGACGTGCTCGCACGGCAAGAATAGGTGTTAGCAAGTTCAGTGAGATGTAGATTACACTCACTGTCTGTTTCCCATTTCTACAATACTTCCTAACGAGTGAGCTACGCTCCGTCACCAACCTGCGGCTGTTAGTAGGTCTTAAGAATACTTCGTCGCATATTCCTCCATGCTGTGATGGTTTTAGTGATTGTAAAGCTTGTTTCGAGCAAAGTCCGTGACGAGAATCGCACAAGAGCAAAAGGAAAGGACAGGCTTGCTTGCTGGAAGTCTTCCAATACGGTGGAGAGCTGCTAGGATCAGTGTAGGTACTACCATGAGATACTTTAGAGTCCAAATGACCTCGGTCGAGAGATTCGAGATGTTTCGTTTCTTGAGGCAGTACTGTCAGAGTTTCGAGATGCTTGAAGCACTCACATTCAAGGGGAGCGTGCCTAGTAAAAAGAGCAAGCGCTGCGGTAAGGCGGCAACAGGCGGCGATGCATTAAGGTAGAGATGGAGCAAATGTTGGTGGAGGAAAGGAAAAGCTCAGAGGTCGGCCAGATTTGACTGGGCACGGACAACACTCAAATATTCAATACGGCGTGTAAAGGCACACGCGTGGTAGATACACTGTTTGTCACAGAAAACTTGGAGTCATAAAGATTATGCCATAGATGCAGATATATTCCATTGTAAGGTGGCAAGCTTCAAGCTCGCCGGGTCTGGTCCGAGTATCTCGCATTCTCTGCAAATGACTATCCCTTTCCCACCAAACTGCTCACAGATGTCCTTATTGTTCAAACAATCATAGAGTAATTGCAGGCCCAACAATTGTTGACATGAAATGACCATGTAGCTGCGCCCTCCAAGCACCTAGCATCTGACTTGTCGACTTACTGGCGCTTTGAGCTGCTGCCCTGACCGGTGAGGCGACTGTTCTTACGCTCAACCCATCTTTTCTCCTCATCAGTGCCACTACGTGCGACCTATCAAAATCTTTAGCACCTGTAAACGTCCGTATTAGAGAAGTCTCACCTCTTTATCGCTTGCCATGCCTGAAACAAGATCGCCCCTGAGAGGCGGCTTAGGGCGCTTGAAGCCATCCGGTAGGATATTCTTCTTATCCACTTCCGTGTAATCAAATTTTCTGTTTAACACATTCTTTTCCTCCGCATCCTGCGTCTTAGAATCCTTTGACGCGACGACCTAGATACCATAAACGTTAGCAAGCCTCGGAAACAGGCAGACCTTCTCCAGGAGATATGATAGTAAGGTATTGAAAGGTGAGAGTACGGCTGTTCACTGTGCTTGGTACTACTATTCTGTGCATCATTGAGGTTACTTACGAGTGGAGTTTTACCTCCCGGTCCCTTTTCGCGTTCTCCCTGAGCAGGAGATTCATGTTTTGTTGAGGGATCTCCGGCTGCAATGATGGCCTCGTCGATATCAGACAGCGGGGTTGACGCCCTGGAGTCCATTCTAGGATTTCTTTAGCTTGAATGGATCTATAGATGTGAGGATTAGAGAACGAACTTGTTGAGTGAGAGTTGGTGGGATCTTGGTATGCTTTTATCTTGTAGATGCTTCTTAGAGTTAGCTCACACTTGAAAGGACAGAGAATCTAGTAGAGTAAGACTTGCAGGTAGAGAGAAATCAGATCTCTCTTCGATATTTTGGAGGGGAGAGAAGATGGTGGATGAGGAGAGAAGTGCAGAAGTAGGGGCCCGTGCAAGTGACATGAGAACTGCGTACCTGGCAGGACTTCACAACAGCGCTAGTCCCAAGTTTCGATCCCCACCCACACTACAACCACGTCTCATGGCCTTTATATATTATTTTATTCTACAATCCTTCGCCTTCGGGCATTTGATCAATATGAAACGATACAGAGAAGATTAGCATTGCCCCTGCACAAGGATGACTATGACTTAATCAAAGAGATAACAACATTTTTTTTTGCTTTTGGCTCCGGGTTCAAGCTCCCAGCGGTACACCTCTTTTTGTTTTTATCCTTGCGTGCGGGTGAGGATCTTGGACGTGTCCCAGGGCCATGGACATCAGCTACTGATTCTTTACTTCGGCATGTTAGCTTTCCAGGAAGAGAGATACAAAGCAGTGGGACTTTAGTACTCGTCTTTTGATTACTATATCAAGGTAATTGACACTCAAGGAGTCTGGCACCATCTGGGGATCTCTTTGGCCCCCCGTGAAGCTTCAAAGTTCCCGGGCAGCCTACGTCACATCGCACACACGATTTTACACGACCACAATATCAAGAGGTGCACAAATCATTAACTAGCCTGATTTGATATAATGAACTCCCGCCAGAGACTCGTAATTCTCCAGTAGATCTCGCATCCCTGATGTATCATAGACCAGTCTGGTAATACCTGAGGTTCTCACCTTGGTTGTGTCATGTCAAGAGCCAACGCCTCGACTCCTTGCCGTTAATCTTCCAGCCTCCTCTTGCTCTTTATTCTTACATCTATTATATACCTGCATTCCATGAGTTCCTTTCCATACACACCTTATAGAATTAACCAGTCCTCCTTTTGTGTAAGCTGCACAGTAGGACGTAACTGGCAGAAAGCGTGCATCATGATACTGATTTCGAATCGACACACAACCTGTACCATCCTAATTTGCGACCGTACCTACCAGTTCAGCCAAAGCAGATTAGCTACAGCAGCTCGCTACATGGCGAGTCTTCGTAGTCATGGAATGGATGCCCTGGATATGACACGGGTTAGCCATGCTCACTAGACCCGGTGACTGAACGGTCAAGGATCAGAAGCACGAGGAGATCAATTCGAGTAGGGCAGTTGAATGGGACGGATCTACCGCGCTTAAATTTCACCTGGAGAGAGGAGAAGCTCATCCACCTTGGTCCTTGGACAGGCTAGAATTGCGACTTGAAGATGGGTGAGATACAGCAGACGCGAGTCCTTTGATGTTGCTGGTCGCAAGATCATCTTTGGACGTTATCGTGTAGATCCTTGGATAAGACTCCCCTTGCAGATCAGCAAGCAGCTATCGTTTTTTGTGAGGTGATCACACTGTATATGATGTAATTTGTGACATCTCAGCTGAGCAGCAAGAGAAATAGAAGATGAAGGTAGTACGGAAGGTACGCTAAAACAATTCAAAGGCGACGATGCCGTGAAGGGATTTAAAGCAAGCCAAGTCAGCATGAGCTACGGATATACAGAACGTACGCACGGACTTATAGCCGTTCAAGCAAACAACAGTTGTCAGGGTTTCACAATGCACACACCCCTTGTTAGGCAGAGCACAGCAACAGCACTTTTCCGACTTGGAGCCCACAGAGGAACTCGTTTCCTGTACTTTTGGACACATCCGTGCAACCCAAGCAACCATCGGCATCCACCTTTCTACTATTGATCATAATTACAAGTCGGTCTCTCTGTAGGCCAACAGCAAATCGAGTATCGCAAGCTTCTATACTCTCTGTCGCGCTGAGTACGAGATCCTTATCCCAGTTACTCCCTGACTATTTGCGTCCCGCATCTCAGAATCAACAAGCGGAAAGCCTCTCCCAACACAACTTAGCGATAATTCGACCTCGCAGCAAGAGGGCAGATCCAACACTCGGCGCTACTAAGACTGCTGTTAGTACCCGGTCGCCCTCTTGGCTCTCTTCCTGCCTACTCACATTCAAGCAGCCTAGGATGGGCAAGATTTCCGTTACTCCTGATCTTCACACGCACGCAGCCGAATGCGAGCCAGACCAACCCCATACCATGTACCAAACAGAGTAACAGGAAATACAGACTAATATCCCCTTTTCTAGGCGTCGAGGTCCAAGAGTAACAGCATTACAGGTTCACCACGAAGCAAAGTATGCCGACACGTGTCGCTCCAATTCGAACATTTCTAGACGGCATAAAGAGCACTATGAGCCATTGTGAGTACAGCTCGATGAGCATCCTCTGTCGAAGAGTATTGCTCTTCCTTGCTGACTCTGTGAGCGGGGGTGGAGTGGCCAGAGGGCTAGAAGAGTGTTTCGCGCGCAGGGAAGGCGAAAGGTTCGGTGCTTGGAGCTTAGAGGGCTTATATTCGTACCGGCGTAGAAAAGACCATCAGACAAAAGGGACTGGAAAAAGGGACTGGAAAAAGGGACTGGAAAAGGTAACTAAGAAAGAGACTGCATGCCCCGTGGATACAGCAGCCGCCTGGTCGAAGCATCAGATTGCAGACAAGTGATAGTAAGAGACAAGTTAAAGAGATCTTCAGGAAGAGATAAGGGAATCATTGAAACAAATGATAGAAATATATGAGACACGGAACATAATTTTGAGGGCATTGCCTCTTATGACCAGCCAAAGTCGAACGAATGCTACACAATTCTTGGGAGTGTTTCTAGCTTGCACGATACGCCAGACATTTGCAGCGTTACACGTCCTGTTGAAGTCATCCGAGTCACAGTGTTGTGGACTGTGCAGCGCTACTCCCTTTTACTCAATTCTGAGCCTTACCGATAACTCAGTGGCAATGATATACGAGCAGACAACATGCTGCTATACAATGGGGAGGCGAAGCCAAGTCACTGTGGACCTACTCACAGCTGCACAAGGAGGAATAGTATCAGCGCGAGCACGCCATAGGAGAGTACCAGCAGGCGCCCATGACAACGTGGAGAGAACAAAGAGTCTGCTCAACCGCCAACAGACAGACCGTTCTACCGAAATGAATTCCTGGGAAGAAAAGTGAGCAAGACGTGGACATCACGCAAGTCAGTAAGGAAGTCCCATCACATCAACGGCATACCTTCTCTCCCTCGTCGCCAAGAGTACAATTCTTATTCTCTGTGCCCAGGAGTGTCGAGACTGTGTTCAAGGGTACGCAGCCCACAATGTGCAAGGCACCCATGACAAAGACTTTTAAAAGACTGTCATGGTGCTGATTGCGCCATCAGATCGACTCGCCAATATCGCCAAATGATATATTATTAAGTCATCATCGATAGAGAGCTACACAAGATGTAATAATGGTCGACTCAACATCTGTCCAAGTACACGAATTGGTAATCTGCAAATATTGTCGGAGCAGGGATCGAAAGCTATTTTTGTGGAATTTTGTATACCTTTCAAGTCGTGCATTTGGTGTTATCATCGTGAACGCGGGCTAATTTCTGTCTTGTTTTAGTCTAAGAGAACACCGTGGACGAAAATCGACTGAACCAGGCCCTGCTCCTTCAAACTTTTCAAGGTTCCTATACCTATAGTAGTGTCGGAGTAATGGCCATGGAATCTATAACGTTATGCGCCGTCGCTGTAGTAAAGTAGATCAGGAATCCAAGGTCCCGAAGTTGAACCCCAGCTATGGTTATAGTCTATTTCAGTAATCGACCAATAGGGCGATAGGAGTATCACCTTATAGCCTACTTAAACCTCCTAGACTAGTCCATAAGCGATGTTACAGCAAGCCTAGGTTCACTACATGCTTTTAGGAGATCAGGCCATGTGGCGAAGATAATGATATGGTCCTTTTCGCCGGACTAGAAGAACAGAGAACCAAGCATTATGTTGGGAGCCCAACATGAGGACTTTACCTCGTGTGAGCTCATGGACTGCATAGACGTGCAGCTTTGATGATGCTCTCTATATCGTTATTGATGGTATAGATGAGGGATGACGGTGAAGCGGTGTGACGTCACCACAAATCTCCGTAGCTTGTGGCCACGAACATGATGTAGAACTCCCTAAGAGGCCCTTTCAGATCTATGATTTGGTGGGTATATTTGGAGTAGTTCGATTGAATAAGTCCGTCTAAAGATGCCTATATGGAGTGAAAGAAACCCGGGAATGCATTGGGATTCCATCTGGGACGTGTTTTGTAGAACATGAGATTTACGCAATCATTTTTAAGCGAAGAGCAATGTGCACCAGCAGATATCTACTGTATTTTAAAAGTATAGGAGGCGAGATGGGCCCCAAAGACTGCTGTCTATAAACAAGGGGCCACAGAAAACGTCAGACTGGGACAGGATGAGCGCGATATGATCTGTGGCTACTCACTTTTCATCTCAGCTTTTGATGGTAGATTACCGCAGGTGAATGATGTAGCATCGCACGGTGTTTTTAAGCAATGCTCTATATCTACCAAAACGTAGACATAACCGTGAAGAGTACGTCTATATAAGTAAGAATGTCGGAGAGCTGCTTCCCGTGCGGCACCCAAGCTCTCTATAAAGTTAGAATTCTATATTTGTCCTATTTCTTAGAACATGTGAGCCGAAATGTATACACCGCTCTCTATAATCTATAATAGTAACTTAGAAGGCAACACGTTTGACCGTCAGTCCTAGCGAATGGGGGCGGCAGCTTTAAGGCTTGCACTCGTCCAGTAAACCTCACCCGAGGCTTTCTCTCTCTCAGCCACGTAAGTGCATGTCGAGTATGTCGTCCACAAATCTCCGATGAAAGACGATTTCTGCCGAATATAGGCTTTGCCTAGGTAAGGACTGATCGCTTCTGTTGCTTCTTGAGCATGGTAGAAGGGAATACGTCTATGGAGTGTTAGTCGAAGTACGTGCGCAAATCAAAGATGGAGTTCTTACGGAAACATGTGGTGGATGACGTGGTATTCAATGATACCGTGGAAGAGGTGGCGTCCGATAAACCCGAAATCACGGTCAACTGTTGCGAGAACACCCTTCTGAAACGTCCACGACTCTTGCTCGTAGCGAGGCGCTTCAGGGTGGGTGTGGTGCAGATACGTAATTGCGACTGGCAGCTTTGTCAGTTAACAATACATATAAGACAGCATGATACTCACCGATCCAATGATTCATCCACAGATACGGAATTCCATAAAGCAGGAAAACGTTGTAGGCGCCAATAGCATTTGCGGCAAACCACAATGCTACAAAAACCACCGCAATACCCACATTAGACAGGAATACAAACGGGTGTTCGGCCGTCGAGAACAGATCGGCACCAGGATCCAGGTGACTTTGTCGCAATGACTTCGATCTGTCCGATGTCACCAAACTCCGCTGCCCACCCCCAGCATTGAGCAGGATATACGCCGGCCAACCAAAGAGCTGATGGATAACCAAAGTCCCAGCATTTACGACCGGCGCATCCTCTGCATAGCCTAAAAGCTCTAACGACCTCGACAGGAGCGATTTGCGCTGGTCCGACTCCCTGCGCGGCACGAAGACTGTGTCTTTCTCCATATGGTTCGTGTATCGATGATGCCTCGCATGGCTATACTTCCAGCTGAAGAACGGCACGAGTAGTATGGAATGCAGGACGAAGCCAACCACGGAGTTGGCCTTCTTGTTCGGTGAGAACGAGTCATGGCCACAGTCGTGTGCCAAGATCCAAATTCCAGTGAAAACGAGGCCCTGAGTGAATCCGTATGCAGTCAACATGGCAGCGCGCGATATCGATGGAGCCAGAGATGTGAGCTTCAAACCGGCGTAGAACAGCATGCTCATTAAAATAATATCTCGAATAACATAGGACATAGACCGTACGAATGAGGACTTAAAACAGTGTTTTGGTATGAGACTTCGAAGAACTTTCATGTCCGGAACATCTTGGCTCGGAGGCATTTCTACTGTCGTAGAATCTTTCATCACAGAGGATGAGACTGCACTAGCGGATAATTTCTGGGTGGAAGACTTGTCGACGGATCTTTGATCGAGTAGACGTCCAAGATTACCATGCGAAGTGTTGTGGTAGAGGCGCCGGTAGTATCTAAGTTCAATTGATTCCAGGAAGAATAAAAGCCGCGTAGGAGATTTATAGGTCAAGTAGCATTGCTTTCAGGGTCCGACAGTCCAGATGAATATTCTTGTGGACAGATCTTTTTTCATGATGCAGGCCCACTGTTTCGAGGCTGCCCCTTATGCTTTTCATGGATCCATCCTTACCCGCGTCAAGTCTAATCCTCATTTCTTGGCCCAATCTCAACGTTTTCCCTTGGACAGCTCTGTGACTACCCGGACATAGTTTAACGGCTTTCGAACCCCTCGATAGAGACCCCGATAGAGGCCCCGATAGAGCCGGCATAAAGATGGCATGATGCTCGTAAGAGGTATACGCGAAGATTAGTCAACGCAGGGAAACAATGGAACGCGGTTGCCCACAGTCATCCTGCATTAAATGTGGAGCCTGAGCGGAAGCTAGGCCTATCTGAGCCTAGACCACATGGGGATGTCATCACGGATTTCAACAGATTTCCAATCCTGGCTACTTATGTCCGTGCATTTCGTTTCTACCTGGCTTCCTCCTTATTATTACGCATGTCCAATCGGTCCAAGCTTATCTATTCTAGCACCATTCTATAGTACCTCAATTACTGTTTTCGCGCCATCACCTATACCAAATCTGTTTACCCTCTAAAAAGATCTCATGATTTTTATATATAGACTTCTAGGGTAAGATAAGGTACTTAGATCTGTATATCTTTCCAAGCCTTAGTTCCCTCAATCTAGTGCAAAATGAGAGAAAACCACACTTCGCAGAGAAATAGTCCATGGACTTCTCCTTTTCTTCTTCTTTATTACCGACAATTAACTTTAAGATTTGTGGATCTAACATGTAGGTAAAATTCGATATCTTGTATTATATTTATATGAGTATGCTGACTATAGATATGCTGACCTCGGCTTGAAACTTTGCACACGAATAGCTTCTCAGGCACCTAGGTATTCAGAGCTTTAAGTCTTGAACCATTCACTATTATGCACACTTTGAATGGAGAAGCACGTGGTAAAGACAGCCTCATATATTATATTTGAATACTACTCCAAAACCCTCGTCTCAAAATCCAGTAGCGTTAAGGGCAACCTCTCATTTCGTCTCCCAAGCAAGGGAGCCCAGCTGGACTGAGCTGACGACCTTCCTGGACAAAAGCCTTATAGCGATACCACACATTTAGGAGATTCCGATAGGGGTGGTACAGAGAACAGCCTGGCCCGCCTGTGCAAATTTGTTAGTACAAGTCGTTTTCGATAGCGACACCACTTACGACTGGAATGACACAGCAGCGTGCACGCTGGCCACCAGCAGCGCAGATGCTCTGGAAGTCACTTGGGCTCGAAGGGATGGCACCAGCTGCAACTGTTAGTGAGACGCAGACATGGTCGAGGGCGATACATACGAGTAAGACAGTTCAAGTCGGCGACGCCAAGGACGTCAGTTGCACAGCACTGTTCCTCAGAGTATAGGCCGGCACATGCAGCATAAGGAGCTGAAGGACCTGTGGGAGGACAAGTTGGTTCTGTGGGAGGGGTGGGCTCGGTGCCATCGCCATCGGTAGGGAGGGCAAAGGCCATGGATGCGAAGAGAGCCACAAGAATGGTATTGAACTGCATGATTGTGCTGACTTTGTGGTTGGGATTTGGATCTCAAAGTTGTTGGCTGCTGAAGATGGGGAGAGAAGATTGATGAGTATAATGGTGATAACGAAGAAGGGCATCTTGCGCTGACTTTATAGATTCCTATGCCCTGTCTTTTCCTTGTGGTCATTCAGACTCAGCCGACGAAGACATTCTCGGCTCAGACCTGGCATATTCAGGAGACGCCTGTTGCCAACACCCGAGCTGTTCTACGGACATTGCCAGAATAGGACCACGATTTATTGGACGCTACTTTAGCAAACAGCATAAGCGACTGAGTCGGACTTGTCATCGAATCATTCGGCTTTGATCGATTGAAGGTGGTTTTATGTCTAGTATTGGTCCTGATCCATGCTCGGTGTGAGCGAGGACGCCCGTATAGCCAACATCTGCATGTAGGCTGGGTCTCCAAGCATATAAGCGAAGCAACGTTCATCGCAGGTGAAGGGGACTTTTAGGATATGTCAGAAAGTTGGCCGCATGGCAGGTAAGGGTGATTCTACCAGTTAGATACATTGCCAGGCCTTTAGATGTTTGCACACATCAGGATGCTGCGCCAATCTACAAGTTCGACAAGCCATGAACTCACTCCGGCTTAAGTTCCATCCAAGATGAGTTTTGCCAGGTGTGTCGTTCAGCTGCTATGACCAGCAACATAAGAACAAGTCAAGAATTGCTTCATGGCGTAGATTTACGGCTTCCTGTGTCCAATACTTTAGGGGTAGCAACGCACGAGGCCATCAGCCGATAAAGCAATCCCTCGGAGCCGTTGTTCGACCCAGGTAAGTGACAAACAACTATAACTAGCTATCCTGCAGGAATGCAGGCCAAGTTTACGATCGAACGGCGGTGCTTGGCACGAAGAGGTGACGCAGATGACTAGGACGCTGATAATTGATATAGCTTCCTGAGAGCCTGCACCTGAGTTCGGTCTTGAAGCTGGATGAATTTGCACAGGACCACTGTTCGCTCATCTTGGAGAAGTATTGAAGCTCCATCGTTGAGTCTGTCAAAAATTGACAATATCTGATCCTCCGTCCAGCGAAGGATTGGGTGATATGATACAGGACCCATTCAAGAAGAGCCGGATTTGATCACCGCGGAGCCACCGTCCCGAACCGGCCGGGGACCTAAATTAGAAGAGTGCTCGTCTAGACCATGTTCCGTACATAGTATATGCGGTAAGCTGCAGGGGCAGGGTTTTGCCTGGTCAGACTCATCTGGACGCAGCCCCGGTAAAGAGAGTGGTCATCGCGGGGAACCATGAAGCCTTAAGCGGAAAAAGTAGTCCTAGACAGGATTCAGCTCCGCGTAAGTGAGCGCGGCTCCTGCTGCAGCTCGAACACCTTCTCATTCAGAGAAAGGCCTTACGCCTTAGGCTTAATTCAGACACATGGCTTGCGGGGCTTCACCAATCGTCCAGTACCTTCGGGGCTGCAAGGGCCCTCATATGGTAGACCTGCACAAAACAGTCGATGCCAACACAGCGGGTAGGTTGGTGTTGCATGATTGGTGAGTAGAGATTATCCGTCGTGATCCTTGCGGTTTATTTGTGTCTGCATGATAGCTTCCCCTGGTCTTATATGGTCCAGTATGTTCATCCAAAGCTGTATATCGCTGCGCAATGTGCAAGACGTGATATATGGGCCATAAGGCCTTGGCAAGTTCTGTCAGGCTGCCAAACGTACGATATCTTGAATCCCATGTTCATCTGACTGTGGAGGCAACCAACAGAGCACGGAATGAGTCTCAAACGCGCGGAGTGTTCGGTCTCATCCGGATTCAAATGCTCCTGTTCTCCATTTTAAAACACATTGCATCTTGGCCAGAACCAAAAAGAGAGCTGGATTGATTCGACATTTTCGGGATAATTAGGGCGTACTGTAGGGAAGGAGCCTCGTTCTCTTAGACGTTCGAGCGAAGGGAAGGCCCCTGTAGAAGCCGGTCAGATGCTTTTGGGCGAAGTAGCTGAAGTTCCCCTGGTCAAGAAAGGAACTCATGGTCTGTGACGTAGTGACGGATCTCGAAGACCTGCTGAAGCGTTTTGGTGGGGACCCTCGGAGCCTGGTCAAACTAGCCACATCCAAGCTCTTGCTCATGCCTCGTCGCACTGGTCATGACTATGTCACAGTTCAACAATCGGTAGTAGAGTCCACAGTATCCTGTTTTGCTCAGTCCAGGCTAAATATCATCAAGGAGTGAGGGTGTTTTTATACCCTCCAGCACGTCACTTGGTCTAATATTGCGTGCGATGCAACAAAACTCCAGAGACACATCGGGGGCGACATAGAGAAAGATTACTGAAAATAGTGCACACAATATCGGTTCCTAGCTTCTGCTTTAGAACAGAGCATGTAGCACGGCCGAATGGGTACTCAGACAATGGTCGAGACGGCACGGTGACTCGAGTGTAGGGGCTAGGAGGAAGAAATCCAAGAAAGCTTGGCAGCTGACGGATGTCTAGGCGGCCGGGGATGGAACGGTACCTCAATTGACTCGGAAGTCATCCGGATGGGTGAATTAATAAGCACGGGTGAAAAGCTACCTAGTACAGTCAGACCTTGACTATCTATTCAATCTCAAACACTAAACACCACGACGACCTGTATCATCAACAACTGGCGCTGAGAGTCTTCAATATGATACTGCGACCTTACGTGATCGAACGCGTTTGTATAGACACTAGTTCACACAATGAGGAGGGTAAGGCAGCGGAACTGTCGGTGAGCACGCGACACCAACATGTGGACGCACCGTCGCACGCAAAGATGTAGTGCTCAAGTGATGCCCGAATGAGCAGCTAATTGTTCGGACTAGGTATTGACTACCATAGTTGCTGGGCTTCGCTGAGATGCTGGCATTATTCTCGCAAAATTATCACAGTCTTGTGAGAAATACATGCTGAACGTTTGCAACACTGCTAAGAGGTACGAAAACGTGTCATTTCGATAGATGCTGAAGATCTGCTAGTGAGATTTTTGACCAATAACAGCTCCCTTTTCAGCCATCTTTCAATAGTCTTGATGTTCAACTTGTTTTTCCAAAGGATTATATCATGCTAAACTATAAGGCGTTAGAGGCTAGGCCTACCTAAAGAGCTATACGATGCGTAGGAGTATGAGCATTTCTCGCTAGCAATGCCCTACGCCGACCATCGTCTAAGCCTACACCGTACTTATAGCAAGAGAGGTGCCATCTTGAGCAAACACTCTCGAGCATAGTGATTTGAGATTGCAAATGGGGTCTATAAAGATAATACGCCTGCCTCTGTGATCGCAGATCTGGGGCTAAAGCATGGACTAACGTTTCCAGGACTAGAAACGGTAACTGCAAGCAAGACCTTACGTGGTACGACAAGAGGGCAACTGTGCCACAATTGCGAAATCTGCGTCGCGAGGTCTCCCAGGGCGGCTATGTCTAGCACTGGAGAGACTCGATGGTCCAGTAGTAAACTTGCCACTTGACGGCATTTAGTATAAGCCGTAAATCATTTGCGATCGCCCAACCAACCGTACAATATGAGGGCGAGCACAACTTGACATTGTCAAAGACTCAATGTTACGCGACATTTCTAGGTTTCCGAACGACCGAGAATGCGAACATTTAATGCCCGTAATGCCGTAATATCATGAGCAACCTCGCAAATGTTTACCTGGATAATCCCAGCAGCATCTCGCATGACGACGATCATAGAGGTTCTTCAATGCTTAGATACTGTCCTCGTGCTTTGAAAACTCTATGCTTACGGTCGCATGCTTATCACTGTAGAAGGATTTTTGTGCTGGGCTTGGCAAGTTTGTCTGAGTGCAAAGCAGCTGTAGCAACACCCAAATTCTCCGAGATTATGCACAACAGCCTTCGCTATTGGCTCGGTATACGACAAAGTCGCAGATTTGTATCCAATTGAAATTGACCACGCTCTGATTCTACGCCGCATACTCACGACAAGCACTGGATGCATAGCTGATCTGATCGACGCATATGTCAGCGGCAAACATTCCGATCCTTCTTCGACGATCATAATCTAGCCAAGAAGAATAAGACACAGGTATGAGAGCCACAGGGAGAATATGTTATAGAGGTCGATCAGCCCATCGGAAAAGGGTTTTTGAACAGTGTCTACATTTCACTTGGTAGGATCTACCAGAAATGTTTACCACTTACATAGCTTTGGCGACACTAGCCAATTTGATACCTTTGTCAGAAGCTTTACCATCTATAATACAAAGACAGTCTAGTTGGCCACCACTCGACCAAGTACCCGACACAAATTCCCCAGAAGTCAGGCAATGGGTGTCACAAATCGACTGGTCCAAAGTCCCAAACATCAGTCCCTCTGGCTCGGCTCTCTGCGATCGCACCAGTAATCAAAACAACGTTGCAAACGCACAAGCAAACTGCTGGTGGTCGTGCAACCTCTGCACACGACCAGATGATGCCACGGCTTGTCCAAATCGAGGTGAATGGGGCTTAACATTCGACGACGGTCCATCACAATACACAAACCAACTGCTCGACTATCTTGACTCACAACGAGTAAAGGCAACTTTCTTCCTGACCGGCAGCCAATCGACTAAAGTACGAGACACCGCCATACGCCTTGCAAACACAGGTCACCAGATTGGTGTACACACATGGTAAGATCTCCTTTTATTTACTACTCCAACTTCAGAGCTTATACAAATTCAGGAGCCACACCGCTCTCACAACCCTCACCAACGAACAAGTCGTCGCCGAACTTGGCTGGACACGCGAAGTTCTCAACCAGATAACGAACCGTAACCTTAAGCTTGGTCTCATGCGCCCGCCATTTGGCGACATCGACGACCGTGTGAGGGCAATTTCCCACCAGATGGGGCTCATTCCAACTATCTGGACAGCAGGTCCATACGACACGAAAGACTACACGCTTGTCGACAATCCGGGTAACCAGGCAGCTTTGGACGCGAATCTCAATGATCTGGTGACGCAAGGTCGGAACCGAGGGAACGGGTTTATTACTTTGCAGCATGATATCGAGCAACCGACGGTGACATATGCCATTAATACTGTGATTCCGCGGGCGTTGAAGGAAGGCTTCGCATTGAAGGCGTTATATCAGTGCGGGATTGCCTAAATCATGCATCTCAGCAATTCAGTCTTTTTCTTTCTTTTGTTCAAAGTCAGACACTCTAATTTCTTTCCCATGAACGAATATCAACTCGTTCACCCCGTCGCATAGGATACACAACATATGAATTTATCCCGTCCCACCAACCATGAGGCATTGACTCCTAAAACTACACTGAGCGCTACTTTAACTGGAATGCGTAAGTAGGCTTTTATTTGTTCCTGGCTAATCATTGATCTGGACTCAGTCAACGGTCATGCGAATAAGGATCATTTCAACCCCCCCCCCCTAATATTGCTTGACTGTCCCAGCTCTTTCCTTGCCAGTATTGCATCGTCGATAGCTAACGCACTACGCACTAATCCAACGTCTTCTAGGCACCTAATCCCAAGATTCTGTCACCCAAAATACCCTTATACTCTGATCGCCAGGTCCTGGGAATTTGACAAAGCCTTGCAACTGAAAGCCACGTCCCTGTCAGACCTTGAATCTAAGTCGATTTCAAAAGTCTAACGGGACATTCACAAGACCATCAATAAATGCCTTTTTCGGCTGAGGCTGTTGCTTATGAGAACGTTTAGGGATTCACTCATCTATAGGGATGAGCTTCGTTCGAATTCCATACGAAGACTTCTAGCTGCAAAGTGAGATTCATCAGACATGCTATAACCTGCGAGAACGGACGGTTCAAACCCCCTCTCCGACCTAAGATGTCCGCAACAGAGCACTCTGAGAGCCCATGAACGTTTTCTCCGCCGATGAACAAGGAACTAACGTGGGCTACCTTTGCCTTTGCTTATCTGATTCCTTCCTATGGGAACAGATACTCGTTCTGGTATCACATCTCGACAACTACGCGGCCATTATCATCTGGATGTTGAGCGCGTAAAGTCTGATCCGCAGTCTGCATGCTCACAGGCCACTATTCATGATGAGTTTGCCCCCTCGGATGCCACAACTTGAGGGATCAATGTACTGATTTCATGTGACCATCAGGTCAAAGACCGTGATGAAGTCCCGACCGGGTACGATGTTCTGACTAGTGCTGACGCTTCCATCGGGAGTGCACAGTAGCCCTCAGATCGTCAATCCGCACGTCCGAGAAAATTTAAAGTAAGTCAGCCTCATTTTGCGCAAGATTAGGTGCAGTCGTTTTATCAAACGACTCCGGATGTTGATAGAAGCCCAACTTCATAGCATGCTCCTTCAAGACCTCTTCTTGGCTACTGGAATAGCGCGGCGTGAGAGGTTGCCACGCCATATTTCCAAAGTCCGCGTTGAAAGGTAGCAGGTGAGGTGGTTTCCAGAATGCTCCTGGGCAGTCTCTATGATGGTCCTTGGCTTTGATCCTGATAGTTTTAATGATGCGTAGAAGCTCGTCAACACTATGTTGCATAATCTTGGGATCTGGCAGTGGCCACAATTTTTTCTTTTTGAGTCCTTGAAGGAGTGAGCCGAGCATCATGGCTTCGCATGTGGACTCGCCACATGCGCTTATTGGATCTTCGTGTAGGACACCGGGTGTCTCTGCTGGAGGAGGCGGAGGCGGACCGCACGGATTGAGTATGCGTTCATTACAATACTTGAGGATCGCTGCAAGCATAGCTTCTCTCCATTTCTTCAGCCGATCTGTGCAGTATTATTAGCTGCCTGATTACAGGAACTAATCAGGGATGTAAACACACCCAAAGCCCCGTAAGGCATGACTGAGTCCTCCAGGGTCTTGAAATCAATGGTGTACTGGTCTTTTGGTTTCGAAAGCCGGGTCCGACGGGCAATTTGGAAAGCCAATGTCTTGAAATCTTCAGTCATGCCAAACACCCACGCAATAAAAAGCCACTCTTCCTTTCCCTGGTGAAGCAGAGTATCGTAGCATGATCTAACCCAATTTTGCCAGAAAGGTGCCACGACTGCTTGTAGTTCATATTTATCAATCAGGATGGTAAGATCAAGAAGGTTATCAAATGTCGTATCCTGACTGATTATATCGAATCGTAAGTGAACGATTCCGAGAATAAGTGTCATCGCCACAGGATCGTCATCAGGGAACGGAATCTCAGTAGAGTTGGTTTCGGCGAAAGGACCTCGGAGCATATGTCTCCAGACTTTGCTTGCCTGGGCCAAATTACTTCGACAGACTTGAAATCGACGCTGTAGACAATGTACAGCTGAGTGAATCTGTCGAGGACCAAGTGGCACTCGCGGCGCCCATTCCTGTTCAGCTTCTTGTCCTAGATCATGTTCCGTGTCTAGAGACCCGACAAGAACCATCAGATCGCCATCAGGATCAAAGATAATGGTATTTATCTCTAACTTGGAGGAGCCAGCATCACACTGCTGCGGCGGGACGTTTTCGTCGTTCGCAGACATCGATGAAACAAACCTTTCACATGAAGCTAGACGTGCTGACGCGCTGTATACGCTCCAGTACTCGAGGAGAGTTATACTTTGCGTAGTGATATACTGGAGAAGAAAAACTGCATTGGGTATACGGAGCTGGAAATGAGCATCAGCGTTAAACGCCGTGTTGTATCACTCTCGGCCTCGGAGCTGGCCCAAATAGGTCAAGCGCCGAATATACATGCTTAGCGCATTGATGCTTGTCACCCTTCCTTTTGGCCTTTTTTTTCGGCTCTGCCTGCGCATAATTTACAGATCATTTCATATAAGCACAGCTCATATACCATAGATTTCCGGCGAATTAGCTCTGTCGGGAAGCACACGCATGGTCAGCTACTTGGGACTAATGGTTGCTCAGTAAACGATCATGAGTTCAGGACTCGTAGCATGTCCTCGACACTCGCGAACTTCTCTCTCTCCTTTCCCAAGAGCTTACCCTTCTCCTTCTCCACTTGGTCTATCTTCTTCCAGTCCTGCCAAGATACTCTCTGCAGTCCCCGCCGCGCTGCCTCGTCTTTGACACCATCCCAGCCTAGCGCCGTACTCTGTCCATTGCCTATGTTATGATTGAGAAACGGTGCTCTATTCTCCCAGTCACTCGCAATCACATCTGCAGAGCTAAAGGCATCGTCCATCGTACTTGCGATGACACCTGTCGGCCCACGCTTCACCCAACCAGCGCAGTACATCCCTGGTACATGCCCGGCAGTAAGCGAGCCTGGGCCAGCAGTAGGGCTGAGAACACGGCCATGAATATCATTTGGGATGATACCCATTCTGGAATCGAATGTGATCCCGAGATCTTCTAGACCCGGTATCGAAGCAGATTTGTAGCCGACGGAGCGGAACGCTACGGATGATGGGAGAGTTATTGGGTGCTCAGAGGAGGTAGCGACCTTTGCATCGACAGAAAGGGGATCAGACCCATCGCTGTACATATTTTGGCTGAAAGTGATGCTATCGAGCTCGCCCTCTGCGTCCAAATCGAATCTCTCGGGTGACAAAAAGTACCGCAGCTCCCAGTACTTGCTTGTGTTTGCTTTTAAACCTTCGTCCATCCCCTTCATAAGCACCTCGAAGAGGCGCCGCTGTACACGAGGGAGTTTCTTTGGTCCCCCAGACGGTAGTGCGTCCCACTGTATAGCTTTTCTGAGACCATCTGACAGGAACTGCGCGGATTGAAGATTGATGAGCTCTCGAGCCTCTTTTACGGTGAATGCTGCTTGAAACGGCCCCCTCCGCCCTACGATGGAGACCTTCTTGATGGTGCTGCGGCGGAGGGCGTCTGCGGCATAAGTGGTGATATCAGTCTTCTGCAAGTCCTCTACTGGACTTAGTAAAATCCTTGCAACATCCAGTGCTACGTTTCCTTGCCCTATAACGATTGCCTCTTCTCCCCCGGTCAATGCCGGTGATAGCCCAGCATACTCCGGGAGTCCATTGTACCAGCCAACGAACGCGCGAGCCGAGTATATGCCGTTTCCTTGCTCCCCTGGGATACCTAAAGCTTTGTCTTCGGATGCGCCGTACGCGAAAAGGATGGCATCGTAATGGGGTGTAAGTAAAGAGAGAGGTATGTCGTGGCCCACAGCAACATTGCCGATAAAATTGAACCGCGGAGAGAGGGCAACTTCTTCGAATTTGTCTTGACAGTTCTGCGACTCTATGTATCAGCCTTGACTCTTGCTGCAGGAGCTAAGTGGGTGGCCCACCTTGACTTCGGGATGATCAGGCGCTACTCCAAAGCGCACCAGACCAAATGGTACAGGCAATTGCTCATACATATCAACGATTGCATCTTGTACTTTGTTCATAAATCGATATGCGGCGTAGAAGCCAGCAGGCCCAGAGCCGATGACAGCTAGTCGAAACGGTCGCGAGGTTTTAGTGACATTGCTATAGCTTCTTCGTGTTACGAGTTGTCTATAGCTTGAGAGGGTACGTGTGTGTTTAGTGTCGCGAGCGGTACTTGCGCAATGTTTGCAGGTGTATGGTAGCCGGCGCAAAGGCTGCATAATTCGAGCAGGATCAATGTGGTCATATTTTTGAAGTTTTGAAGATTGGTCCAAGTAGCAGAGCTAATGACTGACTTTCTCCGACCTAAGCTCCGCTTCGCTGTGTCAGCAAAGATGCAGTTGCAACCTTATCGTATACAATGAATCACTTCAGCATAGGACTGATACAGGAAATCCGATCGTGGTCAGTACGGAGTGCAAGTCAAATTCCAATATCAGAGCGCAATTAATTATTGGATTTTGTTTCCGATGTCACGCCAACGTCGGAGTGCGCTGAGGAGAAGCGCCGGAAGTGGTTGTCCCGCCGACGCGTAGCATCATAACACTAATACCATGCACACCTCATACAAGCGCGTATCCCTTGCAAGCCGGGCTACGATAATTGCTCTCTTGCTCTTTTCTTACAAGACTTTTGAGTCACTCTTTTGTACCCCTTGCCTGCGTACAGACTCGTCTTGACCATCTTCTGCCTACCTTCGTCGTGGTGACAAGTGCTGCTACTCGACATCGCGATGGTTGTCACTCCGCCCTATCTATATGAAGCTACTCCCAGATACAACGAGCATGATCCGTTCAATGGCTTTGACCCAAAAGCTATTACTCGCGCAAGCCGCGAAATTCCTCCACGCGCAAAGAAGCAAGAAGGCCCACTAATCAATTTCAACAGGCACCCCGATAGCTACCTCGTCCTACCGTATGGCAACACCGATGCGAAGCAAATGAACCCAAGAACAAAGAGTGCCATCAAATGGGTTCGTTGGATCCAACTTCTCCTTCGTCAACTACAGCTAGTTGGCGCAATCGGGCTACTCATATGTACGATATGCATTCGAGGTACCGCGGATACTGAAGGATGGATTATCAGGATACCCGTAAGTCGAAAACGGGGATTCAAATAAGAAGTTTGACTTACATGTGATAGCCTGGCGCAGATATCGCCGTAACAACATATGCAGTTTACCACCTCTTCAGACCTGCGAAAGGACGTACCCCAGCAAGTTCAGCTTCGTACCACTTCTTCGCCCTTGTCCTAGACGCCGGATTTGTTCCCTTCTACGTCTTCACCGCATTAATGTCGAACAACAACCGAGTCAAAGACGTTGGAGCGGATGGCAGATGGAGAACGTACTTCAGCAGCGATGAGGCCACAATGAAGGTGCTGACAGCCACTTGGTTGACAGCTATAAGCGTCGCCGGTCTGCATCTGGTTTCTTTCTTCTTAGATGTGTGGCTAGTCATCATCTTCCGCAGGATCTCTGATCTGCCTCCTGACATGAATCCGTTGGAGGACAACCTGACATCTAGACGATCGACCAAGCACAAGTACAAGAGCTCGGATGCATCCGACATGACACTTAACGAGAAGCGCGCAAGTGCATCTACCATGTCTGTCTCAATGGAGGGATCTACACGGGAAAGTCAATTATACGATCCATTGGTCTCCGAAACTCGCCCAGTATCCTTCTTTGATACTCGCGCCGGCTCTGTTTCGAACCTGTCTGCTCAAAATCCCGCATCCCCTCGCCATTCTCGACTCAACCTCGCAAAGCAAGCCCAGATCTACTCTCAACCACCATCCACTCGCGCCTCACGCGCAAACGTCCAACACGTCGATGACGACAATGACAGTGAGCGCGACTCTACTCTAGACTCCACGTCGCAGTACTCGCGACCTTCCAAGGCTCCAACCGATATCTCGCGCGACACCCTTCCCTCAATGCTAAAGCGCAACACCCTGGCATCTACATCTGGCAATATCCAACGTAGTAGCCCCGCAAAGCGCCCCAGCACAAACAGGCCCAAATCCGAGCTCCATACCGATAACTGGTTCGTCAATATTGAAACTCCGACAGATGGCTACGAAACTCTGCGCCATCAACAACTCCCCTCGCAAGCACCTGCTCTGCAAGAGCAAGCATATCATGATCGCCGTGACTCGATTGAATTCTCAGAAGATGAGGAAGTATCCTACATGGACGTCCCAGCGCCGCTGCGTATGAACCCACCAACTCCGCCCCCTGTCCCAGAACATAGACTGCGCAAGCCAACGTCACTCAGTACAATCAGTGATGTCAGTTCAATCAGTCGCGCATCTACACCGAAGCGCAAGTTTTACGGCGATCTGAGATCAGCAACTGCGAACCTGCGCCCTGTCAGTAGCACACCGCCAAGAACGACAGGCGTTAAGCAAAGTCGATCTCCCGAGCCAGAGATGAGTGAGCGTAGAGGCCACGAGGGAAGCCCCAGAGTTGTTAGTCGGACTGGGCTGGATATTGATGGAGATCTAGGTCTCGGAGCAGGTAATGGATTGATAGGCAACTGGAGAAGACGTGATGTCAGTGGAAAGGTTGCGGAGGAGGGTAGGAGCCCAGGACTCTATCGGTGACAATTTTAGAATGCAACGTTTGTTACTGTATTGGGATATGGAGTTATCACGGTCGCCATGCGCTACGACGTCATGTAGGGAAGTGAATGGATGGTATTCGATGGCTGGTGTTTTGTACGAGTATGAGTTTGAGAGACGTATTGCATATAATGAACGTCTAATTCAAATTACCTCGATTCCTCCTTCCACTTAATTTTTATTATTTGTGAATCCAAACCTGTCGACTATTTGGTGAATAGCACATCACACTGATGAGGAGAACGCAGTCGAATTAACCGTTAATAACAAAATAAGCGCTAATGAAATCTAAGTGTCATTTCTGAAATAATCGTTATTCAACCGTTAGTGAAAGCGTAATCACTTTAGAGTTTTCACGAAGATCTTGCGCCGTACAAATGCTTATTTGGGCTAAAGTGGCCAATTAGACGCCGCGATCTGATAGCACTCACTTTCTACTGATAAGATCAATACATAATATTACTGTCAAACCTACAACCGTGGTAATAGAGCTCAGTCATTACTAGCCTGATATGATTTTGAGTATACATCTATTTATTCAGGTCATAAAGCACGTCAAAAGAAACCATCTTGCCACTTTATTTTCCGTGGTCGTCGGCGACCTCCGCTAACCACAGATATATGGAGACAGTTCTCGGAGACCTCCACCAGAGCCACACGTGCACTCCATGAGGCCTTGTATAAATTTCTCTGCACATCCAGAGACATGGGGTTATCGAGAAGAGATTCAATATCCATCTGAACGGATTGCTAGTTACTTACTCTCTTGAGCTAAAAGGTGACCATAATACATCATGACCGTCGCGTCTAACATTAAGGTCACACCTCTTCCCCCTACCGACGGCCGCAGCTTTGGTGCTATAGTCACCGGCGTCGACCTCAACAAACTCAATGATATCGAATTCCAGCATCTCCGTGCCGCGCTGTACGAGTATACTGTGATTGTTGTCAAAGACCAAGCCGCCTGCACGCCTGCCGCGCAGTACGCCCTCACAAACCGCTTCGACCCCGCCTCTACCTCCTACGGTCATGGCAAAACGCTCGACACCAAGAAATCTATCCTGCATCCTGATCTCAAAACAATCCCACACCAGCCGCAGGTACAAGTCATCGGAAATGGCCATCTCGACAGCTTCGAGGGCTTGACCGACATCAAACTGAAGCACCCACATCACGCCACATTTCACGCAACGCGCATCCCCGCCGAGGAAGACGAACACTTCACGAGGTTTTACAGATGGCACATCGACGCCGCACTCTACGACCTCAACCCTCCACGCGCCACTACCCTCATGGCTGTTCGCGTGCCAGAGGGTCGCACGCAGACGCTGCGCTACGACGACGGGACAGGCGATGAACTGACCGTCCCGCTCGGCACGACGGCTTTTGTCTCGGGATACACCATGTACGACATCCTGTCGGACGACGACAAGGCATTCGCCCGCACGACGAAAGTGGAGTATGCGCCACACCCGTATGTCTGGATGAGCAGCGCGCGTAGCCGCTCCACGGGCCTCGGACTTGTGTCTGAAGGCAAAGAGCTCTCGCTGGACCAACTCCCACCGGTCGACGAGAGCAAGATCCAGGTCCTGCCCATGGTGTGGAAGAACCCCGTTACTGGGCGTTTGGCACTGCAAGTGCACCCATCGGCAGTGCGGAAACTGCATCTTGCAGATGGGACTGTGATGGATGAGCTACGGGAGGTGAGAGACATAGTGTATCTTCTTCAGCGACCGGGCATTGCACCAGAACTGGTATACGCGCATGACTGGGAAGAAGGAGATATGGTCATCTTCAATAATCATGGCTGTCTGCACAGTGTCGTGGGTGCGTTCAAGGAGGATGAAGTGCGCGTTTTCAGGCAGTGTAACCTTGCCGCAAGTGCAGCACCTCTTGGCGCTTGAGATGTTGCCCTCATCCCTACAAAATTCTCCTTGGGTTCATGTCAGTTATGATAGACTTCTAGTAGTGGGCGAGAATGGTGGACTCGGAACGTCTTTCGATTTGCTGAGGGAAGGGCGTTGGTTTGTAGCGCTGCTACGACCAAGAATACCCCCCTTTCCAGTCTTCTAGTGTTTTGTTCCGCTCAGGGAAGGGCGTTGGCTCTCGTGTTCATCGAGAAAGCCAAGAATACCCCCCTTTCTAGTCCTTTAGATTTCAATTATGCGTAGAGATCGCACATGCACACAGCATATAGTCTATACAATGCTAGATTATCATCTCTCGGGGTCTCCTACGAGCTTACATCCATGCTCAATCAGTAGTTGGTAACATTTTAAAAGGCGAAAGCATTCGCCCGCTCTGCGCTGGTCCGGATAATGAACCAAAAATTCCGAAATGCATTCTGGAGAGTCCTATATTTGTGGTCCCAACTGACTCTAGAATATTATACGCGTGAAGCAATTCTTCTCTCTCTATAGACGTGCTTGTGCTTCAGGCTATTACACGGAAAAGAGGGTGTTTTCTTTGCATCAATATGGAATTATAGATCAATATTAATGAAGTGCACTTTGGTGCACTTTTCGATCTGAAAACCATAATTTCAAGTTAACCTTTCTGAACCGGGACGCCCTGTCCTTTTCACTTCATACACAGAATTTCTGTTGTCTAAAACTATAGTGTCTGTGTCTAGTGCAGGAACCTGCCCCGTCCTAATCGCCTCATGAGCTGTGTGCTTTACTGTGACTGCCTGATTCATAGGCGATTCGCGGGGGGACGATAATCCGTTCTAAGCAGTTTACCCTCACTGGCTCCATTACGGTCATCAAGCTTGTATCCCATGTATCCCATGTATGCAAGTGCGGCGAAGTATGCTAGACATTCTTGTCAGTATCTTGTGAAAGCTGGATCACACGGGGAATATGTACCATAGTGCTCCGCATATTCAATGGCCGAATCCGGGCCAGTTGAAATGACACTCTCCCACGTATACCCCACATGCGCCACTAACGACAATCTATAAGCGTTCATTTTACATAGAGTCAAGTCGGTGCAACTTACGTCCAATGCCGCCCACTCTCAAAAATTGAATCAGCGCTACCACACTAGCATAAGCCGACAGCTCTCCGCTCCCGAACATGTCCTCGGGCAGTGTTCTTCTATAATATAACTTTTCCCTATCGAATTGGTACTTAAGCGAGAATTTCGTCCAGTCCCGGCTCCTATCTGCAGCTATCGTCGAAATTCTAGAATTGATCATTGGCGAGCAAAGGGTGATGGTGGTGGCCCAACGTCTACCTGGCGTGCGGTAATGCTCGTTCGAGTGGTACGCCTTGCCCCATTTAAATATACCGTCTTCCATGAGCAAAGGGTCCTTACAGAGGGGCTTGCCCCTTGTACTGAATAGGGGGAGTCTTACAGCTCCGACCCTGATCTGATTTTCAGCGGACATATCGTGCCATACTTGATCAACCTCTCGCGCTCTAGAGTTTGGGACCATGGCTGGTGGCCAGTTCGATGGCCGTCGACCGTTTTGCCACTCTTGCCGATCCTTAGCAAGCTTCCAGCGATCATCGTTGTCGCAGTAGAAATGTGTGTTTGCTTCCTCGTGTGCCGTATACTGAGCGGTGGCAACACCATACAGGGCCTCAAGAACCCGGTGAACCGAAGCCGAATCTTCTCTGGAGTCCCTTTTAAAGATATTCCTGAAGAGACTCGCGATGTCGTAGTCATCGGACTGTGGATTCATGCTCCAATTCTCTAGGCGGATCCAGGCTTTTTTCGCCATGAGAATCGCCTCTCTAATAGCCGCACCTGCGGCTATCCGTCGGTTACAAGTGTGATCGGTGGAATACCTAATCATTGATCGTCGTGGTTCTGGTGGTGGTTCATCTGGTTGAGTCATCGGTCTAGCAGTGTCCTGTGACGGAAACTCGTATCTCCGACCTAAAGACTGGGCAAATAGCATACAAGCCAAAAGGGTGAATTTCAAAGACACCATGTTGATCGTAGCGGAAATGAGACGATGTCTGGAGGAAAGAAACAGAGAAGTGGTATACTATATATTACATTGCTGATTCAAAACATCTTCTATCGGCCCTATATATCGTGCGAAAATGTATAGGCCACGCCGATATGCTATAATCCTTTAGCCAAAATTCACCTCAGACCCGTATTTCATAAGAAGATCGTGGTAAAGAAGCACGAGCGAAACTTGATCCTCTTTGGTCCGTGAAAGCAGTAGAATCATGAGTGAATTTTCTTGTTACTGTATGTGCAAAGGTTAAGCTCAGTGTCTTAAAAGATTCCTGCCATGTCCGAGAAGAAGTCGTGGCCAGTCGCGGATCCATGCCATTACAGGGGCTGACAAAGTCTGTGCCCACACCCTATAAAATGTCATCTCTATATATAACTAGTAATAACATGTCCTCAATCACAACTATAGGGCAGTAACATTAGCGCACTAATCCCTGATGCGAGCGACGTAAAGCACCCCACCATAAGAAGGGCACTTCTACACGCTATAAATTAGTCTATGTTAGGTGGTCGCGGATTTCTATCACCCCCTGTTACCATTTTAAAAATAATAAGTCTAGCTGTCAAACACGCCAAGAGGTACCGCTATCAGTCACGCACCCGTGCAGTGCAGGTGGACCCATCCATGGACTTCCCCGGAACCTCAAACCTTTGGCACCGGACTGTGCAGGTAACGGTCTTCCTAACGCTTACTGGACCGATCTACCTCTATATAAGTCTCTACATGATTAGCTCGATATCGATTCATAGAATAAAATAAGGCGAACACTGCTATATGGTTTTCAACTCTTCAAAACTTTAATTCAGTCTCTATCAAGAGCATCTGAACCATTCTCAGTCTCCTTATCTGCTCATTTCTAAGCATTATTTAGATATGAAGAGCTCTAAGCTAGGACGCGCATACAAGAGGGTGCTAGGAGAATCATGTTCTAGACAAGTGATGCTTCAGTTGGCGATGACATTGCGCAGGGTTTTCTCTGGCAGAACAAGATCGCAAATCGTACCACCACTAATGGCATGCGCCACGTGCTTTACCCTGCCTGAAACATCCTTCAAGTACGGATCAGAATTCCGGCAAGTCAGCACTACATGAAACCCGAGTCAGGAAGTAGACAAAAATATCTACTTGTCAGTGGGGCAAGGTCTTGGCCTTTCTGTCAGTGCTCGTTTCCGGAGAAAGATTCTTTTAAAAAGGATCTATACCTAGTAATGGATCCAAGTATAACCTGCCGTCTAAAGGATGAAGAGAAGCTTTTTGGTAATAGACAGACCTATAAAGATATTTTGGGAGACCTCGCGTAAAGTATAACGCCGAATAGCTCATTGTACCCTCTTTATTGGTCGAGGAATTACAGGATACAGATCCCTAGAGTCAATACTACCTATCAATATTGAGCACATTGGTCATTACTAAACATCATGCATACGTGCACTTATGCATGCCGTCAACTCGTCCCCAAGATCCTTTGATACGCATCCTCCACCTCTCTCGCAATCTCCAATAACGGCACAATAACAATTTGATGGGTCACATTGGGTAGCCGATCACGATGTAGTCCAATCCATTCCAGCGGAGGTGTCGCCTCGCCCATATCCCTCAATTGAGGTGTCTCGATAACCACTTCGCCTAGCGGTGCATACTCGTATCTGCTCTGTGGAACGTCCACGACGGCTGTGATTTTCGCTTTCTCGCGATCTTGCGCTGTTTCTGGTCTTTCCTTTGGTGCCGATATCTTTACAGCTGGTTCCGGCAATGGCTTACCAAGTCGTGATGCCAAGGCACGCGTGTGTGCACTCCACATATTACGGATATAGCTTATCCGCGAATAGTTCCAGCCTACGTCGACTTTGCCTTCAAAAGAGGATTTGAACTGGTATTCGATGGTATTCGTGTTAGGGATCTGCCAGGTCTGCATAGTAGCGAGGACTTTAGGGACGCGCAAAATAGTGCCGCCGCGAGCACCAGCGACGCTGTTGACGATGTACTCGACCGTGATGTCGACAGGCGTATCCTTCTTCGAAGTCTGTGCGATGGCAGCGAGGGCAACGCTGAGGCGACCGAGAGTCAGACCTAGGACGCTATGAACTTGGGCACCTTTGAGGGGATCTTCGGTGAGTGCAGTAGCGAAACGAGCCTGCGTGTCGGAAGCTTCGAGACTAAGGACTTGGCTGTCTGTCAAAGAGCTCGGAAAGGCGCCAAACGTGAGTTTCTTCAATGTCACAACTACGTCGGTTCCTAGCGAGATAGGGGCTTTAGGCGCGTTATCGGCATTATGTTCTTCCTCAGATGAGCTCGGCGCTTGCGGAGCAAGCAATGGTCCTGGCAAGACTGCGGACTTTCGCCGTAGGAAACGCTCGATATCCTTTAGAGACTGCTCGTAAGCAGATTGGTTCTCCTGAACCAGGCGTTGAATAGCTTGATATAATGCGACGACTTGGGCTGAGCTCGTTGATGTCAGGAATACTTGGACCCTATCACCGTCCAGGATAGCAACAAGGCGATCTCGCTCTACGCCCTGGCGTACATTATACATAAGAAACTCAAAGTCAGATATGTCGGCAACGGCGAACACTTGATAATCGAATCCAATCTTGGCGTTCAACCTTCCGAAGCCAGCAGAAGCTTGAATGAATGGAGTTTGACGAGGTGCCTCCTGCTGTTCGGGCCAGCGGATCGACGTACGCACCTTGACGTTTGTCAAGTCGACGTTGCCGTTCATTCTGCCCGTTGATTTGATTCCGACTCTATCCACCCCAATGCAAAGGTTCTGTTCCCAATCTGAGTTCTTTTTGGATGACGCCCACATATTAGAGATGGTAAGTGATGACTTCCCTATTGCTTGACCTAGGTCAAGTTCGACTGCCATCTCAGCGATGGCAAAGGTAGCGTTCCATGGGAATGCAGCGGCAGATGCGACCTGGTGATAGCGCTGAACCAGATACTCTTGAGGTTCGGTGGACGGAGCTGAAGGTGTTTGGTGAGCCTCTTGTCGAATTTCTGGTGGCACCCATATCTCGCGAAAGAGTAGAAAGTCCTGTAATTGTCGCGCATTGATCTGTGTCCGGGTGGGATTTATTTTCAGAATTGCCGATACTCCTGACCTGCCACTCAGATGTTTACTGTTCATCACTGACAGATGGACCGAATCGACTTTGAAACTGAAGGTCGACTCTTTCGAATAAACATGTTGAACAGAGGCTTGCAATTTCTCAAATGCGCCAGTAATGGCGAAGAAGTGGCCATGGTCTTTCGTTTTCACACTGCTCATGGTCATGTAAATCTCGTCAAGTCGTGCGGAGGCTGCTACACGTGCAATAGGTTGGCAGCTGAGGCTAAACTCTTGTCTGCAAATACGAAAGCCAAAGTTCAGGCGAGTCTTCCCTAGATATGTACTGGGATCCACATTCATGAGGCTTTCCTCATCGATCAATTTCGATCCAGCTGGCTTTGCCTTTCCCAAAACGTTCTCCTTTGCGCCATCGTTGTCTTTGTCCTGCACAACCTGCTTGACCGCATTTGATATGTCAACGATTAAAGGCACTACACTAGGGTAGAGCGCATTATTGGAAGCATCGACTTTGAGTTCAACATTCAGTGACGGATGCTTCCCACCGTCGTCGGTGAACTCTGCTTTGAGCGCAACACCGGGGGCCCGGAGTGACGTGCTAGCTGCTGAGTCCTCTGTCACAAATTGGCCATATTTGCCCTTTTGCTGCCCAGGATTTTCTCGTGCATGAGCTTGTGGTGACTGGTGTTCCTGGTATGAAGCGGCTCGGAGATGGACCACTGCACCAGCGAAGTCGGCATCTACTAGGAGTGATGACAAGCGTTTGTTACCGAAGGGGTTCTTGCGCTCCGCTCCGCTGACGGTGGGCGTCTTCTGCCAGCTAGAAGTTGCTGCTCGAAATTTTTCGGTCGCCAGTGTTATAGACTGGTGCAGGCATTTTGCTGGGATGATAAACTTCGATTCTAATTGAAGATCCAGGGACTTTCCAGCTGCTTGGAATGCAAGTTTGCGGGCATCTTGAGATGAGCTGTAGGCGACGTTGAATACGACCTCGGGAAGCAGGGCTGAGTTCAAGGACCGCTTTTTCTTCCCAAATGATGGAGGGACCATTTGAAGTTGCATGTCTTCAATCATTAGCCGAGCCTTGTCCTCGGCCCTTGTTGACAGATCTATCCGTCGAAATGAGAGAACGAGATCCTCAGGCTCTCGGTTTCCATATCTCGGCGAAGAATGTCCCACTACCCAACTGACCTGAATTTCGTTCAGCTCGAGAGAATAAGTCGACGTGAACACGCCGGCGGTTTTGACTCGCTCTTCCCCTTCTTCCTGAGCCGACGTTGCGATGATGGCGGAGGAGGATCGTGGAAATTTTGATCGATGTAGTCGTCGGAAGTACTTCCTCTGTCGCGACAGATCGATGTCTTTGAGCCTATCCTGAAGATGGTTCATGACATCCACCATAGCCGAGGCCGTTTCGGCATAGATGTTGACATCAAGATTTGAACTGGAAACACGAATGACACGCTTCGCATTTATATTTGAGGGATCAGCGGAAGTGACTCGAATATTGACACCAAGTGTGACATTGCCCGAGCGTTGGCAAATCTCTTCGTTGGAGAGCGCTAGACTGACACCCACTCGCCTCACGTCAGCTGCCACGTCTGGTAGAACGAGAATGAGACTATCCTTTGCAGAGATGTTCGACACGTTTAATTGCATGTCCTCCATGCCTATCACGAGTGCTGCAGTGGTAGAAATGGCATACTGTGTAGGAGCATTGGCGACAATTTGTAGCCCGGCCATGGTCAGCTTCACATAGTAGATGAAAGACCCTGATTTTGGAGCCTTGACGGTATAAGTATCTTTCTCTTTGGGAAAGATCTCCTTGAAGTGACCTCGTAACACTTCAGCGTCTTCTTGAATTGCGTGTGTAAGGCGAGACATTTCGGGGTCTTTGGCAATGTTCAGTAGGCCATGGATTGAGGAAGCTTCGAAGGTAACCATGTCTAAAGTGCTGATCAAACTCAGTTTTGTTATATCGTCGTCTTGCGTTATCTTGAGGCGGCCATTGACTGCAGGAATATCCAGTGAAGTGATTATTGTCGACTCACTAGTCTCCTTGTTGTAAAAGCTGTGCTTGTGGCCATTCAAATCAAACTCTACGGTGAGGTCTAGCTCCTTATCAACGCGCGGAGAAACGGAGACGCGGCCTATACCGCCTGCGATTGAATATGACAGAGTGGGGAGAATAGTGACGTCGATGTAGTATGTGTCCATCAGCAGTGCAATAGTTAATTTAGGAATGTTCGAGCGTCGTTGATCAAGTTTCGACTGCTCCTTATTATCTGTCGGGAATTTCTGAATCTGCTGGAACACGAAGGCAGCTTCGTCGACTAATACAGCATCCGCGACTTCGAACAGCCCAAGGATCTCCTCTGTCAGTTCAATGGCAGCGACTTTACAAGCACCGATAATACGTAGTTCGTCCACTGTCTCGCGATTTCCGTGGTGAGATATGTAGATGGAAGGGAACTCAGCTTCGGTGCGAAGAAGCAGTCGTGAACGTGACCGAAGGTGCGCCCCTGAATTATCGGCGGAGGCAACGGCGCTGACGAATACACCTTGATTGGACTCCGTACCCTTGTACCCAGCTAGTGAGATTTTGACATCCTGAGATGCGCATGTCAACATGACATTGATGCAGTCCATCTCAATGCTAGCGATTTCTGTGGCGTATACCAGATGAAAATCATGACGGCTTTTGGTCGCCTTCGACGGCCCGGGATTAGGGGGCCCTAAGACGACCCGTGTTTCTTTTTGGGGGTTTCGTGCACTGCTGTTTTTGAACATCGTCAATAACTTCTCTATAAGTTCGCAAACCTCCCAATTAACCTTGAGCATCATGTTTCTCGAGCTTAATTGGATGGTTGTTTTGCGCGACTCTTGCTCTACGAGATGCAGACCCGAAGGGGGAGGCGGCGGGTCGGATCTCACTGCTGCAGAGAAGAGCTGAGTTGAAAAGTCTGTTTGTTTAGGTCCCGGATCGATGATTGCCTTGATGATGGCGGCTTTAACGTTGATATATAGAGGCAGCTCGGCAGCTTCGTCCAACACAGTAACGTCCTGGAAGGGACCGTAAAGCTTTTGCATAACGAGACTCTTCTTGACTGATTTCAGATCCCAAGCTCTCCACTGGTCCCAAAGGGATATAATCTCATGTGGTGAGTCCTCGGGGTAGATGAACTCTTGATCGCGACAAGCAGATGATAGTTGATCATAATCATTGTGACTTAAGTTCTGTAGGATAAAGCGGAGCCGCGATAGAATCTTCCACGAATCTGAATTGCGAAGATGATCGGGACCGACCCGCCCGACATAAGAAGCTCGGGTGAGGAAAGTAGGATCGGGTACGTCTTTCCCGCGGTTACTTAGGTAATAAACCATGTATCGAAGTCGACTTTGCCAATTGCTAGCGAGGTCTGAGAATATCTTTTCGACCTCTGTGGCAAGGACTGCAGTGCGATGTATCAATGATGCTAGGTAGTTGATCTGTTTACTAGCATTAGCAATCTCGCAACACTTAACAGTTACGTTGATTGAGTTGGTCCTAGCTTGAGATATCCAAAGCAGGAAATCATTGACACGCGCAGACACGGCCACGTCGTCTGATTCAATGCCGCTCTGTTTCTGGCGAATGGAGAGGTCGAAGACCGAAAACGTTGCATGAACAGAAAGAGATCGCTTCACTTCGGGGACAGCCTCGTATCTCGGGAAGGACTTGCTCCGCAGGAGAAGATGAGGGTTTCTGATGTACATGTCGTATTGATCCGTCTCCATGTGGGCGCCATAGTCAGTTCGTACGGAAGATTCGTTACAGAGTCTCACATGAATTTGCGGTACACTGATGCTAACTTCATTAGACTTTCCTTTACCCTCATCTCGCTTGTTTGAGTCTAGTATTGTTGACAAAGTCGACACTTGAAGAGCATCGAGGATTGAGTCTGGATTCTTCGGAAGGATGTGCTCGAGTATGCTGGCTACCACTGAGATCGCTTTAGGAGTACAGAATATGCGGATCCCTTGGCCTGTGCTAACAACGAAACTGGTATGGACCATGTCTTCGTCCAAGTCATACGTGGCATCGGGCGTTTGTATCTTCCCTGAAATTTGCGTCTCATTTGCATGATGGGTTTCGAGTACAGGTAGAGGATCTACGTCAGCCAGGTCGAGTTCAATTTGGTGCATCGGAAAGTATGGTGGAGCCAAGGAACTGGTCAATGCAATGGACGCAGGAAGCCATGGTTGTCCCTCAAGCTGATGATCGGTAGTCATCGAGCTCACCCAGTCGTCTGAACAACCGCCTTTGGAAGAGACCATTGTTGTTGTTGATGGTTGCTTGCGCCAATCAGGTAAGTTCTCAGTAGATGAACGAGACAAGGTAGCGGTGGGCATGTTTCTCTGCATCTGAATGCTACCCTTGATAGAAGCCTCATACTGAGTCGGTGTCCGTAGGCTGCTCGTGGACATGGAGTCAATCTGGACGCCAACAGGCAGAGGCATTGGAGGGAATATCAATGCAGGGGTCTGAGTGTTGTTTATCGACTTGCTCCGAGCCAAATCAGCATGGTTGTTAATAAGCAGGAAATCCGTGCGTTTCGTACGCTTGTCATGCTCGTAAATATGATCTTGTTGAAGCTGTCGATCTGCTGTGAATCCCAATTTGCGCCGGACCATGCTTAGAGATATCGACGTGTCTAAGTATGCATGCGTCATGACACTTTGACGGTGGCCATCGGAAGTGCGATGTCGTGAGGTTGTGCTAGCATCTGCACACGCGATAACTAACTTGGGAACTTGTACGTTGAGGCGTTGAGAGAAATGTTTTCCCGCCCAATCGTTGAAATCGAGTTTCACTGGCTCACAGCTAATCAGCAATGCTTCTTGCCCGATATGAAGCCAGATTCGTATCAGCGAAGTATTAAGGCGCAGAAATGTGACGTCATGGAGTTCTATGGGATTAAGCACTGGCAAAGCATTCTCGTAATCGTCTAATGAAAATGCAAAGCCTTGCGCACTGCTAGCAAGCTCATCGAGGAACTCAACTGAGCATTCGCCTATGGTCTCACCGACGGTGAAGTCCCAGTTGCAGACGTAAGTCGGCTCAGTCGGAGGTAGACCAAAGAGCCGGTGTCCGACTATACTGGCAGAGTCGATGAATATTTCAGTTTGGCCACTATTTTCTGCAGGCCCATCGGGATCCGTAGGTATGTTCCCAAGAGATACACTCAGAGGACTGAAGTTCGTCTCCAAATCCATGTAATAATTGGTGAAACGAAGATCGGCAGATGCGTAGGGTAAATCCACTCGAATGCCATGGTCTGCGGAGTAGATGTTGGACGGTAAGAGTGCATTACATTCGCTCGCAGTGATGCAAAGTATGACATCCAAGTCGTTGGATTTATTATGACGTCCGTTTTGATCTTCAGGCTGGTCACCAGTGCCTAGGCCACCTGGCTGCAGACTCTGATACTCTTCCAGAGTTTTAAAGTGTAGGTCTTCACCGAAATAGTTTTCTTTGAGGACCAGCAATTGCCGAATGAGAAATCCATATAATGTAAGAGAGAAGTTGGAACCGTCTATATCAAAGTGCAATCTATCAGTAAGGTTGGGTGCAGTTGTGGTAAAGTAACTGTGGCTTCCACGCATCCTGATATTGCCCAAGCGTGCCACGTGAGGCGAGCGCACAAATGTGTGCAGAGTATTGCGTGGGGACATGGAGAGATCCAAGCCAAGATCTTGGCCTTTCACGTCGAACGGTATTTCACTTTGAGCAGGACAAAAGCGGTCTAGGGGGATGGTGACTTCACCATGCAGTTGTCTGCCAAACAGGATGACAAAATTGTTTTCCTCGAGTTCCGACGGGTTGTTGACGATGTTTGAGTCATTGGTATTGAGGTACATCTTGAAGCGATTGAAGTCAATTGTGAGAAGGTACTGCATAGGGGTGAATGTGAAGTAGTCAGGTGGCGGTCCAGAACTCCAATCTGTTATAAGATCTGTTATCAAAAATAGGTGATCTCGAAGAATAAAGAGGTCAAGATCGTTGATTTTGATTTCAAACGTCCATTTCCGAAGTTTATTCCATACCAGTGGGTTCGACATGTTCGAGCTGACCGTGACTTGCCCTGTCCTCCACAATAAGCCGTGATTCACACTTGATGAGATCTCAGTACCACTGAAGTCAACATCAAGAAGGTTACGATAGCCATCATTCCGGGCAAACATATCCATATCGTAATTGACAGTGGTGTTTCCCAGAACCTTGACGTCAAGCCAAGCGAAAGGTCGGACAGTAGCACCGGCCCCTTTGTCATTTTTATTGCGCCCAGGTCGTATTCTAGAGCGAAGCGTGTCTTTGTGGTCATTTTTGTCGCCTCCGAGGATATCGCTGGCCTTGCCTTTCCATTTCCAATCTTTCGAAGCCTCACGCATAGGAATGCGTATCGTAGTATCCTGCTCGATACTGATGAAAAGTTTGAATATCGTGGAAGCGCGAGTCTGGCCCTTTGAGAGGGGTGTGGCTGGAATGGCGTCAACATGATTGGCTGGAAAGAATATGTTCTGCAGATTGATGCGCTGCCTGTCGGCCCAGGGACCATAGTTGATCGTACCGCCATATACTTGCAGGTCCATACCGTACGCAGGAGGTAAATCTCCATTAATATTCTCAGAAGACATCCCAGAATCTGGTGGATCCGTTTTCGTTGACACAGGACCAGGTACGTCCCAATAAAAGCTCATTCGGAGCCGAGGGACGTCTGCGATGAGGGAAGTTTTACCATATTCTACTCCATCCCACTCATCATGCTCATCATTCTGGCTATCATGTACATATCTCGATAATCCTTGCCAGCGCTCCTGGCCGGGAAAGGAAGGCTGACCTGCTTGGAACTGTCCATGCTTGCTCGCGATCATCTTGATAGATTCGGTCGACGTGTTCCAAAGCGTAGCAAAAGGATTCCATGGGCGCCATTTCCGTTTTGAGTCTTCTTGATGGGGATTCAAGGTCTTGTCTGATAACTCTCCATCCTCGGCGTTCTTTTTCAAACGTGCTGCGGTGGCGAGCTGAAGGGATTTGAAATCATGATTCTTGCGCATATGAACGACCGGATGTATGAATTCGAAATTGAAGAGCTGCCGATAAACATCAAGGGGACCGGAGTGGGTAGCACTAAACTCTCCACTCGCCTTCTCGAACTGTGCAGTCAGGACAGAGGTTGTATTCTCGTTGCCGAGAGCAACGGCTCCCTTATTACAATCGACGTGAATAGGAAATAACCTTAAGAACGAAGGTGGGGGATTCGGCTGCCTGAGAATGTCCTCTTCTGGATGAGACGCATAGCCAGCGGGGTAGCCCGACATCTCTTTTTCATGACCCGGACGGTGATCCCGCGAGGCCCGCGAGGTCTCGGAAATAAACTGAGACAGCATCTCGTCTTCTTGCGACCTTTTTGGGGCATTTGCTGTCTGACCATGTTCGCGTTTCTTTGTTATGTTGGCCAGTATCGAATCGTATACCGGACTGCGATTATAGATAAAAGCTTCAAGTCCGGACACCTTGACAGTGATACGGTATGGCAGCTTTTTCGTTTCTTGGCTACCTGCTTTCTCCTCCCTGTCCACGCTTCGGCTCCTACTCTGGCTTCCTGCGCGACTGGAACTCGCAGACCTGCCTCGGCCACCTCTGTGTGGACTGGGGTCGAAGACATCCGTATCTTGAACAGTACGCAACCAGTATTGCCAGGTGATGTAGCCACCGTGTACCAGAATGGTCTGATTGTGCGCGTGGTAACGAATGTCCTTGAAGAAGATGCGACCCGCTAGTAAGGAGATCTGTAGGGACTGTATGTCGATGTACGCTTGGTATTTGTGCCAGGTGAAAGCTCGTATAGCGTAGGAAACGATGGTCCCAAAGAGCCGATTGAAGTAGAAGAGGAAGAATATGGTCAGCACTGCGCAGACAAGAAGCTCGACGAAATAAATCCTGTGGGTAATTAGTGATTATTGCGTGCAATACACGTCTGCCGTGTGCATACCAGTTAAAGCCATCGCCAACGCGCAATGGAGCTCCGGTCAGCCCGCTCGCCATTGTAATTGCGTGCACAAAGTTTCCTGCGCGGTGGTCATGTTGTTTCTGAGACCATCCAGCTCTTTTGAGGTACAGAAACAAGCAATGCAACGGCTCCGATTCTACCTCTCCGTGGTATATAAAGATGGTGAAGCCTGAAGGGCGCCTTCGAATTCTTGTGTACCTACGCTTGGCCCGATGTCGTTTAGCGTATAATACGTCACGCACCTAGGTATGCACATTGCGCATGCAAACTTATTTGGAGCAGAAAGCTTGGTCAGGGTCTATGGATGATCAAGGATCATGCGCGCTCTAGGCCGCAGCTTCAAACACTGCAAAACACCTCGTACGGTTTCGCCTGAACAACGACGTCTACTGGATATCATGAGGCTTCCTGTTTGATCTATTCATCCTTCTCGACCTGCTACGTGTTGTAGCTCGACGCGACTGGCCATGGACGCCCTTCGCCGCGACGCCGGCGATATCCATCTCATGGCGGGCAATGGCACTGGATCAAGGTTTAATCGTGCTGTCATCATAGTGGCTGGTGTTGCAGCTCTTGTTGCAACCGCACTGACATGCGTGTAAGTCAGCTCTAGAAGACTCATATGACATCGCTGACTAGATTGCTACAGGTCTGTATGGCTTCAGTCGTGAGTGATGATGTCGCCCCAACATGCTGCGTAGATCAACATTAAAACTCTACAGCAAAAACTATCGCAAGCCTCTTTTACAGCGATATGTAGTTCGTATACTTGTGATGTCTGTATACATCTATGGATTTTCTATGAAGACGTGCTGAGTTGTGGACCAGGGTTCCGATCTTTTCGGCAGCATCATGGGCAAGCCTCACATCACTGTCCGTGGCATTCTGGGTAAGGCCTGTACAGGATGTATATGAAGTGAGTCTCCTAGTGCTCATACATAATTCAGGATGCTGATACCTTAAGCTAGGCCTTCACTATATATACCTTCTTCCAGCTCCTAATCAACTTTCTTGGCGGCGAGCGAGCCCTCATCGTGATGATGCATGGTCGACGGCCAGTCTCGCATCTCTGGCCCCTCAACCATTGCCTCCCTAAAGTCGACATCTCCGATCCGCATACTTTCCTTGCTATAAAGCGTGGTATTCTTCAGTACACCTGGGTGAAGCCTGTACTCGCGGTAGCAGCCATCATTCTGAAAGCTACCGGAACCTATAAAGAAGGATATCTTGGCGTGACCTCTGGCTACTTCTGGAGTGGCTTGATATACAACGTAAGCATCACCGTATGCCTATATGCCCTTGCCTTGTTCTGGGTGTGTATGTCAGCCGATCTGCAACCTTTCCGACCTATGCCCAAGTTCCTCTGTGTCAAGGGCATCATCTTCGCATCCTACTGGCAAGGCTTCTTCTTGTCGATTCTTGTTTGGCTCAATGCCTTGCCCAACGATGTCCAAGGCTATACACCGGACAATCTGGCAGCATCTATTCAGGATGCCCTGATCAGCTTTGAAATGCCCCTCTTTGCGATACTGCACTGGTACGCATTTTCTTGGCACGATTATGCCGACGTCACGATTTCATCTGCCCGTATGCCGATCAAATATGCGCTGCGAGATGCTTTCGGACCACGAGATTTGATCGAAGACACCAAAGGAACTTTCTCTGGGAAAAACTATGAGTATCGCTACTTTGACGCGCGTGACAACGTTCTGGGACACGAGCAATCAGCATCACGTACTGCAAGAATGATGGAAGGCATGAGATACGAACGAGGAGGCAAAGGCAAATATTGGATTCCGAAACCAGGAGAGCATGCTGACGACAGTCGGACTCCGCTGCTGAAAAAAGCGGCGGAGAGTCGGGCTCGCACGATGAGTCCTGGTGCACATCGAGCCCTCGAGACAAATACTTATGGCGTTGCCGAAGAAGACAACATGGAAGAGAGTCTAGATCCTGAAGAAGAGCAGCTATATACCAATGCTCGAGCACTCGAATTTGGAGATTGCAATTACCCGGTCATTACAGCACACACTGCAAGTCGTGAACAGAGACTATATGGTAGCCCCACGATAGTGTCCGCGTCCACAAACAGGCATGTTTTACAGCCGACTAGACAGAACAAACAACGTCGCAAGAGCCGAATACAACATATTCAGGAGGAGGCTGAGGATCGGAGAAACAGTGAGAGTTCAAGCAACTCCAAATCGCCATCTCGTCTGCAAGCGGTGGGACAGATGTTGAAGCGGAACCACTCATCGTCCTCAGGTTCAGGCAAGTCGGACAGGAGTCAGCTTGTCGATCTTGTAGTGGAAGACCACGAGGCTGAAGACATCGAGAGGGTCCGAGCTCGCAAGGAAGGAGGGCCTGGTTGGAACGAGGCTGAACCGAAGCACTACGTGTACGTCTAGAATTAACTCACCATATCAGCACCTTAACTAACACGAGGGCAGTAAAACATATCCAGAGGAGGGAGAAGCAGAAGTAGTACGGGAAGGCTTTGAGCCGGATGCGCCTCACACTCATACTGAGGATGAGCACAATCTCGATCGGCCATTCGCGGATGGGGATAACGAAGAAGACGTGGGCGGTTTCTCTGCACATCAATCTGATGAAGCCCTCAGGTGGCAGACGCGAGACCACACAGACGAGCCATCTCACAGCAGTTCGCACTTTGGTAGCTTCCGAGAAGAGCGCGACGTCTGGGGCAATGCGAAGGAGCAAGACCAGGACTGATTGGACTTTGACAGATATCTACAGTGGCCCTACACGGTATTTGCATAGCGGGGGTAGTATGTGGCGTTTGACAGTGAACATGGATAGATGTTTCAGGCGAATTGTTCAAGCCAATCACTCGCAATCTACAAACATAGAGTATCACTCAGGGCCGTAGGCAAATGTCTTTGTAACAGCATATGTCTGCGCTCGTTGGATGGTTGGCGGATGAGGACACTGCTTGGCGTCACCAATACACTCACCAGTGGCTGCGAGAGACCCCTTGATAATTGTTCGAGAAGGGGTTTCTGTTTACGCGCCGCTCTGGGCAGGGGCGACTGGTCACCTAGCGAATAAGCAATCGCCAGATATGGGTCTAGCCAAGTGAGGTTAGTCTATTTTGCCTTCAAACCTGATACGAAATCATGATTGGCCAGAACCTCACAACAACACACCCAACGGTGCAACCAGTCAGCGCGTATATGATGGTTATTCTCACTGACAAGTTGACATGGTAATTTGCTGCTGCATGACTTAGCTACCATCATCCGCTTCTTCTCTGTGGATTTCCATATCTCTTTTCTTGCTGTCATATTGAAGTTATACTGTGCCCAGTGCCGGTTGCTTTGGGTCTCGCTTCTAATATTTTCCCTTCTTTGTCATTGTTGGTCGGCCGGATTTGCATACTACCATATTTCTATAACACTTCCATTCCTTTCTGCCATCCACATCTTCTGAGAAGAGACGAGATGACTGTGTGCTTGTGAGCTCAGATCCCTTTGAAGTTCTGCGCCTGCGGACGCCATGGGCGAGGCGCGGCATAGCAATGCTGCTGTATTGAAGAACAACTGGCTGGTCACGCTGGGATGCTGTGCATCATGGGGTCACGACGAGGATTATGCTGAAGCTGAGCTTCGCTGTAATGGTAACTGACTCTTGGATATACTCATCTGTTCAAGTCACTGATTCGTCACAGTTCAAGAAGAGGATGTCGTTCCTGTGGTCGACCAACCACGTCCTTATCACCACACCGTGAGCACGATCGTCTCGCGATGGCCGACAACGAGCGGTCATCGATCGATCAGTCGAGCCAGTCGACTCAGTGGTAGCATGTCTATAGACTGCCGACCTGCGAACAAGGAATCACCCCCGCGTCGCTCGACTACGCGGCCTCCGAGCTTGAGGCCTCTTGAGCTCTCGATATATGAGCCCAAAAACCGCCTCTCTCCACTTCCAGACTTTACAGAATCAGACTGGACAAAGGTGCTCCCGTCGCTGGAGTTTCCTGAACAGGCCGTGGTTCATTCGCGACCGTCTTCCGTCTCCTCGACGACGACGACATCACGCTTTGGCGGACGATGGGACTCAGTCAGATCAGAGAACACCACCACCACTTCAGTAACCAGAAGGTCCAGCTCTCGCCTTAGCCTAAACCCTTTAATCGACCTCTCGCTCCTTCACGGCCCGGATTTCGAAGACCGTCCAACCGCTCTGCAAACACTCCCTTCCATCCCCGATTCCCCTATACCCACCACCGACAAACACTCATCTACCACCACCACCTCATCCTCCACCATCCCACTCCCCTCCTCTCCACCCCAATCTCACCACAACACCCACTCATCCACCCCAGCCCGCTCCAACCCCCAACGCACAACCCGCCCCTCCTTCCTCTCCACCCGCAACGAAATCGACGCCGCAATCCGCGAACTCAAATCCATCATCCAAGAACGCCGCGCCCACGCCTCCACTTCCACTTCCATCTCCACCCTATCCTCCTCTTCCCCGTCCTTCTCCACAACCACAACCACATCCCGCCCCCCTCCCTCCCCAAGCCACCACATCCCCGCCCTCGCCCCCTCGCACCGCATCCGCGCCCGCTCCGAAACCCTCTCCGAAATCGGCTCCGCGTTCTCCGTCCCCTGGGTCTGTGCTAAGCCCCTCCCGCTTGCGCCGGGGCAGGTGCAGGTGCAGGTGCGGACGCCGTTTTACATGGCTCCTGATTCGCCTGGGTTTTATTCTTCGTCGTCGTCGTCAGGGGCGGAGAAAGCAGGTGCGGCAGGGACGGAAAGGGCGGATAGGCACGTTGTGAGTGTGCTCAAGGAGTCGCTCGCGAGTGTCAGGCCGCGCGTGTGGGGCTGGATGGGGCGCGCTGGGGCGCAGGGCAGACATGCGCAGCGTCCGTCTACGGCGTCTACGGCGTTGACGTCTGCGTCTACGTCTACGTCTACGTCTACAATCACATCGGCATCAACGCTCTCGCTCGCCACTACAGTGCCTAGTCTGGTGACGAGTCGGACGAGTTGCTCGACGGCGCGGTGTCCGGCGACGCCTGGTGGTTTGAGTCCGCGCAGTGCGAGGAAGGGGTTGGGGTGGGGGGAGGGGGAGGTTTGGGGGAGGAAGGAGGAGGTGGAGGTTGAGGTTGGAGGGAGGGATGGGCGGGTTGATCCGCTGAGGATGAATCCGCGGACGCCGGTTGGGGTTGCGTTTTGAGGGGTTTGAGGGGTTTGTGGTTTGGGGTGGTGGAGGGTGGAGTGGTTGGCGGGTTGAATGTATGTGTATGGTCAAGAGGGTGTGTGGTTAGCTATTTGAGACGATGCTATTAATGAGTTGGAAGGAAGGAAGGTCATGAGGGAAAAAGGAGGTTAATGTGGAGGGGAGAGGAGGAAAGGGGAAGTAATCATCCAACCGCCGTCATTCATTCGTTCTGCCTTATACTCTTGTTTTTTTTTTTTTCATCTTCTGTCTACATAGTCTAGTCTAGCTATGCCTGCTGTTCGTGCTCGGGGAGCTGCGCGGGTGGCTGTGTAATGATATATATCTACCTCCTACCCCTGAGCTGGGGGGGTTGTGGTTAGGTTGTTCGTATTGAGGATTGTGTGGTAGTGGTTGGGGTGATAGCAGGTTAGCTGGGTTCTGTGAACTGTGATGGCGTTTTGTAGTGCGTCGCCACGTCACCGTGGGAGTGTTGTTGGTTGGTATGGAGGTTGTGGTCAGGTGTACGAGGGCAGACTGAACCTGGGAGTATCACTACTAAGACTCCATCCCACAACTTCATCTCATCCATGAACCCATGAATCCAAGGCCCCAGGTTCCATCAACACGTCCATCCCCCTCAAATCGCAAACCTGAAATCCACCCTCTTATTCCCCCTCTCCGTAGTCCCCCTCAAATACCCCTCCCTCTCCCCAACCGCCCACTCCCCCCAAACCCTCTCCCTCCCCGCATTAACCCGCACATAATACGCCCTCGCCCCCAGCACCAACACCCCATTCCACACACAAATCCCCAACAACACCCTATTCCCCACGCGATACAGCGGCGCATCCGCATCCCTATAGATATTCTGCCCGACGATATTGCTCGCCTGCACGGCCATGTTGTAGAGCGCGGCGGCGAAGGTGCGGGTGCGGACGGCGCCGGCGTTGCGCGAGGTGAGGCTGACGAGGATGGCGTGGATGTAGGGGTGGCCGACGAGGAGGGTGGAGAGGGTCCAGCGGGGCCAGGGGGAGGGTTGGGCGGCGGGCAGGAATTCGAGGGCGAGGAGGAGGGGGAGGGCCCAGAGTTGGGCGGTTAGGATGGTGTAGAAGCGTTGGCCGGTTCGTTCGGAGAGCCAGGTCCAGAAGAGGAGTTGGAGGATGAAGAGGGCGTAGGCGGGGATCTGGGGGTGTGTTAGTGGTTGTGTGTGTTGGGGGGGAGTAAGGGTGTCTGTGTGTGGGAAAGACAAAAGGGGGGGGAAACGCACGGTGAGGAGGGTAGTTTGCAATGTGCCGAAGCCCAGGCTGCGGATCTGGAGCGAGAGGTACGCGGTGGCAGGCTGGTTGGGGATGAGCCAGGACAGACCGATGAGGTAGATGGGCCACATATGGTAGTCCGCGATACAAGCCCACAGCATGCGCCAGTCGAGCGCCTGGCGGTTATGCATGTCGCCCTTGGACGGGTCGTCGCGCAGCACGCGATTGACCATGATCTTCTCCTCGTGCTCCGTGAACCAGCCGTCCTTGCCGCGGAACCAGCTTGCCGTCTGGGTCGGGGACGGGGCGAGGTAGAAGAAGGAGACGATGCCGATGAGGCCGGTCAGCATGCCTTCGAGCGCGAAGAGCCAGCGCCAGCCCTCGAGGCTGTTGTGTCCGCGCAGACGCAGGATGCCGAAGGCGAGAAAGGCGCCTACGATGTTGGTTGCTTGGTAGGAGACCCAGAACCAGCTGAGGCGGGTGGGGAGCTCGTTGCCCTTGTACCAGTATGAGAGGTATAGCACGTTATCGGGCTGGGTGGAAGTTATCTACTGTTGCAGCTGGGAAGTGAGAGGGGGAACATACGATGAATCCGCCCTCAATCAGGCCCAGCAACGCACGGCAGGCGAAGAATGAAGACCGGCCTGTGAGGAAGGCTTGACAGCTGGCGACGAGACTCCACGACACCATCTGGATCGGTATCCAGTTGTCGGGGCCAATCTTCTTTGAAACTAGTTGCGATGGCAGCTCGGCACACAGGAAGCACAGGTAGAAGATCGTCTGGCCGTAGTTGTAGTCGTTTGTTGTGAGGCCTAGATCGGGGAGCATGTTGTCACTGAGTGCTTGCTGGATGTTGCTGCGGTCCAGCTGCAATGCGAAGAACATTAGACACACCCAGGAGCAGATGCGATAATCGATCTGTAGCAAAGTCAGGACTGAACGAGGGAGTCGGCAGATGCTTTCGTGGTACCTTTCGAACAATCTTGCGCTCCTCCTTCTCCGTCCACTGGAAGTCTGGGTCATATCGATGATATCCCTCGTAACTCTCAATCGGTTTATGGTAGACGTCGAAGCCCGTCGAGACAAACGTGTCTCCCTCTCCCCCGACTCTGTCTCTCTGTGGCTCCTCCTCACTACTATATCGAGCAGCATCCTTAACCTGACCACCAGGAAGCGGCATAGAATGCCCAAGTACACCAGCCATAATCGAGAACACAGAAACGTTCCAGAGAATCAAAAGTCGCAACTAACCGTCCAGATGTCTCACCAGAACCGCATCCACGTCATATATAAAACACATCAGTTGTGCAAGGCGCCGGTGTGTCCTGGCAAAGAACCACGACACGAGTTTTTGCATGCCGCCCGGAATCTATACACAACGGAATGACCACAGAGAAAAAAAAATGATACCCGACTCTCCACAGCCTGCAGTACTTTGATACGCCACACACAACATCGCGCACTGCATGCGTCCTATGTCACCATATCGCCAACCCATGAGCTTGCAAAAGACGACATCCATCGCACGCTTCACGAATAATTACTAGTCGGTACATCCGACAGCTTAGAGATAAGCCGAAAACCGAACAAGTGATTAACTGACGAACGAAAAGCCAAACGATGATCAATCTCTTCACCTGACAACAGGCGTCGAGAAGAAAAGACGGAATGGGATGGATGTTGCTACGACAAGGGCGGAATTGCGTGATCGACAAAAATATGCCGACGTAGTTGCGCAAACAAGTCGATCCAAGTTTAGTTTGTAGCGAAGATGGATACATTATCTGACTCGCCAATCACGAACTGCACATCCATCCATCTTGCTTTGCGCCATTCAATCGCAACAACCACACACCCACAAACACATAACCCGGCCAATAATCTACCACGCAATTATTCGTCCCCAATGCACTCGCAACAAGAAAAGACGTGCGACAGTCCCCATATTTCTTGTCCCCATCATGCTGAGCGGGGAGGCTGTTGACGCCATACAACGCGCCCATGAGCTGCGAGGAGAGAACGATAGGGAAAACGGCAAATCGTACTGACCTATTACATTACCAGTGGGTATTCCGGCCGAATAATGAGATAGACAGATAGATAGCAGAAACGTAGTTTACCCGCCTACGTGGAGCTGTGGCCGGGTATGGCGTGCCGCTGTTATCGATGTCCTGGGTGTGATATACATATATATATATGTGTGTATGTATGCCCATCTCTCCTACGTATAGCCTTGCACCTGCGACGACAGCATAAAATCATACACACACGCAACCATGGCCCCCGAAGCCATCGACCCATCCCCACCACCCGCCGCCGCACTCCCAGCATACAAAGGCCCAACAGCATACAAAGACGCCAGCGGCACCAGCCCCGAAACCTTCAACCGACACGCCGAAGAACACGGCACCGGCACCCACGCCGGCGCAAAGTATCCGCACTACCTGCCCGTCTGGGACAAGGAGGTGAAGTACGTGTGTGCGCCTATATAGAACCAACCCTCCCTCCCTTGTTTCCATGACACACACCATTAGTATAGTGCTGGTGAGAGCTGACGATGTAAACGCGCAGATACCCACCGCTCGAGCCCTTTGAGCACTACGAGCACGGCAAGGACGCAGACCCCTCGTTTCCGAACTTGCTGCCGCCGGGTCGGAGTCAGGTCTCGGACCTGACTGGAAATATCGGCGCTGAGGTGCATGGCGTGCAGTTGAGTGCGCTCTCGGATAAGGGGAGGGATGAGCTTGCGCTGTTTGTCGCGCAGAAGAAGGTCGTTGGTATGTAGTATCAGCACCATCATCCCCATCCCCAGCCCCTATCTATCCATCCGTTACCCCTATCCATCCACCACCCCACCCTAACCTCCCCCAAGCATTCCGCAACCAAGACCTATCCACCCACCCCATCCCCACCGCCCTCACCCTGGGCACCTACTTCGGCCGCCTCCACATCCACCCAACCTCAGGCCACCCCCCAAACCACCCCGAAATCCACCTCGTATACCGCAGCAGCACCACCCCCTCTTCATCCGCCCACGCCCAAGACTTCCTCACCGAACACACCACCTCCGTCGCCTGGCACTCCGACGTCACATACGAGGCCCAACCGCCCGGCACCACGTTCCTGTACCTGCTCGAGGGACCCTCCTCGGCGGGCGGTAAGACCAAGGCGGGCGGCGACACGCTGTTTGTCAATGCGGCGGAGGCGTATCGGCGGCTCAGTCCGGCGTTTCGGCGCAGGTTGCATGGGTTGAGGGCGGTGCATTCGGGGGTGCAGCAGGCGGAGCAGAGTTTGGGACGGGGGGGTGTGGTGCGGCGGGAGGCGGTGGGGAGTGTGCATCCTGTTGTGCGCACGCATCCCGTGACGGGGGAGAAGGCGTTGTTTGTTAATGCGCAGTGTGAGTTTTCTCTTCCCTGTTTCCTTGGTTCTGTGTGTTTGTTTTGTGTTTGTTTTGTGTATGGCTGATGGGGAAGCGAGCCAGTCACACGCCGCATCCTCGACCTCAAGCAAGAAGAATCCGACGCGCTGCTCAAGTTCCTGTTCGACCATATTGCGCTCGGTGCGGACTTCCAGGCCCGGGTCAAGTGGGCGCCCGGCACGGTGGTGGTGTGGGATAACCGGGTGACGGGACACTCGGCGTTGGTGGACTGGGAGGATGGCTCGAGGCGGCATCTGGCGCGCATCACGCCGCAGGCGGAACGGCCGTACGAGACGCCGTTTGAGGAGGATGATGTTGGGGTTGGGGAGCTTTAGATTGCTGGTGCTGGTGCTGGTGCTGGTGGATGAGGGGGTGAGTGAGTGAGTGAGTGAGTGAGGTATGTGGAGAGAGGGAGAGAGACTGAAAAGTGAGGTTTTGATACACCAGCTGGCATTATCAATCTCCTGGGAACCCAAGACCACCACGTCCGTACTGCCAACAAGAATTAGGCTGATTGCGGGGTACGAATACCAGATTATATACTACACACTACATAGTATCAATCTTTCAGGCCTACATTGCAATATAAAACGATGAAACAACAAAAACAAACGAAGAAAGCTATATCTCACAGCAAATAATACAGACAGACTGGAAAGCGCTCGTGTATAAAATTACGGCAGACAAGTCCATGACGTAGCGGCAGCACTTACTAGCGCTATTTACTAGGTACCCATAACTGCGCTCAGATGCGGATACGCACGTGCAGTCTACGATTCGAAAAAGGTTTTTTGAAGAGCCTCATTCGCTTTACATGGGAGTCAATCTGGTCAGAACATATGCACGGATACAATGTCAGTGGATGCTCGAGAGTCAGCGACATGTATAGCATGCGTGAGCGAAAGAGTTGGCAAGCCAAAGTGTGTCTTTCTAGATTAATGACTGCCGAAACTCCATGTGCGAGATGGATGCTCGCTCGTGACCATCACCCGGTCATGCCCTCGCCGCTAATAAGCAAAATGAATGGATGCCGCCCCGGTTCCGTCACCATGTATATATACATGTGCAAACCTGTCAGGACAAATCCCCAGATGTTGGAGATGCCAGAAGAAGACGTTCGCCTGCCCGTTGCTGTGAAGAAACGCCGCCGCCATGATGCATCATAAAGTGTGCTGTGAAGAAACAAAAGGGATTCGTAAGTTTGGCCCAAGGTCACAAGGATGGCCAAGTCCGTTACATTAGTACAGTCAAATCGAAGAAATAAAAAAGAGTGTACTCTTAACCGAAAGCCGCAAGTCGCAAGTCGCAAGTCGCAAACAGCATGCCGAAGCTGAGAGGTGATTGTGGAGAGTCGCATGTCGAAGTAGGCGAGGTGTAACTACTCGATATGAGTTACAATGCACGGATTGCAAGCAGCCAAAGCCTCTACTCCCAAACTCCAGGTAGCCTCAGTCCCCATTATTCCTTCTATTTCCAAGAGTTGCTCTCTTTGATTCTAACAATCATATCAGTACCCTCGTTCAGGTCCAAGCTGGTATCCGGTGTTCCCTTGAGATCGAAATAGAGCTCATCGTCCACGTCATCCAGAGCATCCAGCAGGCTCTGATTCAGTAGCATGGGAATGTCGGCTTCCAGAATCTCGTCCACCGGGGCACACACGTCTTCTTCAGTTGGAACTCTGTTAACTTCATCAAACGGGTACACCGCCGTCATACGGCACTGATCCCAGCCAACAGTAAAGTTTGGCTGGTAACGTGGCAGAGCGAGGAATCGGCCCAGCTTGCTCTGGGCGCGACCGTCGCCCTGGTATCGCATCTCCTCACTGCATGGCCACTCCGCGAGCTCAGGCTTGGCGTCCCAGTCCCATCGACACCATATGGACTGCTGGGATAGCACGGCGGTGCGGTTTCCTTCGAAAATCTTGCCACCAAAAGGCTGCATCAATGGAGGAATGCCGAGAGCCTGGAGTCTCATTCTCTCCTCTGCCTCGTACAGGCGCTTGCGCTCCTTTCTGAGCTCTCTGCCGTGATGGTATTGTCTGAGCTCCATCCACTCTCTGAACGCCATGTAGCGGACCGGAGAGTGTGGACAGAGTCTTTCAAGCGAATGCTGCGCAACCAGGTAGTTCTTTCGCTCCTTTGTCGACTTTGACTCCCAAGTTATGGAGTTGGTGTACCCTGTGGCCTTCTGATGCATTGCTAGAGCTGGCTCGGAAAGACCCGCCCTGGACTGGTCGCTGCCTGAGCTGATTGGAGGTGTGGGCAGCAAAGGGTTGGATCGCTGCGAAGAAGTAGAGAGTTCTGGGAAGGAGGTCTTGCTGTCCATCATGTCAATAAAGCAGGTCCTGAAAGACGCGACGCGGGAAAAGAAAGAGGAACAGAAAGGTAGGAAAAGGTAGAGAATGAAAACGATACATGTTATGCGAGTAGCAAGGGAGCAAAGAAAGAAGAACACGATCCAAAAACAGATGCATGCCCCCAGCGTTACGATTCCACGATAGTTGTGCGCAGCAGAGTCACAACAACGACCACAACATCACAATATTGACGTGATGTTTCTTGGAGAAGAACAGTACCAGGCAGCGGCACAAAACGCGGTTGTGTCGTCGTTATGGACATGTTCATTCTCGCGACCGACCCACTTCTACCACTCTGGTGGGTCCGGGGTGGTCGCCGAAGTAGGGCAGCTGGGGCCGGTACGTGCGTTGCGCGAGCGAGCTAGTGAATCGACATATGCCAAGGAATGTATGGTGTTGACTTACTTGTGTGGTTGAATAAATATTGAGCACGGCTCTGCGTACGTTTTGCAAGTAAAAGATGAACTGAGATGTCTGATATATGATGATAAATGCGTGTAGATGCTTGGAGATGCCTCGAAAGGAAAAGCGTTCTTAGAACCGAATGCGGAAATGGTGGGTTGACATATATGCACAACTGAGGCCCACGTCGCACAGTTTCCGTCTGTGGCTGGGTCTTCGCGATCAAAGAGACTTGCTTGGATGGGCTTATTCTCTGTCGGCACTGCGGACGTGTAGTGCTGATGACGTAGAAGTGGCCTTCAAACGCCTGCCTTGTTTGGATACGTGAATCTTTCCGTAGTACTCAGAGGGCACAAAAATGGATAGCCAGTGTGGTCCAGGCAACAACTTTGTCGATAGCTGGGCCGTGGGAAAGACAAAAAAGAAAGAAAAAGGTATGAAAAGACGAAGGAGATGTACGAGTGGAAATGGATCGTCTTCGCTAGTGCTCTGAGTAGTCTTCATAAACACTTGAAGCGAGCTGAATATAGTTGACGAGATCGCAGCGTGAAGAGAATGCGGTCTCAGTCGGAGACGAAGCTCCCTGAGTAGAGTTAATGAGGTTGCGGTGAGCATTCAGAGAAGCTATTGAGAATAGGCTATTGAAGGAGTGCGCTAAGGCTGCCGCGTGTGAGTCTTCACAGAAAGAAGAATGCCGGGTAGTCTGGTGGACAAGGAGGGTATAAGGAGGTATAGTTGACTATACAGGCACACGAAAGGTAGGGATAGCGAGCTGATGACGGCTGATGGTGGAGCAGAAGATAGTAGGCAAAAGAGAGAAGGAAAGGTGTGGTCAATATTAATTGACAGGAAGAGACAGGAAATTCAAGGGCAGCAATGCTGATATGCAAAGAAATCGCTTGACAAGATCGCGGACAGAATCGGTGCAGTAGTCGAACGGACAGCCCTGCATACCACGAGGTACGGCGTAACGTAGGCATCTCCTTCTGGCCGGTGTGCAGCTATTACCGCAAAAGTCAGCCATGAAGCAAGGGGTGTAGCACCACGCTGTAGGCGCAACAGAAGGGTGGCGCAGTGAGGATAAGTAGCGGTGACGTCGCGGGTACGAAATGGAGTAGAAAGTTTTTGATATTGGCCCAAAAACTGTTGGAGTAATATAAGAGCTCAAAAGGGTTGTATAGGCGGTCGGCATGGTGAATGCTGCATCGGAACAGAAAGAGAACAAGGACCAAGCGAGCTGGAGCAGTGAACGGTACAGAGCAACGCTGCGGGAGGTGGAAGGAGAGCGAATCTCACAAGAGCGAGGCGATACAGAAATGAAGGTCTCGTGGAGGTAGACACTACATGTCTGGCAAAATGAAGGCGAGGAGAAGAATTTGATAGGCTCACGAAGGGCCTTTTAAGGGCTCAAGAGTCGAATCGGCATGCTCCAAACAGGGCATGGATACAAGCATTCTTTGCGGGAGTAACCACAGTGTCGGACACATAGCTGACGAGAAATTAGTGATGGTAGGCAAGGCATGAAGCATGATAACTTATTCCGAGGAGGCAGAGTCTGGTAGCCAAGCAGCTTCCAGACTGCAGATTGTCAAGTATCCTGCCATGTGAAGAGATATCAACATGACGGTATAGACGGGGAGAGGGGGGAGAGGGAGAGAGTGAGCCGAGGCAGTTGAGGAGAGGAGATGCAGAATGGAGGCTGGAAATGACGGGAAAGTCCAGAATGAGAGCGATGAAGCGCTCTAGGGCTGGTATGGATGACGAGAGCTGAAGAGTGGTGTGGTGGTGTGGTGGTGAGGTGGAATGGGAGATGGGCAGGTTGAGGGAGTCTTCCCCGTTTGTACCACGTTACCGTCGCACCCACCCAGCCGGCCTGAGTTGCCGGTAATAGATGACGGCAGGCCATCTTCATACCTACCAAGGCTAATTACTACCCACCACTTGAAGCTCACAAACAAAGATGAGGATGGAAAGACACGTGAGTGGATGAATGGTTCAAGTAGTGATGTGAAGCAAGGGCAGTGAAATGAGGCTTTTGGCATTCAGGGTTGATGGACGGCAGCTGATTGGCTGGAGGGTAGGCGCTATGTACCGATCTAGAACTGTAGTAGCGCCGGAAAGGATGCCTACTAAGACTATCAATCTACTAAGCTTATATGTTAATAGAGATACTCCAGAGAGAGTTGTTATGGAATCTGTAAGATGAGTGATATTAAACATCTCTATATATTGGTATGTGTAGTATATATGCTGGAGATACTATGCTTTAATCCCTTGACTGTACTAAGAACACGTGGGACTGGAATATGACTCGCGAGACTGGGGCAAACTGACTCGGGCTTTTGGCCACGCGGGAACCCTTTGGGGGTGCGTGGGATGTGGCGTACGGTGTGTGGCGTGTGGCGTGTGGCGTGTGGCTCGTATAAATGTGGCGTAGAGCGTGGGATGTGGGGTGTTGGGGGGTCATGAGTATGGAATCTACTAGTCTAGGCAGCTACCTAGATTGTGTCCTCCTTTCCTGCCTGACTGCCTGACTGCCTGACTGCCTGACTGCCTGACTGCCTGGCCGCCCGCCCTATGCTCGCGCGCGCGACTGGGGATTAATTAATTAATTAGAGGGACGACGGCGGCGCCAACTAACTAATTACAAGATCCATTCTTAGCCAGACAGACAGACTCTCAACACAGCTACTTTGCCAGGCAGGATGACGAGCAAGACTACACCGCACTGCATACAGCTTGATTCACATTGCATTCACAGAGAACATCGACGACGACAACATAACAGTGACGTCGGAATGGCCCGGCACGCAAACTGGGCAGAACCCATGCACTTACGCCACATTTTGTGGCGCAAGCTTTCTTCGTATAAGACCGCCCTCAGCGTCGCCGATATGTTTGAAGGCTTGGACATCCTCATCCTCTGCATCCGCTCCATCGAGTTTGTCCCCTTGCAACTGGAAAAGTTCACTTATTGTTCTGAGCCGACGACAACGACAGCGACTCGGCGACTGCGACGCGCAACATCAGCACTGCTCTCTGACGCTGCATCGTCCATCGCTGTCGCGTCGGCTCACCACACCCAATCGTTGCAAGCTTCTTCGCCATCAGCGTCACGGTAGAGCGAACAGACCAGTCCTGTCGTCAATTCTCAAACACCATCGTCACCAGACAGCACTGCCAGCTCTGTTCAGGGTTCACGTCCACTCGCACGTCCTCCTCGCCCTATCATAGAATGCCGGCTTTCTACTGGCTCTCGCTACTTTTGCACGGCGCCTACATCGTGCGTCGGAGCGCCACCACAGAGCCTCATCCCTCCTCCTCCACGCCTGGAATTGGTGCACTGGTGACTGGTGCTTGCTGAAACAGCTTGGAGCCCGTGTTACACGTCCTGGTCGCGCCAACGGTCCTGTCAGCCTGAATGGTACGTCCATATTGTTTCTATTCTGACTCTGCGCTTGTATAGCGCTGTCCATCTCCCGCTGCTCTGCGCACGGGCCATCAAAACATGTGAATGCTCCCACTCATCCTCTCAAAATCACTGAATAGCCCATCCAGCTGTCCTCCTATTCACTCTTCATTGTGCACTCTCCCAATTTTTGCAAATTCTCTCCTATTGTCCCTGCATCTATTGTTCACGGCGTTGTTTTCTTCTACCATCATTCCTACACTGACCTTCACTACTACTCCTCTCTCCTCTTACCATCTTCTCATCCATCTCCTCGTCGCGGCACCAGCATTGTCTCCGCTTTAGATTTTCACATAGATCTCTTTTCCTAAGCCTCACGGCTCGCAAATTGTCCATACTGCTCTTTCCCATTAACACGCTGGCCGTATTCCTAATATCTACATCCTCACAGGCTGAGGTGCCCTCTTCCCAATCTACCATCACCACCACCTCCTCCTCCTCCTCCTTCTCCTCCACTCTATAGAACCAGCAGCATACCTTTCCGACCATGCCTCCCTCCGACTCCGCTGGCGATTCTGGGCAGCAAAGTTACTACAATGGTTCTGATGCACCACGACCTCTTTCCTATTCATCATCATACCCTAGACCATACCTCGGCTTGAGAGCTAGGCTCTCGCAAATATGGATCAACCGCTGGACCATTCTCCTTCTCCTTGTCCTGGTTCGCGTCCTCATGTCCATCGCCTCCATGGACGGCAGCGTCGGTGACGCTCGTGAAAAGGCTCTTTCGGCTTGCACCAAGGTCGAAAGTGCCGGCAGTGCCCTGGCATCCATGCCATACTACATGTCAAAGGGCCTCAACGAGCTCACCGCCACTGGTGTCGAAAAGGCTGTCAACGGGCTCATGTCCATGCTTGATCTCACTATTACTGGCGTACAGGAGATTTTCGTCTTTTACATCAACATGCTGACTGGCACTTACGTCTGTCTCATCACCCTTGCTGTCAACGGTGCTATCGGTGCTGCCACGAAACTCGTCGAAGAGGTAACAGATTTCCTCAACAAAGCTCTACCAGAGATCGGCTCAGGCATCCAGAGCGTCGTCGGTGGCTTTCAGGACGGCTTGAACAAGGCTGCCGAGAAGGTCCAAGGCCTTCTTCCATTCATTGGCGGTCTTCCAAAGTTGAATGTTGACGACGAGCTGAAGAAACTGGACGACATGCAGATCCCTCTTGACTTTCTAGACTCGATGAAAAAGGTCAACGAGTCCCTGCCAGACTTCAAGGAAGTCCAAAACTTCACCGACACCGTCCTTCGTACGCCCTTCCAGGAACTCAAGAAGCTCATCAAGAGTGAAATGGACACCTACACCTTTGACCGAAGTCTCTTTCCAGTCCCGCAGAAACAGCAGCTCGACTTTTGCTCCGAAGGCAACGGCCTCAATGACTTTTTCGACAGTCTTGTCCGGCTTCTGTACAAGGGGAAGAAGATCTTCATTGGCGTCATCGTCGTCTTGGCCGTTCTGGCATGCCTGCCCATGGCCTATCTTGAGAAGAAGCGGTTCGATCGCGAAGAGGCAACCATTCGAGCCTTTGACAAATGTGCGACATCGGGTCAACACTGCATCGACTCGAGAGACCTCGTCTACACGACTGCCCGTCCGAACACGGCTGGCTTTGGTCTTTGGATCACTCAACGAAAGTCACGCACTTGTCCAAACTCTGCCCATGACCCGCAACCAAAGCCAAGGCAAATATTGATCCGTTGGGTCATCGCATACGCTACGTCACCGCCAGCTCTGTTCGTACTCTCTCTTGCCATCGCTGGCATCTTTTCATGTCTCTGCCAATACATAATGCTCCGTGCCATAGAGACACAAGTCCCCGATCTGACGGATCAGGTTGCCCAATTCACCGAGAAAGTCACATTGGCCCTGACGGACGCTTCAGAGTCTTGGCAGAACGGCACCAACATGGCAATCACGTCAGCAAACGATGACATCAACAAAAAGGTCTTTGGATGGGTCGGTACTAGCACAGACGCTGTCAACGATACTCTCACTGCGTTTGTTGATAAGATGAGCGAGGGCATTGACAAGGTCTTTGGCGACACATTCCTCAAGGATCCCATCCAGGGCGTCATCAACTGTCTCGTTGTCTACAAGATTGAAGGTATCCAGAAAGGCCTGACGTGGGTGCACGACAATGCCCATGTCAGCTTTCCCCTCGTTGCAAATGACACCTTTACCTTGTCTGCACTTGCAGAACAGACTGACAGCAAGTCCGACGATGCCTTCCTACTCGCACCCGGCAACAAGACCAAGGATGAGTTGACCGAACTAGTCGACAAACTCATCGACAAGGTCGAATCAGGTATCCTGCAAGAGGCAGCCATTTCTGCAGCACTTCTTGGCGTCTGGTTACTGCTTGGGATCATCGGCATCGTCGCTGCTTGTTACCAAAGCTTCCGCTCCAGGGGCATCCCTGTCTTCTGCGACGCTTACAATCAGGAGCGTCTGGACGCGCCTAGAATGGTGGCTGTGGACGAATTGCCATCGACATTCGCAAACCCTCCACCCCAGTACGACATGGATGAGAGTAAAGAGTCAAGCCACGACTCCGACCACGATCCCTTCCACGACCAATACCAAGTCAAGGCAGAAGGAGCAGTGAACAATCTCCAGCCTGCGCATACCCAGCAAGACTACCGCGCAAGCTCGCATGGACAGCTCGACAACTACAACGAGAAGCGCGGCATCTATGACGCAGACGACGATATTCGGCCGTACCCTCAGCAAGCACGAGATTCGACACCCTATCAAGCCTACAGCTCGAATCAATACAGGTCCCAGCGTTGATCCTCGTCAACCCCACTCTCAACGAGACCTTGCCAGTCCCCGATGACCTTCTCTCCCACCCCGTGAGGTTTGCGTCGCCGCGGTCCCTGGCACTGTCTCCTCGATCTCCTTCTTTCAAGTTACGTACCTTGGTCTAGGGTACGCGTGTGAGTGATGCATTGCTCCTTACGCGCGCACACTGTCGACGAGCCCACGTTCTCCAGTGGTAATGATATACGGCACCGCTTTGAGAGCGAGCTGCCTGATGAACAAACGGATTTTCCTTGTGTCGTGTGCAACTGCATTTTGAACCGGCGTTAGGATGATATACCCATTTAGCGACTCAGATGTCTCATCACAACAATGTACAGAACTAAATCTATTTCCCGTTTATTTTCTCTCCGTCCATTGTCACTCTCATACTCTCTCTCTCTCTCTCTCTTTCTCTTTCTTGTTGTCAAGAACGGGGAAGTTGAACATGTGATATTCAAGTCGCGAATGGTTTTCGAATTACGAAGGAATCATCCTTTTGGTTTACTTTCCCCGCAGCCCTTTCAGGAAGGAATGGGGGGTTACTCTATGTTAGAGCTTTATTCATCTGCGAGATTTTGAAGACTAAACACTCTGTTTTTTTCTCAACGTCGAGCAAAAAGAATCCTCTATTTCAGACGTCACCCCCCCGCACCCCTTCCGCCCCCCCGCTCTCTCTCCTGTGCCACCACAGGCTGTTTATTTTCCCTCCTACTCTGCCTCTACTACTCCCTCCTGGCTGTGGCTTGCCCGCTGGGAGGATATGATGGTGTAGCTTGTAGTCGAGGATGCAACGCACGACAGCTATTGGAAGTCGCGCATGGAACGAGCCGGACATACTGGGTAGAATCGCTCATTCGCGCTCTTGCTTGCTTCCCTCCCCTTCTTGCTCCTTCTCTTCCCTACTTTTGGGAGGGGGAGGGGGGGTTGTGGGGAGGATGGAGCATCGAGTGCTGCTGACTGGTAACGAGCGTTTTTCATGTTTTTAGGTCTGTCCTTCTCTTAGTAGGATTGACGGAAATTTGTTTGAGTCGGAGGCGCTGTGTATTGTTGATGCAAGGAGTCCTCGTCCTGTTGGACTGAGGGCTGGTCGAGCAGTCAAGATAGATCTTATGGTGGACGGATGGATGGATGGATGGATGGGTGTGGAATGTGGAATGTGGTAATAAGGGGCTCGCTGGATAATTTGTCTTGTCACCACGTCACCACGTTTGGAGAAGTCTGCTATGTATGTATACAGGGGCAGCGTCAAACTCGAGTCACTCTTTTGAAAACGAAACGAACGAACGGACGAGCTACAATCGTCTGGGGATTAGTAGTATCCTAGGAAATAAGGGTGATTTGCAGGTGCACCATGCAGAGATTACTAGATTTCGCGTGGGTACTGCGATGGTATAAGTTAGAAACGAATCACCTTTATACGAGCGAGTCTCGAGAAATTGTTTGTCTCTAGTGCCATGTTCGGACATTTCGATATATGGAACGCACACGTGACCGCGAAAACCACTCTACGCGTCGACGCGTCTCACCTCGCAAAACACCATCACCAAATCCTCTCACCTCAACCACCTCAACCACCACATCCACACCACAACACACCACACCGCACACCATGGCCCTCCTCGTCGACAAACACCGCCCACGCTCCCTCGACACCCTCAGCTACCATCCCGCCCTCTCCGCACGCCTCCGCGCCCTCGTAAGTCCCCCCCTCCCCTCCCAAATACCCAAATACCTAACCCAAAACCCCCAGGCCCAAAGCAGCGACTTCCCCCACCTCCTCATCTACGGCCCCTCCGGCGCCGGCAAAAAAACCCGCACAACCGCCCTCCTCAAAGAACTCTACGGGCCCGGCGTCGAAAAGATCAAAATCGACGCCCGCACCTTCCAAACAACCTCGAACCGCAAACTCGACTTCACAATCGTCGCCTCAGTCTACCACCTCGAAATCACCCCGTCCGACGTCGGCCACACCCACGACCGCGTCGTCATCCAGCACCTCCTCAAGGAAATCGCCCAGACGCAACAGCTCGACGCCCTCGCGCGCCACCGCTTCAAGGTCGTGGTAGTCAACGAAGCAGACCATCTCTCGCGCGACGCCCAGGCTGCCCTGCGCCGCACAATGGAGAAATACAGTCCTAACCTCCGCTTGATCCTCCTTGCCAACACAACAAGCAACATCATCGCCCCCATCCGCTCGCGCACCCTCCTCATCCGCGTGCCCGCCCCCTCCGTCGAAGAAATAGCACAAGTCCTAACATCCATCTGCGCCCGCGAGTCCTGGACTCCGATTCCAGCCCTGCATGCCCGCATCGCCGTCGACAGCGGGCGCAACCTGCGGCGTGCACTGCTCATGTACGAGGCTGTGCGCGCGCAGCACGAGGTTGTGACTGCGGACACGCCTATCGCGCCGCCGGACTGGGAGGCGCTGGTCGGGGTTGTGGCGAGGGAGATTGTGGCGGAGCGGAGCGCGGCGTGTATTCTGAGGGTGCGCGCGAAGTTGTATGATTTGCTCGTGCATTGTATTCCGCCGACGGTCGTGCTGAAGACGCTTACTTGGGCGCTTGTGGGGCTTTTGGAGGAGGGGGGCGATGATGGGGTCAAGGGCGAGGTGGTGCGGTGGAGTGCGTTTTATGAGCATCGGATTCGGTTGGGGAGTGTGAGTGCCTTTTTTTTTTTTTTTTTTTTTTTAAAAAAAAAAACCTTTTCCTTCTTGCACTCCTTTCTGGCTTTTTCTTAGTATGAGAGATGCTAGCTAACGATAACGCGTGCTTCAGAAACACATCTTCCACCTCGAAGCCTTTGTCGCCAAGTTTATGCGTATTCAGGAGAGGTATGTTTTTTTTATTCCTCCAAGATACGGACCTTCCTGCCCCACCCGTATCGAGAGAGTCACTAATCATGTGTGTATGTACAGCTATCTCATGGGCATGGACTTGGACTTTTAGCCATGACTTGCACACACGTGTGCTTTTTGCCAGAGGGGGGTTTAGGGGTTGGGGTTGATGGATGGGTGGATGGAATGGACGAATTGTATGGAGTTTAAACCTAGGATATTGTGCATTGTGCATTTGGCAAGGCGTTACGGGGCTCTACGTATGTATATACAGGCAGGCAGGCAGGCAGGCAGGCAGGCAGGCAAACAGAAAGACACAGGCAGAAAGCGAGTTGAATAGCAATCGCAGCATATATACACATCATATCATATATCCCCCCCCCAAATTCTCCACCGTCCCGCCGGGCCTCACTCACCACGCCCGCGCCGCCCCCTTCCTCCCCACACTCCGATCCACACACCCATAATGCACAACGCTATTATCCGGAAACACCCTAATCGCACTACCCCCAAACCTCTTCCCACAAACCTTACAATGCCGATCCTCCGTAATCAACACACGGCGATTCCTGCCCCCGCCACCCATCATCCCCTTGGTCATCGCCCTCTTCTCGTCGTCCACAGCAGCAAGACCACCACCGGCTCTCGCCTCGCCGAGCAAGAGCGCCGCGTCGACGTCCAGCTTCACGACGCTGCGCAGCGACGCCAGCATGCGTTCTTGCCGCAGCACGCTATTCGCCGTGCGCACGCGGCCGCGGAAGTAGCTTTCCAGGTCAGCGACGGGGAGCGAAGGGGGGATAAGAGCGAGGGTGGAGCCAGCGGGGAGGCGGGCGCCGTGTTTGCTGAGGAGGGTGAGGGCGGGCTCCCACTGCGGCTTATGCGGGTGTGGCGGGGCGAGGTAGAGGGCGAGGAGGGTGAGGTAGATGCCTGGGTCGGCGTCGTCGTCGGGGGAGGTATCTGGGGTGGCGTGGAGGGGATGGGAGGTGCTGTCGAGGGCCGGGTGGGTGGAGCGGTAGATTTCGTTTGCGTATTCTTCGGCCTTTTGCGGGGATTGGATGTTGAAGACGTAGATCTGTAGGGCTTGTTTGTGTTGGCCCATGGAGCTGAGGACGATGGCGCGGGACTCGTAGTACATGGGGTCTGTAGAGGGCTGTTAGTTTGATGGTGTTAGGTCTGGTACTGGGAAAAACGGACCTTCTGATGGGAGTTGGCTGAATGCCTTGGCTCTGTGGTAGTGAGTACTCGTCTTCAGGATCTTCTCCAGGCTCTCCTTCCATTGCGTGCGCTCTTCTTCAGAGCTAAAGTCGCCAAACTCTCCCCCTTCGCTGGACTTTAGTCGCCTCAGATATAGATCGATCAACTTCTGGTGGAAGTGTGGCTCTCCTTCGTTAATGTGAGGCTCGTATATGATATGCTCCAGATAAGCCACTGCAAGCTTGTAATCAAAGTTCTCAAGATACTCTGCCACACGGTGTCGGGGCAGATCATCCGCATTCTTCGTATCCGCCACAAACACTTCCATGCCCAGCTTCGGGTCAGCCTCGAGCGGCCACTTCACAAATTCGAATATGAGCTCGACAAGATCTGGCGGGAGCTGTTGGAGATACCCGACCATTCGTTGAGGTCCCTTCAAGGCCGGGTTGCCGCTCTGCTCGGCCGCGTCTTTACCAAACTTCTCCAAGAGCTCCAGTGCTTCACGATGGAGCTTCTTGCCATGAAGGAAGTCGATCAGATCCAGATATCTGCCATTGTCGTACAGCTTCTCCTTGACAACTTCAGGGTCGCAGAAATTCTCGATGCGAAACAGCGAGCCGGCCATTGTTGGACTCCTGATCATGTATGCTCGGAATAGTACTGTATCTACTGTAATTGCCACTTCGAGCAGCTTTTGAGTCCAGTCGATGTCCCCTTCTTCAGGTTCCAGGATAAACTTCTGAAAAGCAGGCTTCTCTGGCTCTACCTGAGAGTCGGAGGAAGTAGGGAGGGGCTGCTTTAGGGTGCCGTCGAAGTTAATAAATTTCTGTATCTGTTTTCTAGACTCCGCAAGAAAGCCTTGTAATGCGTGCACTGCTTTTAGGAAGTCCTTTCCTTCAAGGGGCTTGTCTACTGCAGGCTTTCCTCGAACGCTAGCCGAATCGTCCATACTCGGCTTCTCTGATCGTATCGAAGCGGCATCAGAGTCGGGTACCTTGTGTTCCGCTTTCCACTTTCCAAACATAGCACGTCCTAGAGTTGATGCTGTCCCAAGAGTGCTCTTATTTGGCGAAGCTGGCACGCTGCTTGAGCCTTCAGTGGGCGGCTCGGCGGCCGCTTCATTTTCAGGCTCCTGCTCGGCTTCAAAGGACGACAGTTCACCAGCTATCGATTTTGGATACAGAGCAACGACGAGCTCAGGGGGCGCATGCGCCTCTCCGAAGAGATCCATCGCATCCTGATATCTCTTCTGATGGAAGAAGCCTTGTGCCTTGAGAATTTTCACTCGTCGTAATTGGCCTTCCTTGTCCTTTAGGAGGGTATCCTCCAGCATGTTGAGCAGACTAATGGCTTCATCGTACCGTCCACTGTGTATGAGGTCCTCGATCTGGGTATCGTAGTCAAGAGCACCCATTCGCCAGATACAGCGATCGCTGGCAACGAGAAAGCCTTTGCCAGCATGAGCCAAGCTTATGTATGGCTGCGGAACATGTATGAAGCTTGCATTAGGTAGAGCGATTGATTGCAGCAAGGATAAGGTGTCGGGATTTCGTACTTCGAGGGCGCCTTTAGCTGGCGCAGAAAGAGCCAGCATATATGGATAAGAGTATCCGAGTGACTCCGGGGCGGAAGGCCAAGGTATCTGTCGCTTGTCGAGAGCATTGCCGTCCTCGTCGATGAAAAGTGTATTGACATCCTTCGCGAGAAGCATTTGCCCTTCTTTCAGCCTCGTAGCGAGAGGTTTCGGTATCCAGCTTCCCATACCCATATAGCCCATTCCAGATGAGTTTACAGATCCGAAGCGCGCAGAGCCAGGTGGGCCTGCCTCTCCAAGCGCACTTGGCTTGTTGATGTCCGTAATCTCCTGGCTATCCACATCCACCATAACGAAGCCGGGATCCATGCCTGCGACGAGTTTCGTCCTCGTTGACCAAGTCAACGATTTGACAGCTGCAATCAGTGTCATCTCTGTGACCTCCTCGTCCACCTCCATGTCTTGCCACGACCATATGAGTATCTTCCTCTTCACCGCAACCGCGAGCTTTGTGACGATCGAAGGTATCTCATCCTTGATGACGATGTCAGATGTTACTGCGAATGTGGTCGCACCTTTCGTGCGTTCGAGACGCTCCTGAAGCGCATAGCTATTCAGGTCATGGATAGACACATAACTGTCAGAGAGCGAGAGTAGGATGCTGGCTTCCTTGATGATGGCGAGTTGCTGGACTGGTCTCCGCGAAAACTTCTCTTCTTCTCGCAGGAGATCTGCAAGTTTGATCTTCTCTTCATGTACTTCCTCACCCTCTACTCCATCTACATCTTGAACTTCTGGGACGTCCTGGTCATGTAGCTCATTGACACGGTATATACGCAAGGCACCGCTCTGAAGGCCAACTAACACGCGGTCGCCTAGTCATGTGTTAGTAGTCTAGTAGATGCGCACAACAATCCGACGCACCGAATGCTAGAATCGACTCGATTTTGGACTTGTCGCGTTGCTTGAACTCAACAATGGGTCGAGCTGTGAAGGCCGAGAGCATGGTGGAGGTGCATTTGAGAAGATATGCCCGGTTTGCGGAACTGTATGGCAGGTCAAGATTCCTTCAGCTCATTGCAGTGTACATGTTTCTTTGCGCCGGGTAGAGTTGGAGACTGGGCAGCGTGTTTCATACCCCAGAGTTGAAGACTGCCCGTCAAGGGTGCCTGGCAGGAAGGAGCTTTGACCACCAAGACGTCACAAGCTCACAATATACGATGCACGACTTGTAGTTAGATTACAACCATTGTGATTGATTTACTCATTATTCCTCGCTGGAAGATTGGGTTCACGGACTGCTCACACCGCCAGATAATATTTCGGTCGAGTCACTGTTGTGATACTGTTTGATTAGACTGAATATCTTAATCATTAGGGTATCTAGGTACCAGATCCAAACGCCCGTGCTATGCATAAATGTAGAAGTCGAGACATGTATCCCCAGCATCACTCAGTCGCTTTTCCCTTTCCCTTATCCGACGTTGCAGCTTCTGCCAGCCCTGATTCCTCTACATCAGCCTCCTCGTCTTCATCGCTCATATCTTCATCCTCATCATCCCAGCCAAAGAAAGTCTTAGCGGCGGTCTGAGATTTCACTGGCTTAGAGCTCGACGCACCCGACTCCTCCACTTCCATTTCGCTATCGCTGCCATCACTTGTTCCAGACGCTTCCCCAGAGCTATCACTCTCCTTGGCGCCCAAGGCATCCTGAATATCCCCAGCTTTCATAGCAGCTAGGACTGCTTCTCTGGTCCGTTCTGATGCCTCTTCTTTCGACTCGACCCATTTGCCATCCAGCCTTCCCCTGCCGTTCCTAATCTCCTCTTCGCGCTTATCGGCCATCTCCACGATGCTCTCCCAACGCTTTTTACGCTCTTCCTTCTCCTTCTTCTCCATATCGGGCTTGATCGCAAGGTATTCTGCGAGAGCCTTGGCTTCAGCGACAGTGCGTAGTCTGCGACCATCGAGGTTGCGGCTCGAAGCATGTTCATCCCCCTGCTTTCTCTTCTTGCGGGACGACATACGGCCACCAGCAGCGCGAAGCTGTGACCCAAAGCCGCCCTTGCCACCACATAGTGGTACAGAGAGTCTCAGAGGTAAGAAGGTATCGTTTGGTGATGAGAGAAGGGTAGTGATTGGTTCTTCCCTGGACCAGAATTCGAGTTGTCTATTTCGGTTGGTAGTAACAATGAGTCTGGAGGGGATCGCTGGTAGATGCTCTGCAATAGCTTCTCCTAGTTTTGCAACGGAAGTGGAGGATGATACTGCGAAAGATAGAGTGGGAGGGAGGCCCAAACCAGTGAAGGTGGTGAGGAGGATGTTTATTTGTTGGGCCATAGCAGCGACAGCGAGTGGTGTTGCGAAGTATGAATCAGGTATACAGTCAAAGTCGTCCAAGCGATTGTGTATTTTGTGAAACCCAGCTGCGTAAGCCGTGTCGCTGATGTAGTTCAGCAATATGATGAAAGTACTGGTAGCGTGGCTGTGAAGTTGGAGAAGCAAATGCCAAGAAGTGTTCTTGCCTTACTGACAAGGCTGTAGTCGTTCGCTTACTAGCGTGGTCCGAGCTCACACGCAAGATTTCCTTAGCACAAATCCACCAGATGCACGAACTTTGAACTTCGACGCCCAGCAACGACAACCTCCCAACTCCAATCCACCCAACACCGCCAAAATGTGAGCCCGATGTCCAAGTGCACGTTTGTGCGCATACTGACGTACATAGGCTCATCCCAAAGGCCGACCGCAAGAAGATCCACGAATACCTCTTCCGCGAGGGCGTCCTCGTCGCGAAGAAGGACTTCAACCAGCCCAAGCACGGCGAAATCGACACCAAGAACCTATACGTGATCAAGGCCTGCCAATCACTCACCTCGCGCGGCTACCTCAAGACTCAATTCTCCTGGCAATGGTACTACTACACCCTCACCCCCGAGGGTCTCGACTATCTCCGTGAATGGCTCCACCTCCCCGCCGAAATCGTTCCTCAGACGCACATCAAGCAACAGCGATCCGGTGCTCCTCCTCGTGGCATGATGTCTGGTGACGACCGTCCTCGTCCGGGTGGCCGTGGTGGCCCGCGTGGTGACAGAGAGCGTGGTGACTACAGACGCCGTGATGCTGGTGAGGGCAAGGAGGGTGGTGCTCCGGGTGACTTCAACCCTGGCTTCCGTGGTGGATTCGGTATGTGGCATTCTAGCTGCAGGCTACTGAACTATTAAGCTGACATTATATCCAGGCCGTGGCCGTGGTGCTCCCCCAGCGTCATAGACACATGTCTTAATTGAAAAGCAGAAATTCCTCTTTTCCCTTTACTGTGAACGAGTTGGGTCGGACGGTAGCGTGTACGATCGAGTGACAGAAATTGCCGGGGGTCGAAACGGTCGAGTAGGCAGTTGACACTGCAACACCTATCTGCACATCTGTAGAATAGCAAACAGATGTCCTTCTGATTCCACTTGTCGAAAGAGTTTCCATTCATCAACATTAACAACGTGACATCTGGAAGAGAGACTAACAAAGCCTTGCAAGGACTTCATACAGACTTAGGTAGCTCCGCCGACCCCTGGAGACCCCCGAGTTACGTCACTCATGGCCGTCAACCGATCATACCTCAGCACACTGTGCATCAACACCTGCGCCCCAAGCGTACAATACTCCGGCTTACAAAACTCCCTCGGATTATGGCTCACGCCTGCCTGACACGGGACAAAAACCATCCCGGTCGGCGCGCGTCTACTCGCATATACAGAATCATGCCCGGCCCCCGACACCATCTGCCTCACCAACCCATCCACCTCCCCACTGCCAAAGTCGCTCTCCACGCTCTGCCGCACATACGCGATACAGTCCTCATGGAAGCTAGTACCCACACTCACACTATCCGCTCTCCGCTCAATCTCACACGGCTTCGCACGCGCGGTCCTCGCCGTGGTTAATAGCCTCAAAGTCAGCCCGCAGATTGCGCACCGCCTCATCAACAACCCCGTCCCTCGCCGCGCGGATATCAAGGCTAAACAGCACATGCCCCGGCACTGTGTATGTCGACCCAGGCGCGAGATTCAGGATCCCGGCGATGCGAGCGCACTGTGCTGGCCGGCGACCTTGTGGTTCTGCGGAATCAGCTTTGCGGCGCCGCTCGGTCTCGAAGATGGCGCCATGTTCGATGTGCAGCTCGAAGTGGGCGGCGAGAGTGTTGGCGGTGTGGTGCGCGGGTGTGCGGCTGGTTGCTTTGCCGGTGGTACCGGTGCCGGTGCCGGTGCCGATTTCTTGAAGGTTGTGTACACTGTCTCGAGGGGGATTTCACCGGACCATACGCCGGAAAAGACTTTGCTAATAGAGAAGCGGGCGCCTTCTTCGCTTGTCCGCGTCAGTTCCCATCCCCCTCACAATACATAACATGAAAGGGGCGAGGGGGTTGGCAATAAAGGTAGTCCCTAACTTACTTCGTTGAACATTAGACAGCTAGATTATTCTTAATCAACAGGCAGAGTCATGTTGTACTAAGTACTCGCCCTCGGCATATACACTTCTCGAAAACCTACCCCCAGCTCAACTTATTGATACTGAAACAGAGTGTACACATGCTCCTATACACGTCCCTGGCCGTGGGTCCCTTGAGCCGCCAATAAGCATAAATAGTCCGCTTCGAACTGGGCGCGTTTTGGAAGAAACTCGCGCACAGAAGCCATATCGATTCCCTGTCCTATGGCAATTTCAGGACCACAGCAGTCAGAGTAGCACTTCCTTGGTCGTGAAACCTCCTCCATATGTCTTGCCTGAGGGATACAGCGTGGATGACATTGGCATTAAAGAATAAAACATACTCAAAGCCAGGGGTGCAGCCGTATACGTGGAGCTAGTTCCTTGTATTGCTGAAAAGTTCAACATCCCGTGCGAGGGCCCGCACGAGTTCTGTTACGACCAGGTAGACAAGCACTTTACGGTGCCCGAGGCTGCCGATAGGGTCGACGACGATGAGGACATGGAAGGGGTGGACGATGGCGAAGACGACGATGTCGAAAACAGCGACGACTATGTCATTGCTCTCAGAGAGGACTTAGAAATGCCACTAGAGAAACCAACGAAAAAGGTGTATGGCATAACGATGGATCAGGCTTCAGAAACTCATTGATGATACCAACACATTACTATACCTCATAACTAGCGCAACCCTAACATAACCTTTCGTCCATGATTGCGTTGCTTATTTTCCGTCTGTGGTCATCAAGTAAGACGGGGACTCTGTCTCTTACAGGAAGATCTCTTAGGTCCCCTATTTCTCCGAACTCTGGACGAGATGAAAAACGCGAAAAAGAAGAGTTCTTCAGTCTTACGGACATGGAGATAGACACTGTGATCAAAGAATACGACCTCGGAACTGAATCAAATGTGAGCTCTGTCACAGCAGCAGATACGGGTTCTGATGGATCCATTTCAGATGGATAGGTAGCCGTGATCAAAGTCGATAGCAAAAGTAAGACGAACAAGACTGCTACCGACTGATTTATGGTTTGACTTGGACTATCACTGGGCCAAACAGAGCGAGGAGCAGCCTCCGGGAAGACATTCAGTTTGACAAGTAAAATTTTAATTGAAACAGCTCCAAATCGTTCTCAAAACCAGCTATAATGCGCTCGGAGATCAAGGAGATATAGACTTGAGAATCACATATTCCATGCTCGACAATGAGCCTACAAGCATTACCTTCTATTGTAAACAAATTCTTCCATAACTGATACCAGCATTCTCTACTTCGTCCCAGCCTCACCAGGCCAGCCACGGTACGGAGTACCCCCACTCATCTATCGGAGACTTGTGCAGACAGTAGACCCTCCCTACACGCCGTTAAGTTGCATCCCAGTCGCTTCTTGCACCACCACCGTGTCTGGCGCTTAATCAGCGAAACGATAGGATGAATACCTACTTGCCCAGAAATAATATCCCACTCTCGCGCTCACCACCATCTCATCAATCAACATGCAAGAAGAGGTCCTAGCCTTTACGCCTTCACCGATGCGCTCTGATCAGCCATTATATAAAAGACCGCAAGAAGTGAAATCATGCTATGAAGCAGCCCTGAAGGGCGATATCACGGAAGTAAGGCACCAAGTCGAACAACTCTTCCGTCGGCATCCCGATGCAAACCCAGCCTGGTTATCATATTCTCTTGCTGCCGCTGTCGAGAAACACGATCTCGAGATGGCGCGGTTTCTACTCGACAAAAATGTTGCACATATAGGGCTTCCTATTGAGCTTGCTGTGCGAGAACACGCAAAGGAAATACTGGAGCTCTTTCTTCAGTATGGATGGGGCATAAACCAGCCTATGCATAGGATTGAACCTCCTGCGTTGAGGTGCGTGGGATACACTTCCCAATCACTCCAAGTCAATTGTTCTGCTCATGGTATACCAGCATAGCTCTCCGTACCGGCGATCATGACATGGTAGAGTGGTTTCTTGATCACCATGCAGATCCCAATCGCCGCTGTGCCTGGGACATGACCCCGACATCGCAAGCAATGTATACCGCTTCTCTTGAAACGATCGAGTACCTGTTCTCGCGGGGCGCAGACGTTCGACAGGGTCAGCTTCTCCACCACGCTGTCCTTAGGGCTAAGCCGGGTGCTCTTGAGCTGGTGCGCAGACTTGTGGACTGTGGTGCACCTGTCAATAAGATCAAATACGAAGATGATCTGACAACCTATCGGGAGCGTGTCCCTTTTGGTCTAGGTACTCCGCTCCACCGGGCGGCAGAGTTTGGGAAGACGGAGATTGTTATGCTTTTGCTGGAGAAAGGTGCTGATCCTCTCAAACTGGATAGTAAGGGCAAAACAGCACGGTTCTGGGCTGTACAACGCAACCACGAAGAAGTAGCTCACATTCTAGAGGATTTCGAAGGGCGTCAAAATGATATTCAAAGTATTAGCATGAGTTGAAGGCAAGAAGAATAAGACTTTTCTTGCTAGACACGGAACACAAAAGTACTACAACCCAAGTATAGCTGACCGACGTGTTTGACACTCTTTAAGATTTCCTATGACAGAGGCGTTCTATAGGTCCCGCAGCAAATAGTCATTCTCTTTCAACATAGCAAGGCAAATTCTGTGCGGCTTTTCAGACTTCGCAATGTCACCTTGCATCTTGATATATCTTGCTGAACGCGAGGCGACGCAAAAAAACGAGCACGCTCTTCTCCATCGAAGATGCCGAAGACAAGAAAGAAGCATCACCATAAGCCCAGCCAATGTGCTGATCCTTCGCGGAGGTGTAGTCCTCACGTTGCACCAGAGTCTCGGGGTGGGAACGGTGCAGTAATGCATAGAGGGCTTCCATTCGTCCGCTAATTGGGTCGCACCTTTGCTGTCTAAAGAATGTTGGTAGACATGCTGCGTTGATGGCCAGGTATCCGCAGCAAAATTTGTGCAGAGTTGCATGAGAAGCATTTTTGTCCCATCATGCTACCGTACGTGTGGTCTTGACATTAGACGGAGCACGACCGAGATTTCATCGGTGTGCTAGGGATGTATTTCTGTGGTATGGGGCAGTACTAGTGTTGCGACTGCTTTTAACAGATAAGAGCGAGGATGAAGACAGCGATCACAAAGTTTGTAATCCAGTCGCTAACCTCCTTCAGGTTGTTCTACAAGGGCCATGAGTGAAAATCCATCACTCCTGCCCTCTTCTTGATCAATGAAGTTTCGAATCATCGTACGGACTTGTTCAGAAAGCATGTCCTCGTTAGGACTTGTCACAATATTCTTGTTCAACGGGCATTTCCTATCTCCGTCCAGCTCAAATACATGGCCGTCTGAGTCCTTGACGAATGTTATGAAGTGATAGTCGACCTCTTCTTGAGGATTGATTGGGGGTGTCGATGAACCTTGTAAAGCTGCCTTAGTGTAGACATCTTCAAGCTCCTTAGACTGTTCTAGGGCCTTGCAGCGCTGTTGTTGGGTCAGCTGTAAGGGGTTACCTAGTAGATTGGCCAACAATGATTCAGGTACTACTGCTTGTCAGCTCCTATCAACATGAAATCATAGAAGCTTACACATTAGATGCTTCGCTCCGCTATTATACATTGCGTGAAGAATGGCGTAGAGACCACAAGCGTTATTGATGCTTTGTCGAAACCATATCAAGCCAGTGTCCGAGATATCGTCCTCTTTGGAGGATGCTTCCTCCCTGGATTTTCGACATTCGTATGTTTCTGATGTAGGAAAGATTAAAATTAGCGCCAAGGCTGAGGTTGGTAGTAGTAGCGGATTATCTAGAGTCATAACATCTTCAAACCGTAGACTCGTCCGCACCCCTAAATCCCGTAGGAGCTCGTTGGAAACCTGCAGGTCAGACTCTAGAGGAATGAAGTGCTTTTCATACATTTCTGAATCCGCGTCGAGGATGCTGCTGATGGGACGTATATACAAATTGCCGGGTAGAGGGGTTGCCCAGTATCATGTGGATTGATTACATCAGATACTTCTAATCTTACATATGATACCTGGCATCGGCTGCTTCAGGCATTAAAAACATAACATAGAACCAGTAAATCCTGCCCCTAAGGCAATATCGCGGGCTGTATGACCGTAACTATCAAGAGCTCCGACATCTGCAGTGCCATGAGTAGATTGGAGTAGTCCTTTGACTACCCCTTCCAAGCCCCAAGATGCGGCTACATGCAGTGGGGTCCATTGCCCGTCATCCCTGGCATTGATGTCGGCCCCGCCTTGCAGGAGGATCTGGGTGACGGCAATTCTGTTCGTTTCTGATTTCCTAGGTCCTGCAATCGCAAGATGTAACAGAGGCATAACGCGCTTTCCAGACTGCCGTGTTTGACGTACATCAGCTCCCAAACGTAATAAAGTTTCCACTGCTTCTGGCCAGCCGTATTCGACTGCCCATGCCAATGCACTTCTACCTGTGCAATCCGTGTCATCTATCTCTGCCATTCTTGCGTTGTGAGGAATTTGAGGAAGCGTCCGCTCTAGATTGCATTCTTGAGTTGATGCCCATGGTAACGCCAAAAGTGCCTTATGCTGAGGGGAAAACTGTCTTGAACTGTGGTAGCTCGTGCAGAGTTCATGAGTTGGCGTATTGAATATTTTGCCGATCAGTTGAATACTTTTCCTTGCCATTTTTGGACTTATGAGGGCTTGCGCTCTCAATGCGAGAACATTATCTACAGATGTGTACAATGGAGTACTTAAGACCGTAAGCTACCTTAAAAAGATTTATAGCATGTAGCTAACTTACTTTCCAATATCATCGGGGTAAGTAGCGTCTGCACCAGCCTTCAGGAGACTATGACATATTTGAAGCGATGTTCTGAGATCACAGTTATGCAAGCAGTAGTATGCAGCATACTATCAAGGTTAGCGTCCACACAAGGCTTTACACCGTGGCGCTAACTTACGTAAAGAAGACCGAGTCCATAAGGATCGACCGAATGAATCGATACGAGACCCGAAGTGATGAGCTTCATCGATTCCGCGATATTACCCTCCTGGACGTGTATGAAGATTGGTGACTCGTATGGCATGACTACAGGAGCCTGGAGGAAAGGGTAAGAGGAGGCCCAGGGGCCTTGTTGCGATGTCGACGGTGGAAGGGTGCTTTCTATCCATTCTTCGTTCGATATAGAATTGTCCTCGAACCGAGTTCGACTTGCAACAGCGTTGGTGGACCACGTAAGCTGGTCTGGGTTAGGAGCGAACGACTTAAGTCTGGTCAGACCGCCTGTATGTTGCATCCCATTTCGGTCAGGTAAGTTCGATTGAGGATATTCCATACATCTATTCGTGAAGCTCTCTGGTGATATTAAGGAACTTCCATTAGCGTTCGTTCGAAGTCGTTTTAATCCGCTAAAAGTGTCGCTTGGTATTCGCGGATCAACAATCTGCGCACCAATGTAATGGAGCTTCGAATTATTGAGCTTTTTCAAGCCAAAATTCTTTTGGGATGTTCCGGAGCTACATTCTGCTTCGTTCGAGAGTGACTTGTCAGGTGATGTGTGTACCGACCCTATATCAGAAGAATCATAAGTGTGTTGAAGTGACAAAGAGGTACTCCCGGATGACTTCGAAGCGCGGATATCAAGGAGTCCCGGGGTAGGCAAACTCTTGCCGCTCAATTGCGAGTGATCGTCGGTTCCAGAGCCCAATCTCTCGAGGGAGGTAGACTCAGGATTAACGTTGGTAACAGGGGGGTCCAATGCATCTTCTGTCAGGTTAGGTGCGACGGAATCGAGATTGCTGCCACTGTGGTATCCGTCAATAGGCATATCATCACTCACGGCAACGTCCCGCCTGACGGTGTCGTTAGAATGCTCTGGAAGTCTAGAACATGATTCATCAAGGGGCGGACGACTGAAGTTTGCGGAACTGTTCATAACGCCAGGGGACGCTGTGAGGCTGAAATCAAAGGTGACCCCGGTACCTGCTACCGGGCGAGGATTTTGTGGCTCTGTTGTGCAAGTGATTGATCGATCCGCTGACGACGCGTGGTCAGAATTCCCGAGCTCTCCATGAACAGCAGCAATAGATTGATGAACGCCCCAGAAAGCATCGGTAAGTGGCCCAAGAGAATCTCTAGTTTCCGGGAGATCAAGCAGGGCTAATCTCGATTCGACTTTAACTCGCAGGGAGGTGAATTCTTCGTCAGTCAGGCGCTCCCATGAGGATGATGCTGCTCATTTACAACTAACAAACACCGTGCCTGCTACACCAAGTTTCGCGAATCTATCGCCACACTTTCGCTTAAGATTTTCGTCGACCATGGCTTTCTTTTCGCATGTATTCTTAGCTCTTAACACCTTTCGTTCGGCCTGCTTCAACTGCCCAGACTTCCCAGTAAAAGCTCAAACAAATCCGGTAGCAGGCTTAGTATCAGTTGCAAGAATCAGGAGTGTAACTGCTTGACGTGCGCCCGTGTTCCGAACGTCTTGGGCCAGCCGCTCTAGTATCTCGGCTCGACGTACGTCATTGCTGTCCGGCCTCCCACTTCCAATAAGAACATTTTCCCAGAAGCTCTTCGGATCTCGTTGTATCGAGAGTAGAATATTCTTTACGTGAGCTTCGTCTTCTAGAGAGCTAGGGAAAGCTGCTACAGCGGTCTTCCCATATCTTGATAGTACCCCTACTCGTGCTGATGATACGCGTGCACGTGCTCGTGCTGGTAATGCTGGTGCTGGTGGGTGTTACGGCTACGGCAGTAGCAAACAACATGTATAATTAATGTAGGCAGTAGCTACGCACCGGTCGGGTGTATATATACAACCGACCGTACACGTACATAGAAAATGGCATGCTTTATGACCAATACACTGTATGGGAGTGCCCGAATCGGACCCATGACGCCAAGTGCAAGCTCTATGCTAAGGAGTCAGTACTACAACAGATGGTAAAATACCACCAAGACATCTGTCGACATTGTGGTTTTGGGCTCGAGGACGCTACCAGACGTGAGCATATACAATCGGATACAATCCAAGGTCCTAGATTAGGATTGTATGATTAGTCACTCTAAAAGTACGGATTAAGCTTAGAATCTATACTAAGGGATTGAGATTGATTGTATTAGATTAAATAAAGTAGGGTATATACCTATGTATAGCCGCGGGCCCTATCTTAGGCCATATTTAGGCATTATTTCTGCCTAAGGCCTATACTTTAGCCTTAGGCTCTAATATAGTAGCCTTAGGCAGAAATAATGCCTAAATATGGCCTAAGATAGGGCCCGCGGCTATATATAGGTATATATCCTACTTTATTTAATCTAATACAATTAATCTAACCAATCGGATTGAGATTATACCGTCTTGGCAATCATTTTGAGGCGTGGATTGAGCTTGTATTCTCTATTAAAATTTTGGCCCAGATTGAGATTGCACAGATTCGGATTGTATATGCCCATCTCTGGACGCTACTATGGCCACCTGTGGGCACGAATGGTGCGAACCTTGTCTAACCGAACTACTCCCAAATGGACCTCTGTATTGCAAGACTTGCAAAAAGGTCGTAAAGCTGGTTCTCCCAGAAGACGACTCAAATAACGCACAAGGGGAGGCCGCCGTAGCTTTCCACGAACCGACAAGCGCACCAGCCGCCGATAAGATGCCGCAAGTCGACCAGAACGATGACCAAGACGTTGACGTCAGTAAACCACCAGCCAAGCGACGAGGTCGCCCCAGAGGAAGCTCCCTAACGTTGGTTTGGCAGCAGGTCGACCGCGACGCAGTGTATACAAGGACATGAACCCGCGACCGGCCAAGCGTCGCGCGTAGTGCCTATCCATAGTTACATGGATGGGAAAGCTTGGCGCCCGATGTTCGGTCCTCTCCGATGCTAGAGCTTTAGCTCTTTCAAAACCACGGAGGCTTGTCAAGTGAATGTCGAGCGTAAGCACCGCGATTCGGTGTGGGACTTCTCGAGATGGTCTATAGATGCTGGGCTGAGGAACAACATGCATACCTTCCCCACTCTCTATTCTTTTTCAATTCAAGAGCTATCCCACCCTAGGCGATCAGCTTCAAAGTCGAGATTCATTTTCACCGACCTCTATGCAACTACCCCTTGAGATCATACGGTTTCATATCCCCAATCGCGTCCTATGCTGAGGTTTCTGATTTTTGTCAGGTAGCCCAATGCGGATTCTTTCACTACGAAGTAGACAGATCTCTGCCCGCGATGATTGTTCGATATGGTTCAAGCCCCTGCATCTTACTAGTACTGTTAGCTGTATAGTTTTGGCAGATTTCCCTCCAGCATGCAGTCTGAGTGGAAATACGTCCGCAAAGTCTTCGAATTATTTCCATAGCGCTCCAGACAAAGAGTACATTCCTCTTGAACTCCCCCCTGAGACTTTCAGTCCATTTGCCCATGTACCGATCAGGTCTCCTGGACGCTCATTTGCCCCGGTAGTGGACTCTTCGCCGCGGGGTCGCCCAACAGTAGTACTGTCGCGGCCCAGGCCTGGTGTTTTCTTAGAAGAGCGACAGATCATCGTAGGGTCGGTGTGGCATGTACAAAGCTCATAATACTTGAACGATAGGGAGACGACATTGTTTATGTACTGCTCCCAGTGCCCAGACTCGACCCTGTGTAAGTGCCTCAGAGACAACATGAGCTCTGACTACATGAGATTGGCACATAACCAACCATATGCCATGGCTGGCTGACACATAGTCGATGTCATTGCTGATTTGAAAGCTTAGTGCAAATCCAAGTATTGTCATCGCTCGTGCTTCCACACTGCACATGTCCACCCGCCCCTTAAATTCATATTCCAATGGAGCCGAAAGAAGAACGGCCATACGAGCTCCGCCATTCAGACCATTCTCATACGAAGGTCAAACGCTTCATGTTCGAATACCTTTGGATACCCATACACATACACATACACATACACATACACATACACCGAGGATAGCCCCACACCACACCACAAAACCCACATCCAGCCGAGTAGTAGTGAAACGCAGGGGTCATATTCACTTCCGCAACCCCGCCGGAAAATTCCTCGCCGCCAGCAACACCCCCTTAACACCCCGAATACTCGCCCGCACATCCTCCACCGCATCCTCCTTCGAGTCCCTCTCACTCGCACCACCACCACCACCAACACCCAGCCCCCGACTCGCATGATACACATTCGCAAAATCCGAGTCGTACGCCGAGCGCGGTGTCTGAAAGCGCATCGCGGTCAGATAGTCGTCGAGCGCGCGCAGCTCCTTCTTCAGGCTGTCTGCCGTCCTGTCGTTTGTCTCGCTGGCCGTCTGGAGATCGCGCATGTGTGAGGTCATGATCTTTAGGCGGGCGCTGTGGCCTGTGGGGACTTTCTCGGCGGCGGATGCTGGTGGGGGAGGAGTGTCGATGTCTGTGGACGCGTGGTCCTCCTCGTGGGTTGTGCTTGGTCGGCGGCTGATGTGTGGGCTTGTTTGCGTGCCGTAGTCGCGGTGGTAGAGCTCCGTGGGATCGGAGTCTATGCTTTCGGCGTCGTCGGAGTCGGTTGCTGGTGTTGTTGCTTCTGATATCACGGACCGCGGTCTCTTGCTTGCTGGGTCGACAGAGACCATGCCGGCGAGCTTCTCGTTCAGCTCGTTGAGGCGTGTCTGGGTGTTGGATGCGAAGTCGTGGCGCGCGACTGTGAGGCTGTCGACCATGGGTGTGACGAGGAATTTTGAGAGACCGTAGATGGTGGCGGCGATGCCGCCGGCGATATATGTGGTGTTCACGAGGCGGGAGACGGTGACGAGGGGGGCTTTGTCGGTGGGTTGGGTGAGGAATTCGGGGTATGTGACGATTGGAGGGGCGGCTGGCAATTGCGGCTGCGAGACTGGAGCTTGCGGGACTGAAGGCTGTAATGTAGATGTCGTCGTCGCAGACTGTGAGCGAGGCTGCAACGTAGATCCCTATCTTACCATCAGCGAGTGCACAACCCTCAGAACATCAAACTCACCTCCAACGACGTATCCAACACAACCTTCCCCTCCACCTGCACCTCCTCTCCTCCATCCTCTCCACCCAGCACCCTCGCAACATCCCCCTTCTTCACACCCTTGGATTGCAGAAACCCGCGCTTCTCCTCCACAGACGCATCTCTTAAGCTCCCCTCATCCCGAAGCAGCTTCTCCGCCGCCTCCAGCGATGGGACTTGCTCGACATCAGCACTGGTATCAGTATCGGCATTTGCATTGGCATCGGAGGAGGAGGAGGAGGTAGTATCCACGCCAGTCTCCGAATCTATCGCGGTGGTTGTCGTGCTTGTGCTTGTAGGATCTTCGGTGCTAGGTTCCGGGGAGGAGGGCGAGTCTTTCTTGTGCAGGAGTTGCCACGAGGGTATCGAGGGCTTCTTGGGTTCTGGCATGGTGTATAACGGGTGCTATGGTGGTGGAGGTGGTGTTTGGTGGTATGGGTGCGCTTGGAAGAGCAGATCTGATGATGGTAGCTTTATTGTATGGGTGGATCGCCGCCGAAGCTCGCGCTCGCGTGCCTCGGCTGAACGTCATCCATCCATCCATGAGTGCCAAGACTTTAGTGCGAGCTTCGAACGACAACTGACGACCTCCGTTTTCATGTTTTCATCATTGCAGCCAGCATACTAACACTCTGCATCACTTTTCACACTGTTCTTCACACGAGATTCTCACTCAACGAACAACCATTGTGCGGAGCTACCTGACTTCGAAAAGGTTTCACGGTCACAAAGTTTCCACGAGATCAGAGCGTTCTTCGCATTGGCTAGCTATAGACGACGTCAAGATTTTGATTCGCTATCCTTTCGCAGACAATTTCATCATTTGTCGATAGAATCACAAGCATTGAAGATTCCAATAGCCTTTGCAAGCTCTCTTCTTCTACCGATAAGCAACGTAACAATTTGACCAAGACTATGAAAGACTCTCTGGACCACTCCTTGGTATCATGGCCGTCTAAGCGTGCATGCATTCGTTATGCAACATCTGCTCGCTTCCAGCCTATCTTCCATGCCAATGTGCCCGATCCGTCCTCAATCCAAGATAAGCTCTAGATTGGCTCCACTCTACGATAGGCCATTGCATTATTTCTCTTCAACCTTAGATATCAGAATCATAGGACTCTCCGGAGTCGGAGGTACCATTGTCCGAAGGATCGTTCAGTTCCTCCTTCTTGGGTGGTTTCTGGCTGGGTCAGAAGCTGAATTCCGAATTTTGTCTCTGGTACTTACATAGGCTTTGACCTTGGCGAACGCTCTGTGCTTTGCGCCAGTGACGTTGCGTGTACTGTTGCGCTCCGTATTGGTAGATCCCCACTCGGAGCCTGAGACAGAAGGTGCAGTACTAGAACCTGGATGACCATAACCGCGAGGATTGAAGCCCGACTGGGTAAGCAAACTAACACCTGTGGCGATTGATGGGGTGGATCGAGATGCTTCCTGCGCACGGCCTGGAGCCCAGTTGTGCATTGGTACACGGTTGTGACTTTTGCCAGCGGTCTGACCTGAGATGTACGACTTTGTCTTATAGGGCATGAATCCATCACGGGTATCGTCATACGAGGAGACTGAAGGGCTCGAAACAGGGCCAACAGCAACACCACTGCCATTATTTGATGTAGCACGTCCCTATGATCAATCAGAGTAGAAACTAGGAACATGGGTTGTTAACTAACGGTTTGTGAAGGGATGCTGCTCAGGAAGAAAGATGTAGCATCATCATCATCGTCGTCAGCGGAATATGCCGCATCATCATCGTCGGAATCCGACTTCTGGGCTTCCATCGTGGTGCGCTCCTCAACACATTTAAAGCACCGCTAGATTGATGGTAAGCGGAATTAGCCTTGACTCTTGGATCTATAACTTACGGCAGTATCAGTCTCCTTGGCCTGTGCCTTGGAGAATTCGGGCACCGACTTGGTAACCTTGCATTCGATGCAGGTGATCTCCACAACGGTCTGTTGGTTACACTCGACGCACGCGATCTGGATCGGACGACCACAGCGAACAGAAGACTGGGCGTTCTCACGCTGCCTAGAAACATTAAGCGGAAGCTACTTGAGGAAAATGTCAAGTTGACTGACTTGGTGGAGAAAGCGGTGACAGTCTTGGGCTTGTTACATTTATAACACTTGATCCTAATAGGAAAGTCAGTCAGCCCTGGCTAATACAATCAGTTCAGACTAACTTTGAAGGAAGTCCGTTATTGGGACCGCTGTTATATCCACCGAAGGAACGACCTCGACCTCCACCGCTGTTGCTGCCACTAATCATGTTAGCTGGAACAGGAACCAGCGAATAAATACTGACGAAGCATATCCAGCATTTCGCACAGCGAGCCTTTGCATGTTGGAATTGGGCATCTTGGTCGATTTGCCAAGAGATGTCTTCGCAGGGGAAGCCTTATGTGCTATGATAGATTGGCTTGAGGATGGTTGATAGCGAGCGTTATGTGCAAACTGAGCAAAGCTCGGAGGTTGGCAAAGGAAAGACGTGGGATGAAAGAAAGATACCTAGAGAGAGAGGGAGAGCTGTAGAAGTACAATTTGTTCACCCGGACGCTCGGACGTAGTTGCCTTAACTATGTATACAAGCAATTTCCTCGGCTTACCACTCTCCCGGTCTTTGCCTGAGCAACGAACCTAATCTTGGAATTCCACAGCCTATTTATCATAGGGGATGGTTCACGCACAACGTCACGCAGTCAAGTGAAACGAAGAAACAAAGGCAACACGCCAGGATTATATGTCAGGGTGTTTACAACTTGATGACCAGCCCCTCTAATGCCGCTCCAAACGCCCACCCACAGTCACGCATTGGTGCTGGAAATGCTTACGAGAGATCGAGCACGACACGACCTTGAAGTTCGCCCTTGTGCATCTGCTCGAAGACCTAAAAGCGGTTTAGTTCGTATCTTTATGTTCCCGAGAAATGTGGAAACTTACTTCAGTCAACTTGTCCATCTTCTCAGTCCTATAGTGTACCTTCACAATGCCTCGGGCCTGAGAAGTGTTAGCAAATTTCACTCCCCAGTACAGGAGACTTACGGCAAGGTCCAAACACTCAATGGCCTCCTTGCGATCTCCAACTGCAACACCAACAATGCTCAGTGCCTTTGCAACCAGAATCTGAGGCAGAGCGCCCTTGATAGGTACTGGTTCACCCTCAGGAATACCGACACACACCAAGCGACCACCGAAACGGAGCATATCAACGGCAGAAGCATAAGCCGGATTGGCAGCAGTGAGAACGAGAACAGCATGGGCTCCAAGACCACCTGTAAGTTTCTTGACGGCTTCGGGGATATCTGGAGTATCTTCGAGAGCTATGAAGTGCTCTGCCCCGGAGCTGAGGACGAGATCTTTCTTGGACTTGGAGTCTACGCCGATGACTCTGTGCGCCATGCCTTTAGAGGAGAGTTGAGCTGCAAGATGGCCGAGACCACCACTATATCATGTCAGATATGCTATCGTGTCTTTCAAGTAGAAGTATCCGTATCTTACCCTGCACCAAGGAGTACCACAAACTGTCCGCTCAAAGCACCGCTCTTGCGGAGTGCTGAGTAGCTTGTTCTTGAGTAGTGTCAGCAATAAATTCTCCAAGTACGTACATCTAGACTCACACTCCCGCACAAAGCATAGGGGCTGCATCAGCAGAATCAAGACCTTATGTCGTCAGTCAGACCACCCTAATCACGCAATCAGTTCAATCTCACCGTCTGGAATAGGAGTGACATAGTTCGCAGGTCCAATTGCATACTGCTGAAAGGTTCCAGGGGTGTAGTATCCACTGACTTTCTATCCCTTCATCAGCACTGTCAATCCCATTCTCCACAGAGTCACCAACCTGGTTGAAGCAAACACCATCATGGCCCTCAAGACAAGGAACTATATAGTAAGAGCATACGTCAGAACTTGGTACCCAGAACAAATCGGAGCATTTACGTACAGCATGACCCACAGGTCGCACTGATCCATTTGATGCCTACCCGCTGGCCGACCTTGATCGCGGAGAGTTCTGTTCCGGGTCCCATCGCGACCACTGTACCAACCTAAACCTCCGATTAGTCCATCAAAATCCCCAGAAATTCTTTACCAATAGTATTCATTATTACTCACGCCCTCGTGGCCCCCAATCTGTCCAGGCTGCGTAGGGTACGGCAATGACACCCAACTAGACCCTTCTGGTCAGTATCTCGAGTCGATCTAATTAGGAAGTGGTCTGACATACGTGTTCGTCATGACACCCAAATCGGAATGGCAGACGCCGGAATGTGTTCTAGATACGAAAACAATTAGAGGTTTTTCCATGTGACGTCAGCTTCGCAACATACAGTTTGATGAGCACCTCTCCCGCGCCTGGCGTTGGCGTCTCGACATCCTGCACTACAGCTGAGATGGAACCTGGCTTATCATACACGCAAGCTTTGTGGGTCTTTGGGATCTCGACTTCAGCCATGAGGCAAGAGTTCTGTTGGTTTGAGGGTTGAAAAGTGGAAGATCGAAAGAAACCTTCAGATTGGAAGTGGGAATCAACAGAAAAGGCGAGATGACGGTGTCAGAATAGAAGTGAAATGGGAGCAAATTCGGTAGTTAGAAGGTCAGATAATGAAGCCCGTTGCCTTCAATTAAGTAGACGCGTGCACGCTCTGTCAATCTCTACGCTAAGCGAAGCATTCTCTGCAGTAATACATCATCAACCTAGGCACCTAGGTAGCAAAAGGAACGGTTCCCGACCTTTCACTCCATGCCAACAAGCGAGTCCAGTCCTTGGAACTGAACAAGACAAAGCGACCCGCGAAACAGTGGGACGGAAATCGGCAACGGCAATCGCCTGTAAACAACTCCTCAATGCGGGGGTGAAAACGTGGGTCCCAGCCACGCCAAATTGCGGGGCAGCGCGCGTGCAAAAAGCCACTGTTAGTATTGATTTTGAACAAGTGCCGACAGACTGCAAGGAACAGATGGGATTAAGCCTAAGAAAGTAAAGGGTGGTTGGTGGTGCTGAAGGTTTCATCTGTTAATCAATACAACCACTTGTACCAGCAAGCTTTCTCAAACATTCCATTAGACATCTCAAATATCTAACATCTCATCTTAGACCCTCTCTGGTCTTCTTCGTTTGGCATCAAGGTTCCTTTCTCGTGCGGTCGTAAGAACGTGTACAGTAAGGCGCTCAGTGTGCAAGCAAATCTAAGGTATTCCCTCCAAATCACAAAACGCCGGCTAATGAGACCTCTCCGATAACATTATGAACCATCAAACTCTCTCGTGACGACTGTCCCTTCATATAATCATGCTTTAGGATTGCAGAATGGGCTGAGCAATAGCTCGTCCGCAGTTGGTCTCTTCTCGTGGTCGATCTCGAATGTCTTCTGCAAGAAAGCCCTAGCATCCTCACCAGCATTATCAGGTACTGTCGGGCTGGCGTCTCCGCTACCTCCAATCTTGAAGATGGCCTGCAACTGAGTACAGTTTGGGTGAGGGTGACTGCCAGTGAACATCTCTACGATGAGACAGCCGAGAGACCAAATGTCTGCTTTGCGAGTGTATGCCGTCTGTCGTACGACTTCTGGGGCCATCCAAAACACAGAGCCCTGCAGAGAGACGCGAGGGTTGCCTTTCTTTCCGCCGCCTGGGGTCAGCAACGTCGAGGCCTCAACGCGCTTCGAGATCCCGAAGTCTGAGATCTTGACACTGCCTTTGTTGTCGACAAGGATATTAGCTCCCTTGATATCGCGGTGGATAATGTCCTTGCTGTGAAGATAGGCAAGACCTGTGAGGATTTGTCGGACAAATGTTCCAATGAGACCTTCTCCAAGCGGTCCATAATTGACAAGCATCGATGCAACGGAACCACCAGGGACGTATTCCAAGAAAATATTCAGATGCGACTCTACAGAATTCGATCCAAGATATTGCACAATGTTTGGGTGCTTGAGATCTCGGAGAAGACCGATTTCATGCTTGAGCGCCTCGACCATGTTTGTTTTTCTCTGGTCAAGCTGGGAGGTGCCGGAGGACGAAGGCATCTCGACCTGTTTGACCGCCATGAGTTCTCCAGTGACTGCATGCAGCGCTAGATATACGCTGCCGAAAGAGCCTTGTCCAATCAATGCTCCTTTCATGTACTTGACGTTCTCCCAAGAGTCTTGCTCCAGGTAGTCTGTCAGTTCCTCGTCGGATTCATCCTCATCATCGCGGATGGCTTCACTAAGTCTCTTGTTCAACGAGTCACCAGCTTCGGTACCATGGCTACTACTGCCAGCAATACTGCTGCCAGCATCATCAAAGTAGCTTGCAGGCATAGTATTGCCATCAGGATCAGTGATAGACAGGCGGTCTGCATTGTCGTCCCCGAAAGAGACATATGATTTGCGACTCGGTTCTAGAGGCGACTCTTCTTCAAGAGGCTCAAGCACCGACGAGGCCACTGAATCTCTGTAGCCTCCTTGTGATGGAAGACCAAGCCGCATGACCGAGAGCGGACGAACAGGTCGTGCCTGGCCAGAGTTCTGGAACCACTGGTCGGCGATGGACGGTAGAGGTGGCGCATCCCTCAAGCTCGATGCCACACTGAAATTGCTGGCCGTACTGAGCCGACTCGTCGCTCGACTTATCCTTCTCGAGCGGCGAACGGACATGCGAATAGTCTTGTCGATCTCTTCCTTTTCGACATCTGGAAAGTATGATGTGAGATCAGAAGTGATCAGTTCACTTGGAGGCCTGGCACCGTAAAATCTTTTCAGCTTCCTTGCCTTGGCACTTGTGGTGGATGCGATACTATCTGCTCGCTCTAGATCCTGTGCGGTGGAGTTAATATGCCGCTCCCGCTCGCGAGCAGATGTAGGAGATAGTGGATAGCTGACAGCCGCCAACGACTCTCCGGTAATCTTCTCGATCTTTAGCTGGCTTCGATTGCTGGACGGGATGACAATGTTGTCTCGGATGTTCTCCCTTTGTACCTGTTGTTGTTGGGCTGCAATACTTGCTGCAGTCTTGAGCTGCTCGTCTTCCGGCTCTCCTGCGTGGAGTTTGCGCAAGATGAGTCTCCCTCTTTCCATGCGAAGCCGATCATGACACACTCGAACAAGATCAGACTCAGTCAAGCGGCGACACTTTGCTGGATTTGGGTCTACTCCATCTAGGACCCACATGCAATAGTTCTTAATGTGTGTTTCGTTTAGATTGCCTTTCTTCAGAGTCTTCAAGATGATTTCGTCGGCAGTCTTGCAGCCATCAACGCTAAAGACAGAGATGCGCCCATTGTCGAAGATTACTCGTATAAGAGGCTTGTCGGCTGGAAGAATACTACTGTTGGTGACAGACGTATCCACGCTGGGGCTGGACCGGACATGGCTAGCAAAGCGAGCAGTTTGCGGCGTATTGACAGAAGTGGCTGTTCGAGGTTGAGATCCAAAGCGTGCAGTCTGCGGAGTGTCGGTGCCGGGTGTTCTGCCAGACGAAGCGCTCGGAGGATGGCTGAAATAGGAAGTCGCATCCTTACGGCCACCATCCTTGGGGCTATTCATGGTGCCCTGTCTCAATGACCGAAGGCCACGATTCTCTTGGTCGACTAGAGGTGAACCTGGGCGCGAGATAGACTTTCCAGTAAGTGTGAGGGAAGACGCGTAGTTGAGTTCACCACCAGTAAGCTGGCGGGACATCCTCTTGTCTGATTTACCCTGGCTTGGGATTGAGCGAGCAGAGTAGAGCGGACGGGGGGAGCCCGACGAGGGCGGTGTGTATGATGGGTTGTCGAGACTGGCGAGTGACCGTCGATTCAGGTTCTTCTTCGAGGCTTTCTTATACTCGCGATTACGGAAAAGCTTGGCTTGCGAACCTATCCTGACGCGGTCTCCAATCTTTCTTATGCCCATATCCTTGAGTGATGCTTGGTCCATTTCCATGAGAACCTCGCCGTTTATGTTGTTTTCTGGTGAACGTGTTAGAAAGGAGCAATGTTAGCATCACCGCCCGTACGTACTCTTGAATAGGTCGACATAATGTCCACAGTTGATACTCCGCAGCCAATCTGCAACCTTGTCTTCGTCCCAGTGCCTAAGTAAAGACATTAGCATGACCCAGGCGTCTTATGCGACTGGCCTACATACCTTACAGCATCCGGTCCGTCATAGGTTTCGGAGAATTCGGACTCGGTAGGGCTGGCGAAGAATGCATGCTCCGAACGACCGGCCGAAGGTTGTGTTCGGTAACTGCTCATATTTGAGGTGTACTGGTTGGAGCTCTGAGTGGAAGAGCTCCCCAACGACGTTGGAAATGGTGACTTTGCCGCCAACATTGCCATGTATGAATATTATAAGGTTTGCTGTGTTGCCCCGGTCGAACACTCGGACGAGCTGTGAAGTATGATCCTCGCAGTCGAAGATATTATAAGTTGTGGACACCAAATGTCATTGCGAACACCCGCGGTATTGAACTCTCGAGTGAAGTGTAGATCTTGTGCTTGAGCGTAAATCGTCTGTGAATGTTCGTGTCACAAAGGGTGGGAGAAGGTCGGAAGAGCGGCAGCGTTCGCTGCTGACGAGGTGACACGATGGCTCTAGGTGTTGGAAATGGCGGCGAGAAGGGCAGAGGACAGTCTTTAGGGCGGTCGGCGTCAGTGGAGGATGTGATCAGGCGAGTGTCGCGAGTCAAACGGGAACCGAGGAGTCAAGTGGTTCGTTACTGGATCGGAGGGAATATGAAACGAGATTGTTTGAACGCTGGCTCGATGAGTAGGCTTGGGCGCTTGGGAGCGGAGTTCTTTTTGTCTCCTGAACCCGTGGAGTCGGAACGGTGGTGTAAGAAGGACGAAAACGTCTACGAAGAGAAAACAACACACAACACACTCAACTCAACACCAGCTCTGTCGACAGAGTCCCGTCGGTGGATGATGGAAAGACAATAAATCGACGGTGAAGGCACAAAGGGAGTAAGAAGAGAAGGGTGAGTGGTGGTGTAGTAGGGACACAGGCAGGACACAGGCAGGACACAGGCACGCAGGCAAGCTGTTGAGCCAAGCCCGGCGTTGATTGGTCGTCACTTTTCTTCAAACATACTAAGTTTCATGTCAAGTTCGCTCCGGCCTGTACCCACTCTTCTCACGCCCCCATCCAACAGATCCAACAGATGAGTCCATTCCACCCATTCCACAACATTGGACACGTCCTCACGTCAAACAGTGACGCCGCCGACGCGGAAGGGCGTATATATAGATAGATCACATCTCACTCTATCTCCGTGCTGCCCTTGCTCCGCCGTTGCGGCGCTGAAGAGGGATTTTCTCTCCATGGCATGGGATTAGCGAATACCAGCAGCAAGTGGAGCCTCTTGCGACGCGCCAGCGGTCAGCGCCACTCTATCTGGAGGCTCTTAACTTTAACGCATGACAGCAATGTTGGAGGAGGAGGAGGAGGAGGAGGAGGATGCCGAGGAATGGAATGGTAGGCGCATTCGTCTCACTCTGGCATAGTTTCACCGGACATTATGTGGCTCGGCTTACAATACCTGGTCTATAAGTTGTTTTGATGAGAGTTGCATCAGGTAGATTGCCAGATTCGATGATATCTTTGAGGGTGTGTGAAAACCAGAAGTCGCCGAGAATATTTCCGCTGATCACTCGGCTCCTCACCACGACATTTTCGTGTCGAGCCTGCTGCCAACATGGCTACCCTGCAGGCGTGTGTCTTACAGCCAAGTTGGCGTGGTGGTAGGCTGGTTGCAAAGCAACGATACGCCAGCTCGAGCCCTCTCTCACGCTTCCGGTGACGGCCAAGGTGCCAGTCAAGATGCAGCTGAGATGGCGCACTTCTTTCTTTACGAGATGTGAACAGGCCAGCGGCCGGTGAACAGCGTTGAACGGCATCTCCACAAAACGGGATCGGTATCGCGGGTTGAATGGCAATGGCGGACCGTCCTCATCATCCATGCGGCCAAGTAGAGGGTAATTAGCGGCAGATGATGCGGAGAGACAGCTTAGGCGCACTCGTGAAAGCCACGAGTTGTCAGCGTACTGCCACGCGCGGCAAGCACACTAATCCAGTCGAAACATTCTAAACTTGAAGTATCACAGTGTTGCACGCTGGACTGGCAATTGAAACATCAAGGACAGATGGTCTGAGTGCGATGACCAGGCTGTGCAATGCGGGAAGATGGGAGGCGTTGCGTTGCGATTCGCAAAGTCGGACGTTCACAAACGTAACACGTTACAGGGCTGTAGACTCATGTCTCCAATCCATTCATTGCAAGGCTACCGGCCACAGCAAAGAATGGTGAGGAGTTGAGTTGTGTGTCGGGGGAAAAGGAAGGCTTGAGAGCGATCAGACGATAAAAGATGGATGCGGGGTACGCAGGCTCCCGTCTCCTTGTGCAGCTTACCTAGGTATCAAACAAACCGGTGGCAATGGGCATGACAATCGGGATAAAACAGCCAAACAGCGATCACGTACTGCGGCGGCGGCGGTGATGATGATGATGATGATGATGATGGTGGTTGGTGGCAGTGTGGTGGTGGTGGTGGTGAGTGAGTGAAGCGGTAGCGGCCGCGGCATTGCATGAACAGCATGCGAGAGACCGGGTGCGGTGTTTAAACAATTCAACATGCACACATAATTACCTGGGATGTATACAGAAACGAGACCTATTATCAACGACGGCTAATTTTACAGGCCACAGCGGGCTTGACCGACGAGCATAAGTCAGTCATAAGCATTAAGAGCGCCAACGTGCCAAAAATGGGAATGCAAGGGCTGTGGCAGGAAAGGGAAGAAGCGGTTGGAAATCCTTTGTTTCAAGCGCCAATGAGGATACTAGGGATGTTGCTTATGAGATGATCAGTATCATTGAAACATGTCCGTAATGGAGAGTGAGGATTGGATAGGTGGATAGGTGGCCAATGACGCATTCAGTTCGGGATAGGAATATATGTATGTAAATAACTGCAAACAGCTAGGTAGTCATGCAGGGTTATCAGTCTACTACCTACTACTACCTATCTTTACGCCTTTGGGCTGCCCCCCCCCCCAATCACTGATGTTGGGAGCTGATGACGCAGTTCTCTTGAGGGGGCCGGTCATGAAAAAGCCATCATCATGCCATGGTGAAGCCTGAAGGAGGGAGGGATGGAGGCAGGGAGGATAATTAGCTGGGTTGTGGGTGGACAGGCGGGTCAACAGGCGGGTGGACAGGCGGGCTATGGGCTGTGGGCTACCGGCGATGGGCTACCGGCGATGGGCTACCGGCGATGGGCTGTGGGTTGGTGGGCTGTGTGGGCTGTGTGGGCTGCTCTCTACCTACCTGACGACCTAGCTAACGGCCCTTAACTAATACTACTACTACTCCTACTATCTATCTATACCTCCTCATGCTACTACTCCACTCCACTATAGCATGTCGCCAGTCTCTACACTCCCTTCCTCTTAAAACACTCTTCCTCTTCTTCCTCTTCCTCTTCCTATCATATCCAATATCATTGATCTTTCAGTCTTACGCCTACTTTACTGCAACCTGGAACCTATATGTGCGACAGCTTAGCCAAACCCTATCATTCCTGACCCTGAACCCTGGCCATTTGGGACCGTTCCCACGCCAGCTGTCGTACCAGGAAAACAATTCCCCTTCACACGCCTCCAGAAAGTTGGCACCTGCCCAACGACATATTACCCAACAAACTCTGCAAACGAGACAAACCCAATTCCTCTCCACCTTCATCCTCCTGTCTTCTTCAATCTCCATCTGACTGTCATATCTACCACTCCGGGCCGTCAATCTAGCCTCGCATACATGCTGCACTTGCGGTGACGGACGGGTATTAGCGAAACCTTGATTTGCCATCCGCACGCCTGCTCCTGCAATATTTCGTCCGACGCACAAAAACTTCATGTAGGACTTGTAAAATGGCCTACGACAGATACAGAAGCCCAAATGCCGACAAGCGCTCGCAGTACACGTCGCAGGACCACAGCGATGCACTACGCTACGATAGCGCCCACGACAACAAACAGCGTCGCTCTCGCGGTTCGTCCTGTGCCAGCTCAGTCATCTCAGACCAAGCACAGCCCATACACGATGCTGCCCAGGCCGTCCAAACGGCGTTTGACAGGTCTCAAGCTGCTAGCGAAGTCGATCCAAACCTGATCAAAATCATCACCGAGCAAGTGTCGAAACAAGTCATTGATAGTTTGAAGTCGTCTGGCATCCATCGCTTTCCTCAATCGAAAGAGTCTACTCCCGATTCGTTTCCGTCTCGAAATGTCTACACACCACCCTCTCCCACCCGGCAGAGCGACTATTCAAATGCCTCGGACTCACCACGTCAAAGATCTGCATTCGACGGCCAGGACGAGACGCCTACACCTCGATTAGACCGGGTCCACCGCACCATGTCCACAACATCTCAAACTAGTACAGACCAATCGAAGCGCGATCGTGAACGTCCTGTTATATCTCAAAAGGTGTCGCCCGAAAACGAGGCTACACCACTAGAGAACACTTGGGAGAGATTATTTGAGGAAGATGGCACTCCCACTCCGAGAGTCAATCAATTCTTGCGTGGTCTTGCACAACACCTTGTATGTAGCACCATGGCGTCGCTTGGCCCAGTCTTTTACTAACATACGGATAGATTGATGACTACGAGCCAAAGAAGAGCATTGTAGTGACTCCTGACAAGATGCTGAGATTCTATCGAGAAACACAGGTTGATGACGAGATCTTTCCGTGGGGCAGTAAGTCTTGAGCGCACCTCCACAGATTTCTATTTCGTTACTGATTGAAACTCAGAGATTTTCTGCAAACTCCCAAATACTTCTATATCGAAGATGTATCGCGATCTTCGTTGCCAACACCACATGGTCCAAGAGATCGATGGCTGCGAGTATGCTCCATCCATTCCAGGATTGACACCTCACGGATTCAGACGCTGGATGGAAACCATGATTCGAGCGTATCCTGATGTAGAGTTTCAACGGCTCGCAAAAGCCGTAAAAGAGATGCCGATTAGCAACCCGGACAAACCAACGGAAAGATTTCCAAAGGCCCTTTCTCGCAGACTTCTGCCAAAGTCCGACAACATGCAGTACCAGCAGTTGTGCTGTGCTACGTTGGCCTGTGAGGGTAAAGTGCCGCTCCACAGACCGACCTCCTTTCCCCCACCTCCACCACTCAACTCTCAGCCCTCGACGCAATCTCAGGCCACGCTGGAACGAGATCGGAGCCCGTATTCAGGTGCTCCTGGTCGTGATACAGCAGACAGCTCTGATCACGAAACGCCTGTGGGAGTACCTATTGAGCGTGAAAGGAAGCCCTATACTGCTCGAGAAGGTACGGGTAAATTCTACGACAAGGGTGACAACGATCGATCAAACAGCAAAGGCAATCGCCTGCACAGATCACAGTCCAATGCCAGTGCAACAAGTGCATATTCGCCAGGTCGTGAGAGTGCCGCGGACTACAGCCAGTCCAGCTCTCGGCAATCTCGAGCATACAAAAGCACAAACGGCCGAAGACGAAGTCCATCTTACGGCAGGGGAGCGAGCTATGGCAACCGTTCAGACAGCAGCGTCACCGATATCCCCGCGAACCAATACGCCTCGAACATGTACGACTACGAGGAGAGCAGATACCGGGAAGCTGAGAGCAAGCGTAGCGAACACACGCGCCGCCCGACAGGCGACGATGTGGACCGCAGCTACCCACCCGGCCCAAGATCAGTCTACGATGATGACTACTACCATCGCAGTCGCAGCACGAGTAATGTGTATGGTGGCAACTACCCCACGCCATATTCACAACCGCCTCCGCCCTCGTCGCGCTATTGAAAATACATGGAATGCCCCGATGGACAGGCGTGCCCTTGACCGGTCGCAACTGCTTCCCTGTCGGGCTTACCCCAATGCCTTGTGCCTGGACCCTTGTCAGAGAGACCTCATGAGCTAAGCGACTTTTTTCCGGTGGAGACGACCTGGGCATAGCGATGCGTACGTACCTTGAGCGTGCATTTTTGGACGTGTTCTTCTTCTCGTTGATGTTGTTGTACTCATATATCCCATACCTACTTTCATTCTTTTTCTCTCTCTCTCTCTCTTTAGTTGGGCGCTTGGCGTCTCTCTATTATATATACCCATTCTTCTTCTCGTCGCCAGGACCAATCTTTCGCTTCACTTTCCATTATGCTGAACGGCCGATATTCCCACCAGATACCTAGGTACTTGTTACTTTTTTTTCGACCCTTGTGTCTCACGACTTTTAAGATTGGAGATTGGAGATTGGAGATTGGGCTATGTTGGGCTGCCTTTTTGGTGTCGTCTTCGGGCTTCTGCATGTGTGCATGTGTGCATGGGTGCATGTGTTTATGGACTTTGATGATTATGATGATGTTCATGTTGTTGTACAAGACTACGGGATGTTGTATTAGATGTATCATCGGGCATGATTTGTTTTGAGATTGTGTTGGGCGGCAAGCAACACTTGCTGGGCGATGGATGGCATGTATACAGAATGGGTAGTTTGTTCGCTTTGTAGCATGCATTTATTCATTCGTTCATTGGTTGATTATAATATATTGTCGCCACGTGGTTTTATTCCTGGTGCTGTGGACTGTGGACTATATAAGTGGACTGTGAACTGTGGACTGTGAACTGTGGACTGTGAACTGTGGACTGTGAACTGTGGACTGTGAACTGTGGACTGTGAACTGTGGACTGTGA